TCGAGACGGAGCTAAGTCCGACGCCGGAGGTGTGACGTCCGGACCTAGCGAGATGATTGTCGGAGTCGAGTCGGAAGAGAGTCGGAGAAAGTCGGAGCAGAGTTTCGAGATACAGAGAGTGAGTGCGAGTACGGACCAGACTCAAGCTTTAAGGCTTGAGTCGCTACGCGCTCTAAGTCCATGTCGGAGCAGAGGAGTAACTTAGTCGATATTCGAACTAAGGAGTTAGAGTACAGGAGCTAGGAGTTTATATACGCGGAGGCACGGTTCGGAGCTCGTATCGATAGGGAGTTATCGGAACTATGAACCATGTGGAATAAGGAGTTATCGGAACTATGAACCATGTGGAACTGTCAATCGTAAGGACGGAGCATATGGTTACAAGCTGATAATCGGAGGTAGAATAAGTCCGAAGGGAATATCAAACCGTTAAAGGCATATCGGTCGTGAACGTCGGAGTTGAATCCGTTATGACTCGAGAACTACCGGGACGTTGAGTCGCCGGAGGACTATTCATGTGATAACGTAGGTCCGGTACCGGAGCTGCTACTCCGATGGCGGACAACCCGGAACGACCGGAGCTATCGTACTTGGCCCGGTTACGGCCCAAGATCCGACACGTGACACCGCCGCGTACCTTGCCTCCGTTACTCCGTCGTCCGCGAACGGTGGTCGGACCCCACATGAGCTGTTCTGGGGTGTGGTGCCGAACGTTGCTCACCTGCGTGAGATCGGCTGCCGAGCATTCGTCTTGATCGATCCTCCACCGTCAAAGATTGCGCCGCGCTCGCGCGAGTGTGTTTTTGTCGGATACTCACCACATAGCAAAGCCTACCTCTGCTGGGACCGAGAGCGCCATTGCCTGGTCACCTCACGAAATGTCGAGTTCATTGAATCGCACCAGCGTTCCGCACCCGCGCCTGATGTTCCCATCCGTCCTGCTTCGCCGGACTGCCCACCTGCCGATGAGCTCCGACACTCCCTATTCCCTCTCTCTCCACACGTCCCCGCACCACCTGCGACACCCCCCCTCGAATCAGGCAAGCCCGAACCCTGACGCTCCGCGCGACTCAGAGATCGGGCTGGCGCCAATGTGTCCGTTGATTCCTCCCCAGATCATGCCTACGTGTATGCAACTCGCGTAGCCGGTGACTCTTCGACCGTAAGCGTACCAATCCTATCCGAAATCCTGTCCGTCATGGCCGACGACGGGGACCGGGCCTCCATTAATGTTGTACACCCTACCGACCCGCGAAACCTGAACGAGGCTATGAAGTCAGCCGACGCTGATCTTTGGTTGGAGGCTTGTGCGGATGAACAGCAATCCTTACGGGAGAAGGACGTATATGAGCTCGTCCCCAGAACAGCTGTGCCTGCAGGAACCAGGCTGATCGGAACGTGCCCTGTGCTGACCACAAAGTATGACTCCAACGGCGCGCCTGACCGTTTGAAGTGCCGGATTGTTGCGCAGGGTTTTGATGCCGTCCAGGGTGTCGACTACGACGCCTCTACCTCTCCGACTACTCGTCCTGAGTCTCTGCGTATACTGCTTGACCTGGCCGCCCGGAAGAACTGGCCGACATGCCAGATCGATGTCAAAACTGCGTACCTCAACGCCCCACTCGACAAACCGGTCTACTGCCGCCAACCGCGTGGTCTCGAAGTCGCCGGCATGGAGACCCACGTCTGGCGTGTAAAGAAGGCGCTGTATGGTTTACCGCAGGCGGGGCGATGCTGGAATAAGGAGATGCACGCTAAACTTGTTGACCTTGGGTTCGTCCGCGTGAGCAACGAGCATTGCATCTACTTCCGAGAACGCACTTCCGGTACCATCGTGACTGGCATACATGTCGATGATTTCCTGACTACAGGGAGCGACGACGATGAAATCGCCCTTTTCAAGGCGGACCTTCGGCGACACTGGACCATCACTGACGGCGGCGAGGCCAACTTCATTGTCGGCATCAAAATTGAACGGGATCGTGAACGCCGAACGATATTGCTGTCCCAACCAGCACTCATCGACAAGATCCTTGACACGCACGGCATGTCCAACGCTCATCCTGTCTCCACTCCGCTCTCTCCAGGAACTAAGCATTCCCGGAAAGAGTGCCCCGACGAAGGACAACGCCTCGACACCGCGAAATACCCGTACCGACAACTCATTGGCTCCCTCATGTACGTCGCGGTTGGGTCGCGGCCCGATATCTCACATGCCGTCGGACACCTGTCTCAATTCCTTGCGAACCCTGGCCTACCGATGTGGAACTCAGCACTGCACGTTGTACGCTACCTCAAGGGAACGCGTGACCTCCGGCTCGTCCTTGGTGGCCAAGGGTCTCCCCGTCTTGCCGGCCTCACCGATTCTGACTTTGCGAACTGCCCCGACACGCGCCGTTCCGTCGGCGGTTTCTCCTTCAACTTGGGTTCTGGCGCGGTTTCATGGTGTTCCCGGAAGCAGCCCGTGGTCGCTGTGTCGTCGTGCGAGGCGGAATACATGGCCGCGTACACTGCGACAAAAGAAGCTGTCTGGTTGCGCAACCTGCTCGCGGCGATCGGACACGACCAACCAGGTCCTACGCTTATCGGTGGCGACAATCAAGGCGCTAACATTCTGACCGAGGATCAGTCCCAACACAACCGGTCAAAACACATCGATATCAAGTACCACTTTACTCGTGAACGTGTGGCCTGCGGCGACGTCAAATTCTACTACGTTCGCAGCACCGATAACACTGCCGACATCTTCACGAAGGCTTTACCCTCGCCTGCTTTTGTTCGTTTACGCCACCAACTCGGTCTTCGCTTTCCGACCGGCCGACCGTATGTTCGCGGCGAGGAGGAGATCTGACTACACGGCGAGGAGGAGTGTGAGGGATAAGGTTCCGCCATTAAAGTCAGATTAGTGGCGATACGGTTGACGAACAAAACAGAGCGGCGGGACGTCGCGCTTTCCTCCTTCTGCAACCACTACGCAGTCGGAGGTAAGCACGCCCGCCATCGCCAGATATCATGTATTCACACTGCTATGTACAGACTCAGCTAGTATAGGTGAATACTACCTTCTGCAACCACTACGCAGTCGGAGACTCAGCTAGTATAGATCCTAATAAGTTGATGAACGATACTACTGTACTTTTACGACCGTAAGTTCGTCCCGCGTCCCCGGGGCACCCGAACCGAACTTATTGTCCCCTGTCCCCCTGGCACTCCGAACCACCGGGACACATTATATCTAACCGTGGGAGTCTTATATCTGACCGTGTGATCAAGAAAATCTGACCTCGTAAGCACGTGTCCCCCGGGCAGGCTGCGGATGAACTTCCCACGGCCGCGAACTTGGGTCGTGTCCCCTGTCCCCCTCCGACCTGGCCGAACTTACGGTCGTAAAAGTACAGTACTGTACTGGAACGCTGGCATGTGCGTTGACAAGCTCGTCCCTGTGGCTATACTCGAGGAAATGGACCTGGATCCGCTCAGTGCCGCAATCGCGACTTGACCACTGACTACAACGATATCCACCTCTACGCTCCGACTCTCACTTTTGAGGCCCACGGGACTCAGAGGGTGCCTCTTGCGTGTCGGGTGCCGAACGGCGAAGACCCGTTGCATCTGTCGTGGGGTGAACTTCCAGGACTCGGCTCCTCTCACACCTGACGAAACCTCGAATGCGACTTTGTTCCTCGTGATCGCCGCTGATAACTGAAGTGAGGAGCCGCCTGATGATGTTCGTGGATGGCGTGATTTTGGAAAGACAGAACCTTGGAGCTTTATAGCTACCGGCGAAGGTTCGCGATGCTGGTTGTCCGGGCCGCTTTCCTCAGCAGATCATGCATATCTCAGGCTGGAGATTCGGATGCCAGCGCACGCTTTCCGGAGCCGCCCTTGTGACAGTTCATTGTGGATATGTTGCACAGAGCATGGCTTCCGCTCTGAACGATACGTATTTCAAGCTGCAACCGTGTTCCATTCTTCCGCCCGACGTCAATACCTCGCGGCTACACAACTACTTCATCCGAGGAAACATCCAGTGCGGCCCGCTAGACGTCCCAGAATGTCCCGTATCATGTCCAACGACATTTATAAACGTTTAAAGCATGGGACAGGTTTTGCTTGTCCATCAATATGCATATCCTTGCTACTAGCTTGCTGACATGCTTGGCCATTGTTTCTGCTGCTCACCTTGACAAGAGGGCAACATGCACAGTCGCTTCCCATAACAATGCTGCGGACTCGGACGTGCCTGCTATCTCCGCCGCATTGAGCTCCTGCGGAAACGGCGGAACCATAGTCTTGTCCAAGGGCGTTACCTATGCTCTGAACGAAGTTCTTGACCTCAGTGCCTGCCAAGGATGCACCCTTGAAATCGAGGGTACGTGTTAATGATGCTTTGCTAAGACCGGCGTGGTGATAAGAAAATATAACAGGTACTCTCAAGCTCTCCGTGGACCTCGATTACTGGGAGGGAAAGACTGGGTAAGCGTGCTGGTGATGCTCTTGAGCTACTGAGAGCTCATATCGAAGGTAGCGCTATTTATGCGAAGGGCATGTCGAATGCCATAATCAAATCGGTCTCCGGATGGGGACTTATTGATGGATCTGGTCAGAAGTACTGGGAGGTGGGGCGGTCAATCTGCATCTTGTGGATTACACTACATGCTCAGCGATCTCTAGGTCTTCTCGGGAAACTCCTCCTACAAGCGGCCTACAATATGGTATATGAATAGCGTCTCCGGGGTATCCATAAGCAACCTGAAGTTCATCAACGCACCGTGGGTCTACTGCGATGGCAGTTGTAGGTATTGCATCTGACATATCTCATTACAGGAATGTCTTCCACAGCGTGGTGAATTCGCAGAGCGTCACGTACTACAACAACACATTGACAGCAGTATCGACAAACTCATCAGTGGTAGCACATAACACCGATGGGTGGGACATCGGGTCGTCAAGTTTCGTCACGGTCTCTGTGCGTCCATCCCCTTATATTGCGGAGTATCACCGCTCACTTCTACGCTACAGCACAGCAACGTGGTGAATGACGACGAGTGTGGAGCTTCTCGACACCGTCGCGATCGCATATTGACGCCAACTTTGCAGCTGTGTCGCCTTCAAAGCGGGCGCTACTTACGGGACGATCGATACCCTATCTTGCACGGGGTCTCACGGCGTTAGCATTGGCAGTCTCGGCGGGGTAGATTCATGTCCATTCTTCACCGCGCTTGACGCTAATGCGCGTGCCCAGTCAAAGGGTAAAACCGATACAGTACAGAACTTGTATATCCAGGATATCACGATGATCAACAGTGCCAAAGCACTCGGAATCAAGCTCTACCAGGGAGGAAGCTCTACTGGCACGGCGATTGTGTCCAATGTCACATACGATGGGGTGACGGTGACCAATTCCGATGTGAGTCATTCGTGAACCTTCATTTCCCATGCCCCTCCTGAACGTGTGCTGCAGTACGCCGTCCAGATACAAAGCTGCTATGGAAGCTCCAGTGCTTCTGACTGCGTGAGCACTGTTACTTGTCGTGGCTCCTGAGTTGCGCTAACACGGTGCAGGCTGCAAATCCTTCCCAGGCATCGGTGACGGGGTTCACCGTGAAGAACGTATCCGGCACAGTTAGCGGTTCAACGATCGTATCTCTTGATTGCCCGGCTGCGGGTACGTGCGATGTATACCTCCAGAATTTCTCCGTGAAACCGAAGAGTGGTACTGCGGCGTACCTTTGCTCGAACGTAGATAACAGCGATCTCTGCGTCACATGTACTGGCGCTGCGTCGGGTTGAACGACCACGAGGGAATACTGCAGTTCGCCTTGTATATATTCTTGTCTCACGCATTACACATTACACTGGACACGGAGGGTGTCATATCATATTGATGCCAGGGAGTCATACTGAAAAAAGTGCTAATGCATGCGAGTCATGAGGTATTACAGGCGACAGCAAGAGGGAACAGGGAGATCTTAGCAGTCGGAATATATAATGCGTGGCAGCAGCCAACCCGCGCGGATTTCCATGGCGGAAAACCAGAAAGTTCGCCCATTTGGTAAAATTTTGCACATGTTCGGCTCAGGCATGCAGGAGCTTGCACATTAAGAGAGCGACGGGAAGGCGGACTCATCGTCGACGCTGAGCGTCGGAGCCGGGGCACCATTGGTGCGACCACCGCGTCCACCACGGCCGCGTCCACGAGCCCTGTCGCCCCGTCCACGGTCACCACCGCGATCGCCGCCACGTCCGCGGCCTCCGCGCTGGGGCCGTTCAAAGCGGGCATCGATTTCGAGGAAAACCTTCTCCTTTTTCTCGGTGCGCTGCTTGGGGGCGGACTTCGACTAGAATGAGGAGGTTATCTACGTGAACCACCTTACTGCAACGACTGGATTACTTGCCTTGCCGGCGAAGTAGGCCTCCTCCTCCTCGGCACCCTTCTTGATGGGTGTGACGTTCTCGAACTCAGAGGCGTCGACTTGGCGGACCTCGGGCTTGGGGATGTCAAGAGTGGACTCCTTCTTCTTGGCGAGGTACTGATCGAGAGTGAGAGTGTTGTCCTCCTCTTCCTCATACCGGGGCTTGCGCTCGGCCTTCTCGCCTTCAGCACCTTCGGCAGCGGTGGCACCATTGGCAGCGTCGGCTCCGGCGCCAGCGGTCCAATCGTCCGTAGCAGTAGGACCCCACTCAGCCTTGGCGTCGGTCTCGCCAGCCTCCTCCGCCTTCAGCTCCGGGGTGCCTTCATCGGCGCCCCAACCGCTGGCAACCTTCTTCTCGGAGTCACTGAGGAACTGTTAGACAGTGAACGGGTGAAAAGAGTGCTCGACCTACGTCTTGCCGGTGGCGCTGTGCCTGTCCAGGCGACCACCGCGGAAGCCGCCACGATCACCACGGCCACGTCCTCTGCCACGACCGCGGCCACGGCCTTCGCCATCAACTGGTAACGCAGCATGAGCGCATGTACGGTCGCGGAAGACTACGACCACACTAACACTTCTTTCTACCTTCCTCGCCGGCGGCAGGCTCCTCCTCGGCATTCTCGCGAGGGGCGCCCTTATTGCCACCTCCGCGGGCGTAGTACTTGCCGCCACGCGATGCGGGACCGGTACGCTTTTGGTTACCACGAGAGGCGGGAGCCGCAGGAGCAGGAGCCGCTTCCTTCTTCGAGGCGGGGACAGCGGGAGCGGGAGCTTCCTCACCGTCTATACGGACGTATTTTGCAGAGCAGCATGACGAACGCGACAATCAAACAGGCGCAATATGAGGACTGAGCGATCAATTGGTACCATTGAAGATCGATAGTGTCTACTAACCGTCGAGGAGGGCAAAAGGATTTTTTGAGGCCACCGACATGTTCGGGGCCTTTGGCGAGCTCAGTCAGAGGCTGGCGGCGGGAACGACGAGCAAAGGTTTTTGGGGCAGAATCTGCCGATGAACGCTTTAGACAAAAGCTGGAGGGTGAACGACGAGCACTACGGTTGCACAAGCCCCCGGGACGCGCGTCGGGGGCTCGCTGGACCAGCTGTACAGTTGCAGCCACGTGGCAAGTATATAGTCCGAACACGCGTTTTCCCTCTCTTTGGAAGACACGGCCGCTCAAAAGCATCTCGACGACGATTCGCCCGCCTTTTAGGACTGGAGTGGATCGAGGACCTCGAGACCGTCATGGTTGGCCGGAGAATGAGAGCGCCTTCTGGTTGCAAACGATGGGACTTGGGTGCGGCAGGCTCGCTGGTTCGTCCATTGGCAGTCGACCCTTCGTGGCGACTGCGTGGGTTCTGTCGCAATGTCTCGTTGTACAGTTATCTAATACCTCTGTTCTTGCAATCGAACAACATGACTGTCCTTTGATGTGCCGTTGTGCGTGGAAGTCTCGCTTTGTGCTCTACCGGTGCTGTAGTGGGCTTCAGAGGTAAGACTTCCGTCATAGCAATCATATGTCTCGCCGTCCCCAGTCCATCATGTTCCAACGCATGAGGCTTGTTGAGTGTGCACAAAAAACGCCGTCGTAGACCATGAATGGAATGCCTACGTTCTCAGCGTTAACGTTCCGAGACGCATATGTTAGGCGCCTACGGGCGCTTACACCCTTGTGCCAGCCTCATATCTCATACCTCATCTCGGTTGGCTTAGTTCAGGCACAATGAGCTCCCGTCGACTCACAATTTCATCTTTGTTGTGCGATGACAACGCTTCGTCTGTGTCACCACCGGCAGCGACGTCACTGTCACTCAGCAAGTCCGACTCTTCCGCTGCATCGCCCGCGCCAGCGTTGTCTCATTCGGACCTTCAGACGCAATACGTGGACACTTCTAACCGTACAGACCCACTGAGAAGTCCTTGGCACAGTCGTTTGGAACAAGTACGGCTGTCACCACTTCATCCCATGATGGACATCGCGGAACGGCGCTCCGACGACGACCGGGCTGGCACCTCTCCCATTCACGCGTCTACAGTCCAAGGAATGTTATGCGCGGAAGAGTCGCATATACGGAGCGAGAATGCTACAGTTCCTTCAACCGCGCGACCTAGTCACCAACCATACATCGATGAACCTGAGCATGATCCGATTTCTTCGCGGCACACTTTACCATCGCTGCTGCAGTACATTCCACCCTCCTCGCATTTGCCTCCCATCCGTTCTCCGAGCTATCATGCATCCCCGAGTCTCAGTGCCACCACCATGCCACCACCGCCTGCATATGCGCGATCATCCGTCCACAATTACTCTCCTCACCGTCTCTCTCCTCAGCAAACGCGATCCCCTTCCAACGCGTTTCCCGTGATGTCTCCAGGTGGATCGTCTCATCGCGCGTCATTGTCCCCCAGCCATCAACGGCAATACCCCACCTCATACGAGCTTCCGCCTGCAGGTTCGTCATATGATCCTTCGTCTCGTCATCCCTCCACGGAGTTGCCGGTATCGGAAGTCCTTCACCGGGTACAACCACTCTTTTCCACCACGTCACCGTCCAATGCACCTACTCGCCTTCCGCCCCCGCTTATGTCTCCCATGCCCCCACCAGGCATCTCACCATTTAGTGGGTTGGACGCTCTCGTTCAGGCAGCGTCGGTGGAAAGCGAGCGAGAGCGACGGAGGCTGAGTGCAGGCTCTGATACCGCCATCCATTCAAGGCCCAGTTCATCGCACAGGATGGATGTGGATTCATCCATGGAGATGGTCAGAGAGAAGGAGCAGGACAAGATGATCCTTGACAGCACCCCACGATCAAGCGTGCCCCATTCGTGGGAGGAGGCCTCCGCACGTCACGGTTTATACGATGGAACTGCAACACGGCAGGAGGGAAGGAGGCGGTCTAGTGCAAGCTCCAGCGCGAGTTTGCGAGGCCTCATCAATCCGACCCCAACTACAGATATCCAGATTGCGGACGGCGTGGTCGTGGAGCCTCACTCGATTTCTCGCGATGTCCACATAACCCCACGCCGTGCTTTATCGCCGAGGCCTCCTGCTGCACGGGAAGTACAAGCTGGAAGCCCACCTGCGAGCGCCCACGGGCTGCCGGTGCAACCCGAGCCGAAAGTGGAGGCTCCCGACCCGGACCAACTGCCTTCTGTGCAGCCAGTGAAAGCCGAGTTTATGCAAATGCAGAGATCTGCCGGTCCATCCAGGGCCGGGGGCGAGCTAGCGCGGACATCGCCGCAGGAAGCGCGGCCTCGGAATCGGGTTCTCAAGCGGGAGTCCACTCCACCGCAAGTCAACGTGCGGACACCGACGCCAAAACTGGAGACAAAGCAAATGCGGAAACTAAGCCTCGGTGGCGAAGACGATCCTCATGAGTGGCTTCTGGAGCATTATGCGGGCGAGTCGCCACGGGCGCCCGAGCCACCGCACTCGGAGCCACCTTCGCCACCTCCCGAACATCGGCAGCCAACACATGTGTTAGCCTCACCAGCGCAGACTAGACGCGAGGATACTGCAACTCCTGTCGTTCTGTCTACCCCTCTACCTCCGAGCCCTAACTCGGCCAAAGAACTCGAGGACGAGCTTGTCGCTGCAGTCGAGCCGGAACCTGAAAGTAGATTCCATCACGCGGGCATGGACATGGATGTGGATGACGAGTTGCTTAGCTTAGTGGATGACCAACATCGCCCGCGTTCGTCTACCTCGAGCTCCACAAGGCAAAATACTTCGTCTCCTGCAAAGGCCAAAGTCTCTCCGACTCCTGTCCCGAGCACCGTGCCACGACAGAAGACCGGTGTCACAGACAATCTTCCTTTGGCAGAATCGACGCAACCTGCCCCTACAAGTTCAAGTCAAAAGAAGAAGGTATCTCGCTTCTGCTTTCGCGGCAAACAACTGCTCACAATCAGTTAGCCCATCGGTAAGACGAAAGCCAAGGAACCTAAAGAGGCTAAGGCTACAGCAAAACTCAAAGCAAAAGCTCCCGCCAAGCCCAAGGGAAAAGGGAAAACCTCAGCGCCTGGGACCGATGCCGCGCTTACCCTTGCTGATATCGCACCAGGTTTGACGACAACAGGCAGGACGAAAAAGGTGCCGGTCTTCCGGAGACCCGATGATACACTTCCCGCTGTGTCGGGAAAGAAGGGTTCGGGAACTGCGATGTCCTCCTCGAACCAGGCGCCCTCCCGTTCGCGATCGACATCTGTCATGCCTCCTAGCATTGAACAGCACAGGGAGTCCAAGGAGGCGAGGGAGAGCGAGGTGCCTCAGGATGATCAAGACGACGAGAAGCTGTATTGCATATGCAAGACCCAGTATGATGAGGATCGGATCATGATTGCCTGCGACAGGTGAGTACGCAGCTCCGCCAGCCGTCTTAATCCTTATGAGCAATAGGTGCGATGAGTGGTACCACACACAATGCCTCAAGATGCCCGATCTTGAGGTTGATCTAGTAGACCAATTTATATGCCCGATTTGCGTGAAGAGTAAGATCCTTCTGCACCCTTGGTGAGCGACCCCTTCTGACATGTCGCGCCTAGATAATCCCCATCTTTCGCTGCACACGACATGGAAACAACGGTGTTTTTACGGGCTAGAACATCCCGACCCAACGTCGCAGGCCGCATGCCACAAACCAGCTCGCGGACTTTACTCCAAGTACTGCTCAGATGAATGCGGCCTCAAGCTGATGCAGGCGCGGATCGCAAAGTGGTCCAATGAAGGCGGGAACAAAGCAGGACTGTGGGAGAAGGTCAAGTCCGCGCAAAAGAGGGAAGGCGTGACCGTGCGGATTGAATTCGAACCATCGAAGGACAGAGTGGACGACATCAAAGTTGGCCAAGGCATGTACGGAGCACGTACGGAGAAGCTCATAGCGCCACAAAGATCCATCATCCAACGCGAGGTCGACAGGCTCCATAGCCTGCTGGATCAGCTTCAGCTGAAGCGGGATGAAATCAACAGGACCATGGACATTGTGCAATGGCGGGAACGTTTGGTGGAACTTGCCGATGGACGATCGGAAAGGCTCGAGGAATGCGGATGGGATCAACGCCTTTGCTTCGGCGATACTGAGGTGGCAGTTTTCGGGGCCGGTGTATTCGAGAGTTACGAGAGCGTCGTCATTGAGGATTCCGCAGCTGAAACGCCTGGGGAGGACGGCGAATGGTGGTGTCGCGGGAAGAAGAAATGCGAACGCCACGCGGGGTCAGTTACTGATCACTTGATTCCAATGGTATTTTACCGACGCTAACATGCGATACTAGATGGCAGAAACTACGCCTAACAGAGGTCGCGCTGGAGAGGGAAATCAAAGAGGTGGCTCTCAACAAGCTCACCACGCGAGAGCGTGAACTCAGGAAGCGCATGGAAGATCTCCTGGATCCGTTCACTCGACAATCGCAGGCCGCTGAGCCAGTGCGCTCTCAGCCAGTTGTGGCCATCAATGGACATGGGAAGGCTAAACCCAATGGGCAGACCACGAAGCGGGGTAAGAAGAGGAAAGCAGAGTGATGTGTTACTACACCCATTTCCATGCGATGAATAATATAGAGCACGTACAAAGGACAAATGTATCGATAGTAATGCGCGTATACCGCCCGTGAGGTGCTGGAGCCCCTCCGCCAGCGAGGCAATAATGAATCTGCCTATTGCATCCTCTAATCAGAGGATGCGAGCCCCAGACATTCCTCTGCATCGTCTGCTCAGTACGCATCGCCCTCCCCTCCTTCCTTGCAAAACCCTCGCTGCTCAAATAAGATGTGCGATTTGACCTCTTCTTGTTCTTTCTGTTTGACCGCATCGGCCTTGTGATATGGTTCCAACACGCTCCAGTCAACCTGCTTTAGAGGAACATCATCCTCGCGATCCAGGTCCTGCCGGGCGTCGTTCAGTTACCATGTGTCAATGACATGATGTTGTTGACGCACCACCTCTCCTAGGAGAACTACGTTCTCTCCTCTAATGAGATAGAGGCCACGCCAGTTTTCTGCAAAGACGTCCTGGTGATAGATTCTTTCTACCGTGTCTTCCAGCACTAGATTTGCTGAAGGGCGCTTCGTTCAACGCCGATTTGCCAACGAGATCATTGTTACATACCGAACTGGTCATAGGAGCGTAACACGCCGACAAGCTTCCGGCCGTCGCGAAGGACAACCAGCATTTTCCCTGAGGGAAGACCGCATGTGCGCAACCGAGTGTAGGCAGGATGGTGGACGAGGAAACGGGTGCTCAGGCCCTCGCATATCAAGGCTACGTGGTGGCAGACGTACTGTCCACGCAGTCCATAAGCGACCCGCTGGTGGTGAATGGTATTAGTGAGTCCATGGTTGGGAGGCGAGGGCAAGATGTGACAAGGCGTGAGGCAGATGCCCCTACAGAAGACAGCGGTCACGGGTTGTCTCGCAAACGAGCGATGAGAGGAAGCTGTCGGATATTCAAGCTTCAAGCTCGAGCGCACACCTCTCAGCGTCTGAGCACTAGAATATACAGCTGTTTTGAAACACGGATGTCTCGCGAGAAAAGGCAAAAACTCCGGTGCCTGCAGGGTTCGAACCTACGCGGGCGAAGCCCATGGGATAGTAAGCAATTCAAATCCCACCCTTTAACCACTCAGGCAAAGCACCCTGAAGTCGGGAATCCCACAGTTTGGTTATGGCTGTTTCAACGTCGATAGGGAATCACAAACGACACTCCGCACGGAATGGGACCAGTTCCTTGGACAAACAACGACTCGTGGCGGCATCCATAACTGACTTGATCACCCATTGATTTCCAATCTACCGGTACAAGTCATGAGAGTCTAGAAGGACTACTGCTGAAGATGTTGACGAGGTGCAGGAAACGCAGTGGTGCTTCGCCCACAATCACGAGCTGCTATAATATGTGAGACGGCGGGCGACGGGATACGTTGCGAACGTACTGTTGTATGGGGTCAACACCGAGCGTGTCGCTACCGAAGTATTCCCACTGGCCTTTCTCCGGCTTCTCTTCCAGGGGTTCCCAGCTTGTATCGAGGTAAATACGGTTGCGCTGTAAGGCATCATATATGAAGGGACATACGGTTTCCACTCAATCATCTTCGAAAGAAGGCTTAGCTCGTCTTTGGCGATGTCCAAAGCCTGTTCAATCTGGCCATCTTCAAGCTCCTTCTCCACAGCTGCTATGTTTCCGTCGGCAGCATTGACGATATCCAGCTTCCGTTGAGTAAGTGCCTCCACACCCTGGCGGTAGACGGAGCTTTCGGGTATGGTCGACAAAAGCGAGAGTGTCGATTGGTAAGTGTGGACAAGCTCGGGGAGAGGATTGGAATGCACATGGAGGCCGGTGACCCCGGTAGTGGTCTTACGGGCGGCTTGTAGTAACGGTCGGGTAAGGCGGAACATGGTGGTGGAACGCAAGCGAACTCTGAGCGCGCGACCGCGACCACGAGCGCGACTTTCCGCTCTTAGCCTCTTCCCTTCCAGCGATGGCGGCATTCTCACTTGCGTCTGCGGCGCCGCTACGGAATCTTTTCAGGTTTTCATTGTTCACGCCATCCTTTGCCGCTCCAGCAGTTCTTGGCATACCTAGCCTTCCGTCACCATCGCTGCGCTGGTCACTACCCGACATATGGTCTCTTCTCGAGCTTCTTCCGCCGATAGTGCTCGCTGTGCCCAAGAAAAAGGTATCGCACTCCCGCAAGTCCATGCGTAGTGCGAACAAGGGACTCAAGGACAAACATAGTACGTGCATCTTAGCTCGCTGTGCCTGCATTCAATACGTGGACTGACTCGGGATAGACCTCGTCCATTGCCCGGCATGCGGCTCTCCTAAACTTGCACATCATCTCTGTCAACAATGCTATTCCGAGTTGAACCGGAACTGGAAAGCAAAGAACAAAGCATCAGAAAGCCATAGCGATGTACCTGCCGTGTCCACTTGAGACCATCAGAAGGTACATCTCCCGTTCCTTGTTGAAAAGTTGGCTCAGTCCGTTGGCGCTTACAGGTTTCCTTAGTTGAAAACTTGGCGCTCCGTAATCCTTTGAGGCCACTTTGCCATTCCGACCCTGTTTCCTCGCGGGATGGACACTGAGGTACAACATCAAGTCCCGTACACTACACCACAACCTCTTCCTCATAATTGATCGTTGTTGAAGTTTCGAGCGTTGTGGTACCTCTTGTGACCACTGCCCAGACTGATCTTCATGACCAACGAAACGCAAGGTTCTTCGTCGCCCGAGGCTATACGAGGGCGATGCTTCACCCAGATGCAGTATTGACCGTGGCGCGCCATGACGACGCGTGCGTTATCCGCTCCCACCAGAACATGAGTAAACAGAGTGCATTCGCTGAAAAGATCTACGTTCCTTGCTGTGGAAATTGCGGTAGCAGCTATGAGGTCTAGGTTCCTGTCTCGTTGCAAGAAGTCGATGGCCATCTGCAAACGCTGGACGCGGTGGACGTTGCCTGGTATAAACGACCAACGAAAACAGATCGGATTGGCGTGGTCCAGAACTTAGCTGGTTTGCGTCAACGGAGGATGAAATGGCATGGCGTCGTCTCAATGATCCAGAATGCTACGGGTTTCTCGGTGTGCTAGCCAGCATTTGCCGAGCCAACGCCACGGAACTGTTTTGATATCGGCATCAGGTTCTTTGCTATATATCGACATCGGAGACATTTTCTCGTATCCAGAGCCTGTGTTATAAGGTTCGACACAACGGAAGACATAGTTCCATCAACGAGAGGATGTCGTAACATCGGGGAAGCAGTTATACCTGTTCCGTCTCGGTTCTGGCTATCACTGCAACGGCGGTGCAATAACCCCTCTCAGGCATCGGATCCTCCCGCAGTTACGAACCACGAACAAAATAAAATCGATGATACAGTTCCCGCGGGCCAAGCTAGGTGAGTCCGTGGATTCTTTTGAGGCGCTGAGCAAGCTTCTGCCGCGTACAGTACTGGTGCTGAAGGGACGGAACAGGATAGACGATCTGGAGCCTATCCAGGGAGTTTGGTCGCCAAGTTACGCGACTCCCAAGCACGTCTCAGCAAGCTAGATACACACCTTTGGAATCCGATGTTCATGAACAGAGCGTCAATGGCCGCAAGTCGGAAAGCGCCTTGATGGCCATCGCCATTGGTGGTTGTTTCGTCGCACCGCCCGCGCCCGAAGATGATGCATTCAGTTGACCGGCGGCGAATTGAGGAGTGAATCGGAACGCGTTCGAAGACGACATCCAGAGGCATCGCCGACCCTTTGCGTTCAGTGTGCCAACTTTACTGGCAGGCTGTGACTGCTTCACCTTCTAGCGGGTATAAGAAGGCGGATGGGATCCGTATCTAGAGCGACCGCCAGGTTACTTACAACACTCCTATTCCACTCTTCCACTCTCGACACTTATTTCGATTCGAGCAAGATGGCCAACGCGAGCTACACCGTATACCGCTTGGCTTCTACCGTGGCATACTATTTCTTAGCGCCAGCAGAAGCATTTTGCGGCCCGGACCTTTATGCGATGGGTCCGTCCTCTGGTTAGCACGTTGGTGAAGCTCGGAGCTAACAGTAGGGCATACCTCCAGATCGTCGCATTGATATCCCAGACGAGAACTGGGAGCAGCGGGTCTTCGGATATGGTGGGCGCATGAGCGCGCGCCGAGCCCCGTACTATTGATTGCAACGCCGTTTTTGTGAGTTACAGACTAACAGGGTCAAAGGCGGGAAGACTTACGGTGATATAGTGAAGCACGATTTATCGACTTCGTTTCGACGATTCTGGTTCGCGCTAGCCTTGCGCTTACGAGGGCGCAGTCGGTCCTTACTGCACAGATTGTAACACTCCTTGTATTTATGCTTGTATGGATGCAGCATTCACCCAACTCTCAACTCGTCGCCACGCGGCGTGAATACCGGACAAGCGAAGGTCATTCTCATTGGGGATGTTAGTAGAGTACTAATCATCTCCATGGCCTTGGGAAGAGCAGAATGGCCGCCAGAGGATGTGATGTAACGCGTCTTGCCGTCGCGCTGACCCAATTTTGGAACAAGTTTCACGTCGGTCCACGCACTGCGGATGTAAACGGTTGCACACGATGATTTCTTCCCAGCTTAAATAGAGAACGCGAACATACCTTTGCCTTACACCGTCCTCGCTGCAGTTCAATCACGATGCTATTCTGTAGAGCTGCCCTCAAGGCGAACCATAGCGGAATCCTCCACAATACTGGCACTGCGGTGCGCGCCGCCTCCACTCGAGCCAGGGGGTTACCTGCCATTCTTGAGAAGAAACCACAAGATGTGGTGATTACGTTTGCGAAACGAACTGCAATGGGCCGCGCAAAGAAGGGGCAGCTTAAGGATACCCCTGTTGACGAACTGCTCCTCGCATTGTTCACGGTGCGTCGCATTGTCCCCCCCTGTGGACGTCGAAGCAGGGCTCACCGCGATGTCTACAGGCAACTTTAGAGAAGACGAGAATTGATCCTTCATTGATACAGGATATTTGCGTAGGGACAGTGAGCGGCACCCCGAACAACCACCCATTACTCGCGATATAACGAAATAATCCCAGTGTCATCCTCCGTCACCGCTGTACATATCTCGTGCAGCGGCATTGGCGGCGGGAATCCCCCACTCGGTCCCTATATCAACTGTCAACAGGCTCTGTTCATCAGGTTCGCTAGACACCTTCACTCCATGTCAACCCAGATAGCAACTGTACTGAGGTGAACATAGGTCTGATGGCGATTCGCTCCATTGCACATTCAATTGAAGCAGGCGAGACGTCCTTCGGGGTCGCGGTCGGAGTCGAGAGCATGTCGTTGAATCCACGTCCCACGCCTGAAGTCACAGACCCTGTGGGCAAGAACCCATACGCGCACGATTGCATTCAACCCATGGGATGGACCAGTGAAATGGTCGCTAAGATCTACAACGTGTCGCGAGAGAAGCAAGATCACTACGCCTTCATATCACATACTCGAGCGAGCAAGGTGAGCGCACAAGCTCTTGGCAGGCCAATTACCAAGCATGTGTCTAGGCATCCGAGTCGGGGGTATTTTCCGAGGAGATATTACCTGTCAAAATACGTGGCGCAGTTGTTGCGAAGGATGACACGATTAGACCGAATGTCACTGTGGAATCTTTGGCACAATTGAAGCCAGTGTTCAATTTTGACGACGTTTCTGACGCCAGCACAACTGCTGGAAATGCAAGCGGTGTTGGTGATGGCGCCGCGATATGTCTCCTCATGAGCCGCGAGCGCGCCGAACGCGAAGGTGCTGAAATCGTAGGAAAATGGGTTCGGAGCACCGTTGTCGGTAAATGCTTCCGCGGACACAGTTCTATTGTCTCTGCTAACCTCCTCTCGGCATCAGGGGTGGAACCTCGCGTGATGGGAATATCTCCAATAGCCGCGGTGTCCAAGATTCTTGACGATACGGGATTGCGAAAGGAAGATGTCGATGTGTGGGAGGTGAGATGCGGGTATCTGTACTTCTTGATCGATCTCTCTGAATATTGATCATAGATTAATGAAGCTTTCGCATCTCAATTTGCATACTGTGTTGAGGAGTTAGGTATACCGATTGAGAAAATCAACCCGAAGTAGGTCGCTCTACGTCTTATGACTGCCGTGGACTAAACGTACGTTACTATCAGTGGTGGCTCAATCTCCCTCACACACCCTCTGGGAATGAGTACGTCTTTACTTCCCCGTGGGTGCTCACTAACGCATCCTCTTGCAGCTGGCGTGCGCCAAGTCGTTACAGGTTTGGCTCAGCTGCAGCGAACCAAACAAAAAGTTCTCTGCACGAGCATGTGCGTGGGCAGCGGTATGGGAGCAGCGGGCGTTTTCGTAAATGAGAGGGCTTAGTTGACTGAACGGGACGACGCTCCAGCACTGGACAACGGAGAAGCTCGGATTGTACATTACTCATGATCGTTTGGGCCAGACTGTGTTTCCTCACAACTTCGAGCCGCCAGCCTTCAATGCCGCGTCTACTATTTCAGCCATCGCGATGACCGCCTCTTCCTCGAGCGTGCGTCCGACAACCTGTACGCAAACAGGGGCGTTCTTGAAAGTCTCTGGTTCATCTACAATCGACGCACATCAACATGAGGAAATATCGGAAGAGGGTCGGTCACTTACACAAGTTGTAGTTATGTTCGTCGCTTTCGGATAAGAAATCATGGGGAGGTTTCTTGCCGTCCAAGTCCGCGTTCACCCTAGTGACTGGGATGACCAGCGCAGGATAGTCCAATGCGTTGCACCAGATGGTGTAATTGGCTGTACTGTTGAGCCCATGCGGTGGTGCCGCATACGGTGCTGTCGGCGAGATGATGGCATCCACTGGGCGACCTTGCGACATGCAGTCAGTATATTTACAGGGCAGGATCCCACTATCTGCGGTACCTGTTTTCGTGCTCGCCGCGGTTGCATTCCAATGGTCGAGATACTGCATCCGCATGTCTCGACGTTCTTTATGCACCTGCCACAGTTCATATGCCGATAATCCTCTGTATTCATTGGGACGGAATGTAGCTTCCGCAACAAGGTCCTGGTTCAGCTCCATGGTGGCGATGACCGGTTCGCCTGAAGGAGCTGTGGTGACTGCATAATCTTCTGCAGCAGCCGCATTCCAGATGCTTCTCTGATGTTCAAACAATTAGACTTCGGACCACAGGTGAAGGATGCGACGCACTGTATTTGCGTAGAGCTCCTTGTGCATGATCGGAGTCCACTCAATGACTGGTTCAGTAGTCAGACAGGAGATCATGCCTCCGGGAATGCTCCGTACCATCATGACCCTGCTGGGTGAGTGCCGATTTCACTGTCTCCAGTGCTCTGATCACAGGAGGGTGGGGTACGGTAACACCGTCGTTCCACATGACAGCAAAGCAAAGCGATTTGCCCCTGCCATGTTCAGCCAGTTGATAAGCTTCTTCGTCCCATGCTTTGCGTACAGCAAGAGGATCCTTGAGCCATGGTTTGGCATCGATTACAGCGCGCATAAAAGCTTTGACGCCACTCAAGCTGACGGAAAGCGGCCCCAAAACCGACGGGAGCGAGTCCTGACCCTCTAGCGAGTTGAGGGCCCCCGCGTACGGGATACGATGGTAGGAGGGCCGCAAGCCGTATATTCCGTTGAACGAGCTTGGAATGCGGACAGAGCTGCAAGGCATGGCATTTAGACGATAAGTATACCGAAAAGCCGCCGAATATCGTACCCGCCAATATCGGAGCCGACGCCAAGGGGTGAACCTTTCATGGCGATCAGGGCACCCTCACCTCCAGACGATCCGCCGGGGGTGAGACTACGGTTATGCGGATTGGTCGTCCTCCCGAATATGTTATTGTAGGTCTCAGGCCACTAATGAATCAGATATATAAGACTGTTCGGATGCGTACGGATGTGCTCATACCATGAGTGTCTGAGGAACATTCGTGCGAACGAAGGGCACAGCACCGAGCTCATAGAGAATTTCTACCAAAACAGCGTCATGCTCGGAATACTTCCCGATCCACGTCACATATCCCATTGTCGTCTCCAGCCCTTTGATAGCAAGCTGATCTTTCAGGGAGATCGGCAGGCCATGAAGAGGTCCCAAAACCTTGCCGGTTTCTTTCAAATGTGCATCCAATTTCGCCGCACGAACCAGCGCTTGGTCGACGAAGATTTCCGTCAGGCAGTTCACAACCTGCTGTGCAACAATTGCTCGTTTATAATATGCCGTGGTCACCTGTAAGCAGAGTTCGTCAAGGTATTGATTTCTTTAAGATACGCAGCTCACTTCCACCGACGTCCACTCCGCAGTTGCTAGTTTCTTGAGGAGAACCTCCACGTCGCTCGTATTGGTTATTTCCAGTTCCCGTTGGGTTAAGAGCCCGCACTGTTCAGGGATTGCAGTAACATCGAGCACATCCTCTGGAGGAGGGGTGATGATCCAGTCCTTCGGTATTGAAGTCTGTTGCCTGCGTTTCTTATCGGCGACGAGTTCACGCCAGTCCGTTGTGCTAGGCATGTTGGAGGTTGCTTTCTAACAGGCAGACTCACTGGAGGTGGGTGGGGCTGGGATGGAGGAAGACGTTCACGCTCGCGCACCGATAAGACAACCTTCGCCAAAGTATGTCTCATGATGACTCAGGATGCGCACTATATGCAGAACAAGATTCCCGCGTCCATATGGCGACAATGTCATGCGTTGTCATCGTGTACATATGTGTAGGAGAACCGTAGAGGCTTGTGACAGTAGTCTACCGAAGAGGGCGATGGCATCCGGCCAAGATCACGTCGAAGGGCGTACACATCTGTGGAACAAGTCAGCGATCAGATGCAGTAAATAATCGGAAGGTGAATGCTCAGAAGGTCATTCATGTCATTGAACACGAGCAAGCGATGTGAGTCGCGAACCATGTTCAGATCGACTAAGAGGTGCCAGGTGGGTCGAAAGCTCGACACTCTTCATGGCAGTGAAAACTAGCGTGTGGAACATTTCGCACCTTTACTGATGAATCATTCTTCAATGGACTGAGCTCTGAGGGACGGAGTGGGGGGAACGAGGGTGAACGAGGAAAAATGTCTGCACGAAGAAAATTAGCGCACCTCCAATTATGGTCACGTGAGTCGTTCCATCCCGTAGCAGTAATCTACGGTAGGACTAAGGCCAATCCCCTCATCGTCGGGCTTGCCATCGCCAAGGTGTGTGAAACGTCTTACTTTACATCAGGGAGCAGCTGGGATGCCATGTATCCGAAATATCTACCAATATCTACCTTCGTGCTCGACGGATTTCGATGGATGCAGCGATTTCGAGATGGATGTTACCGGTGCCCGAACTTTGGACGCTAATTGGATTCCCTCATAGTAGTCCGCTCTCCTCAAGATGTCCAGCCAGATCAGCAAAAAGCGCAAGTTCGTGGCGGATGGTGTGTTCCGCGCCGAACTGAACGAATTCTTCACCCGTGAACTGGCCGAGGAGGGATACTCTGGCTGCGATGTCCGGGTCACTCATGCCCGCACTGAGGTGCGTAGCCTGTTCCGGCTTCATTTGCAAATGCGAACGAAACTGACCTTGCCGAACGCGGTCATAGATCATCATTCGCGCCACACACACGCAGGAAGTGCTTGGTGAGAAGGGCCGCCGCATCCGCGAGCTCACAGCGCTCGTTCAAAAGCGATTCAAATTCCCCGAAAATTCTGTCGAACTTTACGCCGAGAAGGTCACTTACCGTGGTCTTTCCGCCATTGCGCAATGCGAGAGCTTGCGCTACAAGCTTCTCGGTGGGCTCGCTGTACGCCGGTACGCCCGATAATTGTTCACCAGCGACCGTTCCTCATCTTTCGAACAGAGCTGCTTACGGTGTTCTTCGTTTCGTCATGGAGTCCGGTGCCAAGGGTTGTGAGGTTGTTATCTCTGGCAAGCTGCGTGCTGCCCGTGCCAAGTCCATGAAGTTTACCGATGGCTTCATGATTCACTCCGGTCAACCTTCGCGCGACTTCGTCGATTACGCTGTGAGGCACGTGTTGCTCAAGCAGGGCGTACTCGGTATCAAGGTCAAGATGTACGTTCATTTCTATGTCATAGTTGTTATATTGTTGACTCACATTTCATATAAGCATGAAGGGATGGGATCCTCAGGGCGAGACCGGTCCGTCCAAGCCTCTTCCCGACTCGGTGCAGATTTTGGAGCCTCCGGTCGACAAGATCATCACCGAGCCCTCGTCAGAGCAGCGAGAACCCCTTCTCCCGACACACGCCGTTCCGGTTGGCGAAAACCCCGAAGTCGCCTACCAGCCACAGTCCGACTACCAGGAGCCCGCCTACCAGGAGCCCCCCGCTACCGGATTCTGATTCTATTCTCGGTGCTTTTGTGTATACATGTAGTGATCGCAATATCAGGTGTATCGTCACTCGTCGGGAGAGGCCAAAAAGCGCGTCGACTTCTGGGACGGATGGTTACCATCATATGTCACATGACTTCTGTGCATGTTTCTTCGGTCGTTATTTTGTGGCACGTCAAGGACGCGTTCCCTGCATTATCATATCCAAGAGCCGATTGTAGCTCTAGTAGGCGCTCGAGGGAAACATCACGCATCTGATGCGATGAAGAAACGCCAGCTATCGCCTTCTACCACTACCGGGAGCAAATCCGAGGACAGACTGAACGGCGTTCAAGCGAAGGTTGTCAAAAGTGAATATATATGCGTGAAGTATCAGTGCCCAGCTGCTCACCCGACATAGCACACCCTTTTTTCTCTAGGACAAGCTCGGCGTCAGTGCAGAAGACTGGGAACAGTCTTACATGGTTATCTAGCCCGGATTGGCCGCATGAACACTGCCTTCATGGAGTCAACCTGCATCCTAAGCCATCCAGTCGGATTGCCGGGTTTGATTTGGACGGCACGCTAATCAGTGGCAACTTTCGTGTCAAAGACAAGAAGGCCTGGAGTTGGTGGAGAAACGTCGTACCTACGAAGTTGAGACAACTACATGAAGGAGGGTTCGTGCCAATATATCGCGTTCCCGAACTCGGAGTGATCCAAGTCATCCGGTACGAATAGCTACGCCATCATAATATTTTCCAACCAGAATATAAACCATCTCGCGGTTTGGAAAGAAAAATTGCAACTAATTGCTGCTGCGGTTTGTTCTATCTGTGCCAAATTCGACCCTGACATGTTGCTGGACTAATGTTTAAGCTTCCAGACGTTCCATTCCGAATATTTGCTGCCACACGCAAGGATGGGCACAGGAAGCCAATGCCGGGAATGTGGCACGAACTCGAGCGCATATACGCACTTGACGGGGTAGTCATCGGTAATCGCGCTTATAGCCGGGTTCTCTGGTCTACTACGCTCACATGTCGTTGACAGACAAAGGTGCTTCGTTCTATGTTGGCGATGCAGCCGGCCGACCTAGTGGACCCAACGGCAAGGATCACGCCAGCTCCGATAGGCAATGGGCGCTTAACGTTGGTGTTCCGTTCTTCACGCCAGAGGTACGGATGTCCCAAGGTCCTTATTCGCAAGATTGATATACTCGTGGTAGGAGTTCTTTCTGGAGCTTCCAGCGTCCCAATACAAAATGGAAGGCTTCCATGTATCCACACTGTCGGCTCGTGAGTTCATCGACATACACATTATTTCATCGTTTCAGACCAACTTCAACGCAGAACCTCTTTACACCCCTACCTCGACACCACTCCTCTTTAGAGCTCCTACAGACCAGGAACCTTATACAACTTCGTCATCTCAGAGCGCGATCACTACGTCCGCTTCTGGCCCGAAAGAGATCATACTTTTTGTCGGACCCCCATGCGCTGGAAAATCCTCTTTCTTTCGCACTCACATTCAGGTGATGAATCACTCGTACGTTCATGTTGAAGGTCGAGCTCTCAAAGCGCGGGCGAGATGTGCACAGAAAGCAGAAGAAGCACTAAAGGATGAAAAGTCATGCGTCCTTGGTCCGTAAATCATTTATATCGTGTGTTCCTATGGAATCGAAACGCTTTGACCGCAGACGATACGCATGCCAGCATGTTCTCCCGAAAATATGCAATCACTCTAGCTCGAAAATTCGAAATACCGATCAGGTGCATTCGCCGCCGCCACGCAGTGCAATATTTCTAACCGACAAATTAGGTGTTTCCTATTCACGGCTTCTTTGGAGCTTGCTTGGCACAACAATCTATACCGCGCCTACCTCCAACCGCGAATAATTAGTGATCAGGCGAGTCTTCTCTACTTCGCGGTGCAACTTGACATGGTGGTGACCTTGATACAGAAACTGTCCCGACCTGCGTTGCCGAAAGAGGAATTTCGTGCCTTCCGGGATCAATACCAAGAACCGACGATCAGTGAGGGTTTTGCGGAGATCAAACGTATCAACTGGGTGTGGAATGGCACAGATGAAGAGCGTAAATGCTGGGAGTTGTGGACTCTCCCGATGAAGTGACAAGTGTTGATGATGACTCTCATGTGTATTCATGGATGTATTGTATTCATGGACCGTTGCGAATTAGAGTACAAAATCGTCTGTGGTTGCGCTATGATACGGTGGGAGAGCTATGGCTGCATTGATATCTAAGGGATTGCCCGCCTGTCTGGGGTCCGTGGTATGAAGGTGCGTAAGGGTCGTGAATAGCGCAATGCATGGCATCAAGCCCAGCGCGCTGAATGGGTTCGACTTTTCCGCGAGCACTTGTTCGATTTGAAGCGTGCTCAGGCTTTCGTCGCGGTGACGTGAAGCTTCGCGAGGGAGCACACCAAGGGGACGGTATAGAACGAGTATGCTACCCAAACCACTGCAATATACTGATGAGCATTCAAAATAACAGGTGGGCTATGATCCCGGCGTACTGATGAATGCATTGCTGGTTGCCGCCATCAAGTCCGGTGCGTCGGAGCCGGCGTTCGAGATCGTCTGGTTAAAGTCATCCACCGCCTTGCCGAACCACATGCGGATGATGAGGAACGCGGACAAGCCGAGCATGAATCCGAAGAGTCCGATCCAGGCGGTCAGGCGTTGGACGATGGGCTTGTCGAGGGTGGCGGAGAGCCTTCCAAGCTTGGCGCGGAAGGAGATCATGGTAAACAGGAGGAAGAACATGGCCGAAAAACAGAGCGAAACGGCAATAAAGGCCGGTGTGGCGGTGGTGGGTGCCGTGAGCAAACTGGGCGCGTCCCCAGGAAGCACTGAGAGGTCTGCGAGCGAAAATTCAGCAGCAGAAAGAGCAACTAAATATCTTCGAAACGCATACCATATATTGGTGAGACGGAGGGTGTAGTGCAGCTAATCGATGCTGCATTATCCGACCGGGCACAAGAACCTATAGAGAGGGTAAGGTTTCGGTCTGGTTCAAAGGAATGCCAGAATAATTACCGAGAACGCCCATGAACACGCTAGGCCCGTCCACGTCGGAATGTGATTCTGGGTTCGTGATGGCCAGCGAAGGTCGGACCGTGAGCAATGCAACGCGGTCGTGGAGTATCACGGCAGGTGCGAGAAACGCGAAGAGGGAAAGCAGCATTCCCGTCAATGAAAGGACAGGGGCGAGGTAAACGGCGACTGCTTTGGAAAGTCCTGCGATCATGTTTGGGGCGTTGGTACGCAGGCGACTAGCGCGGAAGCAAGTGACGAGGTTGGATGTGCAATGCAGGTCGCACTAGACTCAAATGAACTGAGGTAGGACGTGGTAGCAAGACCCGCAACACCAGTGTGCAAGTATGATAAGATAGAGAACGCCCGGAAAACGGAGAATGAATGAGAGGATCTTGAGCAAGTAAATGACAGCAGCCCCGGGGATGGAGTAGGTTGTCCGCGCGGCAGAGGGTTATATACCGGCCTCAGCATGTTCGAACAAAAGCAATTTAGACAAGGTCGTTGCCCGGAAGCCATGCGATTGAGTAATACGAGCGAAGCGCTCCATTCCGTGCACATGAGTTGGACAACAAACGTTGCGAGGCGCGCCGCAAGCCTATTGTCCGAATTGGGAAAAACAAAGGTTTGACTCATTGTACGTTGTTTGTACGAAGAGAACACAGGTTTTCCGTTCCTTGGTGCAGATCATAAATGGTCCAGGCCCCAGAGCCCAGGCGCTGCGAGGCATGCTAATCGCGGCGACCACAGCCAGTTGAAGAATTGCGCCCAGTGGGTGTGCCACACCCATCGACGTAACGTTTCGGGGCTATGTTTATTTGCACCCTTAATCCCTTATACAAAGCATCGAAGCCTCGGGTGATTACCCCACATGTAAAGATAATCCATCCATAACGAATCCGCGTACATCACAAGAACCGGCCACATTGGAATGCAAGGAACCAGCCAAGGTAAATAAGACTACTTGATGCGCTTGAGCTGTAGGTAGGAACATGTCAGCGGTACTCACGATTGGTTATGATGAAGCACGTACCCTCTCAGTGTTCCGGTAGACACGGTTATCGAGCGATGTCGTCTTCTCCTCGATGCGGCCGATACGACCGATTTGGTTGTCGACTTCCTGACCCATAGCCAGGCCAAGCGCCTTGAGGCGTTTCGCCGCCTCACCAATCTCATCGAGATTGTCGTCCAGCTCATCCTCCATCTCGTCATCCGAGGCAGTGGCTTCAAACTGGTAACGAGCCCGTTGCTGTTTCCGCTGTGCCTGTTGCTCCTCGGTCCTCATGCGGCTACGAAGACCTCCCCCGCCTATAGCTTCCTCGTCCTCGTCACCGCGGCCGTACGTCGCAGCACGGCCGAGTCTGTTCTGAGTTTCGCGAATGTCAAGCATTGCTCTCTCGCGCTCCTCACGATCTTCATCGTATCGCTGCTGAAGCTTAGCTTCTTGGGCGGCGCGCTTGGCGTCCTTATTAAACGTGATAGCAGGACGGAAGATCGATCGGTTCAACTTCTTCAACTCATCCGTCTTATCTTCAGCGCGAAGTTGGTGACCCTTCGAGACATCAAGGTGGCGCTCCGTGTTAGCAAGTTTCTCTGAGGATAAACATAAATGAGAGGATTACACGAGGCCCAGTATAGCCATACCAGATTGATCGCCAAGCTTGAGCATCGTATTACGAGCCGTCTCCTCAGCCTCACGGGCAAGACGTAAAGCATTACGTGTGGAGTTCACGCTCTCTTGCTTGGTATAGCGAATATTCTGCTTGATGCCCTCAACGTCCTCGTCTTGTTCTTCGCCCGGTGCGACATCCCTCATCGCGCGAGGGCCCGGAGCGTCATTGAAGAAGCGACCAGAACCGGCTTTCTCAGCGTTATAACCGGAGAACAACTCCGATCGGGCGGCATCAACATTGCCACCGCGGGCGTACGGATCGCCAACACCGTTACTACGGCTGTAGCTCCGTTGCGTCTGAGGAGGAAACATGTCGGACGGAGGGTCATTGTACCCGGAGGACCCAGACCTGCTGGGTCCGTTGTAAGGGTCGCCATCGCGGCTGGCGTTGTAGGTGCTCGCGGTGGAGCGGTACGAAGGCGGCGGTCGGGGGGAACTGCTGTTGATCGCGCGGTTACCGGGACCAGGGCTGCGAGATGGCTGCGGCGGGGGCTCAACGGGAGGAATCAAGGTCTGCTCCTTGTTGCGCCTGAAGAACGACATGCTGGTGTTCGAGGAAGAGATATGATGTACAGCATCCGCTGGGCGCCTCTTATACGTAGTGACGCTCACGTGCCTTCCGATCAGCCTGAGCGGTGCCAAAATTCTGGGCTGCTTCAGCGATTCTGCTTTCACTCTGAGCAACACCGCCGCGCACCGCCATGGCTGCCGTCGCCGAAAACCTTCAGATACCGGAAGAGCTTGACAAACTCTCGCAGCTCATCGAAACTTCACCAGAGGTGCTTGCTACAGGGAGCAAGGATCTTCAAATCGCTGCACTAAACGCAACCAAATATGTGTTCGACCTCGGTATGTAATGCCCTCCGTTATATGCTATACCAAACTCAACTTCAATCAGCGTTGAAGTCGGAGGCGGCGTCGCGCAAGCACATCGCAGAGCTGCTTACATCCATTAGTCCGGCGCAAGCTCCCAAAACCCGTTCACAGACGAAAGCGATTGCCGACGGTCTTGCCAATGGAGCGGCACCCGCTCTACCTTCATTGAAGCTGGAACCAACCCCCTTGACATCCCTGTTCGTCGATGGCATGCATGATGGACAGATATGGGCACAACTTGACCTACGGGCGAAGAACGTTTGCGCAACGTTGGAGCATGCATTGGAGGATACCGTCAAGGACTTCGACGACGAGAGCTCTGGCCCGGAGGACGATGAAGACGACGACGACGACGACGACGAAGGTATGGAGGGGCTAGAGGGAATGGGTGGCTTTGGGTTTAACGAAGAGGATGAGGAGGAAGAGGACGAGAGTGAAGAAGAGGACTCGATGAAGGATGTAGGAGAGGATGCCGAAGAACAAGTCACTGGACTGCGTGACCCCTCGGACGACAGCGACGATGAGGATGCTATGGATCTCGATCGACCCTCTCGCAAAGGGACGCTTTGGGATAAAATTGCGCCCAAGTTGTCGGCACCAAAATGGAAATCAGGTGGACATCCCGAGCTGGACGATGGTTTCTTCAGCCTTGCGGAGTTCAATGCCGAGACGGAGGAAACAGAAGCGAAGAAGGTCACAAAAGGCGGGTTATCCAAGTCCACCGGGGACGACGAGACAGATTCGGACGAGGATTTGGATGAGGACATTGACTTATTCGCACCCGTGGATGACGCAGAGGGGTTGGACCCCGAGATCGAGGAAGAGGTCGAGGGTGAGTACTTTCGATGACGCTTTGCTGCTGTTTTCCTTACTAATGGTTCTCTACAGAGCCTTACTATAGGGACTTTTTCGAGCCACCCCCCCGAGAACCAAAAAAATCCAAGCCTAATGTCGGGTCGCCTCCGAAAGCTAGCAGAGTACGCTTTCACGACGAGGTTCGTGTGAAGAGCATCAAAGCGAGGGGTAAAGGATTGTCGGTTTCGGCGATGAATATGACGGGCGATGATGAGGATGATGATGAGGACTATGCGGAGGACGGTGATAAGCTCATGGAGGACGATATGGGGGGCGACGGGTCCGGCGATGAATCGGATGGTTCCAACGAAGACGAAGCAGAAGCAGAGGGTGATAGCGACACGGAAGTAGCGACCAATGATGAAGACGAAGACGTTCGAGGCCGAGATGCGATCGAGAGACTGAAGGATGACCTTTTTGCGGAAGAGGACGAGGACGAGACCAAAGGTGTGTTTATGTACGCAATGCACGCAACTTACGTTGGCACCGAGCACTTTCCACTGGGACAGACCTCAGCACTCATGAGAAGCGCATGGAAGCTCTTCGGGCACAGATAGCGGAACTGGAGGCCGAAAACGTGGGCAAAAAGGACTGGGTGCTCATGGGTGAAGCAACCGCGCGATCGCGACCACAGAACTCGCTATTGGAGGAAGATCTGGACTTTGAGCGTGTCATGAAGGCTGTCCCAGTCGTCACAGAAAGCTCTGTTCAGGCACTTGAGGATCGCATCAAGGCACGCATCCTCGATAACAATTTCGACGATGTTGTCCGCCGGCGACCGGTCGAAGACAAGCCGTTCTTGCCCTCCAGGCTTATTGAACTCCAGGACAAGAAAAGCAAACAGAGCTTAGCGGAGATCTACGAAGAAGAATATGTAACTGCCGCTTCCGGGGTTGCAGCAGGTGACGACCGGGATGGCAAGCTCAAGAAGGAGCACGAAGAGATTGAGAAAATGTGGGATGGGATATGCTACAAGCTTGACGCGTTGTGTAACGCGCACTTCACTCCTAAGCTAGTGCGTCCAGTTCGTGTCCTACGTTTCTCCTCGCTGACTCGTTTGCAGCCCAAGGCGACAATTGAAACCGTATCAAATGTCGCTGCGGCAACCTTGGAGTCTGCGTTACCTACCACGAAAGCGACCACCACGATGCTTGCTCCCGAGGAGGTGTTCGCGCCGTCTTCATCAGATGTCAGAGCACGCAGTGAACTGACACCTGCCGAAAAACGCTCTTTGCACAACAAGCAAAAGAAGGCGAAGAAGCAGGCCCGCGACGCTCTCGAAAGACGCGTTGGGAAAGTCGCGCAGATGAATACAGGTTCAAAACACCCCTCGTCGGTGAAGAAGCAGAAGGAGGAGGCGTTGAAAAGTGTGGTTAAGAGCGGGAAAGGCGTCACGGTTATCGGAAAGAAAAGCAAACAAACGGAAGGCAAAAAGCGCAAGGAGACTTAGCGCAAGGGCGTAGCCATGGATATCCCGGTTACCCATTCGTATCTCCATGTTCGGTTGTCTTCGCGCTTCCGTTACGACATTGACCGGGACCACGCGTGCATGGAAATCCCTCGTTCCAGGTTCTGCCAATCTGCTCTTGGTCGTGTCTTGTCTCCTATGTTGCTGGTCTCTCTATCGGTTGACGCACGTATGTACTTTGAGTAAAGTATGCATGACTACACGACACGTGGTATCGGCTGACCCAGGGCGACTGCATAGCATCGTTCCTAGCATCTTGTTGATCTGATCCGCGTCCCTGCAGCCACATGGGATCTCCGTCGAACCGTTGCTGTCTCTCGCTGTCGATGCCCAGCCCGAAGCACCTTCGTGATGGAATGCTATGTTCTGCGATGCGGGTCGTCTTCCGTGGCGGCTTCGCATTCTTGTTGCACATCGCCTGCGACGCACCTGATTCGCACCGTCGATAACCATGATATAACCCGGTCCAAGGGTCGTCCAAGGGTCTCTTCGTTCCGATAGTCCGTCTTTCTTTTCCAGCAGGGCTGTGATACGTCTTTTTTCTGTCGGTTCTCGGTTCACGATCCAGGGTTTGAAGATGTTTGCGCTATGGTGTTCGCTCCTTCTCTGTCTCTCTGCCGGTGTGCATGCGAGGCCCGCAGCCTGGCCAACACCACTGGACAGATTGCCCCTCTTCTCTCGAGATGGCACGACGGCCCTCAGCGCTGCGGAACTCAGCTCCTTTGCGCCTTTCACCCAGTTTGCTAGGGCTGCGTATTGTCCCACTGACAAGATTATGAGCTGGCAATGTGGAGGTATGGTTTAGCCACGGATCCGCTCGAGTTTGCGCTGATAGCTTACTTCAGAGGCTTGCGATGCTAATCCGGGGTTCAATGCCACTCTCACAGGCGGTGACGGCAATGGAGTGCAATTCTGTGAGTGTGCATGTTCTGGACAGAAATATGTCGGACTAACATTTGACCAGTCTTCGTGGGGTTCTGGCCGGAAGTGCGCAGAGCTTACACGCGCTTCTTCATCACGTCTCAATGTTTTATAGGGCAAATCTGTAGTGGTGGCACATCAAGGAACGGATCCTACCAAATTGTACGTTTTCGAACGATTAGCGCGAGAGAATGTCGGGCTAATGCCACCGTGTTCGCGATGCAGCTTGTCACTCCTTACAGATATCGAGTTCGCACCTGTCCAGTTGGATCCAACAGTATTCCCGGGCATACCTAGTAAGCAGCGGCCTCGCTCCACTCTGAAATGACTATACTTACTATCACGTAGATGATACTGACGTCCGTGTCCATGACGGATTCCGTAGGTTGTTGAGCTTGATTCGACTTTCGCCATTGCTAACGACGGTATCAGGCAATGCCCACTACGACACAGCCAACCAGATCCTCACGGAGACGAAACGTCTCCTGGATGTGAACCAAGCCAAGTCGGTCATTCTCGTACGTGTGCGACGTTCATCGACACTGGACAATGGCTGATATCGCCTTCAAGATCGGCCATTCTCTCGGAGGAGCGATTGCGGAACTCGATTCGCTCATGATGCGACAGAACCTACCGTCCGATGTTGCGGTTAAAGGTGTCACCTACGGCACACCCCGAGTTGGTAACCCGGAGTTCGCCGCCTATTTCGACAGCATGGTCACGGACTTCACTCGAGTTAATAACGATAAGGACCCTATTCCGATTGTTCCCGGTCGTTTCCTCGGCTTTTCGCATCCATCTGGGGAGGTTCATCTTACCAGTCCGGGTAACGCCGTGTCTTGCCCCGGTATGTGATTAATCCTCCCTGCAAGGACATTTACTCATGTACTTTTGACTGGAATCGCAGGAGCGGACGACGGTTCAGATACGGAGTGCTCAGACTCTGTCGTGCCGAACATCTTTGAGAGTAATATCCTGGACCACTTGGGACCGTACGAAGGCATACATATAGGGTCTATATTCTGTAATTAGCTTATTTCTACCTCGGAAGGGCACCGGAACCCGTAATGTCGATCAAACCTTGCTTGTGATACCCTGCTGTCCCGTGGCTGTGTATTATCCTTGTTGCAACTTTTGAGCGGTCTTTCGTCTGGATCGCTATTGAAGGCTTCCGACTTGTGATTGTAGTCCTTACCAGTGAAGACAGTGGCGACTGCTGTGCTGGGAAGATTGCATGGCCGAGACCGGCGCTGGTGACGATGGTGATATGCAAATATGGTCAGTATATCCGTCGAAAGCGGCTGGCGACCTACCGCGCTGATTCTGACTTACCAGGGACGATCTTTTGAAGAAACAGACAGGTGAAGCCTGTGCATCATGTCGGCATCTTCCTTGCGTAATGCCCTCGTTATCCAGAAATATACCGCAGGACCAGCGAGCAAAATGCTCAGCTGAGGAACAAAGTATCAGACCTCGAGCGGGAGTTGAATGTGTGGAAAGCCGCGCTGAAGGCAGCGGATGAACGGGAAGCAGGACTTCAGAAGAGCGTGAAACAGCTGGAAGGCAGCATCGGCGCTTTGACGGTGAGTCGATCTGCCGAGTTGGGTTCTATGTGTATACCATGTTTATTGTAGCTCTCAGGAGGATAACCCTATCGTTGCCTGCTTTATAGATGGAGATGGCAACCTTTTCAAGGAAGATTTGTTAAGACAAGGTCACGTAGGTGGCCGTCAGGCAGCGCTCCTCCTAACCACGGTACACCATATCACTGTTTCCGCTGACCATCGCTGTTCTGAAGTTCTGCCATATAGGGTCTGACGGAATATGCTGCGAACATAGACCCAGGGCTTGCGCGTCGGGCACAAGGTATGACCTGCGCTTACCTCGTTGCTTTTGATCTTTCACGGATGTATTCTTAAGTTTGGTTGACGGTGTACTTCAATAAATCTGGTTTGCTGGATGTCATGCAAAATCAGAAGATCTGCACGATGGAACAGTTCGAGGCATTTCTGCTTGGATTCAACCAAGCCAGCCCCCTGTTCTCCATTGTCGATGTTGGCGGAGGAAAAGAGGCTGCAGACGTTAAAGTGAAAGGCAGGGAAGCATGTATTGCTTGCGCTACGATTGACCCACCGTGAATCATAGAATCTCTGCGCGTATTCTCTCGTTTTCCTCAAATATGGAAGATATTCTTTGGCGGTGCGGTATACCGCTGTGGTACTCATTCGGCGTACTCTCATGGCATTTTACGCAGGCTGTCATGATAACGGCTATAACACCACCTTGACGCGCCTGGAAAATGAAGGCTATCTGCACAAGATCGTGCTCCTTCCTGGATATAATATTCTGGCTTCCGAGTTGAAGCGACTTGCTTTACCATCATTAGAGATCGAGGTCTTCATGACGCGAAAGATCGTTCCCAAGAAAATCTCCCCTACAATCCTACCACAAGACATAGATAAAGTCAAATCCTCCTCATCTGGACAGGCGATCAATCGGAGCCTTAGTCCGGTGAAAGCTAACAACCAGAAAGTCCTTGATCCGTCTGCTGTGAGTGTGTTTGCGGCTTTGGCTCACCTTGATCTCACCCGCTCGTAGGATGTCAGCAAACGTATGTTCACTCTCATGATCAGACAAGCACTTGTCAAGCTCACATAGCCATTAGTCAAACCTCCACCGTGCAATTACTTCTATCTTTCCGAATGCAAGAGCGGACCAAAGTGCAAGTATGCTCACGACTATGTCATGACGCCCAAACAAGTATCCGATATCAGAAACAACGCCGCCAAAACACCGTGTCCTAAAGCAAACAGAAGTGAGTGTCATGTTACATCAGTAAGGGGCCGCTTGTGTTTTCTTAAACTCTTCTGCAGATCAGAAGTGCACGGGGTTTTGTATATTTGGTCATACGTGCCCTAAAGGGCCTCAGTGTTATTTCTTTAAACAGGGTAAATGCAAATTCGCCGGAGGTGAGTCGTACGTGAATACTTCGGCGCATAGCATTGACCAGCCGTAGCCAACATGCACGAATCACCGGACACGCCTGCCCCGATGTCACGACCTACCTCGACAGGATCAAGTGTTGCATCAGTTAACTCCTTGGGCTACCTATATCCGACCGTCCCCACCCCGAGATCGCCCATGGTTTCGCAGACGCAGTTCTTGGCGTATCAGAATCAACTGGCGATGATGGCCAACTTCTCGGCCGAATTCCCGGCTTCTGGGAGTGGATATGGGCAAGGGTGACTTGGGAGTGTTTTTAAAGTCACTCTTACATGGGTAGTTACATTTTATAGCAGGAATCAGTAATGTGCTCGCGTTCGCCGTGTTTCGGTGATAAGTTACGCCACACCAGGAAGGTGAACGTGACAACGCGTGACTGAACGCGTTTGTCGCTGCTCTTCCTGCCACTGCAGCATCATCCTCCCCACTGCTACAGGACTGAGGCTCAGTCATGCGTGATCACCGTACGATGCCGGTCTCGGAATTAGAGAAACAGCGCGAGATAAATATCGCCCGCAACAAAGCTCGTTTACTGGAGTTGAACCTGGAGGAGGCCGCCTTCTTCAGCCCGGGCAAGACCGTCAAGAAGAAACCTTCACCTAGGAAACGCAAGGAGCCTTCACCGGACGCGGATTATGAGGAAGAGGAATCTACCAAAGTTTCTCGCCGGGACGACATGGACACGCCTGCGGATGGTCGTCGCCGCAGTGCGCGTAACGCTGGGAAGAAGGTAGACTACAAGGCAGAACAAGCTCAGTCACTGCGGGATCCAGATGCCCTCATCGTGTCGCGCAAGTCAAGAAACGGACCTCAAGGACGTCCTGCTGGTAGCAAGAGGATCCACTCTTAGTATGTTCTCTGTCGTTGTACCCACTGGGGCGTCGTTATAATAGCCACCCTGCTCTTTTTCAGTAAAGTCTACGGATCCATTCCTGGTATTGAAGTTGGCACTTGGTGGGAGACTCGGTTCGTTTGAATGTTGACGAAGATCACACCGATGACTGATATTTGTCTCGCAGCGAAGCCTGCAGTAACGATTCTATTCACGCGCCATGGGTCGCTGGTATTTGCCCTGGTCCCGAAGGGGCCTATTCTGTAGCATTATCAGGCGGATACGAAGATGACGTAGACATGGGTTATGGCTTGTGAGTTGTCCTGGTTGTGCTGTTCTGCATAATCTTTCTCAAACGCCCAATGTCAGCACGTACACAGGCTCCGGCGGTCGAGATCTCAAAGGGACCAAGGCGAAACCCAAGAATGTACGAGTATCTGGGCCCGTTCTCCTATCGTTGACTTATGTTGGCTAGCTTCGTACTGCTCCCCAAAGCACCGACCAAAGTTTCGAAGAGAACAACTTCAATAGAGCACTGAAGGCGGGTTTTCCTGTATCGAAGTGCAGTTCGCGTGTAACAGTGTTTTCAGAGATCAGCAGAAACGGGAAAACCCGTGCGTGTCATCCGAGGCTACAAGTTACCATCCAAATACGGACCGGAGCAGGGGTACGTTTCACTAAACGACGCTTGATGCCGCTCTGAATATGGCATGTATAGGTATCGTTACGATGGTCTCTATAAAGTTGAGAAGGTGCGAGTATTCTATGCTCGAGATGCTCAAGACAGAAATTGAATCTTACCGTTACTTTCGCTAGGCTTGGTTGGAAGAGGGGCTTAACCCCAAACGCCTGAAGGTGTGCAAATTCGCATTCAAGGTACGTGACCGAGTATCTCAGGTATGTTCGCACTGGCTGACTTCGTGCGGCCTCTCGGCACAGCGTCTGCCAAATCAACCCCCCGTTCCGGTCAAGGGTGAAGATGTCGAGATCAAGCACGACGAAGAATTGAAGGCTGAAGAATCGTCCGAAATGCAGGACAACGAGCACAAGCAGTGTGAAGATGAACTGGAACACAAGACCATTGAGCAGTCCGACTCGGTGGACATTGTGGACGACGAGAACACGGATCAAGTCGATGATTCAATTTCAAAATGAGAACATCACCGTCCCCATGCTGGTGGGCGTTTTGCCGTTACTGCAGAATCCATACCCCCAAGCTGTGAATGCTCCCACTTGACCCCAAACATTGCTGGATTTGCCCTACCATATCTTGCGCATTTATAATGTACGCATTGTCTTGGATGTTCATGTAGCTATAGTCTTGTCTTGTCGTTGCTTCCCCCATGTTTCTCAGAGAAACCTGATGTCGTCGTCAACCACACGGCAACATATTTTCCGGCGAAATAGCCTTGGGGTCTCGCCCAGGCACGGCCCTACTTTCCGTCAGGACATCACCTCCAGCCAACTAAACGCGACGTCCAACCGGACATGTTCCCAGCTCGCTGACCTCTCGCCGTTTTCCTCTTCCCTTGTCGTTCCAGACGTCAAACTAACAGGGCGTAGCCCGCAAGTCCAAACTCATGCGTTCCTTTACCAACCTGTCTTTACTTGTGACCTCGGTTCTTTCTGGTGTCATCGTTGCATTCGTGCCCGGCGTCAGCGCGATCTCTGCTCACGGCGTCTCGCCTGAGCATATCCATCGCCGCCATGCGGGATCGGCGCGTCTGAACGAAGTGATTCGTGGGGACAACGCAGACTGGGCCCCCAACAGACGCGACAGCAACGCGCGGTTTACCCTCTATGAAGCCGGTTTGGGTGCCTGTGGGGGTTACAACACGGATAGCGATTTTGTCAGTCCTCGCAGCGATGTACGAACTCCGTACCATACGCTAACATCACATCGCCTCAACAGATCGTGGCTATAAACACTCCGGTGCGTTCTGGCCTATCCTTGCCCTGTCATACAGCCTACTGACGGAACCGCTGTCAGCAATGGGATGGCGGATCGCACTGCGGCGCGACTATCACAATCTCGTACGGAGGCAAGACCGCCAAAGCCCAAATAGTCGACCGTGTAAGCGCAGTGCCATCCCTTGTACTCCAGCACTGATGTGCTGCCTCCGAACACAGTGCGAGAAATGCCCATATAACGCCCTCGATTTAACTCCGTCCCTCTTCTCATACTTTGCAGACATCGGTCAAGGTGTGTTTTACGGCGACTGGTGGTACGGAGACAGCACGCAATCGACGACGACCCACAAGCCATCGACCACGTCCCAACCACCTCCTCCGCCCTCCACAACCAAGACGACCACCTCGAAATCGATACCCTCCACTACTTCCACATCCACCAGCTCGAGCACCATCACCACTCATAAGACTACCTCGTCCACGTCGACTACGACGTCAAGCTGGAGCACCAGTATCGTCACCTCCATCTCGGCGATCACGTCTTCCGTCGCAAGCACAACTTCCCTCGCCTCCGCTACAGCTCTGCCTTCACCCGACAGCTCTTCTTTCATGGAGCAGTTGGATTATCTCATGGTCCAACTGGGTGGTCTGGCGCTCGCGGGTTTGACCGCGGCGGACGAGACAATCACCAATACTCAGATCACCGGAGCTTGATATCTGAACGCGCTGCGTACATGAATACCCATTTGTCATCAGCCGGGCGCCATCAGTAATTCTGTCGTTATCTAGTGTTGAATCTTTGGTTTGCGTTAGCGTCGCTGGTGTTGTCTTGCAAGCAATGCTATGGTTCCACATGCGTGGGATGGAAGCTAGTAGTGATTAGGTCCAAAATAAAGTAAGTATCAATGTGATGGTAAATAAGCCGGGGAAGGAACGGATACAAATGCAAGGCAGTGTCCGTGTCGTGAGATGTCCATGTCGTGTCCAATGCAATACCACACCCTAGCCCACCGAAACCATCTACGCAAGCACCGCCAGTGCTGCACCCACGCTCACTCCGGCCATCACCAATGCACTCATCCTCAATGAGTCCGCAGCGGCGATGTAGGAATCCGGTGGGCCGTATATACCGCCGGCGGCGGTGGCGCCGGGCACGGGGGCACCGTTCGGACCGTTGCCGCCTCCGTTCACGTCGGTCGCGGCGGTGGGCAACGTGGTCGGCGTCGTGGTTGTCGAGCTCGCCGATCCGCTAGCGTTGCTGGTGATGGTGCCGTTGCCGGACGCGCTGGAGGCCTGGGTGGGAGTGACAGTGAAGACGGTGGTGAGGACGGAGGTGGTTGTTTGTCGGCCGTTGCCAAGGCCAATGCTGGTCGAGAGAGACGTCGAGAGCTGGACGGATTGAGTTTGATTTTGGGATGAGGCTTGGCTGCTGGTCTGCGCCTGCGGTTGCGATTGCTGTTGGGACGAAGAGGACTGGTATGATGCCGGTATTAGAGCGGAATTTCGGGAGCAGCCTTGGTGGCGCATACCTGAGCAACCGCAAGGCAGGGAAGAACGACGAGCGCGCCGAGTGCAATGAGCCGCATTTTGGGCGTCGTCGATGCAAGAGGATGACAGGCTAACGTGGAGAACACGCGTGTACGCCGAGGTGGTCGTCGACCGAGTGAGAGTCAGCGAGCGAGAGAAAGCCGGGGAAGGGTGAGAGTGAACCCGTTTCGCGGCCTCCCTCCTTGTGTCCGACCGCACTTGAAAAGGTCGATAATCATGCGTCCATCACCTTCCGCCGCACATGATGGCCCCTGTCCCCATACTTCCCCACACCGTCGCCCTCGTCCTCCAGTACATCGCCCCGCCCTCCCAGCTCGACCAGCCCCTGCCCAAGCACCTCATCTCACGTCTCTTGCTCAACCGACATGAGTTTCTCGGCATATACCCGACTAATCCACCGGAGTATCTATGTTGGTCCGCCGACGGCAGAGACGCCGCCATCGACGCTCTCGAACACATCCAGAAGCCAGAGGTAGACGCCGCTCCGCCCGACTACCCCGTGCAATACGAGATCGACGAGGAGAACGTGTCGGCGTATGTGCGGATGCCGGGCTCCGATCTCAGGTTGACCTTCGTGTGGGACGACGAAGATGGATGGACGTTCCACGACATACGATTGGCCGGGTTCCCTCCAAGGAGTACGCCCTCGCTCCAGGAAGCGCTGTCCAGGGCTGCAGAACCCGAACCCGTTGTATCCTCGCAGACGTCTTATAGCTTTTTGTCGGCACAGCATCGCCGCTCTTCAGGCCCGGCGAACCATTCAAGCGGCACCGATCATGAGGACGATGGATCGTATTGGGACGCATACGGCGCGCAGAGCGATGACGAGAACGGCACGCGATCACGCGGAGGACGTAGTACCAAGTCCGGAGCAGACGGGACCGAAGACGCGTACTGGGCTTCATATTCCTCTATCCATGGTGAATACTTACATCCCCTTGAGGCGGCAGACATTTATCGTGTGTAACAGGGACCGCCGATTCAACCATACCCTCGCCGCTGCCGGCACATCGCCGCCAACAGGTTTACGGGGCTCATGCACATGGATACGACCCATCCTCAGATCCCTATACCCAAGATGTCCAGGCTGCGAATGGGCCTGGCCGAGTCGCAATACCCCGATCCGCATTTCCCGGCAAAGGATATGTCGAAGGCGAACCGCCGTCGCCGCATACACTCTCCAACCTGCTCTCCTCAATCCCGGACGACCTCGTTGGTTCCAGGCGAGCCGTCCCCGTCTGGACGCCGTCTCCTCAGTCTCGCTCCAGCGAGGCTCCCAAGACGCCCTCAGATCCCGTAGGTGCCAGCGTTGCATCGGAATCCATCTCTTCTGGCGCATCCACTCCACCGACCAACCCGCCGATGGCGGAAGCGGGTGGCGTTTCTCTTGCCTATGACAGAGCAGACGGAGACTTCGACTTCAACGCCGGCTCCGTGGACATCGTTTCTGCTCGAGTGAGCGGGGTGAAGGAGAGTGAGGCGGATGTTGCGCTCAAGCACAGCATCGCGGGGTTGTACAGACTCTGGAAGGGAGGTCGTTCGCCAGGCGCTGGTCTTTACGAAGACGACAGCGCAGTGTTCCTCAGGTTAGTTCGGGAAGCTGTTACGGACTGAGATTGAAGAAAGGTGATTGAAAGATCTTGTATAACACATTGTACACTATGCATAGGCACGGTTTTTGCGAAACAGACTATGTTTCACAAGGTTAACGCCAACTTTGCGAGCTTCAGCGCGCCCTCCTGCGTTTGTGCGCCGCCGATGAAACCGCTTGCATGTACGAAAATGCACCCCTCGACTCCGCTGGCCTTGCTCAGTTCCTCGTCCCGCAGACCCCGCCACGCCTGTGGTAGTGCCTTCCGGCTCTCAAACGAGTCTGGGCTCACCGGCACCGCCTGCACGCGCCATTTGCCGCTCTCGTCCGGGTAGATCACGTAGATGGGCTGTGCGTCAGGAGCCACGGATTGCTCCTCCTCGAGCTCGAAGAGGTGTTCTTTCCAGGGGAGGAAGGACTCGAAAATTATGAGGTTGCCCGAGGGGTCCGTGGAGGTGCGCGCGGCGAGGGCGGCAGCAACGAGGGATCGAGCAGGGAGCCATGCGTTCGCGTAATAGTCCAGTCGCGATAGGAATTCTTGTCCGGTGAGGGATGACGCTCGCTCGAAACGCGTCTGAAGACCAAGGGGGGTCAGTGTCGGAGTGCATTGTAATTGATCAGACACGTACGTCGTAACTTTGACTATCCGATGCTTCGTTCCAGGCGGGGTTCAGCCAGCCCACGCGACTTGAGAGGTCGGTCCGGACGCGGTATTTGGGTTTCAGCTCCGCCGGATATTGGCTGACGCCATTGTCGATTCCATCGACGGCCTCGATGAATTCCTGAGAGGATTAAATGAGATTGAGACGCTATCAAGAGCTCAATGTTGATCGCACCTTGTAAACCTTGAGCCAGAGGGTTTCTACTCGGGGGTCGTCCTGGGGGGATTGAAGGCGGTCTGCGATGATCTCCTTGCCGAAATGTCTGGTGGAGGGGTCATTGGAAGTCATGAGGAAGCTGGGAGACGATGATTGACATACTTGTACACCAATCCCGCTGAAGACAGTTTTGTCTCGAAGCCGTGGCCGAACACTTCGGTAAAGCCCCGCTGGTGGTGGTCATATCTTCGCTTGGAATCGTCGTATACTCCGCCGACGTCAACGACGATGTCGCATGCGTTCAGAATTGCGGGATCACGGCTTCTCTTCACGTCTGCAGTACATATGTTCACCTGCAAGCAGCAACACGAGCGAAGGAGACGCACCAGAGTTGCGAAAGTCATTTGTCTGCCTGAGCATAAAGACAGCGAGTGCTTCGTCGCAGTGAAAAGTCCCGTTGTGAGTGCCGATGATCTGTTCGAACGTCAGGATACGGAATGAGCTCTCCTGTCCTCGCCATCAATGCGGACCTTGGACGACTTGCCCTCGTCCAGCCTCATCTTCTTCGAAAGCGGCTCGGGAACCAGCTCCTGGATGACTGGAAAGACGGAGGACATGCTTCGGAGCTGGTGACTGTAATGGAATACGAAGACGCCGCGTCGGATGAGAGGCGAAGAGCGAGCGAGAAATCCTGAGAGCATGCGCTGATCTCTGGTGATCGTGGATTCGTGACCGCGTCCCGGCGACGGCCACTATTTCACGGCCCGGTTTGGATGGGTGTCATTCGATATAACTACTGACGATAACCGGCCTCTCCACACATCTACCATGCCCTCCAAGACGCCTCGTGTTATCCTCACCGCGAGTACACATCATCTCAGGTCTTTTTGTAACCGGTCATCTAACAACTACTACTCGTAGAATGACGATGGTCCACCCGGGCCGCATTCACCATATGTTTTCGGGCTGTATCGACATCTGGTGCAGGATCTTGGTATACGCATATGTCTATCTCACCTAACGCTCGGCCGTACTAACATGATCCATCCGTTTGCAGGATGGGACGTGAAGGTGGATAGTAAACACAAAGAGCCACGATGACATCTGATACGTCCGTCCGTCCAGGTGGTCGTCCCTAGCAGCCAGAAATCCTGGATAGGCAAGGAAGCTAATCAAGTGTATTCGCGACGCTAACATCATAATCAATAGGGAAAGCATACCAGATCAACGACATCATCCGCGGGCGGTATTACTATCCCAAAGGTCCAGGCTCGTGCACGTCACTTCTGTACGACCTCCTATGAAACTCATGCTTATATCTGTAGATGGCCAAGGAGAAACATCCGAGATATCGAGGCCACTCAAAGACGGTGAAATTGGTGAATGGATACTTCTGGACGGGGTAAGGTTCCTTACCGAAACTAAATCTGCCATTCGCTAACCGGCATCCTGAAGACACCAGCTACTTGCGCCAACATCGGACTTCACAACCTCTACCACGGCGACATAGACCTCGTCATCTCGGGCCCTAACTTTGGGCGCAACACGTCCTCCGCTTTCTCGTTATCCTCGGGCACCATTGGCGCTGCACTTTCTTCCGCGCTAGCTCAGACTCGCTCGATCGCCCTTTCATACGGTACTATGGAGGAACCAGTTCAGGATGAATGGTGCGAGCCGGCCCATAATTTAGCGATGCGCATCATCCATCACCTGTGGAACAACTGGGGAAGCGATCCCCTCGGCTTGCGCGCCAATGCAGCCACTGGAGAGAAAGAGGTTGATCTGTACTCCATCAACGTGCCCATGGTTAAGGAGCTTCTCGACGGCGACGGTCTACCCATATGCTGGACGGACATGTGGCGGAAGAGTTACGGACGGCTATTCAAAGCTCATACCGATGGCCCCGGGCCATCTGGGCCCCCGGCGGGGCCCGATGAACCTGGCGCTAAGCTGTCAACGGGTGCGGGTGCCGACGCAGCTGAGCACGACGTCGGGAAACTGGTCTTCAGATGGGGCCCCGACATATCTGGCCTCATCGCGCCGCCTTCTTCCAGCATACCCTTAGGCTCGGACACATGGGCGATCACCAACGGCTACGTTAGTGTGACACCTCTACGGGCGGGCTTTGCGGAGCCTGATAAAGAGGGTAGCACCGAAGAGGTCAGGTTCTGGAAAGTCAAACTGTAGTATACCGTAGGCGTTGTACGAAGCGATCACACAACCTGTAGATGTATGCTGTTGTGTCCACCAGTCTAGAGTATTGGAAGACCATGCAGGTCGTGTTCGACCGCGACCCGTGCATGCATTTGGATGACAATAATCCCGGACTTCCGTTCTGTCAGGACCAGGATTACACGATGGTAGACAAGGAGGGACTGTAAAGAATGTATGTATCTATAGCATTATAAACGAGAGTGCTTGGATCGCTGAAAGTCTGTGAATGATGTCCATGGAGTTGATTCGCAGGTCTGCCTTAGTGAAGTGTCTGCGAAACGCTGTTTCCTGCAAGACCTCCGGTCGGAAGACTGAACGACAGAGTCCTGCTGCGACCGCCCGGCCATCGCGCAGGGGCCCTTCCTTCCCCAATCGAAAACGTAAGATCGACCGTCCGAAGACTTTGTGACGGGTCCGAGACCGTTATGTTCCCTGTGTCCATCCGGTAGATGATCGCAGCGTTCCCGCTCGCTTGCACGGTTACCGGCGCAACCCATGGGAAAGGAGAGGTAAAGGTTACGTTTCCTCCAGCCACGTCCCAGAATATTGCCATGGCAGTATCGTGTCTATCGTCCACGATCGCGGATGTATGAGCATTGTTCTCGATAACGCGAACTCCGCCGAGCAGAGCCTTCTTCTCGAACGTGACGAGGTTGGTAGCGGGGTAAACGGAATATGACAGCGGAACCGTAAGGTCTTTGTGATCGAGCCATGCCGCAAAGAGATCCACGGTAACCGGCGGCTGTGTAGAGGTGCCAATGTTGCTCCAGTTCCCTGTCTTCTCTCCAACCTCAACGGAGAGGGTGAAGGACGTGCTGTTATCGAATGCATAGCCGACGTTGTCATGCCAGAGGGACAATGGTCTAGAGTAGTTCGACTGGAACATGGGAAAGCCGTTTATGAAGATAGTGCCGGAGTGCTTCTTCTGGTCCAAGACCGAGAAGATAGAAGAGTTGGTGGTTGAATGAATGTTCGCAACCATGACATGTTGGACGTCATCGTCCAGGAAGAACCAAGCTTTCTGCCAGGAAAGAGACTTCGTGTCCGGGTTTGTGAAGCGCATCGCACTTGCACCTATCAACCCATCAGAGACTCCGCCAACAAACGGTTGGGTACCCTTCCAGCCAGCAGTCGAGCAAGCCAAGGGAGTGGCAGCATAATCGACGGTGATCCCTGGGATAAGGTTCCAGTCCCAAGCAGCCGCGATATCCTCGTATTCGTCACCACTGAGATACGTATACGTTGTGCCGTCGGATAAGTGAAATCCTAGGGGCTGAAGAAGCGTCAGTCACGACGAACCCAACCGGATTGCTCTCACGAACGTTCTGTGAGTTAGTACACTCGGTATTCTCCGTCCTGGTGGAGTACATCTTTAGTGTCGTCACGTAACCCGCTCCTCGGTGGACCTGATCACATACTTAAACCGCGGGAAATGGTCAATAAATGCAATCCTCATACCATGTAATCATTGTCGTAGAACATGCGATTTCCAATGAGGGTCCCCGCATTCGCAGTGGTCGTATTCTTTGAGAGGCTGTCGTCCACATTGATCAGCGATGTGGAGTTCCACTCCTCGCCGAGCTGTCCTATCTGACTGAGATTCAGGTTGATCTGAGCCGTCGCTCTATCGCAAGTTGTTAGCGGGACCGGGGATCGAACAGGTATGCGACTCACTGAGCATCGACGACAGGGAAACTGATGAACCGAGGTAAAGTGCTCTGCGTTTGTACAGATCTGTCAGGGCTTACATACACCAGAATCAGGCACGAATACGCACAAAATCCCAGTGTAGGACCCCAGTTAAGACATTGCGGTAGATCATCCACTGGTCACCGTCAATGAGGGTCGCGAACGCATTTTTGGTGGTCGAATTAGCAGCGAACTGGGTACCGCCGGCCGTGATCTCTAAGGCCAGGACATCGTTGGAGCTAACACAGTGAGACCCTTAGCTCGTTCGCGATACCTTGTCTTTTGAGGCTCGACTCACAAATCCTTGCCGTAGTTGCCGTTATATAACAGGCCACCATGCTGCCCAAACGATCCGTCAGGACGTATTCCATCTGCCTTGACTGCCTGCTCTATGACAACTTCGGCGTGCACTCGGGAGTACGCGTCACTGAGCAAAGACGCATTGCCCGTGAGGAGGGCGCTGTCTACCCCGATCTTCGACATGTCGAGTATATTCGCTCCGGAGACATAACCCGGTTGTGGGTTGCGGTAGAACGGGCTGTATCCACGCGTACTGATGTGGGTACAGTTACTAAGCTATCGATCACGATATTTGCTCAACGAAATGTCTTGAAGGATCATGGTATGCACTGACCTGGGTGGCGGTGAGCGTATCGTTCATGAGCAAACACGCTTGCCCCATATACATGGGTATCAGAATTACCTGAGCCGAATTATTAGATTAGCTGAGGGGGGGGAATGATTTTTCGCGTACGTTCGAGTACCAATTGGTGTTCCACAAACCAGGAGTGCCACAGGGGCACGAAGCGGTTCCTCCGTTGTCCAGGCAAGCGATGTTGGTGAAATCTCGTTCGAACCACCAGTCCATTGCATTCGAGATGGCGCTCTGTACAGCAGGATCCTTCACATACTGATCTTCGCCTTCCAAGCCTCCGTGCCAAGCGGCCGCTATGGTCACTGGATAGCTACATCAGGACGAAAAATCGATCGATACAGTCCTGAAGAGAACTTGCGGATTCTGTTCCAGTGGAAGTACGCCGGCCAGTTGGCACGTTGTGCATCACAGCCGGTGGTATAATCTACTTCAGAGTCGGGCCTGATGTTGGCAACGGAAGTTACGTTGCAGCCTTTGGAACGCCGATGAGCATAGGTCACTTACCACTTCCCATCAGGGCCCAAGGAGGACAGCCTGTGTCAGTTATCAGTTTCTTGCTGAAACAATGTGCGAGATGACAACATGCCATGCAGGGATGCCAGATGGCGGGGCCAGATTTTGAGGGCTCTCCACAAAGCTGATTATCAAAGACAATCGCCGCTGGCCCATCAGGGCGATGTCGGCGAGTGTCTCTGGGTCAAGTGTCTGAGTGGGCACAGGCGTGCTCGAAGCGGCGGCGGACGTCGCATTGGCTGACGAAGAGGACGACGCGTTTGTCGCAGAGATGGACGAGACACTGATAGTAGGGGCGGCCGTGGTCACGGCGGAGTTTACAGTTGACGATGGTCCATTGGAAGAAGGAGACGGAAAGCTGGAAATCGACGACGGCGCAACCACAGACGATGAAGGAACAGGCGAAGGCGTCGATACGCTCACCAGCGAGCTAGTGCCCCCGGTGGAAACAACGCTAGACGTTGCATTGGCGCACAGAGACCGCTCCGCCAGACCAACAAGGACCACCGAGATGAGGGAAGGGAGCCACATCCTTGACCGAACGAACGACCGGGGCCGATGGACAGCTCGTCATACATATGTAGCAGACCGCCGCCATCCCGATCGTGCGCTAGCAATCCCGATATGACCTCCCTTCCGAAAACGCAGTGCCTGGCTGTACCGGCTGACTTGTCCACATCAATCGAACTCCCGACGGCGTCTAATCGGTGTCAAACCAAATCAATTGCACACCCAACTCTCTTTGGCCGTCCAGCACGGGGTAAGCAACTTGCATCGGATGTCGCATCAGTCCACGCACTCCCTCTTGCTCGTAAGATTCAGAGTAAAACCTCGCGGGTAGCAAGTCCTGCGGCAGTCGCCAGCTGCAGACAGCAGCTGTCATAGATGTTGGTGACTGAGACGGAGAAGGTGGGTTCCGCCAATGTCGCGCCCCGCAGCACGTGGGTGCTATTGCAGAAGCACTCCGCATGACCGCGATTCACCCGCGGGAGACAAATGGTCAGCGTATATATAGCTGCATTTCCGCATTGTACTCTGGTACAATGTCCGAACTCTCTATCTATAGAAGACACAGCGCAAGTGCGGCAAGCACAAACAACGTAACAGTCCACTGGGCCCCTGCAGCCGTCATCGGCGCGCCCGACACCTGTCCGAAGATGCCCTGCTTTTTGTACACCTTCAGGGAGTTGATAATCCATGACGCATTCTATTTCGTATCATCAGAGGCGGCGGTGAATATAGCATAGCGTCTCGCGTACCACAAAGTTCGTCGGGTCCATCAGACGATCTGGACAAGTTCCGGGACAACCTGAAGTCGCGTAAGAGTTGCCCGCCCAGTCTCCACAGAACGTGATGTCTGTGCAATATAACATCAGCTTCATGGCTAGATTTCATCACATTGACGCACCGAAGATAATGGAATGGTTGACGAAATACTGCAGCGGGTCGCAGTTGTCGGGAGCAAGTGCTGCTACCGGCGTTCCCCAAGTTGACGGGTTGGGATTGCCGTCGTTGATATCGCTCGGGATCGCTGCTCGATAGAATCGGTCTGTAGCACGATGGCGTGTAAGGTCATGAAAAGAATTCGTTGCGCTCTCGACACTCACAAACGGCGATGCCATTTTCGTCCCACTTCATGGCAAAGACTCCTCCTCCTTGTGACTCGAAGAATGGTCCGTAGGACGCTTGACTCCACTCCGTTATACCGCACCCGGGATTGGATGCCGCAAGGCCGGAGCAGTTCAAGTTGTCGACACCATTCGATTGCTACGCGACTCAGACGCTGGAAACATACACTCTGACGCAATCGTACTTACCACGATCGTGCCAGTGAAGTTGACGACGGGCTCGGGTGATAACATACAGCCGTTTGCCGTGTGCCATGTCACCTGGTTGTGCTCATTGTCATGCACTCCCTCGATGATGTCTATCTCGCCAGTCTACAGCCACGGTATCAGTATATGAGAGAGTGACGCAGGAAATCTGCACGGACGTATGGCCACGTTCCACTCCCGAGCGTCCAAAATGCTGGCCACACACCTATACCGAGCATGAGTCACTACTTGCGGGGCATCGGGCGAGCAACGCACCACAACCCCATGGTGCGCGGTTCAAATCCAGGATAAAAAGACCCGTATTGTACTGCTTCTGGCTAGAGATCCGAACACTGAAGAAAGGCTTTGAATTCGTGGAAGCTCGGCACGGAAACCTCGACACGAACCTGTTGCGGTTGGTTCCAGCCGGAAGCCAGGTGGTGTCGTCGCCTTTCATAATGACTTGGTTGTTCTCGCTTATGTATGACAGATTACTCGCAAATGCCGTGGTTTGGTTCACGTAGCTGTGAAAGCATACATGTCAGACTCCAACGGCAGAACACTGAACATGCAACGTACTTGACAGTGCCATGAGTCGGATCCTCTCCGGTGAAGAAGTCAAAGGTGCTAGGGAGCCTCAGACCATGCTTCGTAGCTCAACTGGAGAATGACTCACTCGAAGAATGTCGAGCCTTCGTAGGTATCCTCAAGAACCCACAAGAACGTAGATCCATTGCGGTTCACATCGTACATCTTCCTGTTCCGTTTCTGTACTTGGCTCTGCGGGAGGCCCGATAGGTAGGAGCGAAAGTCAAATATGCTCTTCTTCACTTGGGATACGCTAGATGGGAGTGCAGTGGATAGATCTGCGATGAACACGCAGAGGAGCAAAGGTATGGGCAGCAACAGTCGCATCGTGGCGGGTATAGGTTTGGTAAAGAGCAGGTCGCTGAGGAGGTGTCGCAAAAGGGTCGTGAGGACGTAAAGTGTAGTCGTTCAGGGAGCTCCGGATGTGGTTTTCAACAGACAAATCGTCACTGGCGATGAAGATGACAAAACTCGGGATCGCAACACGGAGGAGAGGCGGGATGCGCGTGTAGTGGTGTCGTAAATCGTACTGGGGAAATGACAAGAGCAAGTATAGGGAGGCTAGACAAGAATCGAACGGCGGTGATGCGCAGCTCGCGGGAGTGCACCCAACCTCGAGGCAGCAGCGTGCATTCCGCATCCTCGGAGCTCGTTCACGCGTCAGTCTCACGTGCTCCTAAGCCTGACCTGAGCACGGACGCTCCCAGAATGGCGTAGAATCCCAGAGTAACCTGGAAACTCCACACCTCATAGATGCTCTTGCTCATGAAAGTCAAAGACACGTCACGCGAAGTAGATGAGCATGAACCACTGGAGGCCAAGTGATGCATTTGTGACGGGTTCGGGCATACACTCCATAGCGAGCATGGTAACATGAATCGGGTGAGGCAATGAACATGTGGCGGGAATACAAGGCAAGGAGAAGTAACACCATCTACCGGTAGCGGCGGAGGCTGAGAGTGTTGTGCTTCTTCCAGGTAGAGTACTGGGGCGCGTGGTTGTGGAGGTGACCCTTGCCGATACCACGGTTCTGTAGACGCGGTCAGACAATCCCGAAGACGTATGATTCCGAAGATACGTACGCGCTTGCCAGTGCTGGTAAGTCCGCGCAGCTCGCGATGCTTGTGGACGGGGTTGACAATCCAGTTGATCCTGGGGTCCCGACGAACCTGTATATGTACTTAAGCTTCACCGTTGAGATGGTCACTGAACGAACAACTTACAGCCTTGTGGCTCGGGTCCACGAGAATGACCTCGTAGTACTTGTAGACACCATCCTGGTTAACCCAGTACGAGTTCAAGACGCGGAGGTTGCCGCAGCGCCTGCCTACGCGCTCCTCAGCGACGCTCTGGAGAGAGCGCTGAGGCTTGATGTGGTTGACACCCTGGCGTACGGGCTTGCCGTACGTGGCACCTAAAAATCCTCCGATTCAGCTAGGTCTCCCGCAACGGTAACGCAGGTAGCGCACCCTTAGGAGCCTGCTTCTTGCGGTTGCCGCGACGGACACGGACACGGTAGATCACGTAGCCCTGCTTGGCCTTGTAGCCAAGGCGGCGGGCCTTGTCCGGGCGCGAGGGGCGCGATGCGCGGTGGATGACGTTCAACTGACGGTACTCCCAAGCACTAAGTCGTCGTTGAGAGCTCCGCCAGGGTGAAAATATGCCCAAATATGCTCACCGAACACGGAGGAGGAAACGAAGGACATCCGACTGCTTCTTTTTGTAGAGCTCGCTAACGTACTTGTATGCGCCCATCTTGCCGACTGAGATCAACGACGAAGTTAGCACTCGTCAGAGGTGCACTGGAAGGTCATCCGGATTGGAGATCGCCCATCCATCGTATTCCAGCCACGACGTATCCATCCGAGCAGAGTTCTGAGTTCTCTCGGTCGCCAGAGATGCATCCGTAGACATGAATGAGCGAGCAGCATACTCACATTTGAGGAGGGCCCTTGAGGCTTGAGGTGTGTGTAGGTACAACGGACCCAAACTTCGTATGACTGCGAGCTGACTCAGCAAAGCGCCAGGCGAACCGCGCGCGACAAGTTGCTGTGTTACTCTTGGCTCTCTGACACTGTGACTCAACCCGCTCCTCCCATTCGAGATGCCTCTGTCCCGCGTCTACAAGCTCACAGAGGCGCAAAAGCTCATGTATAATGCTGAGAAGGAGGTCAACTTCCGCTGGATTGCGAAAGTGTTCGCTACGCGCTCTTCGTACTTGCTTTCGGAGAATGATCGAGCATCGCCTGAACTCGTCGACGAACTTGCAGAGCTAGGAGAATTTGCGGAAGTAGCCTATGGTTTCTTACCAATAACAACTGTCTTCGAGCAGTATGATGTGCTCTCGCAAAATGGCTTCCCGTTAGCGGAACATCGAGCGCTACGAGGCGGCCGTCTCGTCACCGCGTTGATGGGAGACGTTGCAAGCCTGAAGGGGTATATTGCATTCAGACCTGAACGCAATCAACTTGTCATTGCGTTCTCTGGCACGCAGAACTGGATACAAGCACTCTATGATGTACACGGTTCTCGTCGCAGGTATCCGCTCGGTCGCGGGTGCAAGGTTCACAGAGGTTTCTGGAAGCTCTATTGCGGTATACGGAAACACGTCGTGGAAGGCATTCAGAATGCACGAGAGCAGTACAGCTTCGCAGAAGTTGTTTTCGCTGGGTATGGAGCTCTCAACTCTGCGATTGGGATTCTGAGTATTAACGAGTAATTAGCCACAGTATGGGTGCTGCTATGGCATACCTTACATCACTCGAAGCTCTCAATACGTCGGACATGTTGCCTCCAGGAGTGACTATAAAGCTGGCGGCATTTGGAGGTCCCCGAGTGGGCAACAAACGACTGTGCGAATTCTGGAGAGAATCGGTTGAGAGGTATCGAAGCACCCACGGTTCTAATTCATTGCAAGAGTACTTTGTGAAGGCTTACAATGACGGTGAATGTTCTTCGACTGGTAGAGAGGACATCTATTGACCTTCTACGTGCTTGCAGGAGTCCCAGCGCTTCCCCCCGAGAGGTTTGGTTATAAACATTTCTGTCAAACACCTCTCTACCTTGCCTTCGGGCGAATGTATCATGTTCCAATCAGCGAATGTGAATACTCGTCCATGTCTGTCGCCGAGTCAGAGCTGGACAGCGATGAAGTGCCCTTTCCGAGAGGCGGGCATAACTACTACAATGGTCGGAACATGGAACGCCTTGCTCGAAGGATGGATATGCTCGCGGTAGAAATGACAAACGGCCCAGGATGGGAAGACCGCTATCGAACAAAGATGATGAAGTCCGAAGGGCGCTTTGGTAGCTGATCGGGCTGATGCTGTAATATGACCATGAACTTGGCGATTCGAGGCCTCATGTACAATCTCTGTGGTGTCGGTGCTCAAGCATGTGTAGATTCATTAGCGGTTGCACGAAGTCGCAGGCCGGTTTTTGTGGGGCGTTGGTCGTTTAGCACTTTAGTCCGGGCCGGATTCCGCCGGCAATCGAGTTCGCGTGCGGGTCCAGCGTCTTGAGAACAGCTACCCATACCGAGGGCACAGTAGTGCCGGAGCTATTCCTCCACTTCGAGCGCATGTTCTTCACTAGGCCGAATGTCACGCTCAGACCACAATTCATGGGAAGACGCCCATGCTCAGTCTGAACGACGGGTCCTGACTGAGGACGGCAGCGACCTTGACCTTGACCACTGCATAATGCTCCCAGACCGGGATACTACTATGCCATCCTCCGGGGCTTTGGCACCTGCCAAGGCACCTGTGAGGTTGCTGCTGATGAGAGGACTGGCGTTGCTTTGTGCATGTTCACTCAGTATTGGCAGCCACTAGTAAGCGCTCTCATGTGCGCTACATGAGATCGTTGCTCGTTCTGACCTCCGATCTCTCATTCTGCTGATAGCGGGAGGAATCTTCTTGGACCTTTGAAGTCTCGACTTCATCGCGAGATGGGCACGAACAACACGGAATTTAGCTTGCTGGTATCAGCTTTGAGCCTCAATTCCACATGGACCCCCATTCTGGGTGGCTTGCTCGCGTCTCGTTTAGGGGCAACATACACGAGCATCCTTGCAACAAGCATTATACTCTTGGGTTAGCTGGCCCTCAGATGAAGTGCTGGAAGCCGCACCTGATGATTGATTCACTGTACTCTACAGGACAGGCCGTTCTCCTTATCGGCAACTTGTCCGCCAGCGTCCGTATGATGGCATTTGGGCTTTTTATCTTTGGACTAGGAGTTAGCCCACTCGCGGTTGTGCAAGAGACCATCATCGTACGCTTTTTCCATTCACACGGACTTGGGATATCCATGGCACTTGGCCTTGTGGCAGGAAAGGCGGCATCCTTCGTTGCTGCACGGACGTCTTACCCGCTGTCGCAGCACTACGGACCTCACGCCCCGTTCGTAGTAGCAACTACTCTTGCAGCTCTATCTGTCGGCATAAATCTATCATACGTTGCTGCGTCAAGGTGGATCATCAAGGAAACAGACACTGAGATGGAGGCTGCTGAAATATCCGAGGATGCGCGCCGGTATCGCTTAGCCCAGAACCTGTCCGAAGCAGATGCTCTGGATGCGGTGGCAAGGAAGAAGCGAGTTCACATTCGGGATATAACCAAGCTGGGAGATGTATTCTGGGCGTGCGTGCATGCACGATGTGTCGCCCGGGATCCCACTAAAATGATACACAGATATATTGCAATCAACATCCTATGTGGGTCGATTTGGGAGCCGTTCCATCATCTCGCGCCGTGAGTTCAATAAGCCGCCGTATCCGAGACTCCAGCCAATACGTTGCACCAGGAACATCATCCAACTGCGGTACGATCTCAGTGAATCTCAAGCAAGCGACGAAGCGTCCTGGTTGCTCGCTGGTAGCGTCGTTTTGTATCCCATCGTGAGTCTCGAGTCTGTTTTGCCGTCAATCGATGCTGATGTACGGCCCAGGTTGGTCTGGTGGTGGATCGTTTCAGGGCTCGAGGAATTGTCCTTCGGTTGTTGCTGTTGTCATCCATCCTCACATTTCTCTGCTATATCTGGCTGGCCTTACCTCCGCATGCAACGGGAACTGCCATGCCTGCCATCATCTCCTTCTGTGTCGGCCAGGGATTCGCACCCTGTATGTGCCTTCAGCACCTCTTTGCCATGATTGCTATATAAACCGCTGTCTAGTGCTTCTCGTCGTCATTGTTCCGGAGCTCGTCGCGTCGAAGTTTGTCTCGACTACGCTTGGCGTACATAAATCTGTGAGTTATCATCTTTATAGGCGTGTCCTGTCTCACCTGTTGCACCAGCTTGAACAAACAGGATCTGTTACATTTCAAACGCTTGCGGGACTATCCCTGGATACGGATAAGCCGTCTTCAGGAGACAAAGGGAATCCCACGGCTATTCAACACCTCTTAAACACCTTTGCATCCCTCAACGTCCTCCAGTTCTGTGGTATCCTCGCCCTGCGATACCTGGATAGACACAGGAGAGCAGCAGCACTCGCATCCGACCCGGCCTATTTGGCCCCCGAATCAGGTTCTACGGACAGAGAAAACGACCCCCGGAGAAGGGTCAAGGAGGCCATGGATGTCAATGTCCTCCACGATGCATTTGAAGATGACGAACACGAGCCGCTCCCGTCCACGTCCTTTCCCGAACAACGTCGGCCTCTTCTGCCACAGCGGCATTCACAAGTGTCAGAGGACGAACGGCGTTTGCAGGACGAGGTAGATGCTGGCCGTGACTTGAAGGGAGTGGCACTTTCGCATGAGGAAGTACGGAGAGGCGAATGTTTTGCCATCTCTGGCACTTTACTCATCGTGTTGACATGGGTGCTTTTTATGGTAACAGCATGGTTGAAGCTACGATCAAAGGCGGATAGGGAAGGTCCACCTAGCTAAGCTATAATAGCAATATCAAAGATGAGATGTACGATAGTGGATAGGTTCATGATAAATTGGCCAGAAATAATACGATGAAGGAGCTCGCGTCGTAGTCCTGTTCGACTCTAGTCCACGATGAATTACAGCCGCGTTACTGTAACTCGCGGATCATACGAGCTTCTGCGTTGGATCTAGTACTTTTCCAGGTTCTATCTCTTGTCCGGTATTCCAAGTGCCTATGCAGATGTTTGCAATGGTAATGAATAACGTCAGGGTGGTCAGGCTGAACACTGTCCATCCAAGTGCTTCAATCGTGAGTGATTGACGACATGTTGAGATGGCTTCCCGTCCTGGACAGAGTCCTCCCGTGCGGGTGACGGACATAAGCCCGGAGGTAATACCCTAGAAGACGGGTAAGCTTCCGAGTGCTAACCCAAAACAGTTTGAAACCCCACCCATAAAACGGCGGTGATTAACAACCAACATATAGAACTGGCAATATCGGCGAGGATGCGCCGAGCACCGTCGATGGCAGATAATAAATAAACCGTGGCGAAGAGAACAGTCCAGCTGGAAGTGAAGCATATTGCAATTAAACTAGAAAAGACAACACTCTTGAGCCAGGAAGTTCGGCAGGTCCGCATTTATCACGCACAGAGCATGATAGGGCTTGCCGACGAAGTGGTGCTCTTCATTCCCAGCAGCAATCCGGAAGACGGTGACTCCAAGCTCCGCCAGGGATACAAGGCCCACCAGGAGGAACAGAAAGACGTGAGACTGGCCTCCTCCAACGACAGGCGCGACCATGATGTGAAGTTGGGTTCGAGTGCGCTCAGCCGTCAGCTAAGTAGGCCTCGCCGCGTTCCATGGGCATGTCGCCTGGAGGAAACCACGGGGTGCATAGGATTAGACGCTCTGCTTGCGTCACTGCCGCTGAAAGACGGCAAGTCGAGAACCGATCATCTAGTAAATCCAGGTAGTCTGGCTTCATAAACCGATTCGGATATGCAGCCGCCGGTGCGGAGTAGGTAGACACCGGTTGGGAGACGAACGTGGGGCGGGCTAAGCGAGGAAGTGTTCTTGACTGGGCTAATACGTAAGAGGCCAGAGCCGAACACGGTCCGTCGGCTAGCCAGAAGAGGGCATCGCTCGTTACCTCCACTTATATTTTTGCAGGTTGCTCGGAGCGTTCTGGGGCGCTTGACGGCATCGTGTAACACGGTGGACGGCGTTGACGCGACAACGAAGATGGACGGCCCCCCGCAGCTGCCGCCTCTACAAATCCCGCCATCTTCGCCGCTCTCATCTACGGTCCACTTTGAGGCACCCAATTTGCGCAAGTCCATCTCGATCGGCTCCTTCGCCACGAATAGGCAGGCTGCAAGGCCGTCCGCATCATCCTCGCATGCCGGTGCCATGCATAGTCCTGCGAACCCAGAGCCCAGTAGGACGTCCTCTAGGCCCGGCGCACAGACAGCCTTTGTCGGTGGATGGTACGACAGGGACCGCGCGTTGCAGCATCTACACAATACCAGTGGCAACAACACAGCGCCAATCTCGACTTCGGCGGATGACGACCTGAACTATATACAGTCTGTCCCCACCTCCGGTTCGGCGTCCGAAGCGCGACCAAACAGCGCGACGGGGGCCCAACGCGCGAGTCAGCAACTCTGGTTACCCGAGCGGTTGAACACGCTCAAGAAGCCAAGTAGTACTGTCAGCTTGACATCTGCGACCTCCTCTAGCGAACAGTCGGCGCGACTAACCCCACTCTTGTCGCAATCCGTCTCCGGCAAGCCCAGTGCTGTGAGTCTAGCGTCGTCAAGCACAGGTCGCTTCAGAAGCGGCAGCCTCGACCAAATCGCGGGGAGAGCTGCCATCGCGCGTAAAGATGCTCAGCGCGAGCCCAAAATCTCAGTGCGTGCACGCGTGATAATTCACTACATGTTACTGACACGTTCGTCGTGATCAGCACCTTCGCCAATCATCCTCCCCAGAAGTTTGCGTGGCGGTGGTCGGCGTCTCACAATGTGGGAAATCGACATTCATTCGCAAAGCCCTGAAGCCGTACTCCATTAGCCTGGGCAGTGCCTCGTCTTCAGGGAGCACGTCTTCTCATGCCCCATTCCCATGTACGAGATGGAGCTTATAGCGCGTTAATCTCGCGACTGATATGCATGCCTGCCACAGATATCTCACATACTGCCGTACTGTCAAAGTATCCTCAGGGTGTATCGGAGAGGATCATCCGAGTCATGGAGATTAACGCTTCCGCACTGAACTCTCTATCATCTCCGGAGACCTCCGTCTGGCCGTCAGATGCTCCACGAGTCGACGGCGTCATCCTGGCTTACGATGCATCGGACATGGCCTCCTTCAGACCCATACCGCAATTGCTCGGTGAGTTCCATGTTTAGGGGTAAGCGATTGTGATTTCATTGAAAGCCAGCTGGCTTCGGGAAGATGCGGCTTCCATTGGTTGTCGTTGCCTGCAAGACCGAGCTGCAAGGCGAGCATCGCGTGGCGTCAGAAGAAGCCAATGATATTGCGCGACAATACGACACCGGTCTCGTCGAGGTCAACGCGATCACAGACGAAGGAAAAGAGCGTATACGCCTTGCCTTCGATTGGCTGGTCAAATCCATCCTTCGCACCCGGCGCTGTAGGTTACATATTCGCGTTTGCGCTCTCTTTCTGATATTCCAGTATCCAGCGACATCCGTGGCGCAAGGCGATGGCTACCGTAACCCGGCGTCTCCAGACGTCCTTGCTGCATCTCCGCCATGGGAGCGTGTCCGTTCGGAAGCATCGACGCCAACACCAGCCACGCTTGCCTCCACTCCTCGTCAGACTTCGCCAGCCCCAGATGCGCCAAGCCTGCAGCGACAGCAAGAGCTGTCGGCTCATACTCCAATACCTCCTCTACGAACGCCTACTACACCGAGACCGCTATCACCAATGCGGGCTCGTTCCATGGGAGACTTGGTAACAAGCAGTGAGCAAGTACGCAATGGTTCATATGCTCCGCGAGAGCTCGAACGGGAGCACTCCGCATCCACCATGCACAGCACATCCAGTTATAGCAATGATTCAAGCGCGAGCTCATTGTTACGGCCACCGAATGGACAAGCTTGGCCGATGAGGGAGTCTGACATCGCTGAGGGCATGACGAGCGTCGAGGAGATCGTGGAGGAGGGAGAACACAGAATGGAGCGGGAGCCGTACGTTACCTGCCATTTACCGTCGTGAACCGCGCTTGACACATATTCACCTTAGAAAACCGCCTACTTGGGGCTCGCTTGATGATTTGATCCAGAAACTATTATACGTCACAGTCTCTGGCGACGGTAAGTAGCATGTGTTTCCAAACATGTTCCAATACTGAGAATTTATTGCAGATCCTATCTTTATATCTCATTTCCTTCTCGTGTATCGACGATTCTCCGGTCCCCGCCCTCTTCTCTTGGCAATGCAAAAACGTCTTCGCGAGCTCGATGCCTCAGACATTAGTGATGACATGTTAGCTGATTTTGCCCAAATGAGGTCAGTGCACTGCGGTTTTGTGACGTATGTACTAGATGTTCACTTTGCCACAGAATCTGCCATTTGCTCGACATGTGGATACGAGACTACCCGCACGATTTCGCCGTGCGAGGCACGTACGGCGCACTTTCTGCCCTGGTGAAGTCAATCTTGATGAAGACACAACTGTTGCATTACGGATCCGACTTTTTGCCATTCCTGGAGTTACTGCCGAATCTGTCTGATAAGGACGCCTCCTGGGCTATGAAGGTCGACCATCCTGCAGATGAGAGCGACGAGAGTTACACAGATGAAGAAGACCTCGCACCCGCCCAAGAACCCGACGTTGGTTCATCCCAATCAGACAGTTCGGCGTCATTCCATTCTTTCCCAGAAGCAAGGTCTCCTGATGCAACATCCGCGGCCATCCGTGAGCGGAAGTCGAGCCTGCCACTGAGCAGCTACCGGGATTCAAGTCATGCCACGACTTCTCCTGTGAACTCGCGCCGAGTAGACCCAGAGGCCCAGTTAGCCTCGCGCCGTTATGTCATGAGGGAGCTACAGAGAATCGGTCAGGAAGTAGCGCTTCTTGACCCTACGTACATTGCACGGGAGATCACCCTCACTCAAGTAGACCTATTTTTACAAATTGAGGTATGGCCACCCCTCGCTGATGATTTTTATTTATCACTGATTCATGCTGAGTTTAGCCCCGGCACTGGCTATTTCATACATTCGTTAGCGGCAAGAAGGACTCCGAGCCGTCGGGTTCCGTAGCAAGGCTCAATCGTTGGACCGATGTGCTAGGAAGCTGGTACGCGAACAAAGAGAATGATCACACCGTTTGTTGGTCTCAAAAGTCTTATGCAGGGTTGAATCCCTCGTCCTCTCTCATGACAAACCAAAGGCTCGGGCGAAGCAGATTGAGAAGTTCGTGGATGTAGCTGAACAACTAGTTGCGATGCAGAACTTCGGGGGCCTTCGTGGAGTAGTATCGGGCATCAACGGGGCGATAACAGGGAACAGTTCGCTACTGGAACTCCTTACGCAGAAGTTCGAGGGAAAGTTCGAGTTGCTGCAATCCTACAGCATGCTACTCGCCAGCTCGCGGGGTCACAGGGCATACCGTTTAGCACTCCGGTCTTCAAAGGGAGCCGTCATCCCCGCCTGGTACGTCACGCACCTGCCTCTCTTTACTACCACTAATCATCCGTATAGCGAGATACACATATCCGATCTTCTACGATCTCATGAGGGCAATCCGGATGTGAGCCCAGTGGATCCGACAAAGATTCACTGGGGTAAATGGAATTTGATGGCGAAGTTCATCGATACCATCACGGACTGCCAACGCCGTTGTCGGACATCGCCTGAATATGAACATCTGGCCTCGGAGCACAGAAAAGAAAGGGAGCTGGCAAAAGAAAAAGGGATAGATAAGGACGAATCTATCAGCAAATACTGGCGGAAAGAGTATGTGATGGATGATGAGGTAGCGTGCTTCGTTTCGTTGTCAATCCATCTAGTTTTGACATTCATTTCAGTTGAAGAATAATCGCAGAGAACAGCCGATTGGTCACTCGGAGGAACGCCCCCCAGTATTTCGTGCAAGCTCCAAGGACCGCGTTCTTCAAGCCAAAGACTTGTACCGGCGTCGCAAATTGGTTTTTTGGTGATATCAAGGCCGTGGATGGACTCCGGACTCTCATATGATGTGTTCTTTCGTGGAACCCTGGCATTCACTCGATCTGGGTATTTGTGTGTTGAATCTCGATGTTCTCATTCCTGCTGCTCTCTATGCTTTGTAGTGTCGTACTCCCACCAGTTATGCCAATGTAGACGTGTGTCATCGGATCATCAACGCGTTGTTACCTGTCATTTGCGATGAATCGAAGCAATATGACATGACTACTCCAACCGAACCACAGAAGTTTGCTGGATTTCGGTGTCGTGTTTGTTAGCTAGTACTATACCTCGCGGCAAGACAAGAAGGCCTGCGCTAGCGGGTGGCTGGCGACCGGATCATTTCCCCTTGCGTTTCCCTCCCTTTTTCTTACCCATGCCCCCAATTTTATCGCCCTTGTGGGCCCGCACTCCCTCATTCCGGGATCCTTTCTGACCTAGCTCCTGATCGAAGCCGCCGCTTCGGCGGCGGGCAGCTCGTTTTTTCTGCGCCTTCTTCTCACGCGCTCTGTCGGACAACTTGGGCTGGGCTTCGCCTATCTTGACAGGTCGCTGCGCTTTCTTTGCCGATCGAATCGAGGCTGCGATGGCAGGGCGTTCTCCACTCTCCGTTTCTTCCTCCATCGCCATCTTTCGACGTTTGGCGCGACGAGTCAAACCGGAGAATTTATCGCGCTTTGGCTAGGTTCCCGTTTGGTGAGCCGCATAGTTGTCCATGTAAGGATGCTTACTTTGTCCTCGTCTTTCCGCTTAACCTTCGCTGTTGCTGTCGACGGGAAGCCGGTCTCGTATTGTTGCTTGCTCACGGCTTGGGCTAGTCAACGCGCGATTCACTATGAGGAATAGGGGTGCTTTACCTTCCGCCTTTGCTTTATCCTTGGCGCTCTGGAACCATGTCCTGGCCGGCCGAGAATATATTTCTTCACTATGCTCCATCATGTTCTCTCCCTTCTTCAATTCCATTTCGGCTTGTCGCATCTATTTCGCTATTAGTTTGGCGGAGTATGGAGTCGACGATGGACGAACCTGCTTCTCTTCCTTCTCTTCCTCGAGAACTTCGGCGATCTCCTTCTTCAACAACTCCAGCTTCTCGGACCACTTCGAGATTGCTTCAGAGGGGACAATGCGATGGCGGACTTGATCATCACCGGCACCATGCTTGATGGCTGCCTTAAGCATCTTCCTGTCCGCTTCCCCAACGAGCGTCACTGATCTGTGGCATGCGAGTTGAGCGGGTCTGGGGAGAACGTATAGCAACCGTAGCGACATACCGTCCCTTTTTGCCTGCACGAGCCGTACGACCTACTCGATGCAGATACTGTGCCAGTTGTCCAGGCATATCGTAGTTGATCACGATGTCCACGCCCTTGATATCCAAACCGCGGGACGCAAGGTCTGTGGCCATAAGGAAGTCAACCGATCCATCTCGGAATTGTTGCAAAGCTTTGAGCCGCTTTGCGTACATTAGTCATGCACGGGAGTTGGAGAAATATACACGAACCTGCTCCTGGGTGAGGTCACCGTGCAATTCCGCGCACTTCATATACAACAGGCTGAAGACGATGCGCATCTGATGTGCCAGCTTCTTGCTGCGGAAGAAGATGATGACACCGGACTTGAACGTGCGCTTGCATAAAGCGACCAGGATCGCGGAGCGTTCCGATTCTTTGCCCGCCCGTACTCGAACGAATTCTTGTATGAGGCCCTTCGCGGTCGACCGTTTCGGATCGACGAAGAGGCGAACCGGCTTGTCCAGGCTCATCTTGACAAGTTCATCGACGGAGTCGGTCATTGTGGCTGAGAACAGCATCGTCTGTCGTGACTTCGGGCAAGACTTGATGATTTCGGCGAGTTCATCAGCAAACCCGTCAGAGAGCATGCGATCGGCTTCGTCTAGAACCAGGATATCCAGCGCATCGAGGTTGAAGGACGGTGAGTTACGCAGGTGGTCGATGAGACGGCCCGGAGTAGCAATGACAACGTCTGGCTTGCTACGAAGAGCTGCCTCCTGTGATTTTACGGAGAGACCACCTGCACAGTCGTCATCAGTGACTTCCTCACAGCAGAATAAGGTAAATCCCACCAACTGCAAGACAGAAACGGATATCCGTGTACGTTGCGAGCTTCGTGCCAACCTCGAAACACTGGACCCCAAGTTCTCTCGTAGGCACCAAAACGAGACAGCGAGTCGCCGCGGACTTTTTCGCCCTATCTCGGTAAAGCAGACGTTCTAGCATGGGTATTATGAAGGCAGCCGTCTTTCCAGACCCAGTGACAGCATTTCCAACAACGTCTTTACCGAGGAGTGCGACGGGTATGGTGGCAGCTTGGATGGGTGTAGGTTTATGGAAGGATAAAGACGTAATTGCCTTGAGTATAGGCCGGGAGAGGTTCATGGAGAGGAAGGTCGAATGTGTCTCCGAAGGGCCAGTATCTGAGGCAAAGAAAGCAGCTTTGCGTTCCTTCTCGGCCTGTGTTTCGGATTCGCTTTCGTCTGCTGAATCGTCTTCCTCGTCGTCAGAATCGGCATCTTCCTCCTCCTCCTCCTCCTCTTCCACGCGTTCCCCCTCTTCGTCTGAGCTCGCCAAGAGATCGTCTTGTTCTTCATTGCCTTCTAAGCCGACAAAACTTTCCTCTTCTGAGTCCTCCTCTGAGTCCTCATCCTCTTCTTGTTCATCATCAGGTTCTGATTCCGAGCTCTCAGATTCGGAAGAGTCGTCATCTCTTTTCCTCTTCTGACTGATGGCTCGACTCTTTCTCCTTGCAATAATCTCGTCGACTGACAGAGGTTCCTGCTCTGCGATTAGAAAAAGCAACAGTACGGTCATTGAAGCTTACGGGTTTTGAGCCACTCTTAACAAGGTCTGCAGTGTCGTCGTTCCTCAGATCGGTGTAAGGGTCCCCAGAAAGGTCAAAGCTGAACTCCGGGTTCAGCAGCGCATCTTCCGCATCCCGGATTGTCGACTTGCCGGTTCTGCTGGGCCCTGGCACTGCCGATTCTTCCTCCGCGTCTGAGTCCAGTGTCATCACAAAGTCGTCGACCGCCATGGTGTAGATCCGTCAGACGAATGTTGTTCGTATGCAACCCAGCGAGAACCGGGTTGCAGCATAAAAATCCGAAGATGCGGTCATGCGGAGGTCATGTGCCCCTGACGCGTAGATCTGTCGGGGCCGGCGCTTTCGTCTCAGGTTTCGGTGTCTACCGTCTTTGCTCGCCCAGATTTTGTACAAAAATAGTGCGCGACGCATCCAACCCGAGCATTGCTCGAAGCAGCTGAATACCAACGCTGTGATCATGGATCCGGTCATGGACGAATCTATGGCGAGCGCAGCAGACCTGCAGTCCTTTACTTCTCTGGCGAACGTCCAACTCCCAGCACCATCGCGTCTAGTAACATCTGCCTGCTGCCCGGATAAGGACCTTGTCGTCTTGATCCAACGGCTTGGAAGCAAAGACCGATTAAGCCTGTGGAAAATCCAAGGGTCCAAGAAGTGGGAGGTGTCCGTGGAACGGGAACCCGATGCTCAACCTGAGGAGATCATCGACGTTGCCTGGAGTCCAGACGGCAAGTCATAGACTCTCTTGGATACCTTGACGAGCATTAAATAAGCTGACTTTTAGGACAGACCATCGCCGTGCTTCATGATCCTCCTCGTGTAACCCTTCATTCAATACAAGATGGTCACGAACAAAACGTCATGTACCCGGCACCAGCAATGCCTGGGCGACGTATTCGCCTTACAAACGTATGGTGGTTTGCGGCTCACAAGAAGGCGGATACAGACAACATCCCGGACATGTTTCAACGCCAGGGTGTCATTGTATGCGAATTGGACTTATCCTTCATGGTCATGACTGACCGGCACCCGAAGACAGGATCTGCGCACTCCACACTCAAGCTGCTGCCTCTTCTGGATCCGCCGAAGGATGAGCAGCAATCGGCAGGGTGAGTAGACCCCCCTTGAGAGGCTGGAAACTTGCGATGATGCGTTACAGAGCGACGGAACTCTTTGCGTTTCAAAGTACGAGGACGAAGACTGCCCAACGTTCCGCCATACCTCTTGCTATTTCTTCGTGGCCTACATTGAGTCCTGACCCATTGGCTGCATCTATCGCCCCGTCGGACAGACCAGGATCAAAAGAGAGGAGTATAGCCGAGGAGTTGGACCCCGCTGATGACGCAAACGTCGACGGAATCCTGGCCATTGCTGACGATCAGGGACGGATATCCCCATTCCTCGACGGCAGCTTTGCTTTTGGACCGTTCGCTGTAGACCCAACGCCCGGTGGCTCTGCAATCGCCTCGCTGATCAAAGACAGTTCGCGGCCCGTATTCTACGCCCACCGTCGCATATGCGCCGATGACGCGTCTGCCTGCGAGGCGCTGCCTACCATCGTTCATCTCCCGCTCATGGCACAGCGCATGTTTCGTGACGAGGCAAAGATATGCTCGACCGCTCGGGAACTAGTGTGGTATCTCATGCGCTCCATCAAGGAAATGCGAACGGCATGGCACGGATCTGACACGCTCCCGGGTGCCAGCGGCTTCGGGCCAAGATGGGAACGCATGTTACGTGAAAAACAGCAAAAACAGTTCGGACGTACGCGGATCTCCGAGACAGTTGTAACAGCCCGAGGTGCTGATGTCTCGTTTGACGTACAGAAAAGCACCCCGACGCCATCTTGGATCTCACCGCCCTTTTGATCACCGGGAAGGCTTCGGAGGCGCTCACAGATCTGCTGGGCAGCGGTGGAGAAAACATGGGCGATAGGGTGAAGAGCCAGTGATTAACGCCTACGCCAGCTGCAGCTCACATCATTGCAGGGAATCATGAAATGGGAGACGATAGTGGGCGACGCGTTGATCAAGCTGCGTGATCACGCGGAAAGAAGGGTGGGCCCCGCCTTTCAACGTTTGCACGTCGTGCTGGAAGAGGTTCAGGGTTGGGCTTTATTGTGAGTTTCCGATTGCACCGCAGAAAGAGACGCATATAGACGCAGTCCAGGCCCGCGTACTCCCAATTCCGCTTCTCCGCAGAGCGGGTCGGTCAATGCCTTGAGCTGGTGAAGCGCGGGATCATCCTTTCCGCATGGCTCGCGTCGGCTGCGCGTCAAGAGTTGCGACGGTTTAAAGAATTCATGTCGTGGATCAAACACGGTGCGTGATCATCTCCGTAGAGGCTCGTGCATCAAGGTAACCTCGCACCCAGAGCTCGGCAAGATCAACACGAGTGGGGACGCTCCGAACCCTGGACCAGCGAAGCATGATATACTGGTGGTCAACGACTACCTCACAGCCGGGTTGATCGGGAGCCCGATCGACAAATGGTTCGTTGGCCCTGTGCCGACGTTCACTACCGAGGACCTCGGTGGGTCCCTCAAGCCGCCGCCTCTCCATGAGGCGATCCAAAACGCCCGCAAAGCGCTGTCCATTCGTCCCTTGCCGAGCACGCTGGTGGGGATATACCACCGCCCTCATTGGTCGCGAGGGTCCCTGACGATAACGTTGCAGATGAACCCGAGGAATATACCGGATGTGGACAGAAACCTAGACGCGCTCATCGGAGAATTGGCCACGAGTTGCCAGCAATTGTTTGTGCAAGCAGCTGACGCCGCTGGTCGGTCCGCGCAGGTCTCGAACGTGGCGGACGTTAGGCCACCGCCCCAGTCCGTAGAAGGAAAGTTCGTCACCCGCGAGCGAACGACGGAAGATGTGGAGGCAGGTGTCGCAGTGTCGTTCAGGGCGCGTGTTATTTTTCTCAGATCCAACTCAACAGGCGGACAGATTCGTGCAATATCTCGCCATTTGGACCACGGATCACAGGGCCGAAGAACGCCACCATCGTGAGTCGGTTTATCGCGATGTCAGCGGTTACGACTTTATTGAGACCGCGGCCGGCTGTCCGGTTCGTTCCCCACCCTCTCCGTGCAGTGTGCCTCGCGCGGGTACAGTTTGGCGCTGGGCAGCAGGCTGCGATGGCCGTGGCGCTGTTGGACTGCACCGTTGCCAAGGGCGTGGAGGGTTCGGACGTCGCGCCGTTTGACGTGTTGGACGCGGATTTCTTCGACGAAGAACTGGTCGTCATTGTATATCGGCTACGGGGTGAAGAAGGTGCGCGGCGCCTTCTCGCTCGCGGGGATCAAAGGCGAGGCTGATCACGATCGGCCACGCAGATTCTGCGTGGATTGGGATGGCCAATTACAGGGAGGTGAGCTATCAGGACATTGAACGTGCCAGGGACGATACAGCCTCGTCGCGCGAGGGGCTCTTCGTGAGCGCGGTACGGAAATGGAGAGAAGGCGAGGTGAGAAATTTTCTTTTTCGGTGGTTGGGCGCTGGGTTACCGAAAACGTGTACGGTTCTTTTTTTTTCTTTCGCAGATCCGCGTTGGCCGCGTGTCGATCAGCAGGGCGAGGAGGCTGGCTGGACGACAGAGCGGCGGGGTGTCGCTAGCGGTGAACGGACGGAAGGGTCGGAGGGTCGCGTGCGTGCTGGGCGGAGAGGGGTCAACGCTGGAGATGCTGGATATGGAAGGGGACGAGATGGGGGAGGAAGCCGAGGAGGGGGACGCGCTCGCGTGACGGGGTGCGGCTGTGCCTGTGGGAGTCGGGGGGCGAGTGGAGGAGGTGGCTTGCGAGGGCGAGCCCGTGCGTGTATAGTCGGTAGTGTGCACTGTGCAACAGGCATGGCCGGGCGGGGACTCCCGCAGCGCGTCGGCGGGGCCGGAGCGGTGGGTGGGAGCGTCGCCCGATGCGGCAGGTCGCCGGATCGTCCTCCGCGGGGCAGCAGCTGCACACGAACTCGCAGCCAGCGCGGGTCATGGCCTGGTCGTGGCCCGCGTTCGAATCAGACCCGTGCGTTCTTTTGGGCAGCGCGAGCAGCGACGGCCAGCGGAGGAGGAGGAGGAGCAATACATATAGCTCGGCTAGGCCCACCCACTAGTGTGTCCGCGGTTCTCCCCCCCGCCGTCTTCTCGCCCTTGCCATTTCAAACAAAAGCCCGCTTGGCTCCTCCCCCCGTCGATGATCAACCCCTCCAGCCCCGACGACGACGCGCAGCCGCGCATGTCCGACATTGCCCTCCGCAAGAAGAAGAATGCCGACGCCCAGGCCGCCTTCCGGGCCCGACGCGCCAACTACATCGCCAGCCTCGAGGAGACCGGTGCGTGCCACGTCCCCGTCCCCCGCACATCGAGATCCGAGCCCGTGTTCTCTTCGCAGTCACCAGCCTCGAGGGCGTCGTCCTCCAGCTCCAGGACTCGTGCAAGGAGGCCAAGGCAGAGGCGGCAGAGCTCCGCGCAGAGAACGCCCGCCTCCGCCGCGAGGGCCAGGAGCGCGAAAAAATGTGGAGGCACCTCTGGATGTCGAAGAGGGCCGGGGGCACCCGCGATGAGCTACCCCCGCTCCCGATAGCGTTCTTTCCCGCCCAGGCGAACGGCGCCACCCCCCAGATCCCCCCGCTCTCCCCCTCCCACTACCCCGACGACGGCCTGCGCTACACAGAATACGCCACCAACACGTATGCCACTGGCCACGCATACGCCACCAGCGCGGGCTACACTACCCCCGAACACGGGCACGTCTCGTCTTCCGCCGCTCGCGCCGCCTCCCTCGCCAAGTACGGCCCTTATTCGTCGACAAGCTCATACGCCCTCGCCGGCTCTGCACGGGGCGACGCCGCCGCCTGGACGGGGCCCGTCGTTCACTCGGCATCGTCTGGTGGTGAGTCGTGCCCTCCCGATAGCGGGAGCTCCTCGCACTCTCCGGCCTATGTCGAGTCGCCGACGCTCATGTCCCCTGCCCTTTCTTACATGTCTCAATACGCGACAGTCGAAGATCAAAAAATGCCCATCGCCTCGCTCGATGCCGCCCCGTACGTCTTCTCCGCCAACGGCCACAGCCCGACCCTCTCCGCTCCTTCTACCCCAACCTCCACGTCTTCCACGGGCGTTACGTCCCCCTACCATCAGATGGGATACACCGACTCGTCCGTCGGCCATCAAGAGCGCTCCGAATACGCCTATCGCCGCCAGGGCAACCCCGATATGACTCTGCACGGCGGGATCGCCGACATCTCCTCTCTCGCCGGCCCCAGCCGCTACGCCATGCCCCAACCACGGCGGCAAGACTCTGGACCGTCCTCCATGGCCGACTACACGACCGCGAGCGACCCCCCGGCGCCTGCAGCCGCGGAGCCCGAGTCAAAACCGCGATCGAGGAAGGACACGGGTTCCTCCCAGGGCGGCGACGGCGACTCGCGCTCTCCCACACCCAGCGACCCGCCAATATCCGGAACGCTGGCGGTGATCAAGGCGCAAGCCTTCGGTGCGCTCCGGCGGAACCGTGCGCGCACAAAGCGGTCGTCTGGCGCCGCCAAGGTTGCGATCGAGGCCCTCGAGGCGAGAGGTATCGGGATGGGCATCGTAGGCGTTAAACGCCAACGTCGAGACAGCGACGACGAAGACGGCCGAGGGAGATGACCGGCCTCCATGATTTTTGCTCCATCTGCAGTGCTTAGCACTATGCTTTTAACGACCTTGCAATGCTCTCTCGCGGCTCGCTCTCCGGTAACATCTATGCTCTCGCGTTCATCTCTCACCCTCTCAGCTCTAAGCTCTAAGCGTCGAACGGGACTTTGTAGACAATAGCAATGTAACGATGTATAGAGCATTGTGATATACTGTAATCCGCTCAAACCCTTACTGTAAAATAATCCCACCCTCTTGTTTACCTTTTGCCAAGCCTAACGCCTGCGCTCAAGCGAAAAAAAAAAACATACGCCACTCGCGCGATGATCGGAACAAAACGAAGTGAGATTGACAAGACGCCGTCGGTCGTCGATTGACAGTAGTCGCCGATCAACGAAATGCGCCCCTGGCGCTTTTTTGGTGGCGCCTGGAAAAGAGATGGCGCGTCGGCTTTATCTGCTTCCGTCGACCGCAGCGGTCAGTTGACCTTGGGCACCGCGACGTCCCAGGGACCTCGTATCTCGCTAAAAGACATCGCTTTAGCAACGGTGCAGCAATCACCGCAATCGACGCACTTTTTATACCGCTGTGCCCACATCAGCATTGCCGGGGCGCCGAAGGTATAGAAGCCAAAGACCGCGGCAAACACCCATGTAACAGTCGAGGGAAAGATCGACGATAGGAACAACGATAAGGAACAGAGAGCAGCGGTGAGCGTGGTTTGCAGTACAAGTGGAGTAGCCTGTGAGAAATATTGGGAGATGCTGACGGTGTAGCGTGGCGAGACAGACCTGCAGCCTATGCCGGAGTATGGGGAACAGAGAGAACACCTGGATTGCGAACAGAATGAGCGCGAAGACGGACAGGTTATCCGGCAGGCGTGAGGCTAGGACCACCGATGCTGAGATGGCTGCGTTCATCGAAAGAACAGATGTAAGCCTGCATTGCTCCCTCGGTCAATCCCACCGGTATTGTTGGAGAAAAGCCTTGAGAGCCCACCTCTCGCGAATGCGGCCTTCGGGCTTCGCGGAGGAGTAATCCGCAAGAAGCGCGTTCAAGATGAACAGAAAGGCAGACAAAGCCCATATCGAGTCGGATGAGGTGGCAGCAGTCAAGGTCTTCAGCACAGGTGACAGTGCCAGGAGCGCCAGAAAAACCAAGATCGAAGACTTCAATACTTTGGCCCCTGGGCGAGCTGCGTCAGTCACGGGGGACTGTACCCGGTCCGCCATCTCAGAAACCTACGGTTCTCGTTCAGGTCTCGTGGTGTGTTCCGAACATCCACGTAGTCCAAGATCTCCCAGACTGCGTAACCAGATACAAATACGCCGACGGACATCCAGACGAGCAGGCGAGGATCAAGCACGCACGTGTGCAGGCGCACGAATACGGCGAGGAAGATGAAGATGGTGGAAAAGTGCTGGGATATGGCGAAAGACCCCACTACGAGAGACCGATATGTGTATGGCCTGAAGCTGGCTATGGATTCGAGGTGAGCCGAGAAACACGCACGTCGATGCAAGAATGGGCACACACGGTTCTTCCGAAGCTCGGAAAGGAACGAGGGTGGAACGTAGTTATCAGGGTAAGGCTGTCTCTTCCAGAGCACCCTTTCCCATTCTGAGGACATGCATGGGCGGAAGGATGCTAGTCTTCGCCAGCACCGATCGACGACGTTAACTCGAAAGAGTGTGTATGAGTCACGTGAATGGCAATTGCATTGGTCTTGGCCGCTGCCTGTGCTTGCGCCCTCTTTAGCGCCGATGCCGCTTTCTGTTTCGTTCCTTCACAAGAGGCCTCAGCAATAATGGGGTCTATGTGCTCGAAGTCCTCTACGCATGAGGGTGGTCATACCGTGCTCGGGTCCGGTTCCGACGCCAACCAGAATTCGCTAGGCGGTTCTGCACATCGCAGGGAGGACCCTCGCGCGGCGGCGGCGGCAGCGGCCGAGGCAAGACTGAAGAGGGTACTTGCACTCTCCCGCACACATCTACATGGGATATCTATCTGACATTTGTTGACCTATCCAAGGAACAAGAACGGGGGACCCATGCTTCTAACCCCAACCGCGGACGCCTGGCCTCCAAGTTGGAGGCGTCCAAGGCAGCGAAGACGACACCTGAAGGTGTACCGGACCGCGTGATCGTAAGCATCGAACCTTGTGTATACGTGTAGATGCCTGATGCCTTCGTTGACTGCAGTATGATTGAAATGAAATGCTTCATTGCTTCGATGTTCATTGCCTGCACGCATGTCCTTCCTGCGATGTCGATATGGATCCGACACTGACCCGATTCCTTATCTATCTACGGCCTTCCCGCAAATTGCCTCCGGATCGTGTCAAACTCTGCTCCAGTACTTGACCGATACGCCTAAATAGTCGAGGTGGGCGATCTCTATGCGCCCAGACCTCTGCGGCCATGGTTTCGTCGGTCCGGATGCTTGAGAGCATACGGCGACCTCTGAGATAAGTTCAAGTGGCGCGTTGTATGACTTGACATGCACAATCGGTCCGGACGGGCGCCAGCGTCAACCCTCGTTGGTGTGTAGCGCGATGTAGTCACTCCGCTCCCGAGACCTGCTATACCGCCGATCGCCCAATCCAACTGCTGTGCCCCGAGCTTGTCTCCACGGAAGCCACGCCTTATATCCGAACGTCACCGATCCGAAATAGAAGAAACGGCATCGAGACTCACTTCCCACCACTTGAGAGGCATGCTCGTGTCCAGGCCTGCTTTGATCATTTTGCCTTTTATTCCCGCACCGAGAAGGAGCCCAAAGACGGTTAGCAGGTAGAGCGTGACCACGAGTTGATCTCGAGGCGAGTCCCGCTCTGTTATCCGGCAGGGAATGTAGACAGGGTCAGATGGGTAGCGAACAACGAATCTGCTACGCACGGAAGCATCTGGCCTCGACATCCCCTTCCTTTCCCGTCCCAGTGTCTGGGTTGGTGTCACCTAGCGTCGCGTTGACGCATATGGGGAGATTCTGGTTCAAGCACCACTGCTTGTTGCAAGATAGACATGGTTTTGACGGGTCGTCCGGTATATCAAGTTTGAGAATGGTATAATTGGAGCCGAAGCATATGCCTGCGATCGTCTTATTTGCGGTGTTCAACTCGGCACTCAGGGGAGTGTACTCACACTTGCAGAAGTTGGTGGCAGCCCATTTATCCATTAAGGCATGCGCAGATATCTATGAGCACACGCAAATCGTAGGTGTCGCAAATCGTGTTTTAGGCGAGTTCGCTCACAGCATACGAAGATAATATGAGAACGACTGCCAGGAGCGTGCGCAGGCGACTCGCCATCGTGGTCAAGCGCCAGAAGGCAGGTGGCGGTACCACCCCACGACGCGTTGGTCTCCGGCGTCGCGCTCCCTGTCCTATGATCTGAGGTCGCGACATCATGTCCACCGAATACGACGATGTCCTCACCAATCAACCCGTTGTCATTGATAATGTACGCCTCTTCTGCGTTCTCTACCACTGCCTGTGCTTGACGTCGTTGCGCGCTAGGGCTCAGGAACTGTGAAAGCCGGTTTTGCGGGACAAGACCATCCGAAATGTTTCTTCCCGTCCTTGTGCGTCTTCACGGTTAGGACTGTCTCCTACAGCGAGACCCGTTATTTCTCACTTGACACGCTCTCTCTCCATGCTGCACAGTGTTGGACGGCCGAAGCACGTCCGTGTCATGGCCGGAGCGCTTGAAGGGGACACATTCATCGGTCGGAAAGCGCAAGAGTTCCGTGGGCTCCTGAAGATTAAGTACCCTATGGAACATGGAATTGTGACAGACTGGAACGACATGGAGCGCATATGGAGTTGGATATACGCGGAAGAGCTCGGGACGCTCAGTGAAGAGGTGAAGTCCATGTCGGCATGGTTCTAGTTGAGCGAGTATTGATCGTCCTGTACATGGCCGCGCTTCTTCGTTAGCACCCGGTCCTTCTCACAGAAGCGCCTCTAAATCCTCGAGCGAATCGGGACGTAGCCGCGCAAATATTCTTCGACACCTTCAACGTACCTGCGTTATTTGTCTCTGTTCAAGCCGTGTTGGCGCTGTTCGTTGTCCGCCTCTACACACATCAAACCTTGCTCACTACACTCCAGATATTCTTCCGGTCGAACTACCGGAATCGTGCTCGATTCTGGCGATGGTGTGACACACGCAGTACCGGTGTTTGAAGGCTTCTCCATGCCGCATGCCATCCGAAGAGTGGACGTCGCGGGAAGGTGCGGGGTTTTATCTGCATATCCGAGTTTTACTGTTTGGTCTGAATATATCACAGGGATGTGACTGACTATCTTCAGTTACTCTTGCGGAAATCAGGACATCATCTTCATACTACTGCGGAACGCGAAATAGTCCGGACGATCAAGGAGAAGTGTTGTTACGTCGCTACCAACCCGGCGAAGGAAGAGAAGGAAACTGTTGGACGAACTGAAGACTTCAGGTTGCCGGACGGCAATGTTGTGCAGGTTCGAATTTCTGACTCCTCGTCGAAGCTCGAAAGGCTCAAACCTTGTTTCTAACGCTCTTACACAGCTCGGATCAGAACGATTCCGCGCCCCTGAGATATTGTTCAACCCCGAGCTTATTGGGCAGGAATATGCCGGTGCACACCAGGTTGTGGTCGACTCGATCAACCGCGTGGATTTGGATCTTAGGAAGAATCTCTTCTCCAATATTGTTCTCAGCGGCGGAAGCACCTTATGTCGAGGTCAATTTTCACCCTTCGTTACTGCAGGGCATCCCCGAAATTCACTACTGTTTGTGCGAATGTGGAGCTCATACTATTGCTCGACAGGTTTCGGCGATCGCCTATTGAACGAGGTGAAACGCCTGGCGCTGAAGGACGTAAAGATCAAAATCTATGCTCCTCCGGAACGGAAGTATTCGACGTGGATCGGCGGGTCTATTCTAGCGGGTCTAGGGACCTTCAAGAAGGTGGTTATTTCACGTCATTACAGGCTCTGCCTGTTTTGCAACATTAATCTGAACTTGCACGATGATAGATGTGGGTCTCAGCGGAAGAGTACCAGGAAGACCCCGACATCATTCACAAGAAGAGCGGGTTCTAGTGCACACCCGGGAAGGAACTGTATTGTTGATTTCATACCCACGGTTATATGGCTATATCCGTACACCATAGCATTTAATAGCATGCTCCGCGTCTTGAGGTATTGAAACTGGATTACTGCGATTACCTCATAGTGAAGGTGGTTGCAGTCGATGCATGACATGGTGTATTCATGGAAAGCAAGGAAGGGATGCATACACCGTAGGATACATGGCCGGAGTCTTCCTGAACTGATGCGAGATGTGTGCAATGCAGGAGAATAAAGATGACAAGGAAGTAACGAGCGCCCAACCGTTATTTGCCCTTCTTCGGAGGCTCGGCTGCCTTCGACTTTTTGGTGCCACGCAGCTGCGTTCACCAACGACTGGATGAGCATGGGTGCCTGTGAGGATGAGGTTGCGCAACGGACCTTCTTCGCACGGTTCTTGCGCTCCTTGCGCAGCTTACGGGTAGGCTTCTCCACCTTGGTGGCAAGGCCAGACTGTAGTGATGCACGACATTGAGTATCAAATCGCGTCGAGGACGTTGAATTGACGTACCCGGACGAGACGGTACCGAGGCTCGAACTTCTTGTGTGCTGCCTCGTCATCGTAGATCAACCCGAAACCCGTGGTCCGTCCACCACCAAATTGTGTCCGAAGACCGAAGACAACAACGCGGGCCTTGTCCGCCTTGTAGATATCGGCAAGCTTCTCCGAGAGATCCGATTTGGACACATTGGCACGGCCAGGGTGAAGGACCTCCACGACGAATTGACGGCGCGAAAGCAGCCTGTTGGTAAGAAATTTGCGGGTGCGGACCGTTATCGGTGCTGATGCGTCGGCCTGTAACGACAAGTCAGCTCGCTCTCCAGGCCAAGGTCATCCAATCCTCAAGAAAGGCATCCATCGGATTTCCGGTGATATTCCCGGTACGCGATATCCCAGGACAGTCCGAGCGGCATTCCTAAGCGGATTCTACCAACTCACCATGTTGCCGAGATCTTGACGGTCCCTTGACCTTTTGCTGGGTCTTTTGCGATGAGGCCGCGGGCGGTGGCGGGAAGGTGTTTACGGGTGTTTGAACTTTCCCACCCTCTAAAGCCGTACCCTCGTTTGAGCAAATACAGTGCTGATATTTATTTCGCGCAACCATGAGTGATACTTGCGACACATCTCGAGTTTGGCTCGACGGAAATAAGGGAAACCTGAAATACATGCTACTTACTCATCCTGCCCCCTGTGCTCTGTCCTTTCTCCCGATCGCCTACCCCGACTAGAGCGGTCACGTACACGTGATCATACTGGTGCGGCAGCTCTGAATTGATCACGGCCCTTCGTAGCGTACGACCTCCAGAGCTCATAATGTCTACCTTCGCTTCCCAATTTGCGCCATATGTGAGTTCTCTGGCGCGGCGGGCTACATGTGGCTTACTGTTGGTCCTAAGGCCCCTCCACCGGACGACCCTTCCCGGCAGAGCAGCACTGTTCAGGCCAGCAATTCGCGAATAACGCGGCCCTGGTTTCCTGTGCACGGTTCTTCCTCGCATACCATCCCGTCATACCAGTCTGGAGGTATCCCAACCTTTGGGGACTCTCAAAGAGGTGGCGCGGCAGTACTAGAAGAGACGGAGAACCAACGAAATGTCTGGGAGACTCGTTTCGGCATGCGAGTGGATTTACTGGCCGCGTTCGCCTACTTGCTTGGGCCTATATCTGGTGATCTCGGAACTCATGCTGGACGCATCAATGTGCTCATCGGTGTTTTAGCATTTCTCCTCCTAGTGCTGGAAACCCATAATGACTACGTTCGATTCCATGGCAAGTCCCGATATAATCCAGACAGTCTGACGGACTGACGTAGACCAGCCTACCAATCTGCACTCCTCACTGCACCTCTACTGATATTGAGAATATTCCTCTCCATTGTTCCCTTCCCGTCGTTCCTGCGGACGTTGTTTACCTTCGTCCTTGTCGTATCTGCCTCGTACATGGCGTACGTCCTTTCATCCCTTTTCCTGGTTGCAGATAGCTCGAACTTACATTATATCTGCAGTGTACGCGCATATATAGATGCTGCTCGCAATGGCCTTTCTCGATTCGAACTGCCATTGATTGGGGCTATGGCCGATCAATGGGTTAAAGACGAGTAGCCTGCGAGATCTGTCCTGTTCGGGAGCGTATCCGCGCTCGTATATATTCTTATTTACTGTCATCAAACGGGCTAGGTCAGGAAATCTTTAGCGCATCGTTGTCGGGACTGTAGGAATAGCTTGCTAAAACTCGTTGAGGCTAACAACAGGAATGCAATCTCGATGACATGTCCAGAGCGAAGGTTTCAGCCGGGCATCTGTGACAATCCATCCTCCTCGTTATATGCAGACGCCCGCCAGCTGGACAAGGACGCATGTCGCCTGCGAGGCCTGTTGGACATTGGCGCCTAGTAGCTCGGACAAGCCGGTGGTATTGAGAACAGCGTCCGTCAAATTCTCCACTGCGTCGAGCGTCAAGTCCAGCACGCATTTTATCTGTGGTGATTCCATGAGCGAGCGACTTCTCTGTATTTTGTCAAGTTCCTACCTCGTAGACTACTGCATCGCGTGGAATCCGAGTCAGTCATCGAGCCATTGAATCGCAGGCATAAACTGCTTACCAGGTCCTAGCAGTGGCCCGAGGACAGGTAGGCTGTCGGCAAGTTCAGATGTCGCTTCAAACACACCTTTGTTCAAGTTGACGATGTTCTTAATCAGCGTAGGCAATTCCTTTGTCTTGTCGTAATTCAGGAGGCCTTTGCGCAATCAGCTAAGGTAACATTCATCTATGCTCTATATGCCCACTCACCCTTATCCGCCCCCAACTGTCCCAGAACCGTCTGGAACCCGAGAAAGCTTGCATGGTACGCTTGGGCCGTCGTCACTGCCTGCTGCTGGGCGTATTCATTAGGACCGGTGTCGCCGGAACACTGGGCAGCAAGTGTGCCTATAGTCAAGTATTGGCATATGAGAAAGTGCATTCGTGAGGATCAACGAACTCACGAAGATTCGATGCACGCTTTTGCATGTCAGTATAATGCGTATTGAGAAGATCGATGTCCCCGAGGACGTTTCCCACTCCATTTACAGACCGCCCAGGTAGAGCACCAACATCACCGCGACGGAGCAGGCCGTCGTTGCCATAAGCTTGATAATTACCAGCACTGTATGCTCCGGACTCGCTACTGGCGAGGATGTCAAGGTCTCCAATGACATCAGCAACACCGGACACAGCGCGGGCGGCCAGATTTTCTTCCTCGAGGAAAGGGGCTATGAGCGTTTCTGTGTCGCTGTCACGTCCGTGGAGAACGTCGATGTCGCCGACTATGGAAGTAATCCCGCTCACTTTGCGTGCATCGTAGTCGTGAGCTGCCAAGTTGGTGTGCCCTCCGTGGGTCGCAAGAACGTTCACTGCTCCGAGGAGAGAATCGACACCGCTCACGGATCGTCGGTCATGTTCGTGTAGTGAGAGCACATCGATATCGCCGAGCAGGTTCGAGACGCCAGCGACTGCACGGGTAGGCAGGATGCGTCCAGAGCCAATGTGACCTATTGATTGCCCGCCGGAGACTTCTCTGAGATGTTTTGCATTTTGAAGGGGTGGAGGTAGAGAGATCGGAGCTGCTAGAGCCGATGTGACAATCCTGGTGAATTTTTTCATGAACAATTGTCAGGCATGCAGTTGCTGCGACGAGCTACATACCATGCAACCTGCGTTGTGAAGGTGGCGATCTTGGAAAAGGACGGGATACGAGAGGATTTAGACATGATGAGACGCGAGTGAAAGCGACAACGAAGAGCGGTGTAAAATCAAGTCGGGCGTCTAGCGCTGACAATTAAAACCGCAGTGCAGATAGCAATGGCGGAGGTAGATGTGGTCGGGTTAACGAGAAGCGATCGGACGAACCCCGTCCTTTAAGTCGCCCTACCTTTGACGCTGTCATGCAAGTCGAACATAGACAGTTGCCAATTCGGGAGAACTCCACCGCCGAACGGACAGCAACTGACGCACCTCCCGAGTCCCTGCGGGGTAGGATGTGCTCGCTCCAGTGACACTATGCGGGCGAGCAATCATCCAGCAGTTCTGTGCACGGTTGATGCCCAACATGTAGATAGGGTAAAGGGCAAGGGACCGGGAACGCGAAACGGTCAGGCTGAGTCACATCCACTGGCAAAGTAGTCCTCAAGTGCCAATCATACTAGAGTATTCTGTACATTACACGTCAATCCTTCGAGGATCTTGACCCGTCCACCTCCGACATTTGGTGATACATTCTGCCAACATTACGCTGGTGAAAATATATTATGTTAGAGCACTGCAGTCCCTCAAGTGGGAAAACGCGTACCAGAAGTGATCTTCTGCAGCGCTCTGGCAGCGAAATATCGGACGTCAGCATCCGTATCATTTTTCTGTTGTTCGAGCAGCGGTTTAACTCGCGTCTGTGCCAGTTCGGCACCGTCAGGACCGTAACTCGTTCCAACCACTTCCAGGCACTTGGCAACGTTGAATCGAATGTTGGGTATAGGGTCCGCCGCAAGTTGCGATAACGGGTCGATGATATCAGAGAGGATGATATCAGGGTTTAGGGATGGCGCAATGGTCTGGGTAAATGTGTCAATTTCATGCCATGTCCATCCCAGTGAATGCCTTACTGTGATGGCTTGGACCGTGGTCAGACGGTAGAGATAGTTAGGGTGCTGTGCCATCCCGACGACCTTCGGCACAATGGCAACTTTGGCCCACTCGACTCCGAAGACATCCGTCAACTTCTTGAGGTTGACCGTGGCGGCTTCGCGAATGCTATACACGGTGTCACCAAGCCAGGACATGCACAGGTTACCAAGCTGCTCGTCGAAGAAAGGCTTGCCAAGTTGCGTGGCTAGCAGAGGTATGTACTCGATGATAGCTTGGCGGACACGCCATGCCTTGTCTTCGGCAAGGTCCACGATAGCAGGCAGCAGGCTATCGGCGAGCAGTTCAATGCCAATAACTACATGTTTCACAGTCATCACGAGGTCGCTTCGGCAGATGCTGATAAAACTAACCGCTGTTCACGAGCTCCAGTTTGCTGATGATGTTTAACCGGACTTCGGGGAACTCGTCCTTGAGAAGTTGCAAGAAGAGCGGCAAGAGATGCTCAGTCGTCGCTTCCCGACCGAGAAGCGGTGCAAGTCCACTGATTTGATTGGCAAGGGCTGCGCGAACGTGCTGGGAAGTATCCGTCGACAGATCTCGGGCGCATGGAACGATCCTAGCAAGGATAACTTCCTTGTCGAGGAGTTTAGCAAATCCTACAAGAACCGGTGAGCATGGTAAAGATAAATCATGTTGACTGCCAACTACCTGGGATCTGACCAGCAGCCGCTGTCCGCACTTCCGCTTCATTGTCCTTGAGGAGTTGAACGAAATGTCCAATGAGTTCTTCTCGGACAAGCTCCAATCCTACCGCCTCAGCCAACTATACAAGAGTGCTCAGTTTAGTACTCAGGAAAGAACCAGTGATGTGGTACCTCGTTGAAATGCTGGGCTGCCATGTATCGAACGCGCCAACTCTTATCGGTCATTGTCTGCCTGATCTGTTTCAGGACTTGATCTTTGACTTCCGCGGGCGCTAGTCGTTGCGCGATGGCGATCAGATCCTCGACCGTGAGCAATCGGACGGAGTCCTGATCGTCCGATTGCAGTTTGCGATAGATTGCCAAACCGTCGGTGAGGACATGTTGCTTGGACAACTTCTTGGCAAACGCCTATACAAGCCATCGCTCAGATGCGACAAAGGTGCACGGTATGAACTGGGCCCACCCCAAGATGTTTCGCGGCGGCCCTGCGAACCATGGGCGTATCATCAGAGCCCAAGGCAGTGAAGCCCTTCCGCATATCGTCTTGGATGGTGGGCGACACTTTATCATAGACGGGGTGGAACAAAGCCGCGGCGGACGATCTGGCGGTAAACCACTCTCCTTGGGATAATCGTTTCACGAGAGGCACGTAGTATTGTTCAATCTGGGATGGCGACATCACTCCGGCCACGTTGGTGATGGAGTCGGTTGCCTATGAAATCGGTGAGCTGAGTCTCAATCAACGCGAAGAGCATCTGCCCATAGCGTGTCGAGTGGCAAGATTCACTTGCCTTATCTCTGACAAGAGTTTCTTCTACGCTTGCTAAGTTCTCCAGCGGGCCCAACAGCAGATGGGCGTACTCCGACCCCCCGATATACTCTTCGAAGTTCCTTCCCAGTTCCTCCGCCAGTGCTAGGAGGACCTCATCCTCGTCATCCAAAGAGTCCTGCAGGAATGGTATGAGCTCTTCTCGAGCACGGTCAGGCCCTAGAGCGAGCGCGATGGTGGATATTCTGTGAATAGCGTTGAGCCGCAACTGGACATCCTCCGACCGCAGTTCATCCATGAGGATCGCTATCGGAGCAATCTAAGCGTTCAGGGACTTGGGTTAGCTATTCACTCTGGGTTCAGCATCGCTGGCGCGCACATCGTCCGTGAATCCTGGATCCATGATGGGCTATAAACGAGTCGCGTCAACACCGAGACCAGTCCGTGGCGAATATCGTTACGCACTCAAGATTGGTGAGGGATCAAGAAGACCTTCTAAATGCGTGTGGTACGGTGCAGAGATTGTGACCAGTGAGTGTGGTTGCGTTTGATGAGCGTCTATGCAAGAGCAAGGGAACTGTGGCTTGCACGCCGGACATGAGCCTCGTGTGATCGACCAAGTGGCGAACCATGTGTACAACGCGCAGTCCATTACAATAGGATCAGTATAGGATAGGATATTATATTATTTTGTCGGAACGTGTACGCAGACTTCGAAGTTCTTCGACGGCGAAGAATTGTAAAGCCTGCTGTTCACATACCAGGCGACAATGCAGCATAGGAGACGTCCTCTGTGACTGAACTACGTATCTTCTCGTTTCGCGCGTAATTATGAGTATGATGGCGTGGTACTATTGTTTATGAACCCAAGCAACGCGTGTATGCGCCGGTGCGCGCCGGAGCGTGTTATAAGGCGTGCTGGTCTGCAGCAAACATTATCGCAGTCTATGCTGATTGCAATGGCTGGTGACTCGGCTTGCACCTGAAACGATGATCATCGATAGCTACCTGAACTACTTTTACCATTGTAGGACTCCATGAGTCATCACACCACGCTCGCATACGATCCGAGTCGGAGATCCCATCATCTGCAGAGGCAGACATGAGGCCATGCTGCGTTTATGCACCGTGCGCAACCGACTTCCAGGACGGCCTGGCATTGACATCCTTCCACCAACTGACAGCACGGACCCGGTAAGGTTAGGTACGTCATATGAAGACTGGGACCGGCTCACCGTGCGACGTTAGGGCGGGACTGCAGTACGTCGTAGCCAAGCTACAAAATGGTGATTCACAGAAGTAGAGCAGAACATGATTTCAGCTCACCTCCGTGACCATGTTACCATAGGGGAGATGGAATAAGTCTGCCAATGTGATATTCTAGGGGGGCAAGATCGCATGAGAAGAGCCTCCAGTACGACAGATTCATCCGGCATACATCGCCTGCTAGGTATTTGCGTCTCCCGAGGATACGCTCGTATGCATCCATCTTCTGCTCTAGAGTTGCTGCCAGGCTGGAGACACGTTGTTCGTCTGTCGTTCCTCCGGAACGCCTGATGCAGAACATGAGACAACGATAGTTTACCCAGGGACGGACACTCACGTCTTGAAGACCTTTTCATACGCAATTCCGCTTGCATACGGGTCGAAGTTATTCTGTTCGACACTAGCTGCTTCTTCAAACCGCGCCCAGGCTTCCATATCAGATGGCGATGGGAGAAGTGGGGTCCCTCGATCAGCGTATTTGAGAGCAATATAACGAGATATTGCGCGACTCTCATACAGGACGAAGTCGCCGTCCTGTAGGGCAAGAGTGGCAGATGGTAAGTCTCAACAGTGAGGCGAGACCACGTATAGATTCACCTGTAGGACGGGAACCTGACCAAAAGGCTGCTTCGTCGCAATGTACTCCTCGGACTTGTGCTCGCGTTTGCTGAAATCAACTGGAACCAGCTCATATGGTACGAGTTTTTCCTTCAGCACTGTGGCCACCCGTCGAGTGCATGTGGACATGGGAGCGCCGTAGAGCTTGACGGGAGTTGTCCGGTCTATCAGCTTGTTGACAGCCTTATGACCACTGTACCATAGCGCGAATGGTCGGTAGCACAACCCTAGGAGGACAGCGACAGCGAGAATGGACAGCGATCGAGAGGAAGGCATGTGTTCAGCTGAGATGAAACACCCCCTGGACTTGTGTTATATTCGAGAGTATCAGCCCAATGCTATCATAGACTTGGCATGGGATAAGAGAAGGAACCGAGCATGGGATGAGAGAAGGAACCGGTTTGACGGAAAGGTTCTCACAGGTTCTTGGGAAAATGACGTAGCATGAGCTTACGCAGATCCGGAGGAAAGATGAAGAATATACGAAGTACACTCATCCCCGCTACTTATCGACCAGCTTGCCTACCGATCGATCAGCCATGCCTGTTGACCGGACCACAACGAAGGTGACACTAAAGCACCCGAAAGTATGAAAATGCGCCTGTTCATCGCAGGCGAGGATGCATACTCATCAATAATCTAGGGATCTTCCGTCGAGATACTGCTGTACGGGGCATCGGTCATATCTTGGAAGGCCGCATCCCCCAATAGCTCGGAAATTGTCGAGCGACTCTTCGTGTCGTCAAAGGCCTTCCTCGATGGTTCCAAACCTGTTCGCGGAGGCATACCTGTGGTCTTCCCGTGCTTCGGCGCCCCCACTCATCCCGATCATCTAAAGCTGAGCCAGCATGGCTTTGCGCGAAGCGAGACGTGGACGTTCGACAGCGTAGTCATGGACAATGAAGCAGGCGTCTCCGTGCGATTCAGTGCGTACTTGCTGCCAAGAGACGGTCAACCGCGCAATGATTCCTGACATGTTGTAGCCCTCGATCCTACTTCGAGCATCATTGCAAAGTACGACAAACCTTTCCACTTGGCATATGTGGTGACGCTGGCTGAACACCAGTTGTCGACCGACTTGCACGTCAAGAACATATCCGCCGCCAGCGCACCGTCGGCGACGCCCCTTGAATTCCAAGCTTTATTCCATAATTACATTGCCGCTCCTGCCAACGATGCGCTGATTTTCCCACTGACTGACAAGTCATACTTCGACAAGACGGATACTAGTCTCGAAGGAAAGAATGCCCTGAAGACGGAAACGAGAGCAGGCGTGGATGTTACGAAGTTCACGGACTCTGTATATGAGGATGCTGGAGGCAAATACGAGGTCAAGTGGCCAGGAGGAGGTGTTCAGGTCAAGACGAACCTCAAGGACGTGGTCGTGTGGAACCCTCAAGAAACCGGTGCCAGCATTGGTGATATGGAGGATGGAGGATGGTACGGTGTTGATTCTCAGTTGCTGATCGCGCTGCGCACTCTGACGTATTTGCCGATACTAGGCTTCGGTATGTGTGCGTGGAACCTGGACACGTCCGGGGCTTCGTTTCGGTTGATCCTGGGAAAGAATGGATCGGCCAGCAAGTCATTTCCGTACTGGATCATTGACTCATTGGCGTTGAACCGAAAGCGTATGGAATGCTTTAACTGAAACCTGTACGAGTATATGCAAAACAGCCAAGGAATTGGATGAGTTAACAGGTTGAGGCTTCAGTCGTTACGCGTACTTACTAGTACGCGTGTTTCGCGAGGCTCCGCGCCCCTATTCTCTGAGTCGAGTCACGACTTTCCGACCGTTCTCTTGCTGCTGCCTCTACATCAACTCCTCAGCCGGAGTGTCCACGATTGGCACACGACGTGGGCTAGACATGGAGTCAACGCAACCAGCACTCTCTGTTCGACTGAACAACATAGACTACTATCTAGCACCCCCTGGACCACTTGACAATTCCACTTTACCCCGTGTACCAGTCATTCGTGTCTTCGGTAATGGGAACGTTGGCCAGAAGACCTGCGTGCACATACACCAAGTGTATCCGTATTTCTTCGTCGAATACCTCGGAAGGATGGAACCTGAACATGGTAAGCCATGCTCCCCGGCTGTGCTCCGGAGACATTCAACGCATTTGCATCCAGTAAATCGATATATCGCTCGACTATCTCGTTCCTTGAATCATGCAATTGCAGTCTCTATGAAACGAAACCCTCAGTCCCAGAAATCCCAGTTCGTTCGTGCTGTGACTATAGTCAAAGGCGTGCACTTCTACGGCTTTCACTCGTCCTATTCCCCTTTCTTGAAGGTTCATATCGCCGACCCAGCCGTGGTCAACCGAGCAACCACCATCCTGCGATCGGGAACGGTCATGCGAACATCTTTCCGCATCTTTGAAAGCCACCTGAACTATGTCCTGCAGTTTATGTCTGATTTCGGACTTTACGGTTGCGGTGTGCTGGACCTGGGTGAAGTTTGGCAGCGCGGACAAGACGACGAGACACTGAAGGACGACGTGGTGGAACAAACGGCGGCGTTCATGCCATCTCCGTATTTTCGGCAATCTCGGATGCCTCTCGAAGTTGACGTCGCAGCGTATCAGATCCTGAACAGGCAGTTGCTCTCGGCGAGAAACATACACCACCGTCTAGACATTCCTGAGCCACAAATGTCCGAAGAACCTCTCGTGCTGAGCGTTCGTGAACTGTGGGAAGACGAACGACGAAGACGAATATCAAGAGGTGTACACCCCTCTCCAGAAATCCCTGTTGATCCTAGCGAGCGCTCGAGGGGATCAGGAGGAGGGTGGGTCGCGGAAGCCAGATGGTGGGATGAACTGAAGAAACGAATCGAACGCGAGAGGGGTGATGAGCTGAAGCTGGAAGCTGGAGACTGGGAGAGGTGGGTAATGACGACGTTCGAAAGTGTCGAGGCATTGTGGGAGAAGCCGTATAAAAGGTGGAGGCCCATACACCCGATGAAGGAAGGCGAGGGGGTCGGTGCCTCCACGACAATCACAGAAGAAAATCCGTATGAATCAGCGAGCGGGTCGACGGATTCCGGAGCTCATGAAGCCGGACATCAAGGCGCGAGCCATCACAATGAGGTAGATGAAGAGATGCTGAGGAACCAGGACATGGATCAGTTCGACGAACAGCATCCAGCTGCTGCGATGTATGACCCCCAAGTGGACGCACAGTCCGCGTCCGAATCAGAGGAGGACGACGCTTTCATTGAAGAAGATGAACCTTTCTTAGCGGAAGAGGGGTCTCTACCTGACACGGCATCCGGTCAGATCGGCTTTGCGGAGGCGGACGTCCCTGTTCTCGGAGATCGTCCGAATACACCTTCGTACGTCACATAGTCGCCCAAATTTCAGGGTATTGCTGAGTAATTGAGCAGGCTATCGGAACGTATGTTAAAGGAAGGAACAAGCTTGACGTTCGCAACTTTTCAAGAGGCGTTTCACAGGCTGACACGGCAGGTTCACTGACCTCGTGCAGCTGCGACAGCTGAAATCCCTGCTAGACCTCGGCAAGCACCCCGTCCTCTTACTAATGACCCAAGATCCGGTGCTATCAGCAATTCCGACCGGTGTGTTCATGCATTTTCATCTGCTGAAGACGATGGTTCTATCTTCGCAACCCTTTCAGGGTCTCATCACGGGAGTCGTCAAGATCAGAAACCGAACCTTTGATAGTTAGGTACAATGATGATCGTTTCATCCACGGTGGACCTATGCTCAACCTCTAAGCAGGGATTGGTTGACGGTGCCCCCAATAAACATTTCAGAACTGTCCCATCTGAATGAACAAATGCAAGACATACCCAACCTGGCAGATTCCAGAAATCCGGACGAAGAAGATATGATACTTAGCACGGATATCTATGGCGATTCCATATCGACTAAATCGCTACTAATCGAACCACGACCAGACCATATACATAGATCGGATCGTGATAACCCTCGTGAATCAGGCAGGGAACTATCTTCATTTTCGCACCTGCCATTTGGCTCCACAGCATCCTCGAAAGGCTCGAAGGACATTCCTGGACTACATCCCTACCCCACGGTGCCCGAACAGAAGACGCCTTCCTCTGGTACGGAAAGTGAAGGTGAGGTTAACTTCATTGGCATGATGAAATGTTCGATAATATGAATAGATGACTACATTCCGGGCCTGGGATTGACTTCAATCAACCTGAAACGGAAGTTCGAAGAAAGCAGGTCTAATGCCTCTGAGCATCCGGAAGGCGTAGCTCCGGGGCCAGCCATCAAGAAGCAAAAGTTCAATCATAGTCCTTTGCACTCACAACAGAGGGAAGACGCCGTATCATCTGACTATTTGCCGCCGTCATCGTCCATCCATAATCCGTTCTACGGTGAAACGAAACACATGAAGGAGTTGAATATGCCACACAACCTCACACAAGGAAGCCATGCGACTCCTCCGGTCCTTTCGGGGCGAATAGCTCGTCAGCGGCGTTACATGTACGCCCCGAAACCACCTTCGGCAAGCGTCCTGCTGTCAAGCATGGCGGATTGTGGAATACCAAGCAAGCTGTATCAGCCCCCTTGGTATTCCCGAGAAGACGACGCATCGGACATGGCACAGGAATTCGCGGGCTTGATGTTCCATGTCAAAGGCGGGCACGGCATAGGAACATTGGACGAATGGCAATACTCTAGCACCCCTCGCTTGCCTCTTGAATCTGGTATCAGCGTCTTCGGGCTAGCCTACGCTCAAGGTTGGGAATATGCCGGTGTTCCGCCCAGCGTGAAGGAGACCAGAAGATGGCTAACGAAACATCCGCCGACTGCTCCACGGCATTCCCGTTATTCCAGGGCTCGAACACAGGTGAGAGACGGGCTATCACATATTCTTCTGCCTTGCTGATTTTCACAGAGGAACGGAGGAGCTATCACCCAAGTCAATACCTATGGCCTGAAATCTACGCATGACCCCAAGCTTAAGACAATTGTCATGCCCCAAAGTGACGCCCTCACCGTCTTGTCCCTGGAGGTGTTCGGTACGGCTGCTGCCAACGGGTCTTTCCTACCAGCTGATACTTGGCCTCACCAGCTCCATCCCGCGGCGATCTCCTGCCAGAACCAGAAACGGACGGTATTGCTGCCGTTGCATGGGCTTTTCAGGACACTATCAACGCACAACCTGACGAAGGGTTTTCTTGTCGACGTGGGTTGATCGTCCTTGCAAGTGATCCTATCCAACAAGACAGACTGAGAGACCATCCTGTGGAGGTGGCTCAAGATGAGCTAGACTTGATCAATCGCACTATAGATCTGGTCCTGGGCATGGATCCTGACATTGTCGCTGGTTACGAAGTCCAGTCTTCCTCTTGGGGGTATCTCAGCTGTCGAGCTGATTCAGCTTTCGGTATGCTCGTTCTGTTGATCCACAACATTATGTGGGGTGGAGCTAAGACCTTCGCAGGGCTTGATATTGGTGAACAGATATCGCGGGCACCTCCAGGGACGAGAAATCCCGGAGGGAATCTGCAATGGTCAATTCGTACTACTGCTTCCTTTGAGGTAGTTGGGCGTCATGTGTTCAACATATGGCGACTCATGCGCTCAGAGCAAACATTGCTCAATTATTCCTTTGAGAACCTTGTTTTCACCGTGTTGCACAAAAGGTAAAGTCTCCGCTTCACCGGGGTACGATCGCCGACAAATAGTATGTTCACAGGACACCGAAGTATCGTAACTCAACTCTGACGGAATGGTACCGCAGCGCAGTCCCCGGACATAATTCGCGCCTGCTACGATATCTCTCCGACCGTGCGGCTTTAAATCTTCAGCTCCTTGACGCCACAGAGGTAGTCACCAAGACTGCAGAATTTGCACGTGTGCATGGAGTCGAGTTCTATTCAGTGATCAGTCGCGGGTCGCAGGTACAGATATGAATGCGCCCCAGAGCTGCGGCCATTAACATCTGATGGTGTTTGCACAGTATAAAGTCGAATCCTTCGTCTCGCGGATCGCAAAACCAGAAAGTTACGTGATGTTGTCTCCTAGCAAAGAAGATGTGAGCACCACATTCTCTGACGACGTGAATGGTTTGGACTTATATTCATCGCTAGGTTGGGCGACAAAACGCGGCAGAAGCAATGCCCCTCGTCATGGAACCATTGTCTTCTTTTTACACATCTCCAGTACTTGTCCTGGACTTCCAGAGCCTATACCCTTCCGTCATGATAGCTTACAATTTTTCGTGCGTCATCCAGCTACCTTGTATCTCAGCAACTCACAGTATTCGCAGATATGATACTTGCCTCGGTCGCTCTGTACCATTCAAAGGACAAAATAAATTCGGGGTTACGGATCTGCAATTACCACCGGGGTTGCTAGAAAGGCTGAAAGACGACGTTAATGGTGCGTGCGTATCACTTGCACCAATGATATCTCGTTCACTGACACGCAGAATAGTGGCGCCTAATGGGATGATCTATGTAAAGCAGCACGTGCGGAAAGGTTTGCTTGGTCGAATGCTGGCGGAGCTCCTCAACACTCGTGTCATGGTCAAGCAGGCCATGAAGGGCGTGAAATCTGACAAAGTTCGTGTTTATCCTTCGAGGGCATTGTTTATTGACAAAAACGGTTACTGGTAGGCGCTGACACGGATTCTGAATGCGCGTCAATTGGGCCTCAAATTTATAGCTAATGTTACGTATGGCTACACTTCTGCAACTTACTCTGGTCGAATGCCCGCGGTGGAGATCGCGGACAGCATCGTACAATCAGGAAGGGAGACGCTCGAAAAGGTCGGAACATGGCATATAAAATCTCCATTCTCCCTGACATCTCACAGGCAATTCATCTAATTGACTCAGAGCCAAAATGGGGTGCAAAGGGTAAAGTTTCTCTTAAATCCGGACACCAGACCAATCTGACTTTTTGCGTGGACTTCATTCATTCGAACATATTCAGTCGTTTATGGTGAGAGTGATCGACACCTAACGGCTCAGACGGCTCATTCGACGCTGACAGGCGACACGGACTCCTTGTTCATTCTCCTTCGAGGAAAGACAAAGGATCAGGCTTTCAGGATCGGCGAGGACATCGCCTCGACGGTGACAGCGTTGAACCCTGCTCCGATAAAACTGAAGTTTGAGAAGGTGCTACATCATGACTGTCTCCTTCAGGCAGCCCACTTACCGTATCTAGGTGTACCTTCCATGTGTTTTAATGGCCAAGAAACGGTATGTTGGTTTCAAGTATGAACATCCCGACGAACAAGCGCCTGTATTCGACGCCAAAGGCATCGAAACGGTCCGGCGCGACGGAATCCCAGCCCAGCAACAGATGGTCGAGACCTGCTTGAAACTTCTGTTCCGCACGCAGGATCTCAGTCTGGTCAAGGATTACTGCTATGATGTTTGGAATAAACTTCTGGACGGTCGCGCCTCCATACAAGACTATATATTCTCTAAGGAAGTCAAGCTAGGAACTTATAGGTGAGGTCTCTGCTCGTTACTGCTGCAGGTCTTTGACTCCTGCTGCAGTGATAAGGCTCCTCCACCTCCTGGAGTTGCTGTTGCTGCAAAGCGTATGTTGAAGGATCGTAACGACGAACCTCAGTACGGAGAGCGAGTTCCATACGTGATTGTCCGAGGTGATCCGTACGCGAGGCTTGTTGATAGAGCCGTTCAGCCGGAAGAAGCCCTGTACGATCGGTGAGCTGATCAGCTGACGTTTGGTTCTCCTGCAACTCACGAGTACTGTCAGGACGAAGCAGCTAGATGCCGCTTATTACATCTCGCATGTACTCATACCGCCTCTGGACAGGATCTTCAGTCTCGTCAGTTGGATGCGATTACTCCATCCCGAGAAACAACACTGAACTGCCGCAGGTCGGAGCCGATGTACACTCGTGGTACGACGAGATGCCCAAAACAGTCCGATCAGAACTTGCGGAACCCACCTTCGCGTCGCCGAGGAAGGCTGCGCCTGATATGTCACTGCTTCTGAACCGGATTAAGATTGATGCGCACTTTCACAACTCTCAATGCCTGATTTGCGAGGCACCTGCGCCAGAAGGTGCACTGTTTCGCACGTTTGCGCTGTTGCCTTTCGCTGATCGCCTGCGAAGGTATTTGTGACGATTGTCGGACGGACCCACAGGCGACACTTTCGGATCTTTTCTCCAACATCCGCGATGCTGAGGATCGTCTTTCCACGGTCCAGACCGTGTGCGGAACATGCGCAGCGTTTGCTCCTGCGGAGCCAAATCGATGCGAATCCTTGGATTGTCCCTGGCTGTATGAGCGTGTGAAGGCAGAAGAACGGACAGAGAACATTGCGTTGCTCGAAGAGCTTGTTATCGAGATAGATGCTGCCAGATCCGACTCGGAGTCTCCAGTATTCGACAGCGACTAGGCGATGCACAATGGCAATGCACGTTACAGCACTCATTCTAAACATCCCATAGCGGGTTATACGGCCTTCCATGCCGTACCGAGTTGCCAGACAGTGCTTCGTGTATGACCCAGTCGCCATTGAAGGGTTGGAGCTACGCCGGACAGCTATGGCAAGATCGTCGCCGTTCCGGCGGTTGATCTCGGGTTCGGGGCTCTGTTCATCAAAGGGTTACCAGGACTTCGGCCATTCGATATTCAATCTCAGGCACGGCCGTTAAAGCCTAAAGCTAAAGAACGTACACATACGTAGCACATGAGGTCAGCGTTAGACTTGTTACTTTAGATAGGTCTACTTCTCCGCACGTGAGCGCGTACTTTGCCCGCCTTCTCAGCTACGCATTCTTACCGCGACTGCGTGCGACGGGCGAACGCCCAATCTTTGCTTGGTCATTGCTCTGATACGAGACTCATCAAGTGCTCATGGAGTTATGTAACACGGCAGCCGTCAGGCGCGCCGACTCAAAAGCCGGCTGCCGCCCTTCTCATTTTTCGGCTTGCTGCAATCAGCCAATGTCATTTCATCACCGTGTCAGCGCTGCAACACACTCAACACCGCTTGGGAAGCCCCATGGCATCGCTCCACAAAGAATGGTCTAGAATCAATCCGTATCTGATTTCTCGCCATTTTCTGACCCTTCTCACCGAGCGGCAGCGCAAGAACGCGGAGAACTCATTTCTTGTCGGCATATACTCAGAGACCTGCACGAGGGCCACGGCATCGGAGCGCAGCAGGTCGGAGAATATGCTCGTGGAAAACCGAACAGGCGGAGTTGTGGTGCCGGCGCGGACGAATGGTCCTCTTCGATACTCGAGAATGACATCATCAGATGCGGTGGTTCCGGTCGCGCGGATTCCTGGTCCGATCCCGGCTGACCTTCTGGACCCTTCGCTGAGCTGGACGAGCACTTGCCACCACTGGTTCTCTCCCCCGCACAGCCCTCTACCTTACCGAGCGCATGAGATCGTTCACTGAATTTTCTTGCTAGCAATGGCCCAGCCCCGTTCTAGGGATACGTCCTCGTCGCGCGAGGCCAAACGGCCTCGCGTGTCAAGCCCTGGAGAATCGGGCCCGGACCTGGACCAGCTACTGGACCGAACAGGATTGCATATCCCTCAAGTAGCCCATCAACAGCCGCCCATCACCGATTCTACAGTCTCTATAGATCCTTCCTTAGCGCACGACAGTCTACCCTTCCAGGGACAGTTGGCTTCCCTGACACGTTTACCGTTGGCACCGCCCACAACAAGCCCCTCGAGCGCGACTTCTTCCGCACTTTCATCCCCAATTTTCAGTTCTAGCTCATCTAGTCACACTTCTCTATCCTCTGAGGTCAAATCACAAGCAGAAAACCCCTTCTCTCCGTCTTTCGAACGTGCATCCCGACGTGAGTGTTCAATGAAATGCAACTGGGTCGGAGTCGTTAAAGACCGCACTCCAGTGGAGCGATGCAGCGATCCCGGTTCCGGCGCTGCACTCTCGGCAGCCCCGCAAGATCCAGCGGAGACCGTTGCATTATCACCTTACTGGAGCCCGCCACGACTGCAACAAGGCCCGAGTTCTTTTTCCGGGTTGAGGGACCTGCAAGCATCAAAGTCATCCGATGCATCGCTTGCAGGATCTACCTCTACTTCGATGTTGGCCGTACCGACATTTCCATTCGGTAACAGCGTGGCTCGAGATGCCATGCTAACGTACGCATATCGTCTCTACGAGACCCCTGAGCATCCACCTCCTGGACTGTCACATTTTCCGATGTTCAATCCCTCGCCTGCTAGTTCGCCCAAAGACGTATATCAGGCTCAGCTTATCCCTCTCCTGGCTAATCTTCGTTCGCTCCATCCAAATCACCTACCGACGCTCTTGCTTCTCGGTTGCGTGTATCATGCCGTGGGCGAGTATCAATCTTGTTTGGACATAAATCAGCAAATTCTTGACATCGATCCGAATTTTGTGAGTGGACCGTAGCCCATTCCATGCATCGGTTCTGAACTCCGTACCAAAGGTGGAAGCAATGTGCAACATAGGGACCACGATGAAGGCCATTTCGAGACCGGATGATGCGTACGAATGGTGGTGGCGTGCTCTAGAGCGAAGACCCACGTATTGGGACGCCCTGGCATGTAGCTCGTTTCTCATACTGAACATGTACTAACGCTGCTATAGGACAACCTCCTGCAGCTGATTCTTTCACCGTGCGGAACACCATCCGGCGGATCCGTTGATAACGAAGCTGCCCAATCATGTTATAGGAAGGCCCTCCAGGTCTGCGAATATGTTCAGTCTAAAGTTGTCCGTGACGATGGTCGCCTCAGCATTTCGGTACCGGCCACCCAACTGTGCCGCCTGCAGAACGTCTTTTACACCTCTTCGACGCTTTCCCGTGGCCTTGGTAACGACGGGATTCGGCCCTTATCTTTGGCCATTGAGATAGTAATTCGTCCACCTGGACTTTACGGCGAGGAGGAATGCTACAGCATGCGGGACTTGGTCTTGGCTACTATCCTCGCCTGTCTCTTGATCACTTCTAACCCAGGGACGGTTCTCCCTCCGCAAATCGAATCCGCGATGACTTCAGAAGGACAAAAGTCCTTCAGTCTCCGGGCCCGCGAGCCTGGATATGATTTGATGCACGAAGTTCACCAATGTGGACACAAACTCGCGGCAGCTCTGGTTCCCGAGGGAAACGGCGCTCTTCCGATGTTCCTTTTAGCTCCGGATCAAGCCATGCGCTTGCCACACCTTATCTTCCCGTTGTCTATGGGCGTGTTGCCATCTGTATGCTCACGGAACGAGCACAACCGGTTAGAGACTCCTTCCGAAAGCGTCCGTCAACAATGTCACTCCATGTCATCCACAATACTCCTTGGGCTATCCAAACAGATTCAAGACGCAGTGCCAGGTAGCAGTTTGCCTGTCCCCAGCTTCGAAGACAAGATAAAAGCTTCCCCGTCCCTAACCTTGCTTCTCTATTATCTTGCACTTTCTCTCTCGCCCTCTCCCGCAATATACAATAATATGGGCTTGATTCTGTCTGTGTTACCGGTAACAGCGAACTCGTTTGATATCACTCGACGCAACTCACCGTCGGGCGTTCACCTCGCACGGACGTACTACGAAAAGGGTCTACAATTGGATTCGAACCATCCGCATCTACTGACGAACATGGGCTCACTGCTCAAGGATGGAGGACAAACATCTGAAGCCATTCGGTCCGTTCCGTTCCGAACCCGTGTTTCTCGAAACCTGACGCGTCCCACAGCTTATACTTGAGGGCTATACATTATAAACCCGATTTTGATATTGCCCTCGCTAACCTCGGTAACGCAATGAAAGATTTGGTGTGTGATCCGCCTTATTCGAGATGTCCATCTCATTTATACATTGGTACAGGGACGACATGCGGAGGCAGTCTCCTACTATACGCGAGCACTGAAGACAAATCCTGCGTTGCCCGAGGCAATTTGCGGACTTGGTACTTCACTTATGGCGATTTGTGATTGGAGGGGAAGAGGCGGCGTTGCCCCAGACGTTATGATCGACCAAACTGGCAATGTGATTCGTGACGAAGCTGGCTCTCACCCCGGCTGGTTAACTGACATGATCGTGAGTGCGTTCCATTCCTTTCGATCGAGCTACTTACATCAGCCTCAAGGATGTGTGCCGGAAGCAATTGCTCTCGAGTTATTCTCATAACATCGGAATAGTTGTGTCCACAATGTCACTTGAAGGATGGTTGGATTTGGCGCAGCAAGCTCGAGGCACACCGTTCAAGGATGAGCTTCGCCGTCGTTGGCGAGAGAACTTCTCGCGCTTCTACTCCGGTTCGACTCAAGGGAACGGTTACATCAATGAGGCTGGCTTCGTGATCAGATTGGTATGACTGACTGATTCAGAGTTATCAGATTTGCTGACGCATCGCGATACAGATCGAGTGGTTGCAGCGCCGCTTGCAGCGTAAGTGGTATCTGCAAGCATATGGGAAGGCACTTCTAGTGGAGCGACCTGTTCGACCTATGACCAAAAGGCAAGGTTCATCGTTTACGCGGCCCGCTTTCCCCGCCTCTATAGGCCCTCCACCAGTACCATCTATACTCCCTTTCCACACGGTACGTTTTTCTGCGATGGTTCTCGAGGGATTTTTCACAGTTTTCCCAGTTCACCGCCCCGTTATCCGTGCGGACGATACGGCTTATTTCTCATCGAAATGCCTTGCGTGTGTCGCATGCAGCGCTGGCAAAGCCCTGGCTGCCTCAACACCTGTATCATCCGCCTGCTCCTCCGTTGCGCGGGAAGCTGAATATAGGATACGTATCCAGCGACTTGAAGTCGGTACCTCACTTTTCACCTCATTGTTCATACTCATCCATCGGCTAGCAATCATCCTCTGGCTCATTTGATGCAGTCTGTGTTCGGGCTTCACGATAAATCGCGCTTCAATATATTTGTCTATGCTACTTCTTCGTCTGACGGTTCACCTTATCGGCAGAAAATCGAGTCGCAGACTCCGCACTTTCTTGATGTGTCTTCCTGGGATACTGGCGACGTGGTCGATCGGATTGTTCAAGATCAAATCCATATCCGTCAGTCAACTGCTGCAGTCTGATTTACTACCACTCATCCTCCGGAATGATGTAGTGGTCAACCTCGGTGGTTACACGAAAGGCGCAAAGAACGAGCTTTTTGCCGCCCGGCCATCGCCAATCCAAATGTCCCTGATGGGGTTCGCAGGGACGCTTGGTGCGGGTAAGATATTCCTTCCACATAATATCGACGTTGTACATGCTGACTGTGTGAGTAGGCTGGTGCGATTATTTAGGTAATGATAGATGATTTGCTACCTGAAATCATCCTAACCCGGCAACAGTCTGCGATCAAACTACATGCCCCCGCTATCTGTCTGCATCTGAGCAATGGCGCAAATATATACAGCGATCGCTCGCAGAAGATACTGCGGAGGACAAGGAACTCGGCATAGACTTCGACGCTACACCTGATCCTGAAGCCCTTACGGAGAGCTGGATGTAGTGCGTTGCCTCAGTCCCGACGCCTCTCCCTGAAGCATTTCCTCATTTCCTCATCCAAATATCTCTCATAGCACGGAGAAGCTTCTATATATGCCGGCAGGTTACGCCATATCAATGCGATACACCCTAAGGCTCATTCGACCGAATTAGCATACATATCTCGTCACCGATCACAAACAATCTCATCGTGATGACGAGGGCCTTTCAGTGGAAGCCCGGGAGACCCAAGATCCGGACTATCTCTGGCGGAAGGAGATTCTCCGAAGGACGAAGTTGCGTTCACAGATATTTCCGGACATAGAAAGGTACTCCTAATCTTCATCTAGGTCGAGTAATTCCCTAATAACCTTGATTGGTTCATAGTGATTTTGTTATTTTTGCCAATTTCAGCCAGGTAATGTCCTTAGGGACCGACGGCGGCCGTGCTAACGCCATGGAATACATTGATAGCTCTATAAGATTTGCCCAGTAAGTGGATTATTTGCGATTCAGGTCGCAACTTTTTTAAGTAGTAAAAGGCGACGTTCTCGATGTGGCTGAAAATTCTGGAGCGGTATGTACGGGGGCAAGAAATGGAGCGATCAGTATGCTGACCCGTGCGGACAGGGTCCCTAGGAGTATCCTTTGGTTGCTCCGGGTAACAAGTAATTTCTGTCGCGATCGCAGACATACTCACAAAGCCATCACGATCCATAGTTCCCAGCGGCCGGCCAAGAGCACCTTCTGCGGTACGTGCGCGATTCTGAACGGGCTCTCCTCTGATTAGCAAACTGCGGCTAGGACCGCAAGCGCCTGGGCGAACGACGAGGTCGCGGCTCGGATACGGTTCACCGACGTCACTGACAAGCATCAAGTACGTGCTTCCCTAGCGAGGCAAATCTTAATACTAACAATTGCTTAGCACGTAATCCGGGGGCGCGTTGCCGACCTTTTCCTGGACACAATCGAAGTTGGTATCGCTCAACGACCCTGGAATCGATACTGACGCATTGTCGCCAGTGCAACGCACACACGGTCGCAGCCGAGTATGTCCAAGTGATTTCTGGGCACGCTTTCGCATTGACTCGTTCACAGCGCGCTCTGGTCTGGAACACCACTGATAACATGGCCGCGATACTCTCACAAGATGGCAAGCAGAGTAGGCGCGTCTATCGTCAACGCCACAGGTTTTGGAGATCGGATGGTGGTGCATTCCGAAGAGGAATACCAGGATCGCGCCGTATTTCTGGCAAACAGTATGCGGAACTTCTACGCAGCTGGCGGCGGTCATGCACTGCAAGGGAACGAGCAAGGCGCGCTCATGGATCTGCGAAGGGATCTGTTCCTCGCACGCGACCGTATGCCACTCTTCGATACTGCGCGCTGGACTCGTAACCTGGAGAAGGGGTTTTGGGAAGCCTGGAGGAGGTGGGTGGAGGGAACAGAATTCGAAGGGTCGGAAGAGTGGGAAGCCTGTGACGGGCCAGAGAAAGAGAGTGGTTGCATTTGGATTTCAGATGACGAGCCAATTACGCTGGCAGCAGCGTAGATGAGTCGGCTAGCAGGAGCGAATTTGGTGCACGGGCCGGGGTGTTTGGCGTTGTAATTTCCACGCCGTTATCCGCAGCTCGGGCGAGCAGCTGCTTGTGTTTCAGTGTACGCTTGGTTGACACATATTTCAACAGAATTATACAGTCTGATACGCGCCCGGTGCATTATTGGCAGGGGCAGAAGTAGGTGCCGATGGTACAGGTGACTGGGCCGGAGCTGGCGCAGGCACTCTCTCGTCGACGGTCTGATACCCATCTCTGGCGCCTCCGAACGACGACGTGAACCCACCTGGCATGGACCATACTGGAAATAAGAAAGTTCGGTGACCATGCGACTGTTACGAGCTTGGCATTTCTCACCGGTCTCCCCACCACCTGCGCCCAATCCAGGAAACTGCCCTCCTCGTTGGCGCAAAGCACTGGCAAAAGTCAGAAACAGAGGAAACTACAGGATTTCATGAGCCGTTTGTCTCATACAATCAACGCAGGAGGCTCACCTTGAGAACCAATACAATGATCTGTACAGTCTTGATCAGGAAACTTTGACTGGTGCGGGTCATCCAAATGATGTCGAAAAGCGCGGATCCCCCCACCAGGCCGAGGAACTGCAAGAAGGATGCATCCAGACATGTCACGCATTCTACCCCGATCTCACTCACTGTGCGTAGGGACTGAGCAGCCTCGGCATTCTCTTGGGCGTATGTACCGAACAAGAAGATGGGCAAGTTGTATGGCGCCGACGCGAAGGGACTATGAATTATCAAATATAGTGCTTGCAAGAGAGTGCGTGTTTCTCTACCTGATCAAAAAGGACAGTGCCTACGCTTGTTTATTAGAAGACGCGTCCGACACGGGTTGTCATTGTAAGTGCTGACCGTCTCAACGAGTACGAGCTTCGACGGATCAAGATTTTGCACGAAATCCATATTTTTTTCGTTGCCTAGAAGTGGGAGTTCAAAGGTTCAGGAGACGAGATGAGCTGGCTAGCGAAAACGCTGTCGAAGCGAGGGTCGAACGCGTTACGCTGACGCACTTGGGCGCGGCGCAGCTTGTCAATGTTTCTTCGGTGGCAGTGCGGCACGAATTACTTACGTTCGTCCTTGCCCCGCCGGTTTAGTTTACATTCCAGGTTCGATTGAAGCGTGTTCTCCGATGCTCAGCTACGACACAAACTGGCCAGCGGACTCGGCTGAGTTCTGTCCCTCTCCTCGTGACGAGACCAGACATATATTCGCGGTTGGTACCTACAAATTGGAACAGACGCACGAAAGTGCTGCAAGTGTTGAACCTCCGCTCCAACCACGAAAACAGCAAAGACATGGAAGATGTCTGGTATACGAGGCCCTACATGGATTGGAATGGTGAGTTATTGGAAGTCGTCGGTTGCATCACAAGCGTAGCCGATATATCCTCGCGCTAAATGTCAACGGAACGAGTTAATTTCTGTATAATCAGCAGAAAGCTCCAGGAGATTGCAATGCCTGCTATATTGGACATGAAATGGTGAAGCTCGGATAATTACGGCTGGCCTCGACGCTGATTTTGCCAATAGGTTGCATAACTCGATATCGTCTCTCGAGATGCTTGCTATATGCGACGCGGAAGGAAGTACATCGCTGTACAAGTGGAACAACGTAGAGGTAGATTTTGAGTGAAAACCAAGTGAAAACCCCTGATTCTTGGGCATCCTACCGATTATGGCCGATTTCAGAAGCGGCTCGAGATGGCTCAGGCCATCAGATGTGCATCTTCGGATGTTCTATGCCTATCCCTTGATTGGTCCAACCGCCGAACACCGTCCAGGTGAAGGAGATCTAACATCCCCTCCTCAAATTCATCAAAGCTTACGCTCTTATTTGAGCAGCATGGGCAACCTGATCGTGTCGCTTTCAAATGGGGAGCTGGCACTTGTGCTGCCTGATGCCGAAAACTGTATGACGGTGGCTGAAACATGGCATGCGCATGAGCACGAACCATGGATTGCAGCGTGGAATTACTGGGACACGAATATGATCTTCTCTGGTAGGGATCTTTCTCGTACCGTTATTGCAGATCATCGAATGTTCACAGGTGGAGATGATCTCACCATGAGAGCATGGGACATACGCCAGGGCTTCCAGCAATCGATATGGATTAATAAACGGTAGCTCATCTACTCACATTCACGATCGATGACGACTACAACCTCCCGCACCATACAGCTTCGATGCTGGGGTCACCACGATCCAAAGCCATCCTGACCTCGAGCACCTCATTGCGGTCGGCAGGTGAGAGTGCAGTTAGCTTGACCTCGTACAGCTTCCGACCCCGTGGTATAGTTACGACGATAAGGTGCAGTTGTTCGACGTGCGGAAGCCATTGAGAGCTCTTACGGAAGTTAACGTTGGCGGTGGAGCGTGGCGCGTCAAATGGCACCCCGCTCCCACCCGCAAGCATGATCTACTCGTCGCCTGCATGCACGACGGCTTCAAGGTGGTGAGATTTATCGGAGATGGTGACATCAACACGGATGCAACCTACGAGATTATCAAGCGATTTGACGCGCACGAATCATTGGCATATGGTGTCGACTGGTCGTTTGCCGGAGAAGATGAACAGGGTCAAACGCTGATCGCCAGTGCTTCTTTTTATGATCACAGATTACACTTGTGGAAAGGTTGATCTACAATAACAACTCTATATAAGCATCCAGGGTGAGGGCGTGATTCTGGCAATATTCGAGTGTGCTGAATGCTGCTCAAGTTGGTGTTGAATCATCCGACCGTGGGTTTCCCGCATCCTTTTCAGGGCTGCCCACGAGGAGTGCCAAAGCTAAGCGAGACAGTCCCCGCAGGGAATTGGGCCCGTGAACTGCTGCAGTAAGGAGCGAGGAAAGAGACGCGGCGAAAATAAGCCTATGCAGTCACGATCAGCGATGGTTTAAAACAGGAGCATGGAAATAGTGTCACCTCTCTGCCACATTAGCGATAGAGCCTCTGGACCTGATCCAAGTGCCCGGCAAACAAGATCGGATCGCCCTAGGGAGGACGTACAATGCCATCTCCCCTCTTCTCCTGCCATTCTCGATCCATATGCTCCCGCCGCATGCGAGGCATCCCGCCAAGATGCATCCGTGCGGTCCATCCCAAAAGTCGTGTGAGATGTAGGGGAAGAGACGCGCGAGCAAACGGGTCCGGGTGAGGCATACGGCGACCCAGATGGATCCAACGAATGAAGCGAGGAAGGATGCGCTCCGGACGATGGCCGCGGCGCGATGTAGAAGGGAGTGTGGGTCTAGAAGATGCGCTGGGCGCGAAATGAGAACCGGCAGGATGTGCACCTATGTTTGCGGTCCTTGAGCGTGGATAGCGGTAGACGGCGGGCAGAAAACGCCTTACAGGAATATATATCTTCAGCGCATCGAAGAATGCTCTCAATCCCCGCCGTCCAGCGTTGACGGCACAACTATGCATCTCCTCTCCTCCGTGCACGATTTCGCACGGAAGACCACCGACGCAAGCACGTCCTGGCACATCTAGACCACGCCAGATGACATTGGCTTTGGGACCGCCATATGCGGGTAGCAAGGCAGGGTTACCCCATGCGGGAGGACAGCCGACCTTGAATGCGAGGTCCTCGACGAGCTTTGGGTGAGATGTCGGAGTCGATCCCCGGACGTAAGACCACTCTCCCGAGCGTATGAACCGGAGCGCAAGTATTAATCGATCATCGATATCGGCGAGGTTAGAGATCCTGTACAGTAACAATCGGTTTGTGGGGTAACAGAAAACGATGGAAAGCTTCTTACCACTTGACGTATGCCTTCGGAAGCGCGTGTGGTTTGTAGAAAAAGCACCACATGATCCTGCGTAGGTCTGTCAGTAACGGATGGGGAAGCATCTTCGGCACGAACCTCGCGCTACATGCCCAGAACACGAAGGCGTCAATGTGAGCGGTCAACTGCTCCGGATTTTTGAAGAGTCTGTCCCTCTTTCTTGACTTCGACTCCGGCCCCGAACCCTTAGGTGCTAGCCAATCCCTCAAACCGGATTGCACTAGCACGTCTATTGCTCGGACGAAGAAAAGCAAGGTCAACTCTAGCGTGGGGGACACGTCCTTCCCGGCATCACCGATTTCTGGCGTGAATGGGATGTCTTGACGTTTCCTGATGCGGCGTCGGTATCGCGCACCGCGCTGCAGCAAGATGACGGTGAGAAGGGATGACAGCATGTTGCAAATGAATGCTCGCCGACGCGATGACAATGAGGCAATCCAACGGCTGAGGTTCAAGTGATTCAGACCTTTTCCGCCGTCCGAGCCCGCGGTAACGTCCCGTGGATGCGCCAAACGATCGAGGAGACGCTGAAGCAATGCACCGCCGCTAACCGCCGCGGTCATGCTGAAGGCAAAGCCGGTCGGCCCAAGTTCACGCTTGAGAACATAAAGCAATTTGCCGACCGTGCCGCGTCGAGCGATGAAGGGGACAAGAGCGGGCCCAAGTGAGAGGGTGAGCGCCAATGTGTATGTCCTCGCAGCTGCTCTGAGCGCAGGATCCCCGAGCACCGGCAACGGTGACCTCGCTGTCTTGCCGCCAGGCTGGGACGACATGGTTGCGGCAAGCAAGCTGGCCCGTGCTGCGTGCACGACTGCAGTTAACGCGGCCGTGGCTCATTCAAACGCGAACCGGTAAAATCACATGCAAACGGCGGCATTTACTATATCAGGAAAAGCGCTTCCATATTTAGTTAATAACAGCATTGGTTCTATTGCTGCAGCATGCAGCTGTACTAATTAATGGTTCGAACCCGGCGGATTGGGCCACGCTCGCGCCGCCTCGTCGATGCCTCGCAAATATCGTAGACGTATAGTTGCCTCTTTCGCTTCCTCCCATTGCTTCTCTCCTATCAGCCGCTCCAGTTCATGTCGTGTTTCAATCATACGTTCTGCGTCGGGGCGTCAATATGAAAGTTTAAGTGCAACAAGGAGACGCCAACCTCGATTTTGTCGCCTGATCTTCTCGACTTGATCTTCGTTCTCGGCCTCCTCCAGTGCCTCTCGAGCCTCCATCACCTCCATTATCAACTCCGGGTCGTCGAGTTGCTCCTCCTCGCCCATTTCAACGCCGTTTTGTTTCAGGATGTATTCCGCCCTCCTCGTAGAGCTGACAAGCGTTTTGTACGCATCATTTACGTGGGATGATAGATTCTCTGCGAGCCGATGCTTCTCCTACGAGAAATTATTGCGACTGTCGTAAGCATATCGGGGGATAACTCACTGGCCCCTTGCTAGACCAGGTATCGGGATGCACCACTCGTTGTACGTTTCTGAATCGGTGCTTCAGCTCCCCAACGTCCACGACGAACGGGTTTGGTTCGTAAGGTATGTCAAAGATGTCGTGATGAGTGAGCGTGGGCGGGGCCGGGGAGATATACGAGCATTTCGCGCAGACCGGCAGGCGGGTTTGAAGCGGTGCGCGGCATGACGGGCAGTTACCGTACGACTTGGGCGTCGAGTTTGTGCTGTTCCAGCGTGATCCCGGTGCAATAGACGGACGCAGGACGGTGCGCGGGACAACGCGCGTCCAAGACGTGAAAGATCGCAACAAAGCCATAGACATGAGAAGGCGATTGCGCGATGACGTCGCGGCGACACTAGCTTTCTCTCTTTTACACCATGATACCCTTTCTCTCCGACTTATAGCATTTGCATAGTCTCTTTCAATGCCAGCACGGATGCCGACCGACGCGTCACCACCGGATGAAGTGCCGCCCGCGACGTCAATGGATGAGCCCCGAGTAGCGCCGCCGGAATGTATGCGTCAGGGCACGTTCACCGGCGCCGATGCCGCCCGTGCGCGCCTCGCGACGAAGAAGCCGATCTTTCCTTTGTGGAGGCACCGGAGGCGGCACGACTCGCAGGAATCAGCTAGCAGTGGCCGGAGCTCGACCAGATCGTCCATTGCAGAACATGCGCAGCCTTCGAGCGTGGAACGCCTGGAGGCACCGACCGGCGGCGACCAGCTTGTCCGCCTGTCATCTTCACTCACTAGCGAGGACGAAGATGATGACAAGGACGTATATCGATGGGCAATTCTTTACGAGAACCAGCGTGGGTGAGTGAGGCTTTGCGTGCAATGCTGCCTCAGTACAACTTGATTTACCGCGCGAGTGCAGCATCACTATCTTTTCAATACCCCGCTATTCACGTCTTGGTCTGCTACCGAACGACCCACCGGCGTTCACCGTACCTGAAGCTCGCGGTGATAAGGACAAACAGCCCCAAGTGTCCCTGGATAACTATCCGCTTCCGGATGGCAATTGGCGTTGGGTATCGAAGAGCTGGATGATAGACATGCGCGGTGACGGTGAGGTCCAGTATGATGGTTTCGAGTACAACTGGTGGTTCCGCTCGCACGGATGGAGGGCAGAGGTGGGGAAGCTGAGTGCAGGAGGATGGGTCAGGCGAAGGAGATGGGTTCGGTTGATGGTCAAGCCGGCCATGATGCACAGGGAGAAGAAGGAACGCGCTATGTCGCAACCTGAAGACGGGGTGCGGGACACTACCTCCATTTCCCTTGGCGGCTCCCACCCGCCTTCAGTTCTGGATGTCCTGCCCTCGGAGATGGAGGGAGAGAAGTGGAAGCACATCTGGCATGATGCCGACGCTGAAGGGGATTGGCGACGGTGCCATGCAGCACTGCGAGAGTTGAACAACGACGGACGCAAGCTGGAGATGTGGAAGGCGTGGCTAGTTGGCCATGGCGACAGACCTCCCGACGTCGCGCTTAGACCGGTGAGGGGGAAGCAATGGACGGAAGACGACGGGCCCATGCCCTCGGAGGTCGACTACGCTAACGCACCCCAGTGGAAGAGGGGTATCATCGCTGATAGGGAGCGCATATCAGCGGTACTGTGCGAGCATGTGTGTTTTGTTGTCCTTGGTCCTTACTGTGATGACCTACTCATGACGCATTGGCCAGGGAGGAGAGATCTTACGTTCCTTTATTTATCCGGAGTCCAGGGTTCAGTTCATCCGACTGTTGGGTGACGCTGGCTTACTCGAAGAACTGCGGTCCGGCGGCGGCCTTTCAGACAGCAGAGATATGGTTGAGTTCTGGAGTTACACAACGGAAGTGGAGAGGCGGAAGACTGGCGACGAGGACCGGACGGACAGCGAGTAATTTATACCATCTCTCTCATTTGGTCGTGGATCACCCTTTCAATGTATATACTCGAGCAATCAATACCTGGCATTGAACCAAAGCATCGCAACGAGCAGTTATTGCTGCCTCTGTTGTGCCGTACATAATGTCGGACGCGACGGGGACACGCTACGCGTCCGGCATTTCCCCACGTGCCTCCGCGTGCGGCTCTGAAGTCTCGCTGGAAACTTTTGCTCGCTTACAATACGCCAGTGCTGCCGTCTACCTGACCGACTGACGTCGTGCCGAACGTTCACAGTGGCCGCTTCATTGCTCGAAAGAACCGTATGTTTGATTCTCGTCAATGGTGTTCGGTGGTGCTCATGCCGCGTGAATGATATCAGAGTCTGCAAGCTCTATGCGTCTTGCTGTTCTCCTCCGCCACAGCAGGCGCCGACTTCTCATGCAATTGGATCCCTCATCAGGGCCTCCCTCTTCTCCGCGTGCCTTCAAGCGTTCCTTCACCCGGCCACCTCGAGGGCACGCACAATCAGAGTCGGCACTGAGCCAAGCGTCAAGCACCTCGCACACGTCCGAGAACCCACCCCCGCCCAAGGCGCCAAAACTCGACCGCCGCGGCTCCCCTCACTCGTCGTTTCACACATCCGCCTCCTCCTCCTCCTTGATGCCCTCGCAGTCAGGCAAGCCACCGAGAGGCCCCTCGCGAGGCCCCTCGCGTAGAGGCAACGCAACAGGATCGTCGTCTCGTTCATCCAGGAGCTCCCGCCGATCAAAGAATCCTCCTCCCCCGAGCCAAACGCTGACCGTCGAAGGTCCCGTTTACGACGAAAAATACATACAGGAGAAGTACAAGCAGACGGAGATGAAATCGTCCTCGGTCTCAAATCCGAAGTCAGCCCTCACGAACTACGTGATGCTGTCCCAGAAGAAGCTGCCGGACTACTCCCATGCAGATGTCGTAGTCGATAAGCGAAGGATGATTCGGTGCGTTGAGTTAGCGACATTAAGCATACCGAACCTTACGATTCCTGTAGGTGTACCGTCAACGCGTCCGATGACCCTCCAGTGGTAGGTGTAGGCGACGGTCCCACCAGAAAAGAGGCCGAAAAGTTGGCCGCATTGAGCGCTTGTTATCAACTTGATGCTCTCAAACTGGTGCGTGCAGTTGATGTCATCACTGTCCTCTTTGCATCGTTGAAGTCTGCCATACAGCTTGATAAACCACCCAAAACTACCACTGAAAAGGCCAGCGGGGGCTCCACTACCGCGATCACGCTCTCAGACGGTACCCCTGTCGATTACGACACTGCCCGCCAGTTCATGGATTGGTACTGTCGCAAGTTCGGGTTTGGCAAAGAAGAGGTCATGTACCAAGAAATACGCCGTCGCAAGGCAGACAGCGCCTGGGAGGCTGTTATGATTGTCGGCGGTCGGCGTATCGGTATTGGATCTGGTCCCTCGAAGAAGACGTCTACTGTCAACTGCTACCTTGACGTGGCGCAATATCTGGAAAGCTGTGACCGGGAATTGTGGAAAACATTCGCGGAGGCTGCCAGGACAGGCAGGGACCTTGGCTTGGCCCCAAGGGTGCTTCTGGCTATGAGCGATCGCCTCGATGACGAGATCCGAGACCTTTGCCACGACATCAAGCGCAGCGACCTCTATCATAACCGTCCCAAGGTTACAACTGCAGGCTCGGCCCTTCCAGCTGCTCTCAGTGGGGCAAGGATGCGGCAGTGGATTTCGGAGCGCTCCCTTGCAGCGAAATCCAGGGCGCTCAAGGAACGAAGAGCGCATTATCTCCAGGATAAGAATATGGAGAAGATGCGGAACGTCCGCACTACGTTACCAGTCTACACCCGAAGCTCGGAGCTACTGAAACAGATTCATGACAACGAGGTCACAATCTGCTTAGCCGCCACCGGTTCCGGAAAGACTACGCAGATCCCGCAGCTCATTCTGGATGATATGATCGACAAGGGCGAGGGTGCGAAGTGCAACATCGTTTGCACGCAACCTCGGCGTCTTGCCGCTATCGGCGTCGCAGATCGCGTTGCGAAAGAAAGAGGAGAAACTCTGGGAAGGACTGTCGGTTATCAAGTTCGATTCGAGCATAAGTTGCCAGAAGAACATGGGTCAATTACCTTCTGCACTACCGGAATATTCCTGAAGCGCATGCAGTCGGCTTTGTTTCAACCTGGGACCACCCTCGATGATGTCACTCATATCCTTGTCGACGAAGTGCACGAACGGGACGTCGACACGGACTTGCTGCTTGTAGTCCTGAAGCGCTTAATCGCGGATCGGAAGGATAGGGGCAAACCGATAAAGGTTGTGCTCATGAGCGCCACCATTGACCCCACGCTGTTCCAACAGTACTTCGCGGACGAGGATGGCAAACCAGCCAGCGTCATCGAAGTGCCCGGACGATCCTTCCCGGTGACGAAGTACTTCATGGACGATTTCGTGCCTACCTTGGCACAGAAACAAAGCACTCGATGGGTATTCAGACAGGATTCGGTCATCAACTACCTGGCGAGCGAACTCGGCCCTGAACAATTACGTGCAATGGGAGTCCCGTCGCCGGTTGACGATCGCATAGCCCAACAAGAACAGCTAGAACTTCCTGTGCCACTCATCGCCCTCACGATCTCTCATGTCCTGCAACAAACAGACGATGGCCACGTTCTTGTCTTCTTGCCCGGATGGGAGGATATTCAAGCGGTTCAGCGGTGTTTACTTGATTCGTCGAATCAGCTCGGAATGCGGTTCTCCGACTCCTCCAAGTATAATATCCACGTACTGCACTCGACGGTGCCCCTCTCTGAACAGCAGGTCATTTTTGAGCCGCCACCAGCAGGCATCCGCCGCATCATCCTATCCACGAACATTGCCGAGACGTCCATCACAATCCCGGACGTTGTTTACGTCGTAGACACGGGAAAGATCAAGGAGCAGCGATATGATCCGGAGCGTCACATGTCCTCCCTGGTTTCCGCCTGGGTTGGTTCGTCCAACCTGAACCAGCGAGCGGGTCGAGCAGGTCGTCATCGCTCAGGAGAGTATTTCGGTATACTCGGACAGAAGCGTGCCGCCGCTTTGAGCCCTTATCAAACGGTGGAGATGAAGCGAGTTGATCTCAGTAACGTGGTCATGCATATCAAAGCACTGGACTTCCCCAACATGGCAGTGGACGAAGTGCTCGCCGCCACGATTGAGCCACCAGCCGCTGCTCGAGTCGACGCTGCCATGGAAGACCTTCAGCGCGTAGGAGCGCTGGACGCCGAGGAGAACCTTACCGCCCTCGGACGGGTCTTGCTCCAATTGCCTGTCGATGCTCAGATGGGCAGATTGGTGCTTTACGGATGTTTCTTCCGCTGCTTAGATCAAGCCCTTACACTCGCCGCGTTGCTGAGCAATCGCGACCCATTTGTGTCTCCGATGCATCTCAAACAGGAAGCTGCAGCGAAGAAACTCTCGTGGTCGCCGACTGAGTTCCGTTCCGATGCCTTGGCAGCCCTGAGGGCTTATAACGCATGGTGGAACATGCATGGGAAAGGCGAATACAGCGCCGCGAATCGATTCTGCTCCGACAATTTCCTCTCGAAGCCTACATTACTCATGGTGCAGAAAATCAAGAACCAACTCCTCCAGTCTCTCTACCACGTCGGAGTGATTGGTGTCTCCGCTGGTGGAGATGTCGCGCCCCCAAGAGGCAGGGACAACGTGGTGCCGGAGGAGCTTAACACCAATGGTGGCTCCTTACCTCTGTTGGCCGGTCTGATTGCCATAGCAGCACAACCGAACTTCGCCGTAAGGACAGGCGAGAAATCGTTGCGGACTCAACAGGACAAGGTGCGTTTGTGTCATCGTGATAGTGTAAGACGTATTCATTGATTATTTGCAGATGGTATTCATCCATCCTTCCAGTGTCAACAATCGCAAACATGAAGTTAGCGCTGGAACTGATGCACCTGTGGAGAAACAGCTCTACGCATTTGCAGAAAAACGTCAAAACGTTTCCTCCGTGACCAGTGGTCCCGCTCAGAAGTACCTCGTGACCACCACGCGTTTGGATCCGATGACCTACGTGCTGTTCGGAGCCCATAAAATTGTGGTGGCCGAAAGGGGATTAGAATGCGACGAATGGTTGCCCATTGTCGGAAACGTCGATGCACTCGACGATATCCAACGCCTGAAATATCTCATGGAGGAATGCTTCCTGCGCGTTTTTGCAGGGATCACCTCCGGGAGACGGCATCAACACACACGTGCGGTACCGATACCTCCTCCTCCCCGGGATGCCGAAGAAGAGGAAGAGTCTGGAAGCGAAGATGACGAGTCGAAAGACTACTCCTTGACCAAGGTCGAGATTGCTGAATTCGATCAGTTCACTCGCGACATCGTGCGCGTGCTGAACAGATACAACGAAGAGCGAATACAGACGCAATCGCGTCAGAACTCTCGTCCAGGTACACCTATGGGGTCACCGCTCTCGTCGCCTTCTCTCGGAGGACTTTCCCGCCTCCCGTCGTTCGCCGGCAGTCGTTCTGCCTTCAACTCGAGGCCTGGCACTCCCAGTCCTTTAGCACGGCGCCCTTAGCTGCGACACTCGGAAGGCAAACAGTCCATCGACGTTGCATTCAGTAGAGTTAAAGAACTCTAAATAGTAAATACTTACCAGACATCAGTAATGCGTTTCGTCTTGAACCCCCTTTCACTACTCCATGCTTGCCTGGCCATTATAACTTAGGATCGTCGACGCGACTTGTTTGAGGCACGTGTAGGTAAATCACAATTACGTATTACACTGGTCGACCGGTCAGTTGCCGGCTAGTACATGCGCGTCGCCAGCTCGGTGAACACTACCTCTGTTGCGTCAATATCCAAACCTATAGTCACGATTTCCTGGGCGTGGCCTTATTGCCCATCATGGCGACCAATATGCGTGGGCTCACGCAGGTCCGGCACATGTTGAAGTCATCTGTTCTTGCGCTTACCTTTCGGTAGTTCATTGCGGATATCAGAGGTGCCAGGGTCCGCGAACTAGAAGAGAAACGTATCAACAAAGAGATGGCAAACATACGGAAGAAGTTCAAAGGTCCGTGTGCTGAAATGAGTGCAGGGGACGTAGCGCTGAACAAGTGGATGCAGACGGGAATCTAGATGGATACCAGAAGAAGAAGTAAGTGACAACGAACTGCGACAGCTTTGCTCTAATCGGGCGACCTTCACAGATATGTTGCCAAGATCATATTTACCTATATTCTTGGTTATAAAGTGGACGTTGGGCACATGGAGGCCGTCAATCTCATCTCAAGCCCCAAATACAGCGAGAAGCAAATAGTAAGTGGTTCGCGCGGTCCACCACATTCCCTTCGTTTAACGTTATGTTGACTTAAGGGCTATCTAGCGGTCACTCTGCTTATGCACGAGAACTCTGATTTCCTGCGCTTAGTTGTGAATTCTATCCGTAAGGACTTGGACTCGAACAACGAGATTGACAATTGTCTTGCTTTACATGCCATCGCCAACGTTGGCGGAATGGAGATGGCGGAAGCTTTGGCGGAGGACGTGCATCGTCTTCTGATATCCCCGTACGTGAACTTGATTTTTGTTGCCGACATGGGCTTCATGGCGGATATCCAGAACATCCCAGAGTTTCGTGAAGAAGAAGGCCGCCCTCACTTTGTTACGACTCTACCGGAAACACCCGCAAGTGATTCCGGCCGATGAATGGGCGCTACGGATTGTATCGCTCATGGATGACCCAGACTTGGTAACACATCTGCGATATCTTTTCACCAAAGACTGCTGAATGTGTCATCATAGGGGGTCGTGCTTTGCGTCACGAGCTTGACTATGGCAATGGCTCAAGACCATCTGGAGGCATATTCGGTATGCTACCAGAAGGCGGTGGACCGCTTATACCGGGTAGGCTTCTCTCCTGCATTTGTCACTTTCATACCCTAATGTTTCCCTCAGCTCGTTGTTGAACACGAGTATTCTGGGGCGTATGCATACTACAAAGTTCCCTCGCCGTGGCTGCAAGTGAAGCTCTTGCGGTTGCTCCAGTACTACCCACCCCCAGGTTAGTATATCTGCTTTTGAGTTCGTTATACCCACTCAGATGCCCCAGAGGATCCTACAATCTACGATATTCTTCATACCGTACTCGAAACGATTATGAACAACTGTTCCGAGCCTTCCCGAAATGTCCAGCATAACAATGCACAGCATGCCGTATTATTCGAAGCCATCGGGCTGGCTATCCACGTGGACTCCAACTCACCCTTGGTCGGCACCGCAGCAATCCTACTCGCTCGCTTCATATCCTCGAAGGAGACAAACGTGCGGTATCTTGGTCTCGACACCATGGCGCATCTCGCTGCACGTGCGGATACACTGGAGCCTATCAAGAAACATCAAGGCACCGTCATCCTCTCACTGCGTGATAAGGATATCTCAGTTCGCCGCCGTGCCCTCGATTTGCTATACAGCATGTGCGATGTTGACAACTCGGAGCTGATTGTGGGAGAACTGCTGAGATATCTCAAAGTGGCCGACTACGCATTGCGCGAAGAGATGGTCCTGAAAATAGCCATCCTCACGGAGAAATACGCGAACTCCTACAAGTGGTATGTAGATACCATACTGGATCTCATCAGTGCTGCTGGGGACCACGTCGGCGACGAAGTCTGGTACCGCGTGGTGCAGATTGTAACGAATACGGAGGATCTGCAAGAATACGCTGCCAAAGTCGTCATGGAGCACTTGAAGCAGCCATCCTCGCACGAAAGCTTGGTGAAAGTCGGTGGTGGGTCATATAGATCTTCACACAACAGTAGCTTCTGTTCCAACGAATTACAGGTTATATACTGGGAGAATATGGGCATCTCGTCGCCAACGAAACGGGCTATACGCCAATGGAACAGTTCCAGCTTCTGCACTCCAAATCGCAGTTCTGTGTGGCGTCCACGAGATCTCTTCTGCTATCGACCTATATCAAATGGGTCAATGTGTTTCCCGAAATCAAACCTCAACTCTTGAATGTCTTCGAACGTTATCGCCACGTTCTCGATGCCGAACTCCAGCAACGAGCTTGTGAATACTATGCCTTGGCGTCTCGACCAGAAGACGACGAGGTGTTACAGAATGTATGTGAGGAGATGCCCCCATTCCCTCCGCGTACAAGTGCCTTACTCGGGCGCTTGAACCGCAAACATGGCGATACAGAGGATAAACGTACTTGGATCCACGGAGGCAAGGAAGCTAACGACACCCGCCAGCTGATGGTGGCGAGCAGGGCGCCTGGATCGATCACGAACGGGATTGCCAATACCGCTGGCCCAAACACCGATAACATTACGGAATCACTGAAGGGTCTTGAGATTGCTCCTACTTCTCCAGATCACGCAACGGGAGCATCGCATGCAGGAACATCCTCTTCGGCCTTTGCGTCACCTGCACATTCCATTCCTCATCTTACGATTGGTCCGAATGTTGATCGGTGGTTCGAGAAACTCACCTACAACGCAGAAGGCGTACTCTACGAGGATGTCCAGATTCAAATCGGGATCAAGTCGAAATTTCAAGGCCAATTTGGTCAGCTCGCCGTATATCTCGGCAATAAAATCTCTGCCGCTATGACCTCCTTCACTACTCGGATCCACAACGTTGACCCAGCCTTCCTCTCTGTCACCCTGGCAAAGATGCCACCCAATATGATCGCTCCGCGCACTCAAACCCAGCTCCTCCTTCAAGTCGAGTGCAAGAAGGTGTTCAAAGATCCGCCTATCCTAGAAGTATCATTCCTGTCAGGATCACACCAGACCATCGCTATCAAACTCCCCTTAGTGATTACGAAGTTTTTCGAGCATGTCAAATTCAACCAGGCCGACTTCTTCGAGCGATGGAAGCTGATTGGTGGCCCACCTCGAGAAGCCCAGGCCATATTTCCCATATCCCTGAATGAGGCTGGTCAAGTGGACCTGCACAAGAACCGACAAGTGGTTTCTGGCCACCGCTTCAACGTCCTCGACGGTATTGATCCAAATCCCAACAACCTCGTAGGAGCAGCGGTGCTTCATACGTCAACAGATGGGAAAGTCGGGTGCTTGCTGCGGCTCGAACCCAACAAGGAAGCGAAGGTGAGTTTCGCTTGGTATACTGGAGCTATTAAGTTCAGCTAATGTTTTGGATCCTCAGCTATGTCGAATCACGGTCCGTAGTACGTCGGAGGAGGTTGCAGCTGCCGTGCAGCAGCTGGTACAAGCGCCATTACAGGCCATTTAGCCATTGCACATCGTACATGCTTGCATTTTGGACTATCCGCGATTATCAGCGTACTGTAGCTTATCTATGGATATCTGGCATGTGGCCTCATGTAGCTTTGGCGTGTATCTGACCTCGTGGGTAATATTGCACTGGCGGACAACACGTGTACCGTGCAATGTCAATTTGCTATGGTCTTCACCCAGCACGAGAAGACTAGCCGCCTGCTTGATGTTCGATCGAGCATCGTCTTCTCTAGAACCTGATAAATCGCACATATTCTGCTTCCCCAATGGCAAACCTATTCGCGTCTTCGTGGAGGCCGGTGAAATCCAAGGTATGCCAAAATTGGTTCGCACTTTGCGAGTGAGTGCAAAACGACTTCATGTCCACCAAAACATTGAGCAGCCGCGCGATAGAACGGTGGAGCCACCGTGTCTGGCGTTTCCAAAGAGGATGCGGATATAATTCTCATTGACTCGTCGGGTGAAGAAGGTGGTAGGACCATTGAGGCTTGGGGCCACGAGAGTTCGACCACCGTTTTGGACGCCGGATGGGTGAGACGCTGCGTTGCAGCAGGGAGAGCTCTCTTGTCCTCCGACGATTTTGGGGGCTGCGCACGAACGACGGATGGCACTGGGTCTCCGCACATATCGTCCGATTCGAACAACATGTCGGTGTGTCATTGTCAAGCTGCTCGCCGCTTGCCTAACACCGTACTTTGACACAGTCCACCACCCTGGGCCCGAAGATTCGACGAACTTGCTGCCTCGCCAACTAGGAGTGACCCTATGCCACAACCTGACACTTCTGCATTCCAACCGAAAGGTAAAGACAGGCCAATGGCCGATGCCTCTCACTCAGCGCCCCCTGATTCACCGATGCATCCTCCCTTCCTTTCGTCTCGTTCAACCCCAGTGGATCCCCAACCATATGCCCAGACAACTTCACAGCGATCAGATCAGCCATTGCACTATACACCTTCCGCATATGCCCAAGCTTCCGTTTCGAGTCACCCCCAAACTTTTGGAGCACATCCGATGAACATGGCACAATTTGTCCCAGCATATCATGCCGCTTCCATGCAAGCGCCGTTTGCCCAAGCATCGTTACTTGAATCAACGAGACAACAACTCGGCATGGATCCCACACAGTTTCAGGCTCTGTTACAGCAGCAGATGCAGCTACAGCAGATGCAGATCCAGTTCCAGCAACTTGGCCCGGATCCCACAATACTCCAAGCACTTTTCCAGCAGCTACTGCAGCAACAGCAGTTTCAAATCCAGTCCGGTTTCGCTACTCAGTCTCACATGCTGCAACAAAGCCCCAGTGCGGGTCTGCATGGCATGCTCGCGCCATTTCCTGCCTTTCCTATGAATCCCTCGCTCCTTCCGCGGACACCCCCGTCTTTCGGCTCGTACTCGTTACCGCAGGACGCCGGTTCATTAGGCGCACCCTCGGCTGTGGCTAGCGGCAGTGTGCAACCCACTGTGGCTCCCGATCCTTCTATGTCATCAGCCACAGGTTCAGTTTCCGAGTCCCACGTTCAGCACAACCGTGTCGGTATCAAGTCGGACAAACAAGCGAAAGCGACAAAACCATCCCGGGTCAAGAAAAACAGCATAGCTGAAGCATATCCGTCTAGCTCCTCCCGTCGGGTATCGAGGACATCTGCCTCTCCGCCCGCTGCATCCGCACCACTATCCCATGAACCACCACAGTCGACAATATCGCAGTTCTTTAGAAATAACCGCGGCCAACCCCTTCTTTTCTACATCCAGGTGGACCTCAGAAACCGTAACGATGCCGTGCAGCAGGTCAAGGTGTGTTTCAGTATCTTGTGCTGTTCATCCAGGCTAATTATCGATGGCAGAGACACGGAGGCAAGATCACGGCCGATATTGGTCAAGCGGATTATGTCATCCTCAATCCCCAAAGCAGCAAAAGCCAAACGTCATACACGTACTTGTTCGAATCAGCCTTGGCAGCAGATCAGGTTCCCCTGCAACCGACTTATATTCGCGATTGCACAATCAACAAGACATTACTTGAGATCGACAACTACATAATTACGCCTCCGAAGAGCCTACGGGGAGGTCATCCCAACGGCAAAGATGGCAGTCCCAAAAGAAACAACGTCCAAAAAGGCCGGGCATCCATGTCTCACTCAGGAGATGGCGTAGGTGGAGACGGGGAAAAACCTGTGTCCAGGAAGAGGGCCCGCGTAACGTCCATTTCCGAGGGAACGCAGGGCCGAAAGGGTGGTGATAAGAGGAAAGTGACTGAAGCTGCAGAATCTTTGGCGCCATTTCGACAACCAACGCCGTTAGCCGCACCTGAACCCTCAGACCAATGTTCGTACAACGAACAAGATGTCGATTATCATCAGTTGAGTGAGATGGGCTACTCGAAGGATACCTCCCGTGGATCGGAAGAACCGACGGCCGGTTCTGACAATCCTCGACCGGATGGACATCCGGAACACGCACAGCCCACGAACGGACAGGACATCCTCACCCAGTCGGCCTCACGAGACGCCCACTTTGATCGCGATCTGCAGGTTGTTTCCCAGTACCTATTCTTGTCGGATGATTTAGAGAATCGTTCTGAAGCCGAAGTTTGGGGCATATTGGATGAGCAGGTAAACGTCGCGAATCATTCGAGTACGGCTGGTATTGATGGTGATTCTGAATTAGACACCCTGTCATAGCTGCCCATCTTGGGCAGGTGAGTGACAGAACATCTAGGTACCACACTGGTTTTTATCGTGTACAACAGACTTCTACGGATACAATCATGAGCTTGTCTCTCGGCAGGTGGAGGAGTTGTTCCAGATCTCAAGACGTTCAGACCATGGTACGCTAGCAAAACTGGAACGCAAACATTAATCCGCAAATGCTCGTACACGGTGCACATGGTTCTACACTGCAGTATCATTATTGTTATTTGGCTATGTAGGTGATGGCCTCTTATTTGTGATGTGTTTTAGCCTAGCTTCGTCATATGCATAGTAGAATACGGTTACTGGTCTTACGGTTGTTTACATCCATCACCGCCGCGACAATATTCCGCGGAAAAGATTCTTCTTCTTTCGATTGGCATCATCAGGCACTAACGAATTGCTTATATGAGAGGACAATCCTTCGTCTGCGGATTCCACGCATTTCAAGGCCGACTCGGTCGATGCCGCTTTCTGGTGCGAAGTCCTCACGAAAGCAGCCCTCGGCGGAACGAGCGCGTCGGTGGTGTCAGGTCCAGAACTGATGGCCGTCTTTGGTTCTGAGTCCCGTCGTTGCGAAATGAGTGAGGATCCCGGAAGCTGCAAACCGTTGTCCCGAGGTAATGAGAGTTCACTTCCACTGGCAGATGGTGCTGTAGATGGGCGAGACAGCTTGCGCGAACGAGGGCTGCCGCGCGTGGTCGCGTCTCGGGCGGCGGAAGATGGCGCCTTCTGCCGTGGGGGATGCGAAGGGTAACCAGGATTGGGCAAGGTAAGAATAGAGACGTTTCCTGGCGATCGCCTCGATAGATTTGCGAGCTTGTTGACTTGTCTGTGATGGAGAGTCGTTATCATAGCGCAAGATGAACGTGCATGCATGTCTTACCTCAGGGCGCGTTCCTCAACCTTGAAACAACGAGCGCGAAGCGCAATCACGGGCTCATGCCTCGATCTGCTGTCGATGGTCGAGGCGGTTGTTTGCGTTTGTCTGATCACCGCCGAACTGACAACGGCTAGGTGCTTGGGCACATCAAGGAACAAAGTGGGGTGTGAGATTGCCTCGCGTGCAAGCATCGGTAAAGATTGACGGCGCTCGCGGAGAACGTGAAGAGCGTGCGTACGCCCGTGGACAGCGCTAGCAGTACCTGGGATAATCGACGGCTTGCGTTGCTCGAGCACTGGTGTCGAGATGTATAGAATGTAATCCTTCATCTGGGGGAGGCTTTCGCTGATGAATGTCTTGACACGAGGCATTCTGTCGTTCCTCGAAAACGACATCTTGAGGTTGGCTAGCGTTTGGATATATTTGGCGATGTGTGTCAAACTTCTCCGCACAGCCAACTCAGGAAGTCCTTGACAAGGCTTTGATGTTATGAGGCGCGGCAATGTATACAATGTACTCACCAGGGATCAGACCAAAGAGATGGGGGTTAAGAATGGCAGGGACGATGAAACGCAGGAAGCAGAACGCGCTTACGGCGTGTAAGGCGTCGTTAGTTGGATATCCGTCTATGCCTGGCTGCGCCTGGACGCGTTGTCCGACCCGCAATCGGATGTGTTCAAACACACGGCGCAGCTCACTGGCAGGAAATAGAGTATATGAGTTACGAATAGCTTGTTCATTCACGGATTCACGCACTGAGGGCACCCTGTTCTGTTCCTATATATCTGATCCCAGAGTTCCTGACACCAATCGGCGAGCGCATCGGAGGACCGTTCCATTTCTTTAGCAGTTTTTGTTTGCCCTTCATCCATATCTAAAGCCACTTTCTCGGAGCATAGGCGACGGATAGTCTTACCCACACTGGCCTCCAAGAAGGAGTGACCAGTGTCAAGCATTATCAGTTCCATAGTCTTCGAAAGAGCGGTGCTCGCCCTGAAGAGAGTATTCTGGGCTGAAGGATCACGAAGTTAGGTTCGTACACAACAGTAGTGATAAAAAAGGGATGATTACAAGCTAATGTGATGTCCTCCACCTCCCGAGAGGCCATCTCCATGATCTGATCTATCAACACGTCCCGCGATCTTGCCAGGGCTATCATGGCCCGACATAGGTTATTGTGTTGTTGATGCGCTCTCAGATCCGCTATCCAATCCAAACAATTGCGTGAATTGAGTTCCTGAACATCTGTTAGACTGTCTCCACCCGTCCAGGAATGCACCCTTACATCGTGCAGTTCAGTGTAAGCGCTATAAGGAAGTATGATCTCTCTGCGGCAAAGTCAGCTTGATAACGGAGGGAGCTCAGGGACTGACTCATCGACCTGCACTGAGAGTTGCAGTTCGCCAACTTGAGCTTGTGTCGAGCCGGGTTCTCCCCGCAACAAAGGCCACCATCCATCGATCCTATCTCCACGTCGGAAGTTGGCGAGAACGATATCCACAGTTCCGACCTCGACCGGCTTTGATAACCGCCTTTCACGAAAAACAACGATCGTGAGGTTGTCGAACGGGGGCATGTCCGAAAACGAGAATGTTTCCTTGTAATGCAGTCCATCGACGGCGTTCTGGACGGTAGTGCGTCCTCCTAGTGTGTCGTTGATGTATATCTCGCAGAAGACATCCATGTCGACGCCATGGAGTGGAGGAGACTCCGGCGAAATGTCAGAAGATGGGCCCGAGCTCGATCCGCCCTTGCTTGCACCAAAGCCGGAAGACATGACGCCCAACTTGCGCCCCTGGATGACGGTAAGTTTGGCTTCACGCCACATCCGGTATAGCCCGCCCTCCGCAGAAAATGGACGGCCATAAATCTCTGGCATCGCATACGATCGCAGCAGCGCAGTCCAGATATCGAGTGTATCCGTATCGGCAAAATAGAGATACACCGGAGCGTCGGCTCCAGCAGACGACCATCGCTGACCTCTGCATTTTTTGCATGAGGTTTTGCAGCGAAACGGCGGAGGAAATACATACGGGACACAGTGGATGCCTAAACAACTCCTTCGACAAAACAGTGACTTATCGGCATGTCGAATATCGGTGTGATTCAGGAGATGTATTTGGATTGTATGGCAAAGAGTTGTCTCCTATGAGCAGTCCAGCGCATGAATATATTCGGGCTTTATGAACGTGACCGTACCTCGAGATATACGCGCAATACGCAACTGTCCCCCTCTTCCGAGAGTTTACATGTTGCCGGGCGCCATTGGCCGGCAACGGTCGAGTTCCGGGTGAGGTTGAGCCAACTGGACTTCTCTAGCCATCATTCGTGAGCGCATATTCCATTGGTCGCCGATATGCTGACCTTTAAGCTTGCGCTGTCCTTCCTCAGCGAGCGGTCGTAAGAAGTCGAGTTTGCCGTCCGATTTCTTCTTCTGCCCCAGAGCCTGGCCGCGTCGTGGTTAGACGGGGGTCAGGTACGGAGTGTGGTGGTGCTCACTCTTCGCGAGCTACTACCCGCCCCTTTATTCGGTACGTATACTTCAACGGAAACAAACAGTTCGCGCCCCTCTGTCAACCCGGAGCTGGTCGCGCGGCGCGGTGAAGAAGGATTGGATTCGATATGATACATGGGGATGAACGAAAGGCAACAACGCGTTGTGCTACAGCCTCATAGGAGTCAGAAGTGCTCACAACCATGCTATGTAAGTAGCTACAGGCTGATATGAAGATCCATGTGAACGACCGCCGCCGAGGCCGCCAGTCCGATCAAATCTCATTTCAGTGCCTGGTCGGCGACCCCATCCTTCCCCATCGCGTCGACATCCTCACCAGAACTGGATCCAGTTGCAATCCTGTCGGTCTTTATCGTCGTCCGAATCTTGGTATACCGTTGTTCTATTGTCGCCCGACGAGACCCTGTTTCCGTGCGAACCATCCCAATCTCCGATATATTCTGTTGGCGTACGGGCAGCGCAGCATCCGGCCGTTCCGCTACCGGGACCACGTCGGCAATCTACCTACCTACCTACCTGCGCGCTGGAGAAGGAGCGCTGAGCTTCTGCGGACACTTTATTCTTTTATGGTATATGGGAGATCATGCTGGCGCGACATCGTCGGGCTTGTCGCACAAATACCAGCTCCCGCGCTGCCCCCGCCCCTTCCCCGGACGGCAGCAGGAGTTGGGGAGTTGGTGTTTTGGGCTCCTTCACGTGTCGCCGTTCAATCCGACTGTGAACGGTCCACACTACCTGCATCATTGCAATGATCATGAATATTAGACAACAGTATGGACGCAAGTGCTGAACAGTGAAAAGGCGTGCAGATGCGCTGGATATGTGACCAGTATGGTATGGTATATGTCCGGATGCTCTAGTTGACCAATGCCTTATATGCCCGACGTTCAATGACCCTCGCCCTGTTCAATGACCCTTTGCGTGTCTGTATGTGCGCGTTAGACTTTGACTACCCTGTACTGGCACTGGGACATACCCGTTGACCACACCATTGCCGTTAGCCACGCCATTGGCGGTACTGTTGCCGTTGACGAGCGGTTTCGCCCTGGCGGGCTTCTTGTACGTTTGAATGTAAAAGTTGATGAAAAGGAAAAGGTAAGAGGTGAGAAGTCCGCATCCGAACAACGCCGCGTTCTCAGTGCCCGCGCAGCTACCGAGCCGTGGCAGGTCGAACGAAGCCCAATGGGTGGAGGCGTAGTAGGAGTACGCTTCAAGAGGGATTCAAAATACGGTCTAAACAAGGCAAGGGGTCCGACGTACTCGCGAAGTAGACGACGAAGAGGTCGATTACGAACTGAGTAATTTGCATGGAAGTAAGGTACTTTTTCCACTGTAAAACGATTAGCAGAGCGTAGGACCACAGCCAGGCAAACATACCCAGATCTTGGCACCTCCGGCGGTGGCATAGTAATAGTAATCTGCACAAGACCTGAGTTCATGTAGATAGACGGAAGTACCCAGACGCATACACATTAATACATGCACAGCGAGGTTGAGGGTGATGACGACCCAAGACTAAACCACGAAATCAGAACCCGGTCGCGGAAATACATCGAAACACACATACCACGCTAGTCTTGCCATTAAGTTGAGACCAACACAGCAACGCAGTAGCAGAGTGGTGGAATACGTGCAAGAAGGCTGAAGTCATGTCAATTGGAATGGCAGCACAGAAAAGACGCGATTCTCACCTAGAGGTTTCTTCTTCAATGCGAGGAAAACGGTGTCCGCAAGCTCCCAGTACTTGAAATAGTAGTTGATCATATAGTAGAACTCCATCCGCTGTTGAATCAGGTCAGGGTCGGCTTCGCGATATTAGGACTAGCAGCGCACCCTTGTCCATGAGCTTTGGTGACACATTGCGTAGAAGATTCCATGTTTCCATGCAATGGGTGCAATTTCCTCCATCATGAGGGTGAGAAGGAGCAAGCTACCACTACTGAGAAGCACGTTGTGGAGTTGGAACAGAGTGGTGAGCTTCAAGGGTTGCTTGTCCTTCATGTATTCACGAAGGCCAAAGACGAGGACCAAGTAACCGACGAGCCCCGCGACGACCTCGGGAGTCGTGGAGAGAGGGGTTTTGCCAACGACATAGTGCGTATAGTGATACGGAACGTTGGGCAAAGGAAGGTGAGTGACCAGAAAGTCGGCGAGAGGGGCCATGGCGGTGGGCGGGTTCGAGCAGGGGCAAAACGCCAGCGGGACGCGTCGAGGAAAGAATTTGCGCCCCAGCCGACTTTTCGCTCTTATTCGCTCGCGGGCACGTGGCCCAGCCAATCACGAGCGTTGTGTTCGGGTCAGACCATTCCCGTTCCAGTCCGCTTACAACGCTGACTAGCATCAGCAATCCAGAACTTATGGAGCATCGACGAGCACTGAGCGGCAACGCTCCCGGCATAAGATGATGTTCTGCATGATGCACAGGTCATGAGTACCACTTTGATATGACGGCGTGTAGCAGCGTACTAGACCGAGCGTCTGATAAGTACTCGCACGTTTTGCTCGAGGAACATTCTCAATGATATCGAATAGATGCCAGTTCAAGCCAGTCCCTGCACTTCCTGCGAGCGACTTCCCATTTGCCGACGCTCTGCGATGCGTTCTGTACTTATTCACGCCACTCTAATGTCATGAACAGTGCTTCGGGTCGTTCAACAGGCAGAAGGACGAGGTATTCAACTGTGGTCGCGTCTCTTGCACGTCTCAGTCATTTCCTTCGCTCTTTCCCGCGGATCGGTTCCGACCAAGTCCCTTGATAGATACTTGACATGTGCGGTTCGATACCATTGTAAGGGATTGAGGCTGCGATGCATACCGGTATGAATGAGTTTTTGGGTAGGTCAGCTGTGCGCAGGAAGGTGCGCACCTTGAAGGAGCGAGGGTCTAAATATAGTCACAATGATCGTTCGAAATGGAGCGAACGCAATTGGCCAACGGGCTTAAGTATTCGCGAGCCATGGATCACGGCGAGAATCCGGGCAGGTTCTGATTATTAAGTATACATATATAGAGCTTAGCGCTGGCGAAAACACAGCATGTTAGCATCTTGTGAGACAGCAGTCTTCAACGATTTTTATTGAATCCACAGGTGAAATTGCGAGAGCCATGCGGGACAATCCATGCTAGTGTATGTTACATTTGCGGGTAATGCGAGAAGCGACGAAACTGAGCAAAGAAGTATTTCCAGAAAGATGTCGAGATGACGATGACAAAATGATACCACCGGCTGGCACATCAGCTGATGATGAGCGCAGAGCCGTGCTCCAATTCGGTCAAGAGCACCTTGCCCCTGTCATGGAGTCGAGGTCAGGACATGAACACGAGGGCTGAAGGTTGAAGACCACTGACCTGCCAGTGAGCTTGGCGTCCTTGGCTGCCTGAAGAGTCATCCGTTTCGCCTGCGGACCATCGAGGTGGGGAGGAAGCGCACAGACAACACAGAGAGGCGAGCTGGTAGGTGCTAGACGGTAGGACGCTGGGATCTGCAACCATCATGAGACCCAACTCATAGAGCGGTACGTGCAGAAGAGACGTACCCCAGCTGCGGCCAGAGATTCAATCAAGCCGTGGATGAAGACCAGAAATCGTGATTTCAGGTCATGAAGGTCGTGCAGGTCAAGATCTGCATGCGAGTCAACGCTGCGTCCAGGATGGTGTGCACGACAATACATACCACAATCAGAGTCCGGACACCATGTCGGGAGTCCGCAATAAAAGCGCACTGGGCCTCCAGACTGCTGAAGACGTCTAGCAATTACAGGATGAGCCCCGAAACGAAATATAATCGCGAACAACGTACTTTGCAAAGAGCTCGAGTGCGTCGCTATGATTGCCGAGCTGTACGAGTTTGCCTCGGTATGAGATCCTCTGAGTCGCGTAGTCGTGTGACCATTCTGACCTCCTGTATACCCTGTACGGAACGGGACTCAAAAAGAGGCGAAGGAGGAGTTGTGAGGGTTGCCATCATGCTGGATATGTGCAGGGAGGTTCTCGTGGACAGAGCGGTAGGGGAAGGCGACTCTTCCCCATGACCAGCCTCCCTTAAGGCGTTGCCAAAGCGGAAGGAACCGGCACGCGGCGAAAGCACGGATGTCCGGGCCCGTGGACGACTGGCATGGATTTACGTCTCGACGTGGTCCACGCCTCCGCGCACCGTATCTGGGGCTCCAGCCCGACCCCGGTGTGGGTCGCAATTGACGCCGGCCTGGCCAGAAAGATTGTTATTTTAAGTATAAACTATCGGCCGCGGTCACGAGCGCTCGAGATCTCGTCGTTATCACAATCGTCTCCAGACACACAAGCTCGCGGCTCGCAGAAGACGTCATCAACATAGCCTCTGCTGCATGCTTCGGCGCTCGCTTTCCCCTTTGAACGCTCTGCACGACGCGCGGCGTCTTAACGAAACGATCTCACGGGCGCGCGTATCGAACCGATTGATACTGCAAAGAGCGCCCGTACAAAGAGTGGGAGGCTGCAGAAACCATGGTTTGGTGGACCTCACCAGCGAAAGAAGTCCTCAATGTCGTGAGTGTTCTTGGCGTACGAGATTCACCTTCGATGCAGTGACACTCGGAACATCAGCTGTTCAACAGGATTCTCGCCCCTTATGTCGAGAACCTGGATATGAACCAGGTCAACTACGGCATAGGACAAGGTATGTTCCGATTCACGGCGAGCGATCCTGACTGACTGACCCGGCGCTCCGTAGGTCAACTGACGCTCCGGAATTTACGATTGAAGAAGGGCGCTCTAGACAAGTTCAGACTCCCGGTAGATGTCATTGAGGGTGCGCGATACGTTTCGGGGAAGGCGCGATCCCCACTCACCTTCTTCCAGGGCATCTGGGCACGTTCACGCTTTCCCTGCATTGGATGAACCTCGGCAATCAGCCCGTGGAAGTCTTTGTCGAGGATGTATACCTTCTCGTCGTTCCCTCACCGCAAAGCAGCGATGATCCGGAGGAGGATGAACGAAGAGCGCAAGCGGCCAAAGCCGAACGCATACAGAACGCGGAGCTGCTCCATATGCGCGGGCAGGCAGAGGCGCCTGAAGGTGCGTAGAACACATACCCCTTCCCTATATTCAAGCATTCGTCCCTTGTGCTGACCGATGCGCGTAGGAGAAACCCAGCAATCCCAAGGACTTATTGCCTCCTTGATTGCGAAAATCGTGAACAATCTGCAAGTGACCGTCAAGAACATCCACGTCCGCTACGAGGACAAAATGAGCGTACCAGGAGTGCGTTAGAGCTCATTATACGAACTGTCTGGTCCCATTTTGACTCACATGTATGCATAGCACCCCTTCGCGGCTGGTTTGACTGTGCGTGATCGCCCCGACCAGCGGCACATTGGCTGATGTCTCTTCAGCTTTCGGGCTTTTCCGCAGCATCTGTGAACGATCAATGGCAGCCCGCTTTCATTGAGAGTACCGCTGGGAAGATTCACAAGGTTTGTCCCCTCGCTCCCGCCTGATTTAGAGCCGTGCTTAAACCGCAGATAACAGCTCGGCAAACTCGAATCTTTAGCTCTATACTTCAATACCGATGCCGAGAGCTTGGAAGGGTTACCCCACGCAGGTTTTGTTAAGCGATTCTATGACTCGGTATGCATGCATTGCTCTCGTACCTCCACGCAAACTGAGTTTAGCAGATCGCCAATACCGAAAATCATCCAGAGCACCAATTCATCGTGAAGCCCATTAGCGGCGAAGGACGAGTAGGTGACGGCCTGTAGTGATGGTAATCTATCTAACTCTTGCGCAGATCGTTATGAACCACAAGCTCGACAAGGATACTCCACGGTTCGATGTGCAGCTCCTCTTCGACGAGATTGGCCTCGCTTTGGATGACGATCAGTACCGCGACGCGATTTCGTTGGTGGACATGTTCCACTTCTATGCTCGCCAACATCAATACAAAAAGTACCGTCCGTCCGAGGAGGAGTTCCGGAAAAATCGGCCTCGAGCTCTGCTCGACTTTGCCGGCAAAGCTATACTTGCCGATATCCACGATCGGCACCGGCGGTGGACATGGGCCTACTTCGCGGAGAGGAGGGATGATCGGATAGCATATGTCGATCTTTTCAAGAAGAAGCTTCTCAGCCAGCTGGCTGGAATGGTAAGGTCGTTATATCAGCTAGCGACGATGCTTTAACCTCGGGCGCAGGATCTTAAACGATTCGATGATCTGGAGAAGAAGCTGTCGTATGAAGATATCCGTTTCTATCGGTCGATAGCGAGGTCACAGCTCCGGAAGGATATCGCTTCGCGCCGGAAGCTTGAAGAAGAAAAGAAGACCCAGCAGCCTTCGACACAACAAGCGTCGTCAGGAGGCTGGACGTCTTGGATTTGGGGATCATCTCAGCCTGACAAGCCCGCTGAAGAACAGGACGCGTTGTTCGGCGGTCCCATGACCGAGCAGCAACGCAAGGAGCTCTATAGTGCCTTAAACATGGACGAGCAGGACGAAGTCGCAAACTCCCTGGAAGCTCCTCGTGATGCTCTTAAGGCTCGTGTCCACGCCAAACTGAGCAAAGGATCATTTACGTTACGACGAGATCCACATGGGAATGCAAACGATATCATTTCAATCGTTTTTGACGCTTTCCAAGCGGACGTCATACAACGACCAGAGAACTTGGAGACAGCCGTTTCCCTCGGAGGTTTCCGCGTTTTTGACGGGACTACAACGAACACACTCTACTCGCAGATTGTCCATGTCCAGGAGCTCAGCTCTAACGAAAGCGACACAGACCCATTCTTCTTCCTCAAGTTCGAGAATAATCCTCTGGACGAACGTGCGGACACTGCGCTGACTGTACGTATGCGGAACATGGAGATCATTTATCATAAGGGATATGTGGAGGCTATATACCAGTTCTTCAAGCCTCCCGCTAGTCAACTCGAATCTGTAGAAGCTCTTCTTGACGTGGCGAGCCAGACACTCGAGGGCATTCGAAGAGATACCCGGGCAGGACTAGAGTACGCCCTTCAGACCCACAAGACTATCGACGTGCAGATGGATTTGAATGCGCCGATAATCATCATCCCTGAGGAGTACGTCGGATTCGCGTTACGATATGGTTTATACATTAATCAAAATATTTGTAGCATCACAACGAATCGATGCAAGCATTTGGTTATCGACGCTGGACACATAGCGATAGAGAGCGAGCTGGCCGACAAGAAGGCCATCCGAGAAGTGCAGATGAAGCGCAAGCAACAATATTCTGACGATGACTATCGAAGACTCGAGTCCTTGATGTATGACAAGTTTTCATTCAAGCTCGAAGCCGCACAGGTAAGATTAGACTGATCGAGCCTCGCGCGAGCGTTCGCTGAACGATGGTCGCAGTTTGTGCTCGGAGACGACCTCGATTCGTGCCGGAAAGCGCTCACTTCTAGCGACGGGGACTCGCTCCATCTTCTGGAACGCATCAACATCGACTTCCAGGTCCAAAATTCCATTGTACCGAAAGCGGTCAACCTAGCTCGCTTCAAAGTCGCTGGCAAGCTGCCGACGCTGCAAGTGAACCTCTCGGACACCAAGTATAAGACATTGATGCGATTGATTGATGTCGCTATCCCGAATTTCGACAATGGCACCTCAGCCCCCGTACATGTTCCGCCGATTATGGGTTCCACGCGTCCTACACTCCCTACTAGGCACGTTTCGGGAGGCTTTGCTCCGCTAACTACGGGTCTCTTTGGAGGAGCGGGTAGGGAATACAACGTTGACACCGATACCGAAGGAGATGATGACGACGATGACGACGATCAGGATGAATTCTTTGAGGTGCAGCAAGAAACCGACGTCAAGGTGAGATGTTTGTGATCACATATAGACAACGTTACCGACCGGTGGACAGGTACTCGAGTTGCATCAATCGATATTTGAATTCAACTTTCAAGTCAAGGAATTGCGAGTCAACATCTCGCGCTCAGATGGCAAAGGAAGCGAGAATCAGCTTGCTGAGGTTTATCTGACAAATTTCGTGCTCGCGCTAGCGGTTGCGAAGTTTGACATCAAAGTCGGCATCGATCTTCAGTCAGTTCACCAATGCTTACCGCTATAGATTTCACTGACCGATCATCAAGATCCCTGGCAATGGACGTAGTGCAGTCCGGGCAACCTCCCATGAAATTCATCACGTCAGCGGTCTCGGATACATCAGAGGCAAAGGGACTGCTGAGTGTGAAGTACACCCGGGTACAAAAGGCATCACCCGAGTACAGCAGCGTTTATGAAGGCATCGATCAAAACGTTGATATCAAAATCTCGACGTTCATCTTCCGGGCAGCACCGGAACCGGTGGTGACTCTGTATGACTTCATCATGACTACTTTCGTTCCCAAATCGGGGCAGAATACTCCTTCACCCAGCGGCACACCAGAAGAGGATGTCCTGGTGCCACAGGAGGACACGCAGGTACAGACGGCTGCTCAGGAAAAGATTCGGGTTCTCGTTACACTTGCCAGTGTCCAAGGTGCGTTGTCGATATGGTTCACGTTTGCGAAGTCTTCATTCACACGTCGGATTTAGTTATCCTCATCAATGAGTCCGTCAGACTGGCCACGCTTTCTCTGTCAACCGCCCAGGTTTCGGTCATGTTGCGTGGCCCGACGATGGGCATCACCGGACGTTTGGGCAGCATGTCTCTGAGTGACGATTCTGAGCTACAAACAGCTTTAGCTGAGTTCAAGGAGATCATGACCATCGAGGGCGATAATTTCGCCGACTTCAGGTATCAGACTTACGATCCCAATGACCTCGATGACAAGCCCGGAATCAGCTCGCAAGTGTGGTTCAAGGCAGCCTCTATCAAGGTGCATTTCTTGGAGAAGCCCCTTCATGACATATATCTGTTCCTCGTCAAACTCGCAAATCTCAAGGACCTCTACGACGTGGCGGCACAGGCTGCCGTTCAACGCGCTTCCGAGATTCAGCGAATGCAATTCGACGTCTCGATCAAGTCGCCTATCGTGGTCTTCCCTGCCGATGCTGCTAAATCACCAGACACATTAGTCTTGAGGCTGGGCGAGATTGGCGCCAAGAATCAGTACGAGGGCCTGGAGAATCGCTTGGCTGCTAGTTTGCGGGGCATACAACTAGTTTCACGCATGCATCGTGATGAATCAGAGTCTATCTTGAAGATGATCGACGACATCGACGTCACCGCGGATCTCGTTCAGACCAACGGTATTGACCGCAATGTTGAGCTGGAGCACCCAGACTCCCACGTGAGTACAGCGCCGAGGTCCGACCAGCGCCTGTACGCGGACACTGAATGATATTTCAGATCGTAGTCAAGGTTTCAGACGTGAAGTTGCACCTTACCCAGACGCAGTACCGATGGTTGATGGCCTTATTGAACGCTATCCCTCGGGTGCTGGCCGCAGACTCCGATGGCAGTTCGCAAGCGACTCGGGCAGCGGACGAATCTCCGCTTTTACCGAGTCCAGCTCCAGCCGCCGAGAAGCCAAGTGCAGCTTCCGCACCAGCGTCGGATCTGCAACCGGAGCTGAGGCCAATGCCGGATGATGCGAACGCTCGCACTTGGCCAGCAGTTGACCTTGTTCTCAGTCTCAATACTGTCAAGCTCCATTTATACGATGAGTTCGCTACCAGTGAAACCACCCTCAAGTCTCATGGAATCTCGCGCTTCGCGTTGAATGGCACCACTTTACGACTGAAGATGCTGAACAACGGTGCCTTGGAGGCACAGCTTGTCTTGCACTCGTTCACCATGAGCGATACTCGTCCAGGCAATTTCAAGTATCGCGAAATTATCCCCGCCGCTCAGCATGATCGAAATCAGTTCATGGTATTGTATACCAGTTCTGGCGGCAACCAGGGCACATCCCTTGCTGTGGTCACATCCCTTGCTGTGGTCACCATCGACGCCCCTCACATCATATTCGCCATCGATCCCGTGTTCGCGCTTCTCGATTTCTTCACGGCTGGTTTAGAATCGGTCGGCGAGACATCTGAAGCAGAGGAGGGGGAGGAAGTTCACGCCAACACTCCGACATCAGCCACAGGACTCGACTTCCGGGTTGACATGCATGACGTGTCGGTCAGTATACTCGAGAACGACACGGTCGCGGATAGCCAAGCAATCGCCTTGTCAGTGCAACAACTTCTACTGTCTCAACAGGTGAGTGGACAGCGCTGAGCAACTGCATGTTTTCTGACGCATATAGTGCAGGGAATAATGGCATTGACGGTAGAACGTCTCGGGATGTCCCTTACGCGTATGGGGAAGCCACTCGAAAGTGTTCGATTCCTGGATGACGTAGACTTGACCATATCCTTGGACAACCGGACGTCGTCTTCTCAGCAGATGACTAGCATCGAGATCTCCTCTAAGCCCATCGTCTTCAGAGCATCGTATCGTGACATCACACTCATCACAAATATTGTCAATAAGGCCGTTGCTTTATATGGCAAGTCCGCTCAAGGTCGAATTCAGCCGCAATCTCAGGCGCGTTCAGGCCAGACGGCCAGGACAGTTTCTCAGTCAGGCGCGAACCGCAAGCCAAGCGTCGGCAGCCGAGCACAGGTTCTGATGACAAGGGAGCAGGTATGGCACTGTACCATTGATACTCGGCAGGCCTGACATCGGCGATAGCTCAAGGCATCGTTTGACGGGTTCCGCCTGGTCCTCATCGGAGACCTGCACGAGCAGCCGATGCTCCATCTCAGGGTCAAGCCGTTCATCATCGGAGCCAAGGACTGGTCGGGAGAGGTACACGACTTGATCCCTAGTCTGAGTCTGCTCTAATGTGTGGCGAGCAGCTCAGAGCCACCACAACTCTGGCAACCCACCTGGGATACTGGAATTTGACCAACTCGCACTGGGAACCAAGTGAGTACCGAATCTTCATCAGAAGCGCCTTCTCACTAGGACTTCATGCCAGTGATTGACCCATGGACGTTCACAATTTCGGTACGGAAAGTGGCCGAGCGCGCCCCTTCCTCATATCTGATAATTACTGGTTTGCAGGTTGCTAGAGAAGGCCCAAGCTCCGGCACAAACTTGACACTCTCTGCACGAGAGCGGTTAGATCTGAATATCAGCACGACCTTGATCGAGCTGGGGCTAGGTATGCTCAACACGTGGACTAAGGAAGGCGAATTTGTCTTGCAGAAGGCCCGTGGGAGCTATGCTCCGTACCACATACGCAATCTCACAGGATCCTCCATCTATATCTGGTCTGACATCGACGGAAGCCAGGATGCGAAGGACACCAGCGCAACTAAGATCAGCAATGGAGAGAGCGTCGATTGGCGTTTTGACGATTGGAAGACTATGCGCGAGGTTAGTTCCGTAGCGCGGTCACAGTAGTTGGCTGACGACTGTCATCTAGCATTTCTCGTCATCAGGCCAAAATCATATTGGGCTGCAGTTCGTCGGCAAGCCTTGGGAGAAGTTGCGGAGCATTCCAGTGGATCGCGAAGGGGAATATGTCTTTGCGTTGCTCCCGAAGATGGAGAAGTACACGGACCGGATGCTTTGCGAAGTCAAGGTCGAGGATAATGTGAAGGTCGTCACGTTCCGATCCACTTATAAGATTGAGAACGAGACATTGTACCCATTGGAGTTGACTATGGTGGACGAGAGTGGACATCCAACACACTCCTTCGAGAAGATTGGTGTGTTGTCTTTGTTCTGCCTTTGAGTCCGCATTTTGACCGGGCCGCAAGCTCCCGGACAGTCGTACGCCCTTCCCATCGAAGCTGTTGTACAGAACCGCATCAGACTTCAACCCGACCGTGAGCAGGAATAGCCACTAGACAATCATCTTACTGATATAACAGCTTAGAGGGTTTCGGCTACAAATTGTCCCCGCCAATCAGGTGGGAGGACCTGATTGCTAAGAAAAGCTTCACGATCAAGTGTTCTCACCATGACGAACGCGAGGCCGCTTTCCGTTTCCATGCTTCAGTGCAAGCTGATCTTAACGATCCTATCGCAAGGTAAGTTGACTTCACTCCCGGCAATCCGAGACGCTTACGTACACATACAAGGAAATATCCGAAGCTTGCATTACGGTTGCGTGCGCCGATAGAACTCGAGAACCTCTTGCCGTACAATTTGGAGTATCGGATCTATGACAAGGACACGGATCAGAACTGGCGTAGTTACTTGCGGAAAGGAGGCTTGATGCCGGTTCATTCCGTTGAACTGGGGCACCTCGTCCTCCTGAACGTCATTGTCCAGGACACTGGTAAAATCGTTGTCTTCAAGGGATGGTTAGACACTTACGCCATGTTGAACAGGATTCAAACCGAGCGATTTTGCCATCATCAACACCGACGGGCATTCCGACTTCAATGTTGAAAGTCGCCTCACGTTGAGAGACGCCCGAGATAGGAAGCTGGATCTGCGACTCAATTATGTGTGAGCCCATTTATCATGTGTAAAGGCCCCTCTACCTCGATCCGACTGACAAGCTCGTAGACGACCATCCGACGGTGGCGGCGCGTTCAAAGTCCAGATCTATAGCCCATATCTCGTCATCAACCGCACTGGGTTACCTTTCGCCGTACGCTCGCGGTCATCGCGAGCCGCTCAACCTCAGGACGTGGCGGGCGAAACCAGTCAAGGTATATCCGTCAGTCTGTACGAATATCGTCATATTAATCCTGTGTTTTAGACGTCTTGAGTACTTCGGCACCATTCTGTGAGCATAGCCATTCCCCGTTCACGTTGACATAATACTCATCTGATGCTATATAGTATTGTCGTCTTCCAGCGATCGAGGTCATGACTTCACCTTCAGGGTTGGAGAATCGACGTGGTCCAAGGTTAGTCGATAACACAAGATTGGATTGACTCCCGACTAACGTTGCAACACTCAGCTCGTGAGCTTCGAGGCTCCATCGGCCGATACGGGGCTTGTCATTGCATCGGCTAGACAAAAATCGGATGAGATACACATTGGTCTCTCTTGGACCGAAGGCTTAGGGAAGTACAAGCTGACGAAAGTGATAACGCTCCGTCCTCGATTCACCCTCAAGAATAACCTCACTGAAAGGATCAGCTTCCGTGAGCATGGATGTGCTCCCCGTGATCTCTCGGAATTGGGTCCGGGAGAGGGAGTACCATTGCATTTCATGCGTGCAGCGCGCGATAAGCTCCTTACTCTTGCCTTCCCTGGACTCAATGCTGTGTGGTGAGCTCAACCGCCGTTCCTTCTACATTGATCTGAATACCGTGCAGGTGTGCGCCGTTCAACATCGAGGATATCGGGGCCGTACACCTCCGCGTTCAAAAACCAGGCCAGGAGCGAGAGCAGCTCATCCGCGCGGACGTAAAAATTAGTGGTTCCTCCATTCATGTGTCATTCAACGAAGAAACCAACGGCTGGCCATTTGTAATTGAGAACGGGAGCGATTACAGCGTGTCATTCTATCAAACAGTATGCCGTTCATTCGCAAACCAACGCCAATTTGACGTCTTTTGCCAGGACTCGCGAATGGAAGCCGACAAGCCGGCCAACTTCAGCAAAGCGTATAGTCTCGGACCACATTCCTCGTTGAATTACGCATGGGACTACCCTGCTGCGCGAGAGAAGAAGATCATGCTGACGATCAACAATGCTCACCGCGCTGTGGATATCATGGAAATCGGTGACCTTGTCCCCTTCAGGTTTTATGTGCGTGTTCAATACTGCGCGATTGACATCGGACAAGGCTGAACATATGTTAGGATCGGCAAACGTCAAAAGCTGTCTCACTTGATGTTAGGGCCGACGGGCATCAGCAGATCCTGAGCATCACCAACTATGATGCCGAGCATAGCTTATACAAGCCTCGCCGAAGAAGTACAGGATCGCTTGCGAGGTCGGACACGATGTCAAGTGGCCAAGAAACATTCGAGGCCGTAACCGAAGACATCACGCCGACGTTCGCCGTCAATATCGACTTCGCTGGGATTGGATTGTCCCTTATGAACAGAAAGATGGTTGAAGTGGTTTATCTTTCCATCAATACCCTGAAGTTCGAGTATACCACCAGCGATGTTGCGCAGGCTATGACCCTCGCTTGTGGCACCCTGCAGATCGACAACCAGCTCCACGACGCTATTTTCCCTGTGGTACTTCAGCCGACACCTGTATCCAAAGAGTCCACAGGCGTAGCGGCGTTGCCTACCGTGCAAGCCTCGTTGATCTGGCTGAATGATGATGGTTGGCTCAGCGAGTGCATGCAATGAACTTGTACTGATTGTTCTTGCAGAACACGGAGTTTTCTTCATCAAATATTGTTCAATATTACTGCAAGCTTTGACCATCGAGGCCGATGAAGACTTCTTGTTCGCCGTCTACGAGCTGACGCAAATCTCTGGTGCCTGGGACAACGCAGAACAAGAGTATGCAAGGTGGAGCTTGGAGACAAAACGTGCACTGACGAGTACACACAGCAAACTCATCTCCGACTCCGACGATGATGTCGAGGCTACTGATGCGAAGGCTGGCAAGGACCTTTATTTCGAAGTGCTCGAGTTGCAGCCCATCAAATTGTCTATATCCTTCATGGTTACTGGACGACTCAGTGGTGATGCGAAGTAAGTTTTTCACGGTGCCGTATTTTCCGGTCCCGAACTTTGTTCTCATAGTCAAAAACAGACTGAGTTCTCGGAACCCTCTCGCCGTAGTTCTGAATGCTCTTACGATGACGCTGGGCAACGTCAACGATGCCGCATTGGAGATGAATGCGTTAGCTATCAAGGACATGCGGCTCACCGCGCCTGATTTGCAAGAGCGGATCGTGTACCATTACCGTCAGGAGGTCCTCCGTCAGATTTATCGCATTTTGGGGTCTGCGGACTTCATAGGAAATCCTGTCGGGCTATTCACTAACGTTAGCTCCGGCGTGGCGGATATATTCTACGAGCCTATCAATGGTCTCGTCATGCATGGCAATAAGGAGCTTGGCATAGGTATCGCGAAGGTATGTGATATGCATTTAGCGAGTACGTCCGCTAAATCCACAAATTGGCGATAGGGTGCCGCAAGCTTTGTGAAGAAAACGGTGTTTGGGGTGACCGATAGTATGACCAAGTTCACGAGCAGCCTTGGCAAGGGTACGCATGGCATTGATACATGTGCTTATGATAGACTGATCAAACAATGTGTTAAGGTCTCTCTGCTGCGACGCTGGACTCGGACTATCAGCTGCGGAGAAGAATGACGCAAAGGCGGAACAAACCTCGGCATGCCATGTGAGAGTCTAATCTCATTTTCGATATCTCCGACGTCTAACTAGGCGATTGTTACGACTTGAAGTTACGGCGTAACCGCCGGCGCTGAAGCGTTTGCTACGAGTATTGCCAGTGGCATGGAAGGTGTTGTGGTAAGCCAAGATCCGACACTTCATAGATCGACTTCGAACTGACCGACTCTCAGCTAAAACCGATCGAAGGGGCGGAGTCAGGTGGGGCATTTGGCTTTTTCAAGGGCGTCGGCAAAGGCCTCGTGGGGTACGTGTCTGTTTCGAACAAGTTAATGGATACCTAATACCATTTCATAGCGCCGTGACCAAGCCTGTAGTCGGTGTATTCGATCTCGCTTCCAACGTCACAGAAGGTGAGACGTTCGGCCTTCATGTGTTCTTCCCATTAAACGAGGGAACCAGGTATCCGCAACACGACGACGGTCTTCGACAATCCAGCAAGGGATCGTGTGCGGCTTGTAGGTCGTTTGATTTATTATCACCAACACTATCTCACCCTGTTTAGCCTCGGCATGTTCCTGCGGACGGCGTGCTCGTCGTAAGTATCTTGCGACACCATCCTGGATATCGAAGTGTAGTCTAACGCGTATTCCAGCCATACTCTGAGCGTGAAGCACTAGGACAATTCTGGATGAAAGACCTAGACAACGGAGCATACCGCCAGGAACTCTACGTCGCACATATCAGTGAGTAATTTCAAGCCCATCATTGGCCCCAGTCTCATATTGCCTTGCGTAAGACTTACCGGGAGGCGATAACGTGGTACTGTTGACCGCCACGCGCGTACTCTCCTTCTGGTCCAAGCGCCTACGCCTTGAATGGGAATTACCATTCACCTCGGTGCAAGGAGTGACTATCGAAGACACGGGTATACGGTTCGCCCATAAGGCTGGCAAAGTTCACGACAAGTTTGTCCTCATCCAGGACAAGTCGTCGCGGGCGTGGTTCTTCTCTCAAGTGGCCACGGTTGTCAAAGCTTTCAACGTTCGCAGGCGTATGGAGTTATGAGGTCAACGGACATTGCTGTATCGATATTAGATGTATTCTGGCCGCTGTAACACTGGTAACATGATTCCAGGTAGGATCTTGAGAAAGCGAGAGAACAAAGAATGACAAAATTTGAATGGAACAAATTAATAATCAACGGAATATATGCAGAATAGTCGCAGATAGCAATAAATACCGGGCAGATTGATCAACCAACGAAGTAGATAGACGTCGCTCAGTGCGCAGAAGAAGTGATGACCGTATGCTCGCTCATGGTGGGACTGGGCTGGGAGGGTTTCGCCGTCGCAGCGCTGTTGATACGCTCTCTCCGAAAGACGACGGGTTTAGACCTCGGGAGCTCGCCGAGGGAGGTATCCGCGAGATCATCTTCGTCTGCGTCTTCGATAGAGGGCTGCACCTTGTCTTCCATCAAACTCGCACGAGGTGACGTCGAGTACGCGCTCTGAAAGTCCGTATCGGAATCGTCGGTGCTCCCGAGCTGATGAGTGAGCGCGGGGGTGGCCGGCGACAGCGCAGCGGGGGAAACCGGAGGGGCGGCGGATAGCGCGCCGTCACGGGGTGTGGTCGGTTGCGACTCGGGGCCTACGTCAGTAGCGTCTGAATTGGCGGATTTGGGAGCTGTACGAGTCGACTCTGTGGAAAGCCGGGGCAGGTTTTTCGGAGTCGAGACCCGCTCTCGGGCCGCGGCGGTATCATCCGAACCCTCCTCCGCTTGGAACGAGCTGGCTCTGGCGGTCGTGCCATTCGACGATGCCACGGAGCCTCGCTGCGAGCCTTTCTGGCGGTGCCGTTTGGGGGCCTTCGCCGCACCTGCAACACCTTTGTGACGGTGCCGAGACTTGAACGATTCCGCCGTGTCGCTCTCGCTCTCTGGACTGCCGGGTTTCCAACGGGCGATTCGCTGGTCATTAGCCATGGCAGCGTCGAGCTGCACAAAGGATATCAGGAACGGCGCTGCAATCCGATCAGAGGTTCATTACCTTCTGTTGTATCTGAAGCACTTTCTCAGCGATACGGTCGGTTCGCTCGCTAATGCCCTCGTCCACAGCCGCGATGCCATCTTGACCAGCATCGCCGATGCTACCCGCGGAGAACCGCTTCTTCTTGCTCGGTGATAACGGTTGTTCCTCTTCTTCGTTCTCTTCCAAGACGGTGTCCACCTTGGTGTTCAACTCGTCTTTGCTCGACGACTCGGCCAGAGTCGACTCGGTGGCAAACGATCGCATGTGGCGAGAACGACTAGTAGAACGACCGCTGACGCTGGGCCTTCGCGAGCCCGATTTGGATTTATTGCCGCGAGAATACTGGCTGCCGTCGTCCGAGTAATCCGAGCCGTCGTCCATGTCTATCGCCATCGAGGCCAGCGCGCGTTCGATCTGAGCCTCCACTTCTTCGATCATCGCCGCCCGCTCCTGTTCCATCTTCTCCATGGTCTCCTTCATTTTCTCCAGTTCCAGCATCGCATCCTTGTGCGCGACCTCGGTCTCTTTGAGTTCTGTGAAGGCGAATCAATCAAGGTCATCGTGCCCCAGTATCCTATGGGACGTACGCGACTGCAGCTTGTTCCTCTCTGCTTGTGTCATCGTGACAAGGCCAGAGAGGCGACGCGTCTCCTTCTGCTCCTTGGCGATCTTCGCCCTCAGCTGGTTGGCCTCTCCACCGAGCTTCTCGGCGTACTGCTCGAACGTCACAAACTTGTCTCGCCAGAGGTCCGACTCGGTCATCAAGAAGTTCAACCTGCGAGTCAGCCGACCGATCTTGGTCTCCAGATCGTCTCGCGCATCGACGAAGGCCGTCGCGCGTCGGCGGATGGACAACTGAATGTGTTGCTCTGCGGGCGTCAGTCTGGGTGGGCGCTTCGGCGTTCCGAACGAGCTGATACGTTTGAAGAAGGACGGAGGTTTCATCTTGAGAATCGTTGCGTGAGCACGAGGACGCCAGGCACAGGTGCGCTTGATTTGGCTTACCTTGTCCTGGAGTACCTGGTCAAAGGCCTGGATAATACGAGTAGAGTGCCACCAGTCCGGCGGTTTGATGACGTCGGCGACCTGGGCAGGCGCATCAGTATGAGGTGCAGCAGTCACGACAACACGCGTCATTACCGCTGTAGGGGATGCGCCGCGCTTGGCCTGAATTTTGCAGACGGGACGGAAGCGACCCGCGGGGAAGGCCTCCTTGAATTCGCTAGCAGAGGACCGTCAACGATAGGAAGCTTGATTGGAAAACACTGCCTACTTGGGCACGCAATGATCCGGGTGGTAGTGTGGCTCAAAGGCAGCAAGAAGTCGCTGACGGTACTTGTCCCTCTCTTGCTTGACCGAGATGCAGCCAGGCGGCGGGGACGCGCAGTTGAGGTAGTTGATGTCCCTGCATTGATCATGAGACGATGTCGTCTCTCACCCAAGAGCAACAACACTCACAAGTCCACGATGCAGACTTCAGGTGACGCTCGAACGCTATACCGGGCCTCGGTCGACAGACCTATGATCCATGGACCAGGATCTTCGATATAGATCTTCGCATCGCGACAATGGACCGCTGGCAGCGCGATACCATTCCAGCCTCGCAGCTCTACCAGGTACTTGACGGTGGAGACGGCGATACCGAGCATCGAGGGATGCCTGGAGAAGAACAGGATCCGACCGGTGGGCGCGAGGGCGATCTAAACGTACCGAGTCAGAGATATGTCGGTGACGGCAGTGAAAGACGGTCTTACTTCGCATATGGTCAGGATGTTGTCGATGTTCAAGCACTTGAATAACGGCCACATCGTAAAGTTGATGTCCACCAGACCCCGACCAAAGTCCAGACCGCCGGGGAAGCGGGCAACGACCTCCAAGCTCGTCTCGGGGCCGTCGTTGCTGGCGCTCGCGTCCAGCTTGACCAACTCGCCGGCGCGAGGCGCCGGATGAGACAGAATCTTCGAGATCTGGAGGGTATGGGACTGTACGTCCTTGGAGAATCGCGCCCAGGATAGCGTGAGATAGTCACGCATCAGGTCGTAGATCGGATGCCGCGAAACGAGAGCTATAGGGGTGTCAGCAAGAGAATCCCCAACTGAGAGGACCGAACGCACTCAATGCATACGGAAGCCAGAAGACGGCGTCTCCGGGGAGGAACACGGTGCTCTCCCCGGGGGCATGCCCCACGGTGCTCGCGACCTCGTACTCGCTCTCGCTCAGCATGCCCTCGCCCTCCGTCTCCGTGTCGGTCTCGCCGTTACCCCACGGCCCACGCCCGACGCGCTTCTGCCGCCTGCGAGCCTGGCTCGCGGGATCCGCGCTCAGCGCCCCGTTATCGCCCCGGAGCGCCTTCAGCCGTTGCGCGCGGACGGACTGCGCGGACTCCTTCCGCGCCCGGCCGCCCTCGAGCGTGCGGCGGATGGCGGCGGTGCGCTCCGCGTCGGCGTGGGACCAGACCGTGAGGCACACGCCGTAGTACGTGACGCCGTTCGCGCCGCCGTCCATGGCGCCCTCCACGTCGCGCGCAGAGACGGCGCCCGCGGAACCTTGGGTGAACGGCGGCGGGCCGAGGAAGGCGGAGGAGGGGCGGGCGGCGGCGTAGGGGTCGTCGTTGAGAAAGTGGTTGAAGGTGGTCGTCGAGTTGCGAGCGTCGAAACCCGGGCCGGTAGCGTGGCTAAAGACGGAGGACCGGTGACCGCTGGCGGGCGCCAGTGTACCGGAGGGAGTGGGCAGGTTGAACGTGAAGGTGTGCACGGTCGACGCGGGCTGAAGCGTCGAGGCGACGATCTCCACTTCTCTCGTAAAGGACAGCTGGGTGGCGAATGTCAGAGATGCACGACGACGACCAAACAGACTGGAGCCAAAGCTCACCTTCAGCGCTTTGGAGAGCATCTTCGCCACCTCCTGCTTGGTCAGGGCTCCGGTGCCCTTGAGCATCTCCGCGCTCCGCTTCTTGCTCAGTCCTTTTCTGCCGCCCACTCCAGGACTGACGGTGCTGCCCAGGACTTCCGGGCGCCACCATCGCGCGACCGCGCCTTCGCTGTGATGCAGGCCAAGCACCGAGTCGGGGTCAGATAGGGTCCACGTTTGAGGAGATTTGGGGAGCCCAGAGACGACGTAGAGCGACGTGAGAGGCGTCGTGGGGGTGTAGGCGGCGGCGGGACCGGGTGCTGAACGCGTGGAGACCGCGATAGAGGTGCGAGTGGAGGCCGGGATGGGCTCCATGCTCCTTCTGTGCTGAATTCCGAGAACCCTGCGAGGATCAATTGAGAAAACGGCGTTCGTCAGCAGAAGCCGTCATAGCACTACACTCACCTCGAAGCCTTGTCGACCGGACGGGGGGATCTGGGAACGGGGGCTAAGGCGAGGCCCTCGTCGAGGCGCTCGAGCGGGGCGTCGTGCTGGGTGCTGTGGTCGGCGCCGTCGTGGTTCGGGTAGACGGTCACGTAGTCGAGGTCGTCGGCGAGGGTGTTCGCCGCCGGCCTGGGCTGGTTGGCAGGCGGCGACGCGACGGCGCCTGCGACTGTATTGGGGCCGAGCGTCCCGTGATTCGGCCCGTGTGGCGTCTTGCCATGGCTGCGCGCGCCCGAGTTGGACTTTAGGCTGAGGTGGGAGAGGGAGGGCAGGATGCGCTTGTCTTCGGGGGACGCGGGGGCCAGGGACGCGTCCGAGAAGCGCGACGTCGGCGTGAGGCTCGCGAGCTTGTCGTGGAGGGGCGTCGCGGCGAGCACTGGGGCCGTGGACGGTCTCCGCGCGGCGAACGGGGACGACATGGGGTGCGGAGGGAAGGAGAAACGAAAGGAGCGGACGGGGGCGCCGAGAACGGTGCCAACCGGAAATGACAGTGTGCAAGGGCGGCCAACGGGGGGACCAAGCTCGAGCCACGGACGCGCCGGGTCGGTCAAAAACGCGAAGAAATGGGCAGAAAATGGGTGCGAATATTTAGTCCCTGCCTTCTGCTTCCCCAGCGAACGCGCTAGAAGCGAGGGCCGATCACCCTCCGTGTGTCCCTTTGTCGGCTATCAGCCTCTCCTCGGCCGTCCATGACGCGCCGAGCAGCGCAACCCCGGAATCTCCACAGCGTGCTCATCCGAGCTACATGGCAACGATATTATTGCTTGGACTTGCACGGGGCGCCAATCTGGTCAATCATCGCACGTCTTGATTAGATACTCGGGGGCAATTGGGGGGACGGTGGAAGACGCCGGAGACGAAGGAAGGAAGACATCTCCGCGACGCAGGAAGCGCCCGTCGGACGCCCACGCGACTCCACGCGAGGGGTCCAACTCAATCTTTGGGCTGGCCATCCTGCTGCTTCTGCCGCTGTCAATCCAGTCGTCCCGCGCCCGCTCACACAGGCACTGTTCCTGCCCGAGCACCAGATATAAGCAGATATACCAGAACCATCCACCCCTCCGAGCAGAACCCCGGCGACCGTTCGCGCAGGGTCATTCCCAGTGGAAAGTCCGGAGAATCGGAGGAAACGAGCAAGAACTGCAGCGAACCTGTCAGCTGATTCAGCGTGATTCGCTACGTTGCAAACCATTCACTTTCGAGAGAATGAGAGTGAATACAGCTGAATTGCATGGAACGGGACGCGAATTACAGGGAATCATACAATATCATGTACACTACACTAATATACACTCATATAGAATACCTGCGAATGCCCGGGAATCGTGCGAATGACCGCGGCAGGCCAATACGAGCTGGTAGCCACGAGGCGCCAGCTTCAAAGGGACCACAAACAGAGACGCAAGACCAGCCGATGCTTCCTGTACAACCCAAGAGGGCGAACAAAGTCCGAAGTGAGAACGTCCAAGGAGAGCGAGTCCAGGCGAGAGAGTCCGGGGCGAAAGAGTCTGAAAGGCGACAAGTCCGAGAGGCGAGAGACAAGGCCCAAGACGAGAGAGGCAAGAGGCGTGACAAGACACCAAAGACGAGACGAGACGGGAGAGGTAGAAGTCAGGCAGTGAGAGGCGAAAACTCCAGGCAGAACGTGGTGATCCGTTACGCCATCGCTGTTGCTGGTTGTGTCTTCGACGTTTTGAGTTGCGTCTTCACTGCCTTGCTACTTTCGATCCATGTCTACGAAGAACTTGTCGGCCTGGATCATCAAAAGCCGCGCAGTGCACGTACCTGCTGCCCATCGATTCCAAGGGCCTTCCATGCGGCATCGACGACCTTCTGGCGACTCCTCCCGTGTTCCAATTGGAAATCCTTCGCAAACAAATTCCTGGTAACGAGTTTGCGTGTGTGATAGACGGGTGACTGAACACGAAGTCAACTCACTTTGCTCCAAAAGAGTCGTTGACGCGTTGCCATGGCCCCTCGGGAGCACTCGATAGTGATCGTTTGTCTTCAGGTGCAGGGGTTCTTGGGATTGCTGGCACGGATGGCTCCAATAAGGCTTCACCAATGAGATACTGGGGGAGTAATGCACTACGAGGACGTTTGTAATGAGTGACGAACTTGGTAGAAGAAGCGACAACTCACAAAGGATCTGCGATCTGCAGCTTATCCCTATTCTGACGAGCGTGCCCAACTTCAGGAAATGCATCTGGCGCCGTTTCATCGATATCCGGGGGACTGTACGAGAGATTAGCGCCAAAGCACCAGATATATGTATAATGAAAACACGATACCGAGCACCCGAATCCGGAGGGCTTTCTCCACCATCCCGATCACCTTGAGGGTCCGCGAGGGCGAAATCTAATGACTTGGGCACAGCTCCGGCGGACTCTTCAGATGCTGGGGTGTTGTGGAGAAGATTTCTTGGCGACTCGGCACCTTTCGACCTCTTGCGCTTTTGCGACGTACGTGACGAAGGTGGCGCAGCGCTCCGCTTCTCCTCTGCCAATCCTGAGATCTCTGCTTCGAGCGAGGCCATGCTGCTTGTTGCGCCTGCGCTCGATGATGTCGGCATGGAGGAGCACGCAGAGCGACTCTCCTTTGCGTGTGGTACTCCACTGTCAGCGGCTTCTGCCTTGATCGCCGGTTTTTTGACATTTTGAAGGTACCACTTTGGGTAGCGTCTGGATGCGAGTAAGTCAGTCTTCCAGTGGATATCGCACAATCGGAGCTCATCGTAAGTCGATTCCATGATGTGGTATACATAAGCTTTGACACCAGCAGAGTGCTGTGTCCAGCTTGGCTTCGTGAGGCCGTAAGATAGGATTTCCGCGAAGACCGTGTTGAGTGTGTTCCTCATTTCTTTAGCCCGCTTTCCGGTCACAATGGAACCATCCGCATTTTCAATCCATCTGGTGCCTACGTTCTCGTTGTTTGCGAGCCGACTGGGGCCTCGTTGCTTTGCACTCCTGTCGCCAGGCACGGACTCCTTATCCTCGTCGGTATCTTCCTTCCAGTTTTCACGATCCCAGAACTGAACGGCTGGTGCATAGTCCCTCCGATTGAGAGGCAACAAAGGCTGAACACGAGGAATGGTGTTCGTGGCTCCGGGAGGATGAAGAAGGGCATCTTCGATACGGCCATTCAAATCCTGGAAGATTGCTCTAGACATGTTCATTAGTTCGTTATTCAGACTATACGAGATGTCCTTACCGAGACTCTTCGTAACGCCCCTTGAGCATAGTGTACTCGGTGCGAAGTATGGCGTGTTCATCCTGGAGTTGCGTATGCGCATGATTTCGAGCAGAAAGCAAGTCTTCGTGGGTGCCCATGCTCAGAATATGCAGTTTCTCCGTATGTGAAAGCATCTATGAGTGTGTTAGGAGATACTGTGGATGTTACCATAGCACTCACGGTCGGTGCCATCGGCTGCATTCGTTGTACAGTTCTTGGATAAGACTGGCTAGTTGGTGTCCATTGATCTGGTGAGTTGTGATGTCGTGCATTGGAATTGTCGAAAGCCGATGCCTCAAGTAAACTGGGAGCATTTTCATCGTGCGACGAAGTCATAGCATCCTGGCCGAAGGTCGGCATTGAACTACCAGGGAAACCACTTGCACTGCATGAATGTGATGGTCGTTCCATTCCGCGGTCCCAGCGACCAGGCAGACAAGGACAAGAGTGTATCGCGGATGTTGTGGTTGGTTCTGAAGGAGAAGGAGAAAAATGTCACCCGAGCCATACGCGCACAAAGTCATGACCGCGTGATCGGGACATCGCAATGCAGACACAACTTGTTCAGTTTGAGTCTCTCGTACTACAGGTTCATGCTATCCAGGAGTGCTAGCAGCTCATCGTACCTCAGAGTTGTCTCGTCCGCTATGTCCTCAAGAAGAAAGTACCAACCGCATTGCTCTCCGTCTGGTGTTGGTGCTGCAGTTGGTATCATCCCCACGATTGCCCGGATGTCTTTTACATCAACAACAGCGAGACCTTTGTTTCCTCGCTTTCGGCAGAGCCAAACCGTGTGGAACGAGTCTCTAAGCACTATAGGGTCGGGCTCACTGTAGAGCGTCACAACAGCAAAGCCATGGAGTCCGCTGCCAGTGATCTTCGCAGAGAAGTAATATTGTATTTCTCCAAATGCTGCTCGGCCTTGATACTCGAGCTGTCATGGAATGTCAGTGACAATAATGTAAGTGTTACATCACAGCGCACCTTTACATTCCGGGCCATACGGATATCATGAAGAGCTTTAGTTCGCTCCGCAAACACAGAACGTGTTATATGCTTGAGCCCGTGCCCAAGCTGAAGTCGGCCGCATTTCCGGATATTGTTCCATTCACGATCATCGTGGTACTGACCCTGCATATATTGAGTGATAGCCATCGACTCGCAAGCGGAGACAGTGATAGATTGCGCGCTCCATGGCTGTAGGAGGGCAAATCCATCACCCAAGCGTAGTGCGGTAGCGGGGAACTCAGGACTCTCGGGGTCAAGTTCAGGGAGGATGGCCTTTAGTGCATTATTCTGTGAACGCCGTAGGCTCCGCTGGCTGAGATTGGCATAGAAATTCGACGGTTGTTTGATCTCCATCCCAAGATTTCCGATCATGTTCTCCATAGCCCATTGACCTGTAAGTGCAAGTGAGCCGACTCGGGGAACCTCTTGCGCAAGATGGCATAGCCCGTGGATACTCTGCCGGCAGAAATGCAGCCGGCTGGTCATACGGCGATAGTACAGAAGCTCATATTCAGCAATGAATCCGATGCTGAGCCTATGTGCAACCAGAAGTGCTTCTCGTCTGATGCGATACTGGTGAAGGATGCGTATGGCAAGGACCAGCTTGCAGTAATTCCTCCAGTATTTCTGAGGCATTCGGCAACGGAGAAGTGCAGGTCCAAGTCCGTAGAAATAAGTCTGAAACTCTTGAGCCTTGTAACCACTCGTGATGAATTCTGCGGGGTTGCGGGGAGCGATGTCAAAAAGTCCAGGGATATATGATGCACATGCAGCAACATCGGCACCATGGTGCTGCCAATTATTTCCCTCAAGACATACCCAATCCCAGGGTTCATTGTCAAGAGAATCGTGTTCCATTGTTCCACGCCATAGACCAAGGAATAAGTCTGGCAGATTCAATGAACAGAAATGCATGATGTCGGGAGTAAAACATAGCGGAATGCTTGGAATCCGCGAGAGACCACTGAGAACACTTGGTTTTGCTATACCAAGCTCCCGTCGCAGAGCAGCGTGCTCAGCTTTAGATCGTGCTTGCAAGAGGCGGTTCAATCCTGCGTGGTAGTTCTCCGATGATTGTATCCGGACCTGACTGGGGTTCACGTCGCTGTGAGCGCAACCTTCCATGCTATACCTGGTTGGCTTGAGATGAGCAGGATAATACTTCTTTCCACCAGGTTTTAGCCGCCCATACATCGGACAGTTGCCCCGGCAGCCCCGCTTTCCTTTGTGCCCCACTAGACCTCCGATGCTTGCCAGCGCGGGTGCATCAGCTGTGGCAAAAACTAAATATGGGTCGTCGACAATGATCTTCTGCTGCAGCGCATCCCAGACTTTGAAGCCACCATGTCCAGTTTCATCTAATGCTGTTGCGTTATGCAAAGCTTGCAGATGATGCAGACTAGGGAAGAGAAATGAGTCGATGTTGCCCGGCGAGCCAGGGATTATACACGCTGGGAGGATGTACTTCTTCTTCGTGCGATGCTCTGGACTGAGGTCGAGTATCTCCCACATTGCCATCCAACAGTCCGATGTTTTATGACGGAAGAGCTGCGCGCCGTCGCACGAGAACAACAGCATTGTATCATCCTTGCGGATGATATTGCTCCTCACGGCATCTAACACTTGTCGGCCATGGTACACATCCACGTACTCCGCAATGATTCCGTTATTGTCGTCAAGAGCTGCCAGGATCTGCTCCATCTGCTTGTTTCGATAATGGATATTCTCCGCGCCTTTCTTCGACCTCTTCTGTGCCTGTATCTGTGGACCAATGGGATTGGTTGAAAACTGAAGGCGCGGAACCTTTCGCTTTCCGTTGCTCTGACGGAGAATGGTCTGATCATAACGTGGTTCCTTGCAGTGAATGCACTCCTCCTTCTCTGCGAATGGTCCTGTGTATGCCATACAAGATTTGATGCACATGTCGTGCATAACAGAGACGATGCCCGTAATCTCGGTGACCTTCCGTTTGATCCGATCGTGCGAGTACATGACCTTATCGTCGAGGTCGAAGCGCCGCTGTATCGCAGCGCAGACTGCATCATACATTGTGCGAGAGGCGTTGTCAAGGGCAAGGTACACGTCGAGAAACAGCCTAAGATTGTCGTCGACCTCCACGGTATGGCACGGTGGCTTTTGGAGTTGTTCGAGAACATCCTGTGGTAGACGACCATCCTGTAACGTGGCGGAACGAATGGCGGCAACAAACTGCTCAGCAAACTGCAGCTCAGGTAGGTGAGACCGGATCCCAGGAGCTTCGGTTCCAGCGAAATGCGCGTCCGCATTGGCACCAGTACCAGCATCGCCGTCGTCTTCGTCGTCACCGGGAATGCCTTCGTCGTCACTCCGTACTGCGCGTGCTCGTTCATCCAGAGCGGCAGCTTCAAGAGCCCTGGCTGCTTCTTCGTCAAGGCTGCGACGGAGAACATCCGCTAGGCTACCCTCATCGCACTCTTCCGGTGGTTCCGACTCTTCGAGCCCATGCGAGTCCACTGGCGGGTCATCTGTTAGAGCTCCATCTTCTTCCATATTCAGGATGACAGTGGTATCATCAGACGGGGAGGAATGTGTACCAGGAGAATGCGGAGATATATTTGGGGTGCTACTTAACGCTGCAGATACACTACGAGCAGTATGGAATGGAATCATCTGCAATATTGGTGAGGAGGCTGCAAGGACATCGTAAGTAAGGAAGGGCACGTACTGGGGAATTGTCCAAAGAACTATCTCCCTCGTCCTGATCATGCCCGTCTGTTCTAGCCCGCTTGGCCGGTGGCTGCTGCGAGCGGCGGTGTACATCACTATGTTGAGTGGGAGTGTCTCGAAAGCCGAGGTCTGCTAGGAAGTCTGGCAGAAATCCAGTAGATGAGTGTCCGGTCATCTCAGACCAAGGGCGGATTTGCCGGAGAAGCAGCCAACACGAGCACCAAGACGTCGACTCGAGTATCCAGACCAATCAACACCGCGTGTGGATGAACTTCGTATGGTGGGCGTCCAGATGTGCTCAAGTTGCGGCGAGAGCAAGTGGCGTAAGCGAAAGCAAGTGGAATGTGCGCGCGACGCAAACATGTAGCGCGTTGCGTATCACGCGTGTGCACAAAATGGCAAACACTGCGCCGTACAAGCATGCGCGCATGCTCCATGCCAGTACCAAGCTGACAAGCAACACTCTGATTCATTATAATTCTTTCCATTCACTGTAGGTTGACGTGTTACGCTACAATTCGCCACGAAACGTTCTCATTCTCCGGACTTTCCACTGGGGGTCATTACTCCTTCGCCCATCATCGCGACGTCAGCCAAGTCGCAACCGATCATCTCAAGAAGGGAGCCATAGCCCCGGCTTATACCGGTACTTGCCGGTACGCATCATATCTTCTGAGAGTATTACACGGGCTGCTGTAAATGCAATGCGAAAGTGGTTATCCAATACACAAAGGTCCATGCTCTCTATCGTATTAAGCTCCGCGTATATGGAGTGACTATGTATCACCGACCTCTGCGTCCGCCCCGCAGACGTGCACATCTTACCGCCGCGCTCGACTCAGCACCTTCCCGAGCCACTTCCACCGGCGCTGCGCGGGAGACGCCGCTTCGTCCCGCCTTCCCCCGTCCGCCTGCGGCGAAGGATACCCGGCCTCGACATGGCTCAGCAGATCCGCGCCCTCCGCATCGCCCGCTCCCACCTCTGGTCCAACGTCCCCCTCGCTCGCCGTCCGACGCAGTTGCAACCCCGCTTGCACGACGTCCGCGAACCCGCGCTGCCCGTGCCCACTCACCCGCCGTCCGTCCCTGCCCCTCGGTACAAGCGCGAACCCGGGGCTCACCGGCGAGAGCCCGATCGAGAACCCGCCTCCGGGAAGAGGCAGCCCGTGCGTCGACAGCGGCGGCGATATCATTCGAGACGGCTGGCTTTCTCCCGTCCCGATCACCGTCGGCCTCCGTCTTTGATAGTGGTATAAGCCCCGAGACCGCGCCGTGCCAGGGGACATGGTTGCATCCGAGCCCGGGGACTCGTGGCCGGACGGATGGCGCGAGTGCGCCTCCCCTGTCGAAGCCGGCGCCGGCGGATGACCGAATGGGTCATCGACGTCCACGAGCGGCGGTGATGAAGGCGAGACGGTGTCCACGGGCGTCGACACCGGCTCCATGCCGATGCTCTGTTGCCTCTGTCGAACACGGTCCCTTTCCATTCCGCCCGCTTCGACCTCGTCTTCTTCGGGTTCTGGACCCATCGCCTCTTGCCACGTCCCTATATCGAACCCGCCCGCGCTATCGGCGTCCGTGGGGATACTGACCACCCAAACGCCCCCCAGTAAGACCGCGATACCGAGTATCACTAGTAGGAGATTGCGAGTCGACAGAAGCGAGAACTGATCGAAATAGACCAAGCCATTAAAGATGGATGAAAGGTTGTAGAAACAGAAGGCCACTATACGTGACATGAGTCTATATCACGTCGATAGCTGCCATGACAGCACTCACGAGGACAGACCAGCGTGGGATCCGCTAGAACAAGACTCTTGTGCAGGTACCAAAGTTGCAGCAAGGCGAAGACGACCAGGCCGAGGAGCAAGACCCACGCTTCCCATCTCCAAAACTGGTTCTTGCCCCCGATGGTAAGCATGAGGAGCTCCACGCCGCTCTTGGCGAATATCAAACACATCCCGGAGAGAATCCCTGAGAACGAGGCGTAAGAGACAGCTACGAAGAGCGCCCGGCCGCTGGGTTTGGTCGCGAGCGCGAGATCCGACGTCACGGACTCGGGCGAGGAATGTTTCCGCATGAGCAGGGGGGTGCGCTCTGCAATTTCCGAAGAGATCGTAGCGCCAGTTGTCAGGTCGCTATGCGTCATCAATGAGTTGCGTTGAGTCGGCGCAGTAGGTGAGAGCGGAGGTGACGGGGGCAGCCCGATAGGTTGCCGGGCCAACGAGTATTCGACGATATGGGTCTAACGTGCACTTCAGTCGTGTTCAGGACGTAGTGCCGTTAGATGTGCTCACCACTATCAATGAAACCACCACGACCGCCAGCAGGATTGAGAAGTATGCCACGAACGGAGGCCGTCGCAATAGCGCCAGAAGATCGTCGAGCGTATGATTCGGCTCCGGTACGATCCCGAATAGTGCGATGAGCACCGCTCCGCCGGCGATGAAGAGGGTCCCGAGCACCATGTACGGCGAGAAGACGTCACCCAAGAGCACCCGGGCGAAGAACGCGTTCCATAGTAGAGAAACCGCGCCTAACGGCCCCAGGATGACGACAGGGAGTGCGGCAATCTGGAATATGGAGCCAAGGATATTGGACGATATGAAGATCGCTGGTAAGAATGAGCACTCGCGGGGGAAGCTCGACCGCGCGTGTACGCACCGAATCCAAGAAGCCACAGCCTGAAACATCACAGAGCAGCCGTTCAGCATGCGCAGAGCATAGTTGAGCCAGGATGAATGCCAACGGCACAGGAATGAAGCGAGTGAGGTGAACACTCACGGTCTGCGATGTTCTACACGTTGTTGGTCTTCCGGCAGCGACTGGTTCACGACATGGCTCTTGCGCTGGATCGTGAGGCCGAGTGACTGCACGAAAGACGCTATTAATCCTATGGTGATGCCTGCGGCGACCGAGATCTGAGCGCCATCGCCGATGTTGGCGCTAAGCATGGTCGTGAAGTGCGGAGGCAAAGCTGGAGCTGCCCGATCCATGACGCGAGGCAAGTCGCATGATTTGGCCGCCACCAAGACGATCGCATTGCAGTCGCGCGTCGCGTCGCGCTCGACATCCTCGCTGCGTTACATAGCGCTCCTTCGCGACCATGCTCCCCCCTTTGGGCCCTATCGACGAGAAATCCCTGTTGAAACCTTATGTCACCGGACGGAAGGCCAGGCTCTTCGAGCTTCGAGAGCTGCAGCTTATGCGAAACGGGAAGCCGGCCGGGTAACGTCTAGGAGTCGCGGTATTGACATTCGAGATACTTATTGCGTGCATGCCCAGGTTCGATCAGACAGAGTTTATTCCGAAAAATCCTGGGCGTCCTCTGGGCGAGGTATACTACCGAGGCGTTGTGAGGATCACGAACCCCGATGATCTCACTACCGAAGGCCTGCAATTCCTGCAGAAGAAGCTTAGACATGCCGGCCACAACCGTCAAGCAGAGGCTCTCATCAAGAGCGAGGGTCTTGACGTCTACGTGCACGGCAAGAAAATTACAGTGGTTTTGTTCAGGCGTACGTCCCGTCACCCCCCACGAGTATGCCCTACAACCAGACCTTCCAGGCAAGCCTGTACCAGACGGGATTCTGTTCACGTCTTCTTGGTATGTTCGACCGCTGGTGGTATACACACGCTTCTCGCTGATACTCCTCTTAGCGAACACAGGTTCGACATCAAGTCGTTCCATGAGGATACGGCTCTGCTCAGCCGGGCATGGCTGAGGCAGCAGCACCTCTACTACGACATGTCGGTGACAATCATGATGGATAAGGATAGTGTGGAGCCAGACCACGGTCCGGCGTACTTTATCGACGCTTATATCAGGGGGGCTTACCCCGAACGTTCCATGGTCGAACGCCTTATCGTCGATTCCTCGCACCTGGATTTACTCCCGCGCAAGAGACGCGAACTGGACTATGAAGAAGTCGCAGAGCTGTTTTATCAAGACATAGATTTTATCTTGAGCCACAACAAAATGCCCGGAAAGAGCGGGAAGAAGCTGAACATCGCGGCATGGCAGGAGTTCAAGCGGCGGGGCCAAAGAGGCGACTTCTCCAGGTTCACCGAGCCTGTCGTAATCCCAAAGAAGAAGGCGGTATGGCTCTTAGCTGACTTCCTTGCCTGCGCCCGATAACGGCTATTTCTCCAGGTTCGCCGCTTCGTTGGGCACGTAAGGCGTAAGGATGAATATGATGATTGGGACTCGGACTACACGATCCCCTCTACATCAGCGGAATCCTCCTCGTCTGACGAGGAAGGTGCACGTCCAGGCATGCCACCAGACCCGGAGCTCACGGAGGCGATACCTGCATGGATCTTGCAAGAACCTCGTATCGGGCCGAACTGGAGCTGGGGGTGTCCCCATCCCGGATGTTCCTATTCTATCAAGCTCCTTGCACTGTCTGAGCGAGAAGCTGCCCTCCTTGACCCTGCCGATCTCCGATTCATCAAGGGTCGGTCCTGGCACACAGCCAGCCCCAGGCACAAAGAAATCCTAGCGAGATCATTCGTCCGGCTGTTTAACCATCACGCTCGTGGCCATCTGGAGTCGCGCTGGATCGCAACGACGTCGATTGACGACTGGGTAAGCAACACCGATTTCCGCACATGCTACCTTCTTGAAATTTGGACCATCCTCCCTTCCCAGCACGCCGGTTGTGAGTGGATGCGACCACAGGACCACAGCGTCTGGCCGGAGCAATCTCACCGCTCCAAGGACTATGACGAAGAGTTACTCAGGCAGTATGGGCATGTCAAGATCAAGGAAGAAGACGCGTTCGAGCGATGGCGGAGCCCTGAGATCTGATTCTGTTGTCCAAGGACTCGACGGACGATCCCGCGGCGGGGTGGCCTGCGGGATGCTCAGCGGCGATGGCCGAGAGTAGCAACGAGGACATAGCTGAACCGCTCGACGGTGGCGGCGGCAGCGATTGATGTTGCGTACATAGTAACTCGGGGGATAACCCGAGCAAACCCAGGAGCGATATTCATGCTAAGCCTATAGTACATTGCTTGTGATACAATTACACGAGTGGATTATCTACGAGTCGTACACTACGCGCGCATCGAACACCTCAGTCCATTTCCTCGACTTCGATATCATCATCCCAGTCGTCGACATCCATCTCATCCATTCCCGCTGCGGCCTCGTGATTTGGAACGATGCGCAAACGGTTATGGGGTCCATCGAACCGCACATTGACGACCTCGCCGTCGCGGATACGATCCGATAGTATCAAGACCGACAGCGGGTTCAGCAGTTCTTGCTGGATGGCCCGGTTGAGAGGACGAGCGCCGTATGTCGGTGAGTACCCCATCGACACGAGATAGTTCTTGGCCTCGTCGTCGAGCACGAGCGTGATCTTTCTCGTGGCGAGCCGTTCCTGAACTTCCTTCAGGCGGATGTCGATGATCTTCATCACATTCCTACGCGAGAGCGTACGCTACGGAAAATGCGTCAGTAATACGTAGTGCCGTCAAACCATGGGGAGAACTTACGTAGATGACGATCTCGTCGATACGATTGATGAATTCGGGAGGGAAATGAGACTGAATGGCACCCATGACAAGGTCACGAGTACCGGGCTTGACGGGACCCTCTCCCATGTCGTTGAGGTACGCGGCTCCCAAATTGCTCGTCATGACGATGACAGTGTTGCGGAAGTCAACAACCCGTCCTTGTCCATCGGTCAAGCGCCCGTCGTCGAGCACCTGCAGGAATAAGGTGACGAATTCACGGCTTGCCTTCTCTATCTCGTCAATGAGGACGATGGAGTACGGCTTGCGACGGACGTATTCCGTGAGCTGTCCTCCCGCGTCATGGCCGATGTAGCCCGGAGGAGCGCCGATGAGACGCGAGATGGAGTGCTTTTCGGAGTACTCCGAGGCGTCGATACGGATCATGGCGTCCGGCGAATCGAACAGCACGGTGGCGAGCGTCTTGGTAAGCAGCGTCTTACCCGTGCCCGAAGGACCAGCGAAGAGGAAGCTCGCGATTCTGGACAGAAACGTTAGTTAAAGTTAATAGACCACATGGCGAGTGCTCCACTCACGGTCGCCCTTCGTTCCGTAGACCGCTACGAGACAAGCGGATCGCGTTTGCAACAGCCTTCACGGCTTCAGGCTGGCCGACGACGTTCTCGGCGAGGGTCTTCTCCAACCTGAGCAGCTTCTCCTTCTCGGTCGACATGAGCCGCGTGACGGGGATGTTGGTCCAGCGGCCGACGATCTCTGCGATCTGCTCGGGCGTCACAACGTCCTTGCCAGTACCCGCAGCGTCCTCCTCAGCCTTCTGCGCCTCGAGTTCGGCCAAGCGTTTATTGAGGTCCGGGATGGCATAGTAACGAAGGTCACTAGCCGTGGCGAGATCGTAGCGACGCTCTGCTTCGTCGGCCTTCGCCTTGAGCTCGTCGATCTTCCGCCGGACGTTCGCGATTTCGTCGCCGCGGTGCTTCTCATTCTCATACTCGGCTTGCAGAGGTCGCAGCTGCGAAAGGATGCAATCAATCACTGGACCAAAATCGTATGCACAGCATCAGCTTACCTTGTCATCGACGTCTGCGATGGCCTTGCGAGCGTGGATGAGGCGTTCTTTGCTGGCATCGTCCTTCTCGCGCTCGAGTGCGTGGATTTCGACCTCGAGTTCGAGCTTGCGGCGCTGGAGCCGGTCGATCTCTTCCGGGGCCGTTTCCCGAGTGACACGTACACTGAAAGCAGACAAGTTAGCATCGTTCGATTCTACCTAGACAAAAAATGCTTACCTAGCACAAGCTTCGTCAACCAAATCGATTGCGGCGTCCGGTAACCGACGAGATGTGAGGTAACGATGCGCCAGTTGCGCGGCTTGTATCAACGCAGCGTCCATGATACGAACACCATGGTGGACTTCGTACTTCTCCCGAATACCACGGAGAATGCTGATGGTGTCGGGAACAGATGGTTCGTTGACAAGTACCTGAGCGAATCGCCGCTCAAGGGCAGCGTCAGTCTCGATGTACTTGCGGTACTCGGCCAAGGTTGTTGCACCAATGCAGCGCAGTTTGCCACGCGCGAGAAGAGGCTTGAAAAGGTTGGCGGCGTCCATACCGCCTCCCTCAGCGCCGCGGCCTGCCATGATAAGGTGCAACTCGTCGATGAACAGAATGACGCCGGTGCCTTCTTCACTGGCCTTCTCGACCTCGTTCAAGACCGACTTGATCCGCTCCTCGTACTCTCCCTTGTACTTCGCGCCCGCCATGAGGGCACCCATGTCGAGCGAGAAGAGACGTGCGATAAGGGAGGCTGGAACGTCGCGGTTGACGATCCGTTGAGCGAGGCCTTCGACGACGGAAGTCTTGCCGACACCGGGTTCACCGATGAGAACTGGGTTGTTCTTCGTCCTGTAGCAGTGTATCAGAATCGGATTCCGTGGATTTATGCGATACCGAACTTACCTTCGGCAAAGAATCCGGGTTACTCTACGGATCTCGTTGTCACGGCCGATGACAGGATCGAGTTTGCCCTCCTCCGCTAGAGCAGTGAGATCGACCGCGTACTTCGAAAGGGCGTCGAAGCCTTGTTCGGCGGTCTTGCTCTCGACTCTGCGGTTGCCGCGGATTTGGGTGATTGCAGTCTTGATAGCGGCTTCAGTGAGGCTCGCCTCCTTGAGAACGGCGGCAATCGATGCGTCCTTGATGAGCGCGAGAAGTAGGTGATCTTGGGCGATGTACGAATCGTGCATAGTCTTCTGCAAGGATTGCGCCTCCCGCAGGACCTTGAGCGCGGCCGAGCTGAGGGTCGTCTCATCTGGCGGTGGTGTTTGCGCTGGTAGGCGGACAATGATCTTCTGGATGCCGCGTTTGACGACGGCGGGGTCCCCGCCCGCCTTCTGGATGACAGATGAAAACAGCGAAGTGCCCTGAGTATGAGTTACACCGCCCGGCGGTGTGGGGTCGCCGGCAGACTCATTGAGCAATACGAAGGCAAGATGCGCGGGATGCACTATGAAACAACGTCAGATATACGCGCGATGGTTGAAAGTGTCACATACCTTGGGCATTCGCGTAGTCTTTTGCAAGTTGAACGGCTGCAGCGATAGATTCCTGCGCCTTATCGGTGAAGTCGAAATTCGAAGCCATAGCTCAGCTGTAAGGGGTATATGATTATGAACTTGTGGGACACCGTCGTGCAGATCCCCGACCTTATATTCGGCATGAAGGGGCAGCGTAGTCTCGTCCCGATGGCAGCAGAATATTCGAGCCATGGGGCTAGAATGTGACGGAAACTTCGAGCCGATGCTCGTGACGTCAAGTGTGAGCTGGTATGAGCGAACGCTGTGACATCAAGCGTCACAGCCACTCCCGACTCGAGCCGGGTCGAGGCGAGTCGATGACCGGCCAACCGGCTTGGGAGCCGAGCGGCTCAGGCTTGTCTGCATCCGGCAATCGACGCTCACGCTGCAGCATGGAGCTGTATCGTCATGTAGCGCATGCATCATCCTACGGAACGCGTTGCAGTCGACAGCCTTGCTCTTCCTTCGTCCAGCTTGTATGTCGAGGTTCGTTGCGCCTTTGCGCTCCGGCGCGCCCTTGCGAAGCCCAGAGACGACCCCGACTCCCTCCTCTGCCGAGCAATTGTTGAAGCCGCCTCCGATTCATCCACTCCGGCGACGCGTACAAGCTTCACCGGAAGCCTCTGACTCAAGCTCATCTGCCGTCGCATCCCCGTCCGCAAGCCAGGTGACACTGGCATCACTTAACCAAGGGGATGTGCGATCTTCGTCGGCTACGGCGGAGACGCTCAGAGATTATGCGACACAAGACGAGGCTGAACTTTCAGAGGATGCTCTCCGGAAGATATACGACGACGAAGAAATTGACCGTTTCTTGACACTATTCTCTGCTGTGAGCTCACGTGTGCATCATCCTTGTGTTCAGTAACCAATGCGTACAGTATGTTAATGAAGTCCGGTTGCCTGGTCTTGAACCACCCACCTCGCTTGCAGCATCGACGTTCGATGTCTCACAAGACGATGATTTGAGCGTGCAAAGTCCCACACTGGCCAACGATGATGCTCAAGGAGAAGGAGAACTGGACAAGCTGAACCCGGTGCCAAATTCTCCGACATCTGCGACTTCGCAACATACTACTCATCGATCTCTATGTGAGGAGATAGCGTCGGTGTGTATGCCCTCCGTAATATCTTGAGTTGCATCATGCTAAGCCGTTGACTGTAGAGGATCGCTTCCTCTTTACCTCCTACTCCTCCGTCCCCACCACCGTTCACGTTAGGCAGGTTGCGATTGGCGACGCAACGACTTTATCTCGCACTCGAGCCAACCTATATTCTCCTGATCCGCCTGTTGCGTCTCGCCACATGGGAAGACAGGGCAGCCAGCACTTCGTATTGCATCGTACGTCTCCCGTCAAGCGTGCCTCAGAGGCGAACTTGACTGCGACGTATAGGTTTACTGGATCCTCTGGGCGTCCGATCTTCTGCTCCCCGGTGCCCTTCTTTGTATACTCTATGCTCTGGTTAGGAGGCGCATATTTCCCTACCCAACTCTGGCCGAGCTGCGCCTGCATCGTTCGCAGGTTGATCGTGCCGAGCGGTTCTCCGATGCCATCCAGAGCCGCCTCAGTGCATCGAGTACGCTAGGCGTAAAGGAGGCGTGGAGAATATTTCGCGTGGTTTACAGGAGCAAGAAGGGCTTGGTGGACAGTGCAGTACGGGACGCGAAATCCGCGAAGGGCAAAAGGAAGTCAACTGGGTCGGGCGAAGCTGGTGTCAGTAGCACAGTAACCGTCGATTTGGGAAGTTCCCAAGGCCTCGGTGATCTCGCCGCTGGAGAAGGCGCAGAAACCGTGTTGGATTCTCCAGTAGCGAGTCAGGAAGAACAAGACCTGAAGCGCATGGGATTACAGCTAATAAATGGGATTGCTGACGTTCAGGAGCGAGTCAAAAAGTTCCGTCACTGTTTAATCTACCCCGCGTTGGGCACGACTGACAGGCCCCTTGAAGCATCTTCTTGTGGAGGAGACCGGCAGCGTCTCGCCTATATGGACTTGTGCGCAGCCCTCATTTCTCACACAAACTCTACTCAAACTGTTGTAGGCGCTTGTGTTCATGTTTTCCATCACGCTCTTGCTTCCGGCGAGATATTTGGCGAAGCTCGTATACTTCATCATCGGTGTTATGTTCTGGCACGCTACCCCGGTGATTATGGCCATGTCTCCTTCAATGCGCGATAGGTGAGCACATAGCGAACGATGCATAAGGCCTGGGTCATGCTTAAACATCCTATAGACTTCCGCCCCCCTTCAGCAACGTACCGACGGACGCCGATTATGCCATGGAACTGATGGCCGAGCGCGTCGCCAATGGGCTCGACGTCAGGCCGAGCTTGAAAACTAGACGAAGGCGCAATGCAGCTAAACGCAAGAGTACAACCGCGAGCACAAGCTCACTGTCACTAAGTAGTCTGAGCGACATGAGCCAAGGACAACCAGGCGAAGATCAAGAGGGCGATCAGGACGACGAAGAGCCTCTGAATGACGAGTCCAGAAGACCTAAGGACTGGGTTCGGACAGCAGTCAACATGTTTAGCACGAGCAAAGCTTGGGTAAACGAGGGCCAGCATATCGTGCAGGGGCTACGATCCAGTTCGCGGATAGAACAGCAACCAAGTCCTCCGGTCCCGCCTGTGGCGTTGGCTTATGCGAACACCACACAGGTGGAGAAACATCGTACGCCTTTCCGATAGTCACGCAACCCCAGGTGCTGATGGTGCTTCTCGAAAATTGTAGCATTCCTCGCCCAGCATTCAAAGGGACCGGGGCTTATCACACTCACTGGCGGCATGTTCTTCTTCACGCCAGTCGTTCAAAGCCACGGTAAACTGAGCATACCCCTGGCACAAATACGAGGGATCAAGAAAACAGGAGCCCTGCAGGGGCTGAGCATCCGGTGGGTAGATGAGGAGAACCAGGAGAAACTTGACCGCTTCTTGTGGGTTCGTGGGAGAGACGAGGCGTTTGCTCGGCTTATTGGGGGAAGCGCGAAAGGTTGGATCAGAGTCTGAACGGCTACTTGATACCCCTTGCGCGAACATTCGTTTAGATATACCCGTTTCGTGCAACGAATGGAGCATCTATATGTTTCGCTAATGTCCATGATGAGGAGCCTGCTCAAACCGGATACCACTGAACGTGGGAATCGTAGGAATCAGGACATGCATATATAATGAAGTCAGAGCACTCACCAGTAACTGCAATATAAAGTTGTTACGGCAAAATTGTAAGCAACTGAGGTACTCAGTCAAGGTCCAACTTACCCGCAGGGAGTGGGACCAGGTTTGTCCAGGTTGATGAAGATCTTCGGGTGGCCCAAAGGCCCCGAGCCTGTAAATCGCTCATCAGAACCAAAGCCGTTTCCGACCAGGAGGGTCTGCACCTCCGTCGCACACCGCCTTCCGGCCGTGTACAATCCGAACCGGCTCCTCCGCAATCATAGCCATAGCGCTCAGAGGTTGCGGCTGGAGTTCCATGTTTGCCTGCTCGAACCGAGCACCCGTCGTGGCGGCGGCGCGAGTACGCTGACTGGTCGACCAAACAGCGGGTGCGTTCGGGGCTTGCGGCCTGGCGGGAACGCTTGCGGCCTGATCTTCCGTAGTAGAGGCAACACTTCCAGAGCTGCTAGAGGAGGCTCGCACAGCCTGGAAGGCCCGAGCGTTGCGAGACAGACGGGAGACGACCCGTCGAGTGATTGTGGACATGGCGGTAGGAGAGCGTTGTTGACTCGTGGGAAGATGAACTCCCCGTCAGCTCAAACGTAGGGACCTGCAGCTGACACTACCAACTACTCTAATTTTCGAACGCTGGTCCAATCGCTGGTCCGCCCTTTCACCTGCTGTTCGAGTTCGAATGTAAATACGGCCTCGTCATCAACGTCGTCAGTGAGCGGATACTGTAGTGACACTACTAGCTCAGCGTTCTTGAGGGGATTTGGGCACTGTTTGAGATACAGCGTACACGATGAGCTGTGGTAGGGACACGTTCTTCTCATACAGCATGTGGTTGATCAGTGGTCTACATGTTGTTTGCACTGGGCAAAGGCGCGGCTTTGTTCAAACTTCAGTGGCGCTCTGAGTCCTGCGAACACGAGTTAAGTACAATAATACTATGCGCCTGAGTCTTGCCCGACGCTGTACTATGGCCTAGTACTGTATCCCGTATTTCGTTTTATACGAGGAGTCGACAAGTACCAGCAGTCGTTGGCATCAGTGGGGACTAGCTTACTAGTATTTACCCTTGAGCCAGCTCTTGAATCACTGAATGGAGTTGCGCAGCCACCGTCACGAGGGGGCTGAACGCACACGTGATCGACGTGTTTCTCCCCTTGTCCAAGTTCCTGTCTGTCGGTGAACTGGACACGGTATCCCAATAGCCAGAAAGCCGCGCGACGATGGCGGTCATTGGTAACGCAAGAACAGATCCTCTTCTTTGGTGTAATTCTGTGCGACTTGCGCTCTCAAACGATCCGGGGCGTCAATTCCTGGAGGACCAGATCCAAACTCACGGGTTCTTGTTTATTGACGAATATCTGAGCAGTGTCCTTGTTCCACCAGAGGAGTGAGTGCCGTACGCATTCCGACACTTGTTAACTGACTTACGAGCTCAGTCCTTTGGTTGAGCTACTTAAGACCCCTGGGCGGCGAAAGGATAAGTCACGGAACCGTGTCGCCCCTGGCACGGCCAGCAAGCTACGCAATGGTATTGCATTCACTCCACATGTACGTTCAATACCTCCAGTCGTGCGTTTTCTTTTGGATGATGATGATACAGTATAATGATGATGCGAAGGAGAACGCCGCTCCCATCAATGCCTTCCAGCAAGCCCTGCTTAACGCCAAGCAGAGCAAGGACGCTACACATAACGCGCTCAAACCCGCCGGCCCCGAACTTGCTATAGATGCGGACCTGAGAGAAGCATTTTCGCCTCGACAGGCATACGGAGCACCTGCCTTGCCCGTCCATGAATTAGGTGCTCTCGTACCCTCCACTTCTGAGAGCCAACAGGGAGCGGCTGCGCCATTGATCGAACCCAAATCGGAGGCGGTCAACAGAGGACCCACACCTGCTGTCACACACAATGCTCCAGATCGCGTCACCGACAACCATCCTCAGACTACACCCGTACTGACGCCAGAAGCTTACGGCTCTGCCAACGTTCAGCTTCCTGCGAGCGGTGCAACAAGGTCACACTTGCGCGGCCTTGACCCTGCTGATGGGAAATCCTCTGGTCCGCCAGCCATGGAGCAAGCAGCCGAGGTCCCCCCTTCCGCCTCCAATGCTTCATCTGCCCCTGCCCCCGCGACGGAGGCGCCCGTCCCGCCGCCCGAAAGACATGGCACTCCAACAGGAGTGGCGCGGGCTCCATCACCAGTTGTGCCAGCTGTTTCCCGTGCTCCAGGCCTAGTACGCCAGACCAGTATGTTACACTTTCCGACGCTTGGGAATCTTCCTCCCCTACATAGCAAGAAGTCCCTTGGAGCCGGTCTTTCCCATCCGACTACAACGCCTGGCCCAACGGGAGTGCAAGGCCCCGGGGGGAAGCGGACATCTTGGCTGAAGAGGGCTCGTGAAATTAAGGCCATTGACCCGACTGGGGCGGCCTCAAACAAGCGGACGAGCGGCACGTCTGCTTTTGCACCTGCAGCAAAGCGCAAAAGCAACGACATGTCTGCTCCTGCAGCGTCCTCGAACGCGACATCAGAGCAGGCTGAGGCGCAAAGAAGACGGAGTAAATTTGCCAAACTCATATTGGACGGTGACGTAGCCGACGCCCGTGTTGACGCAGATAAACAGAAAGCAACGGACATGACTTCAGGTTCTGACGCCGCTGTCCCGTCCCGCTCAACTACATCCACGACGATTGGATCCGCTGCGGAGAGGAGACAAGAGCGTACCCAAGATATCACAGTACAGACCAAGGATCACGAAGAGGTGGAAGTCACCCGACGCCTCGATGATGATTATATGACCAATGATTTCACCATGGCCACGAAGCTCGATGACGGCTACCTCGCGCATCAAGACTACACCACAACCAATTTCGGTGATTATACTACTCGGACTGAACTGCAAGACTTCACTACGTCGAACTTCACTATGCAAACTCGCGAGCAACGAGACGACGTTCTAGACACCTTCAAGCAAACCATCGCCCGGCTCAAAAGCACGGGCAGTGGCAAGAGTCTCGGTGGAGCGGCCCTTGCAGAAGCCAAGAAGGCAGCGGAAGCTAGGGTTGCTGAAAGGAGACGTGAAGAGCATGAGCCAGTTGATAGGTCCATGGTCGATGACTCGCCGGACAAGGCATCTTCGACTGTTCATCACCGCACTCTGGACACAGAGAAGGTGAATATGCAGAAATCAAGCAAACGCTTGAGTCTGTCTGATCTCACTGGACCGCCGAAGACCGGGGAACATCGCGTCCAACCGTCGACAACCGAGATCCAAACTATCTCCGGGACCTCGGATCAGAGGACCGAAGTGGCTCGTCCTCTGATCGCCAATGTCACTGCAACGCCGAATTCACCGCGAAGTGGAAAACGTGTCCCAAGCCTTAATCTACCTTCCGGGCCCGTGTTCAGCAAACCGCCCCTTTCACCAAGTCGACCTTTGGGGGTAAAGGAATTCACTTTCAATTCAGTCGCATCGGCTGTGTTCTCTATACCAACTGCACCAGCTGCATCTTCATTTGGGGAAGCAAGACGGCCAACTACTTCATCTGCTCGATCCACTGTCGACAGCGTTTTCTCGCAGCCCCATGAAGTCTTCGACGACGATGCTGCCAAGTCCAACTGGATGGCCTCCACTCAGGAAACCGAATACTCGCAACAACCAACAGAATCACATCCTTCTGGTCTCGAAGAAGATACAGCCGACGTGGGAGATGCCGATGATAGTTGGCACGATGAAGGAGAATATGCAGGGAGATGGCCACCCCCTGGTTTCGAAAAGAGCACGACAAGCACCTGGAGTACGACGAGGACTGCAAGTCAGAAGGGCGGGGATACCGGCCCGCTGTCTACTGGAGGTCGGCAAGCCCCAGGGTCACGAATTGGGGCATCGGGCGACGACATGGTTCCATCCGGCGCCGATGTCCCGGGCGAGTCCACTGAAGTCCGTGACATCGCTATGGAAGGGACACCTAAGGATAACGCAGACGACGCCATTGAAGCCGCGAGTGACGAATCTCATGAGATGTTGCAATACGGGAAATCTACCGTGACGCTAGTACAGGTACGCCTGCTTGCTACGGTATGCACCGTTCGTGACACATCTTGCAGTCGAAGAAAGATGAAGCAGACGAACCACCTCCATTGTCGGAGGCACAATCAGGAGGCTTCTTTGGCCAGGCAAGCAAGTTCATGGGCACTGTCTTCGGAGTCAACAAAAAGGTCAAAACGGAGCCCGTCAAGAGTCTCCAACTAGCTGCAGCTGCGGCTAAGAAGGTAGGGACTTGGCTCTCGGCAGCTACCGCTCCTACTCACTGCTGCAATAGGAGCAAGAAGAGAAGGAGAAGAAGGCGTCAAGGCTCAAAGAGATGGAACATCGCCGTGCTCTGGCCACCCAACGCAAAGCAGAAGAGGAGAAGGCGCATGCTGTTGAGGAGGATAAAAAGATGAAAGAAGAGGCTGAGCGTCGAAAGCGCGAGCGTGAAGAGCAAACTGAGAAACGCCCTCTTAAATTTGCTCCCAAGAAGGTTCGTGCATCGTCACAGTCTCACAAAGCGTCGTTGACGGATCGGATAGGATGACGATAATACCAAGAAACGAAAGATTGCTGTTGATGAAAAGAAACCGGAGGCCAAGAAGATACCGCCGAAGGACGCTACCCGCGCTACGAAACCTACCGTGAAACCTCCCGTTCAGAACAAACCCAGCACTTCGTTCAGACCCACAACCGCCGCGGCTAGCTCGTCGCAGAGTGTTGCAGGTACCGCTGGGTCGAATGGCACAGCGAAAACGACTGCAGCGCCCCCTCCCTCGTCGAAACCGGCTAAGGCACTCCCCCCGTCTGGACTCGCTGCAAATGCTACAAAGGGTAAAGCGAAGATGAAAGCACCCGAGGAGGATCTCCGTCAACCCTCTGAGGTTGTTCAAACCCAGATGGTGGCTCGCATCGAGGCTCAGCTGAAAGCACAGCAACCCAAGATTGCCAGCGAAAGCATCGAACTACCGGACATCAACAGCGAATATTCGGACTCGGATGACGAAGACCGTAAACGCACTTTCGATCCTCCGGAATGGGCCCAGTCGCCGGATCTGAGGGCACAGCTACAACAGCAGAGCACGATTAATCCGGACGAGATCTTCGGCTCCGTTCAGCCGCTCGTGATGGAAAAGATATTTGCAAAACGGCATAGCAAATTCAGGGCTCGGACCAGTTCTGCGAATTGGACCGGCACGGACGAGTTAACGAAGCACGAGGAGAAGGAGTATGCCAAACGGATGGGCTTCCGTTCTTAGTTTTTCTGCTCGACTCATGCCCATTGACCATGGTTTCCGGTATATGACGTTCGTTGTGGCACCTGTATTGTAGATGCATTCATCACAAGACCTTTTAAGTTACATAGATCCGGGTTATGGCTGTACGTGTATTTGTGGCGCGCGTTGCTCAGCTCGTCAGCACCGGCAAACCGACAAAGTCACAGCAGTGCTGCAGAATATGCGCCTTTCACACCATGCTATGTAGGCCGTGTCCCAGAGCTGCAGAGTATCATAGTTAAGGACAGAAAGTTCGTATGGTGGACCGTCGCGAAGCTGTGAGACATTCGTCTCGACTGGTGACGCATATTATGTGTCCACATGACCGTCCAGGTCAGGCTAGCTCAAGTTGCCCAACCTCAGCCAGCCACTCCTACTTCCACGATCATCATAACCCTCCCTCTCGTTAGCTCGCCACTATGGCCTCGTCATCTACCAAGTCGTCACCGCAAATCGCCACAACGTCGGCTTCAAAGCCACCAGATAACCCTCTTTTAGTGTTTGCAAACATAAACGAAGCCCTTGACAACCTCGCGAGGTGTGTACAGGGCGACGACACGCCACCCTCCACTAACCAGCGCGTTCAGCCGCTTCATCCTCAATCTGCCACAGTCGGAATTGGACTCTATCGAACGCATATGTTTCCAAGTAGAGCAAGCGTGAGTCTGCGTGTGTTGCTGTCCCATCTCGTGCTCACCAGATTATTAGCCACTGGTTCTACGAAGATTTCGTTCGGGAGCAGAATCATAACTTCCCGCACATCAACCTCAAGAAATTCTCTTCCATGATGTTCCACCGCTGCCCTCTGCTCCAACAGCACGCCGCCAACCACGAAGCCTCGTTCTCACACTTCATGCAATACAAGATCAGAGTACCCGTATGTGGTGCTATTATGCTCAATCCGTCCATGGACAAGGTAAGAGTGTGCGATCCCTGCAGTTTCGTTATATCTGAACGATGCTGCAGTGTGTGTTGGTGAAGGGGTGGAAGCAATCATCGGGGTGGGGCTTCCCCAAGGGCAAGATAAATCAGGAAGAGGACACCGCGAAATGTGCGATCCGCGAGGTACGCCCCATCTCAGCCTCGCCACACTACTTTCAGCCAATGCCCGCTTGGAGGTTCTCGAGGAAACCGGTTATAACATCTCGGAAAAACTGCAATATGAGGACGTCATTGAGATGTCCATGCAAGGTCAACGGATTTCGTTGTACATCATTTGTGGAGTGCCCGAGGATTTCGAGTTCAAAACCAGGACGCGCAAGGAGATCAGCGTCGGTACTTCATTACTCTCGAGGTGACCTGAATTAAAAGCCCAATTTAGAAAATTGAGTGGTTCAAGCTCACCGAACTCCCGACGTGGAAGTCAGCGAAGCAAGTTAGCAATCGGTTCTACCTAGTAGCGCCATTTGTGAAGTAAGCTACGTTCATTTTGGTTATTGAGAAGATCTGATAGAACTACGACAGTGCTTTGAAGGCGTACGTGCACGACCGCAAGCCTCGCAGGCAGGGGACTCCCAACAATAAGGAAACGAAGGATGTGCCAAAGGCTCACATCTCTAACAATGCAGAAGGTTCCTCCCGCCGTGACGCTCGTGCTCGTGGGGCTGTTCATGGCACGACTAACCTGCAAGAGTCCAGCCATCATTCGTCTTCAGTGGATAAGGTGGTTACTCCCACTCCCTCGGTGGTCGAACCCAGAGAACTTCGCAAAGCTCAGAACTCTGCGATCCCCCATTTTCAAGGAGCCCGGCAAGAAACTTCACCTGGTGACCAACCCGGCGAGGCTGTTATGGACGCCCACATGGCCCGGATTCTCCATACTCTCCAGCTGTCCGCGGAGAAACGGCCAGAGTCTGTCACTCGCCCCGAGGATCAGCCTTTGCCTGCGTCATCCGCGGATGCTACTCACCTGGATGTTAATCGGGGAGAGCAAAGCGACTGGTCAATGCGTTCTCCTCAACGCTTGTCTGAAAATCGACCGCTACCGCCGGAAACCCAATCTACGAGCGTAATCGAAGTCATACCGTTTGCTGAACAAGGCCATAACGTTATTTCCCAGAATGCACTTTCTCTGAATCCCTCCACCCTAATCTCCGCGCAGGCCGAATCTACCCCGGGACCGCTGTCAGCCGTGCCCTCTGTAGGCACTCAATCTTCCACGTCCGGGGATGCGAGTACTTCTGTCCGTGCCCAATCCACCGTGTCTCGTCGCAGCTCGACTTCCGCTGCAGGCCTTTCGCCGTACCTGTCCAAACCGACGGAGATGCCAGTCTCCGGCAAGCAGCTGAAGCAGCTCGCGCTGCTTGAAAGTGTAGCCGACGAATCAGCAAGGATGACGCCGATCTTGGGGCACCGTGCGTCGCAGGTGTTTGCAGCCGCTCGTAACTCGCCAGTGACGGCAGCCGCATATCCGGATCGTCCTTTCTCTGTGATACCGAACCAAGTGCTCATGCATGGGCACCCCCTATACAATGGCTCGACGATCCCATATTCCGCCAGCCCTCGTGCCTTGGCGTTCCCGCACCACCAAGCACCCGTCTCCGGGATGAACTTCAACGGCTTTCCCATACAGGAACGTCCTCGCTCTAGCGCGACAGTGCGCCCCTTCCACGCACCCAATCCCATGGCAGGCAACAGGGCCAGCATGGATCACCACCAGCTGCACGCGATGTTGAGCCGCCCGCGTACCATGATGCCCCCGACGCTTCCCAACCCTCAACCGACATCTTTGATGACTCCACTTCCTGGCCCACCACTGGACGCCCTTTCACCACTGCAAGGGATGGGTTTTGCGCCTCAGTCCACGCCTCTGGTGCCTGTACACGTCCCTCCCTCGTACCAACAAACCTCCGCACAGACGCCGAGCAGTGCTAATTTGCTTTCTATACTTAACGCGTCGCCTAATGGTGTATCAAATGGCATGGGCCCTTAGATGAACGGCCCTAATATCTTGTAGCATATCGCCTCTAGTCACCACGAACATCCCAATCCCCATCTATCGCACATCACATTCATTCATTCTCTCATTCTTGCCTCTTGTCGCCCGGATCCCCATCGCAGCCTCGGCGGGGTCAATTGAACGTCCTTCCCCATAACCTGCTCCGCTACATCGACTCGTTGCATCTCTCCTTACTCGCCTCTTAGGTTGACAATCCAGGCTGTCTATCCGCACCGTACTAGTATCAGTAGTTTATCATTACCGTGGTTCAGGACAAGCTCTGTAGTTTTGTATCCCCGAGTTGTCGTAGCTTTGATTGCAATATATATATTCTGATCCGGTAGTGCATTCAGAAAGGGACGACATACTTAAACTAACCTCATGATGGCTGACTAGCTCCCGCGTCCTGCAAGAAGCGCTGCATGCAGCAGCGTCACTGGAAAAGTACAGACAGAAGCGTGCGGTCGGTAAGACATGTAGCAATAGAAGTCAAATCCGCAGGCGGGATCGAGCGAGACAATTGCAGGTTTGAGGCAAGTCTGAGGATTCCCAGGATTCGAAACCGCCTGTCTGAGGCTTATAGTACCGCTGCATTCCGGAAACAGGAGGTATCTTGGGCGTGCGAGGTCGGAAAGGAGATCCCCCGCGCGTTCGTTAGGGCGAGTCAAACCAGATTAGAGATTTACGTCACGGCGATGGTGAGCGTACACAAGCTTCTAACACGAGGATTCAGTTCAACTCTTGTTCCCCTCCCTGACGTCCTAGAAACACGGAACACCATGCCATCGAAGGCGAAAGGAATGTACAAACCAGAGGCGGTGAGTTCGCCGGGATCGAATGGGCATGAACGCACGTGCATGCTCAGGCAAAATACACGCAAGCAAATTACGTTTTCATCGCCATCCTATGATTTCCATCGCCCCTATTTTTTTTCTTCACCGTCTACTCCCTTTGCCCAATCCGCTGCTATTTATCTTTCTTGGTGACACCGTCATTCCATGGACTCATAGAGCACGATGATGAACGGAAATGGTATCAAGCTATTCTCGGGTATGTTATCCTGCAACGCTCCTGCTCCAGAGGGCGCCGTTGCTGACAGCGCCGACAGGTACGAGCCATTATGAGCTCGCCGAAGGCATTGCCCGGCGGTACGACGCCAAGGCAACAGCGCTGAGCAGTTGCTAATGTAGCAAATGCAGGATCGGGATCCCTCTCGGTCGTGCAGAGGTCTCGAAATCTCACATTGGCGAGTCCAACGTCCGGGTTGTCGAGTCCGTCCGAGATGAGGACGTGTACATCATCAACACCGGCTGCGGAGACATCAACACGTCTCTCATGGAGATGTGCATTATGATCCATGCATGCAGGATCGCGAGCGCCCGGCGGATCACTGCAGTCATGCCGCTCTTCCCGTACGCTCGTCAAGACAAGAAGGACAAAAGCCGAGCGCCCATCACGGCAAAGTTGGTGGCTAACATGCTGCAGACGAGTGGATGCGATCATGTTATCGTACGTAACCGATCCCCCATCGCTCCTTCATTTAATGGTTGACGAATCGGCGCGTTTTCTAGACCATGGACCTCCACGCATCGCAGATTCAGGGTTTCTTCGATGTGCCAGTGGACAAGTAAGGGTTTGACCTCATCGAGTGTCTGGACGGCATGGCTGATTGCCTGTCCGCAGCGTGAGTGACGTGGTGTCTGTTTGTATGACATGCTTCTTAAACCTGGGGATTAGCTGTACGCGGAACCCTCCGCGATTCATTACGTGCGGACGAATTTCAACTTGGATGAGATTGTCATCGTCTCGCCGGATGCCGGAGGTGCCAAGAGGTGAGGACGGGATCCTGACTGCAACGATCTCGCCACATGCTCACGTCTGCTTGCTTCGCTTAGGGCGACCGCCATGGCAGACCGACTGAATGTGGACTTTGCGCTCTTTCATAAAGAGCGCAAGAAGGCCAACGAAGTCTCTCGAATGGTGCTCGTCGGGCATGTCGCGGGTAAGGTAGCGATTCTCGTCGACGACATGGCGGACACTTGCGGGACGCTCTGCCTTGCTGCGGAGCGCCTGCTAGAAGCCGGGGCCAGCAAGATCTACGCGTTTGTGACGCACGGGATTCTGAGCGGGAACGCGCTGGAGAACATCACGCGCAGTCCGCTCGAGAAGCTCATCGTGACGAACACCCTCCCGCAGGAAGAAAACAGGAGGCGATGCTCGAAAATAGAGGTGATTGACATAGGGGGTGTGCTCGGAGAGGTGATACGGCGGAGCCACTACGGAGAGAGTGTATCGCGGCTGTTTGAGGAGCTTCCGTTGTGATCTCATGGCTGTTGATACCTGTACATTCTGCTCCATGCTCGCGAACGCAAAATGATAGACAGCTGAGATCTGAGAAGCATTGCGCGGCTCCGTGCGGGGCGTGGGTTTGATCGCCTGCAACGGGGGCTCATTGGACGCGGCGCATGGGCGGGTCCCAGGCCAAGCGACCGTGCGGAACACGGGGCGGGCGAGGACGGGCGTGGAGGACGAGGGCGTCGCGGGGGACTGGGCGTGTGCGCCGAGACAACGGTGGCGCGGGTGTTGCGGGTGGACGGGGCTTCGGACGAAACTTCGATCTGCCCAAACCAAGCGCGAAGTCTGATGCCCGGCCCGGGAAAACAGTCGGGGGCGGAGACGACGGCGGGCGCCCGGTCGCCGCGCCGGTCGACGACCCGTCTCTTTCGCCCCACGCTGAGCTCACCCCCTCCGCCTGCGAGCTCGTCGTCGTCCCCGGCGAGCAAGCGTGTCCCGCCGACGCACCCCAGATCTGCGTTCTTGTCGGCGACATATCGCACTAGCCGACCGTGGGTAACCAGATCGTCCAGACGCAGAAGTCACAAGGCTGCCAATTCACGCCCAAAGCGCGCACGTCTTCTTCGTCCGCCAGCGACTGGATCCCTTTCCACGTCCTCCAACCCTCCTTCGCTCATTCCCCTCCCCTGTCTCAGCCCCTCCACCCTGCCCAACCTCCCTGGCCCGGCCCGCTCACAGGAGCCCCCCACTCCCCTCCGGCCACCCTCCCTCTAATCTACGACCAACTCGTCGCAGTGGCATGCAGCTCTAACTGTGCGCGATCGACCCGACGGTTTCTGCCTGTAATCCAACTCCGTGGCCAATGCGAACGAACGCCGGATCATGTACCCGACCTCTCATCATGTCCAACCCGGTCATAATGCAAATCATAATGCCGCTTACAATACGCACCAACCACTCCCGAACGGCAACGGCCATCACCACCACCACCACTCTCAACATCCCAACGGACACTCACATACGCAACCCCCGCCGCAGTCCCATCGTCCACCCCCGGCACAAGCGGCGGCGCCTAAAGGGCGCATCACCGTCTATGCCGTACCCTCCATCACCTTCAAGGGCGACGATGTCATTGTGGGCGACGCCCAAAGCAGTGAGCGACACTTCATCCATCCGTGTGCTACCCATGTCTCACACTCTCCATCCAGCCTCCAGACGCTCCTATACCCCACTCAAAATGGTCGGCGATGGGTCGTTCGGCACGGTGTGGTTGTGCGACTGGCACGAGCAGTTGCCCCCGAAGACCCCGCTTTCGGCCATGCAATGCAATACTAATCCACGGCCGGAATATGCGGGAAGGAGACTGGTAGCAGTGAAGCGGATGAAGAAAAAGTGGGAGGGAGGTTGGGACGAGTGCAAGAATCTCAAAGAGCTTGAGGTGCGTCTCGTCGATATCGACGCGAGCGCGGCTTGACAGACTGTCGATCACAGTCTTTACGCGCGATTCCTTATCACCAAAACATCATCCCACTATACGACTTCTTTCTGCTGCCGGAGACTAAGGAACTGTACTTTGTCTTCGAGTCTATGGAAGGCAACCTCTACCAACTCATCAAATCGCGTAGAGGTCGGCCTCTCGCCGGCGGGCTGGTATCCTCCATCTTTCGCCAGATCATCTCCGGGTTACATCATATCCATGCGTCTGGCTATTTTCATCGCGATATGAAACCTGAGAACCTGCTGGTGACGACGACCGGTCTGCACGACTACCGCAATCTCAGTCCTCACGCCTTACCGGGAGCCCCGCCGGAGAAGGACGTCGTCGTCATCGTCAAGCTCGCCGATTTCGGCCTCGCGCGGGAGACGAAGAGCCGTCCGCCGTACACAGAGTACGTCTCGACCCGTTGGTACCGCGCTCCGGAGGTCCTCCTGCGGAGCAAAGACTATTCAAATCCTGTCGACATGTGGGCGCTGGGCGCGATCATGGCGGAACTCGTCAACCTTCGGCCTCTTTTTCCCGGGCAGGACGAGATCGATCAGGTGACGAAGATCTGCGCAGTGCTGGGTGACCCGGTGGAAGACTACGGCACTGATCCGAGAGGCAAGCCGATCGGTGGAGGGCAATGGCCAAAGGGCATCAAGATGGCAAAGGCAGTCGGATTTGCGTTTCCCAAGGTCAGTGCCATCCTCAATTGACATTCTTCAACGGCGTTTCTGACGGTCGGCCTCTATCTCTCAGATGAAACCGCACAATCTTGCACGCCTCTTCGATTCGAACGTCCATCCGAAGCTGGTCGAATGCATCGTGGACCTCTTGCGGTATGATCCCCAAGAGCGCCTTACCAGCCTCCAGTGCATACAGCATGCTTACCTGCAAGAGACAACGCCACTAGTTGACCTGCCAGCACCCACCCTCCGATATGCCACCTCTGAACCCTCAGTACCCGTCGCAGCTTCAGCTCATGCTCCTCGTCAAGCTGCAGAACTCCGATCCTCCGAATCCATGCCATCTGTTGTCGCACGGGATGTGCCTTCTGCACAGGTGCATGCCTCTGGTTCGCACCCCAACCTCCCAAAGGCGCCCTTCAATGGCTCTCCGCATCTACGGACCGGCGGTATACCGGATGCGGCTACCTCTCACCGTACCGCATTCTACGCCTCCACGTCCTCCGTTACGCAGAGCCCGTCGCGTGCGACGACGGATTATGGGCGGCCGATCGACGCCACGGTTGTTCCACCAGTGCCGGTGTATGCCGGAGCGAGATCGAACTCATCGTGGCCCGATGGACACAGTATGGACACGTCGTCTGCGCAGCGCGCGGCAGCGCCGCCTGGCTCGCCCATGGCTCAAGACTCGCAACCTCCGAGACCTCAGGTTCCGCAGGTGCAAGTCAACGGCATGGACCCCCAAGCACCTGTGCATGTTGGGAAGCCCGGCAAGTTCTTCGGCAAGAAATGGGCGCTTGGCGGGATGTTCGGCAGCGACAAGGCTCATGCTCTTGCCGCTGGTGGACAGTCTCCAGCCGAGGAGTCAACCATCTCAGCGTCTCCCACGGTGCATACATTGAAGCGTGCCAAGTCCAGTAGTCTCGATGGTCATACCAATCCTGAGTTGACACTTTCTCCTGCGGAACTCAAGAAGCTGCAGAAGAAGGAGGCTGACCGGATTCAGAAGGAAGCAGAGCGCTCGAAGCGTATGCTTGCGGAAAAGAGGCAGCTGGAGCAGGCTCGTGCTGTCATGCAGAAGCGCAGGCAGATGGCCAACGCAGGTGGCATCGTCGATACACACAACGTGCCGTTACACTTCGTGCATGGTGCTGCAGGAGTTGCCGCCGCGGAGAAGGAGAAGCAAGTCCCCTTGCTTCAGCCAAGACAAGTGGACACCAACATGCTCAGTCCCTCCGCCGGTCATGTCCCCGAACACAACGATAGGATGCTTGGCGCGCATGCCGAGGAACGCTGGCGCGAAGACCACCACCGTATGGCGAAGGCGCGTCGGCGCGACTGGGATGACGATCACTCCATGTCTTCGTCGGACGTACAGAGCGTCGGCCGGATGTCTGTCATCTCCTTCGCCACCGTGGACAGTGACCCTGGCCCGCCACACTTACGACATCGACCGAGTCTCTTCGGTTTGGATCGGATGACCAGTACATCCAGCTTGCGAACCTCATTCGGGGACAGCGATCAGTTCCCTCAATCCGTGAGGTCGTCGAACTCCTTGTCGCTGGAGCAGCAGCTCGCTTCGGAGTTCCGTATGCGGGCCACCATGGACGCCACCAGCTCACCACCGCCACTGAACATGCTCACCCTGTCTCCGACGCAGCATCGATGGGATCAGGTTCCGAAACGCGAAGGATCATTATCTCCGGGATTCCAACGACCAACACACATCGACTTGCCTCCACCACGTTTTACCCCTCAATCTTTCCAACCAGGTCAACATAGCCCCTATGAGCTCGGTAGCGATCTCACCGCTCATCCGATGAGTCCGGGCGAGCTTCCGAAATCGGCCATTAATCCCATATTTAAGGTTGTGAGTATATTCCGCATCTTCGGGCAGTCACTATACTATATCCTGACTATTCCTCCAGCCGACGTTACCCCCAGGTGCCTCGGATTCCCCTGCATCTCCTAATGCGCTGCCCCCATTCTCGCATCTCGAGGCCGTCGCTGAAGGGGAATACCCGCCATTATCCCCGATGTCCTTCGCCGGGGGTGAGGATTGAGCCCGGACTAGGAACAAAACCGTACACTCCTTCGCCTTTTTTTTCCCTTTTGCCATATTTATACCGTTTTTTCTTGCTCTCGGCATGTCTGTTTCCTCCTGCACCCAATGCACGCATCATTCATTGCATCCGTTCATCCAACCATCGCATCAATCACGACCTGCCCTCCCCCCACTTTGCCAGCAAACCCCAGAGGTCCTCCGCTGCCCCTTCAGTACGGCACCAGGTGTCTACCCTTCTATTCGTGATTCTTCGCATCGGTATTCCGGTGGATCTTCGTACTATATTTTCGCTCTATTTGCATGGCTACAGAGGCGGCGGAGTTACACTAGATACTATGTATTTCTATATACGCCTCCATACCTGGAAGGCGCTGTAATAAAAAAGGCATAAAAAGCGTACATCGAAGGCAATGTGATCGTCGGTGATCTGCAAGAGCGATCCCGCCACGTGATCAGGAGCTTCCTTGACGCGTCCCACGTCCTTCTATATGGTCCTCAGCCTGCCATATAGATGCACCATCCGTACTTTTATAGAGAGAGTGAATGCATCGCAGTGCCCATGTTTTGCACCAACAGCCACTGTGCCCGTCTGCTCCAAAACCCCCCCCCCGCGCCCCTACACGTCTACCTGACGGCGGCAAGTTCGTTCACCATACGCATTCAAAGCGGTGTTGCTAAACGAGCAGTAGGCCCTTTTCTAAAATCTGTGACCTGATTGTATAAAGCCATTGATAACTGCGAAACAGTTCGACTTTATCTCGTCATGTTTTTCTCTGCCGAGCTGTTGTCGAGGAGAGATGACGGTTTCGGACTACTCTGGTAAGGCGGGCGCGAGTATATGCGTTTGATTCGTTCCAATATACCCTACATAGGCTTGCGGCCACGCTTGGCTCCAGCTCCAAATCGACGTTCAAGAAATTGCCCAAGCGTTCCGTGCTTTCTGCTGATATCGCCCGGCTGTGCGGCTTGATCACCGAACCAGCGGAGCCATTGGCTCTGCGACTGTCCAGCAACTTGATGGTTGGCGTCGTACGGCACGTTCAATGTTAATCGTCTCGCGAATTACTCCGCTGATGTTTCGAATTTCTGTTTCCAGCGTGTATAGAGGCAAGACATACATAACTTGTTCCAGACTATTGTTTATATCGGTCCGGCCATTCAGTGAAGCAAGAATTGTTCTTGACGGACGTTTCAACGTGCTATAACTCTCTCAAGAAAGCTGTTCAGGACATGAACTCTGTGGCAGCTTCATCTGCAGCTCAGCTCCAGATGGGCCAATCTAGTCTCAGGTAAACTGCAAGACGGGTTTATGACTTCCATATGCGCTAGTACTAACTACACTCATCGTCCCTCAGGCCAGATGCATTGACTCTTTCTGCGGACCCAGTCAATTTTCTAGGTTTCGACCTGGATGACCTGAACTATGTAAGTGTTGGTAAATCCTCCGTGTGATCGCTCTGACAGCGAGCTGTAGGCTTGGGATGAAGTGGCTGAGGCTGACGGTAGGAGACATCATCTTTGATTAGTCGGTACCGAGGTAGGAAACTGAGTTTCTAATGTCTATCCAGAGACGCTAGTCGCGTCAGACGAGGAATACGGAGTAGGGGCCGCCAAGCGCAAGTCCAAAGCCAAACATAAACACTCCTCCTCCGTGGTCGAGCATGCCCGTGCCAACCTTCACACCCTTCAAGAGGACCATGAGCATCTTCTGTCGAACTCCTTTGACGCTTCTTTCAGTGCACTGTGGCCGCAGGCTGGGCAGGACCCTTCTTCGTCTCAGGCTGACGCTGGATTCAACTTTCTTGATGATGATTTGTTTGGCGCCGGTGGTGAACTCGGCCTTGACGGCGGCATCGGTGACGAATTGGCTCAAGAGTTAGGGGAAGGATGGGGAGTCTCGGCTAGTGATGCAAAGCACCGGTACGTATCGGATAAGAACTGTAGCAACTTATGGCTAAGCTTTGCACCATAGACGCTCCGTCTCTGTGGATCAGAGAGGCATAGCCGGCGACGCTATCAGTCTCGACATGGACTTTCGGCTCGACGAGGGAAACTTCCTAATCGTCGGTGACGAGACTGTCGTCGAGGAACCTGACAATACAGGGCGTAACGTCGTGCGTATTATTCTTCGGACACGATGTATTCTTCATTGAGTGCCTGCAATAGTTCAGAATTGAAACCGACAAAGGCACGAGTATCTCAGCTATCACGTTTTATGACGTGCTTAACTGTTTACAATAGAGAACTTACCGCCTCCTTCCCTTGCTGGTGCACCAGACGCGGAGTACGAACAACAGCACGCTGCTGAAGACCTTTCACCTCAGGAGGCTGGACATCATCCGAAGGCTAAACGAACGAAGCGAACCCATGTGCTTTTCGACTCACGTACTGAACTTTCCGATGACGAACTGAAGGTACGTTCGGTGTCATATGACGAGACATGACACCTGAAAAGTATCCGAGGCCGCGCGTACGGAATATCTCAAAGGTCAAGACGCTATCAGAGCCGATATAGAGAAGAAACGAATCGAGAAAGAGAGTGCCCAGATGGTTGAAGAGCTGATTTGGGGCATTCCATCGGTCTGTGCGTATTTGGGTCATTAGTGGGACTTAGTATCGAACTGATGTACACGTTCAATAGTTCAATCGCCATTCTTAGTTGATTTGTGGATCGAGAACTGTCGCTTGCAAGTTCATACGAGGGCAGAAGCTTCTACGATTGAGCCGTTGAGAGAACTGGGTGAGTCGTAGTTCACGATTAGCCGCGTTATCCAGCGGACTAAGCTACATAAATACATAGAACCTCCGTCAAAGCGACGTAGGCTAGGAGGAGCACAGGAGGAGCGACCTCACGACTTTAGTGACTGGAACGCGGTAGGACCCGAAATGCCGCAAGATTTACATGAAGCAGACGATTTCGGTACATCATATTCCATGACAGACGGGAGAGCGGTAACTAATCCTTACCAGAAATTACTCATGATGGTCGTATGAGATCGTCTGAAGTGAGCGAACCCTTTGCGAAACGATTGCGTAGTCTCAACAGCGTTCACCACCAATAGGAACCCGGCCAAGGTCGCAATGCATCTCGCCCTCCGTCCGCGATCGGCAACATTGTCGATCTCGGGGTAAATTCTGGGTCGCAACGCGGCTTTTTTGCTCCTTGGGACGATGCAGGTCCTAGTTCTTCCGCCTTTGGCCCTGCGGGTGCGGAAAGCGACAGGATTAGCATCGACAAAGCGGACATGCGTATCCGCAGCCGATCGCTGAGCGCGAGCCGCAGGGACAGCTTCGTCATTCCTGGTGAGGGACACATGTCGCCTGCGGGTGACATTAGTCGCAGACAATCTCATGTAAGCTTCGACGAGTATATGCTGGACGGTCAGTATTATCGCACCGAATGCTAGCTTGATTCGCTCACTGGCGTCTCTTCCAGTACCTGCACAAGCACTGGCTGCGGACGAGTCGCAGGAGACTGACACAAACGTTGTGTCTTTGGAGCGGCGCTCGTACAAATTCCTGATGTATGCCATCCTGTTCTGCCCGCATACTCTTGCTGACGGTCTGCACATCGCATAGGTATGCGAAAATGCAGATGCAGGCGTTGTCAGGACCCGCAACTTCTCTCGCCTTCGATAGCATCATTGTCCCGCGAGCCAGGAAGGTTGCTGCTGAAGGGTTCTACCATTGCCTAGGTACGTCGCGAATGATCGGTATGTTCTCTCGGCGGCTAACTGGGAGTAGTGCTTGCGACGAAGGACCTACTTCGCCTAGAGCAACCCATCCCATACGGTTCTATCATGATAAACACTAAGTAAACATGCTGTAATATTCCTCTTCGGTGGGCTGGCGGTTGACGAGGCCCTTAACTCCGACCAATCATCGAGTAGCAATTAGGTAGATTCAAATTCGCTAAACTGTAACCTAACTGTGTCTTGCCGTTGACTTCGACCATCCTCGGAACTCACATAAGGTCTTGCATGCTATCACGCGTCTCCCGACTGCGAGTCGGAGCGTTCTCACCAGCACGCGTCCAACTTGAAAGCCGTTCCTCTCCCGCCCGTTGGCAAGTATCCGTGGGAAAGGCACTCCATGAGTTCCGCGGCCGCATCGAACAACGTCAGGCTATAAATCTATCCTCTCCACCAATAGTACCGCGGACTTGCACGTCCAGCTTGCGTAGAATGTCTTCAGTGGAGGTTATGACGGAACCCTCTCGTGCCCAGCTGGCGACAATCGATCTGTCCGGCTACGATGCAGAGCAGTCGCGTTTGATGGACGAGCGATGCATCCTCGTAGATGAACAGGATCGGCCCATAGGAGCGGCGGACAAGAAGACCTGTGAGTAGTCACCCATGAGAGCACTCCGTAGGACTCACATGCTCAAGGTCATCTCATGGAGAATATCAATAAGGGACTCCTCCACCGCGCCTTTTCTGCGTTCATCTTCCGACCTAGCGATGGCAAGCTTCTCTTACAGCAACGTGCCTCGGAGAAGATCACATTCCCGGACATGTGGACCAACACCTGCTGCTCTCATCCTCTCGACGACTTCACCGAAGAGAAGATCGAGGCCGAGCAATTGGGTGTGAAGATTGCTGCGTCTCGAAAGCTGGAACATGAGCTTGGCATTCCCCGCGAGCAAACCCCAGTTGGTAACTTCCAATACCTGACTCGGATACATTACTTGGCCCCTTCAGATGGCATGTGGGGAGAGCACGAGGGTACGTCGCCCGCCCGTCGTCCGAGAACTACGCAAGTAACCTGTACCTGAAGTCGACTACATCCTCTTCCTAACTGCCGATGTTAATGTGACGCCGAACTTGAACGAGATTCGTGACTTCAAGTACGTCGACAAAGATGAACTGAAAGCGATGTTCGATGCTCCAGGTGATTGCGTTGAGCTTCAGCCATCGACACATGCACTGATAATATCTTAGGCAATCTCTTCACTCCCTGGTTCAAGCTGATTGCACGCGATTTCCTGTTCGGATGGTGGGACGAGTTATTGAAACGGAAGGGCGGAGATGGTCTCGTTGATGCTAAATCTCTCGCTGGCCTGGTAGACGGAACAAAGGTGGTGAAGATGGTCTGACTACGGCCTTCGTAACGCGGCTGCTCAATCGGATGTTCTTTTGCCATTGGTTTGGCGATCACGGAATTTTGGAATATATAGACTTATTTGGAGTGATCCGTGCGTCTTGATCATATAGGAAGTGTATCAACCTGCGCTCCTGTTCCGCCCCTTCTAAACCAACTAGAGCATCGCGACGACCTAACTTCTGTCTTGTTCTCTTTCTCCCGGACTGAAGCGGGCCGGGGGGCGGTCATTGCAACATACCGTTTTGCCCGACGCACCATCCTGATGCCACCACCCCAGTACATTGCAAGCAATGCGCACCCGATCGCCACAACAATTACAATCAAGACCACCAGTGGTGACAACTCCGAGGCAATTACCAGCAGCTGCACCACAAGGAGTATCATAGCCCATCTTAGGGATGCTTGAGGTATGCTCCAAAGCATAGCGGTCACTTGGAAGCCAACGTCAGGGTCGTCGATGCGGTAAAGGTAGTTGTACTGTGCTACGAGATTAATGGATGACCTTGCATATAGAAGAAGACACTCACCGCCTCTGTTGCAGGCATATCTGCACTGTGTTGATATCTTTGTGTAAGGAGTACACTGGCTACGAGTCCCGAAGCAGACACCACACTTGCTCCAAGGCTGACAGCGCGGGATGGAAACTGGGAGCTGAAATGAAAAAACACGGAGTTTGAGCTGTGTGAATTAATTATGAGAAGCACGTTCTGTCGCATGTCATGGGACACTGACATCAATGCGCCAGTGGACTATAACTATATCAGAAAGCATTGCTGAAGGCGCTAGCGAAGTACTCTCACCATCAAAGATGTTTGCTGCCATTCTCTTAATCTCCTTTGGGCAAATCGACGCCAATGGATGGAATACACCATATGGTCCACCCACAACTTGCTGAAATCTCTCAGGATGATATCTGGAGTACCGAGGAGCATCATTGTCAAGAAACGCATTAACAATGTCTTTTCCACTTGAGGGAAGTCTAGTCTTCTCTGGGAACGAGAAATGCGTGCGTGCGCTTCTCCGTAGAATGTGTCGAACCGGTGGCGCGCTATTGCGGAGGTTTCAACAAGCTGATGGGCTCACAATATCTGACATACATACCGATCGTTGACCACATGCGAGCTGGAATATTTCTTATCAGACAGATTCGAAGACCCACGAATTATCGAGTACCTATCAGCCATACCATCTCCATCGGCATAGTACCGCTCGGCTGGGAGACAGCTAACCGGCTTGTTTTTGGTCATTGATCGGTAGAGGAGGACCAAGCAAACATACCGCAGCTTTTCGTGAGCTCAAGGAATTTCGCACATTGCTCTGAATCATATGGGAATGTCGAGTCATCGGAAGTGAGTTGATCTAACAACAAGAAGAAGTTCAGCGGGGCTGAGGACTCCAGGGATGATGTTCTCACCTCCACGTCCATATGTCAGCACATTGATTAATTCGCAAACTGATTCTGCCGGCGGGGTATGATGAGGAAAATATTGCACATGCGTCCAGTAATGTTCCTGAAGTAAATGATCTGCCATGCATGTCAAAAACAGCACTCATGACATCGTGAAGGACGCACTGAGGTGTTCATCCGATGAGACCGCAGGAAAGTCCAACGTTTCCGAATCTATCTTTTGCAGCCAGTACTCCCGTTGATATTTGTGGTCAACCAAGTAATATTTGCAAGTATCTGCACTTTGTTCCATTTGAAGAAAAAGCTCTGATTGTTCCGTGATCGGCATTTTCTTCTCAACTGCCAAAGCCATGAAGGCGAAGACACATTTCATAAACATTTCAAGGATGGTAGGTTCCTGAATGTGGTTTTCTGTGACAATGCGGAGTCGCCGGTGATAATAGTATAGCGCGCCTTCAGGATGTATGTGTGTTGTCCACTCCGGAGCAGACCGCGACAGCCTGTCATATTTGATAAGGAAAGTCACTGATTACATTGAAGAGGCATACTCTTTGCTGTCGATCGCATTTGCTGAGCCTGCTTCTATTAATCGATGTGAAGGATAGATCCTAAAGCAGAATGAGCATGTTGCTTCGGAGGATACAGTGGTGACTGGCGAAGTACTTTTCCTCCGAGTCGTATCGAGGATTTTGTACAGAGGTTGTCGGGAGAAACATGATTCCATCCGCGGACCTCAAGGCGTCGCGCCCCAAGGTTGTCCTCGTCAGTGACATGCGTTCTGACCTTCGGTGGGCGGGTGGCAGAGGAGCGGTTCTCTGGCGACGGGAGGAAACCCATGACGAGTTGTTAGATTCGCCGAAGCTGTTATATGTCTTGTGAAGCTGTCGAGAGGCTGTTCGACCACACGCTAATGCCCGGAAAACGAAGCTCCCGATAGAACTCCATCAGATATGGAGTGCTGAATGAAGAAGATTGTTCAGCGCTACTAGCATGGCAGTCGAGAATGGATGGCCATACCTGTACTAGGTCAGGCTATCGTGATATGTGGGTATTGAATTCTCGCTAGATGTCGCAGCTTGCCGGAGCTATACGTGCCATGAGATAGCCCGACCATCTTAGAGACGACATTTTCGAAACCATCCCGAAGGTTAAATGAAGGTTTCCGAATTACGTACTAATATTAATTAGGTCATTGATGGCCACGTGCACACACCGTCTTTACTTAGAATTAAATCGATGCTGCTGCACTGCGCATCGCCTTTCGTGTTCTCCAACGGAGCCTCCGGAGATCTCGGCTCGAGGCCTGCATTGGTGCACTGTATTTAGCCCATCCATATCACCGAGAGCTCGCAACCGCTTTTGCGCCAGGCATTGCCCTGCGCCCTCTCCACAGCGAACAGGGCCATGGATCTCAGTTTCTTTGGACAACCGGCCGCGAAAGCCGCTTGGCTTCAGCCCATTCGAGATCCCGAGCCCCATTTTCAACCGAACCATGCAGCCATCATAGCAGCGAACTGATGCTATAGGAGCTATCGCATTGCTTCCCTTATACGATCAAAACTAATCTGCAGCTTTCTCGCCTTCGCAGACGTGCCGGAATATCAATCGCCGGCTTGAGCTCGCCAAGTCAATCGATTGAAGGCACTGAATGACTGTGTTCTCCACAGAACATGGAATAGTCCTTGCTGCTGCTGCGCCTTAGAACTCCGGGGCTGTAACCAGGCGCTTTCTGGATTCGAATCCCTAGAACTCCCTACGATATCCGAGTTTCACAGATATCTACGCCATAGTCGTCGGCGATGCTTCCTGGCACTGCTAGATTGTTTGAGTCTGGTCACTTGATTGTGTACTGCTGCGCTGTGTTGATGCGTCGACCTACTGTCGGTATATAATCCTCCAATGGTTCGCCTAAACTGCAGAACCACCATCCGAGCCAACTTCTTACGACATGTCGAGCCAAGCCAACACCACTGAATTATTCTCCTCCTTCCTTGGATTTATGGAAGCCTGCGCGCTCTCCGTTATCCAGCTATACACATTGTTCTGGACCAATCCTGAGAAACGGATCACCAATGCTGCTCAGAGGTGAGCGGCATTGCACATCGCGCAAAGCTACGCTGAGGCCGGTTTCTTCAGTCCCACAAAGGCAATCGATATTTCTCAAGCCCTACAGCCCATGACGCCTCAAATCACCACTGAAGCATTGGTGGTAGCTGGGAGGTGCCGACCCAGGTAGCTTCCTCAGACCCATGCGCGTGATGGCTTTCACTGACTCCGGTTTTAGGGGCAAGGTTACCCAGCCCCAAGCAGGGAAGCCCCCGCCCAGCAAACCGTCTCGCCCACAGCAAGCTCCGAGTCCGCCGAAGTAGCTGCATAGCTATCATGGGACCTAGACTCTTGATCGGATCTTGACAAGATCCGCGTATACATTCATCGTTGTGTCAACGTGCTGAATCCAATCATATATCGTTCCCGGTTATCATTTACGTTATCCCAATACCTTTACGCATTATCAGCGCTTCATATTTATGAGACATGCAGCTTGTACTGGTTATAGCATCTATACGCAAACTCGAAGCCTCTTGTGACATTGAACGACAAGCTATGGCCGGTGCCAGGGCGCTAGTGTGCTATCGGTGGACGGCAACGAAGAAGAATCATGTCTGTCCGAGAGCCCATATGATATCGCAGCACAAGCTTTGGAGCAATACTAGATTCATATCATGTCTACAGCAGTCCAGGATACCGCGTGTTTTTACGGTCCTGCATTACAAACTGACTGCCAAGAGGTACGCTACAGTTATCGCGCAAGCTTCTACGATCGCATGCTACAGCTACAGAAGGGTTACTGCATGTAGTCCTTTAACCTGTACAGGCCCTCGTTCATATCAGTGAGACAGCAACCAGCGAACGGTTGGATTCAGTCACTGATTACATCCAACAATTTGGTGCATGCAACAAGGACTTGAGCGTTCTAGCCCAAACGTTGCAATAGCGGCTCTCGTCAACACGTACAAGTATACAGGTACATACCTCGTTGATTGCTGCCGATTACTTCTCCACTGGGTCGCCCCTGATGCATATCGTGAGCGCAGCGGTGGTGGAGGGTGTTGCAACCTATGGCATCTTTGATGGGTACCAGCTGAGTATCAATCAATCGTTCCATGTTTGCAGAAATTCGCTGACGACAAGGCTGAGGATAGAAGTTCTGTAACTGAGGCCATCCATTGCGGACCAATATGAAGCCCAAGTGAGTGTCTTTTGAGATTCTCCCCACGCTGCTGGCCTAGCCAGTCCAGTCGTCAGAAGAAGAAAGGGAAGAAAGTGACCACAAGAGGAACTGCATGGGCGACAGGAAGCAATTTCAAGGAATCGCCACCTGTCGTTACAGCATCCGTTGGGATGGGGCAGCAAACTGCGCATGAGACTGATACTGCGAAGAACTCCACGAAGTCGGGTTGCTCCCGCGGCGTGAAGAATGGAGCTTCCAAAAGATTTTCAGAACCAGAATTCATTTCAACGGCTGTTGAGGGCCGAAGCACGCGCACAAAAGGTCATTGATGGTCACGGCACATACTCGGTTCAAAAGTGAGACGGAGCGCTAGTCTTCGAGCACAGTAGCGGAAGCATTGCGTGACTGTAAGGATATTCGAATCACCACGTGAGTCATAACGCAGGTAGCGCGCCAAGAAGATAATTTGAGCAGAATGAGTGAGCCTCATCTGAACCCTATCAGCCATCTGCAAGCAGCTTCATGCTACGGTTGCCGGCGGGCTACTCTTGAACATCCAGACCTCCCGCCGACCGCCGAGACCAAACAAGCCTTTCCGCCCCAGCGGAACACTTGCATCGATATAGTAGCCTTCGTCGCACAGGTACTTGAATAGATACGAGATGATAAAATGCTTATCCGTAGGATCTATGCCTGGGGTAAAAATCTAGAAATCACTCATACTTATCATCTTGCTCACCATCCAGGGGCTTGATTCGGATACTACAAACATTGCTGTCATCTACCGATGCATCCAGCTTGTTCTTGAATGTCGCTCGCATGGCAAGGCTGAGTCTGATAGCCAATTGTTGAGGAGCGTGGTAAATCATCACGTTGTACCCGTCATTTGCAAGGGCGGCACAGAAGAAATCGAGGGGGGAGGCGATGTGCATATTGGCAAATACGAGTCTTGGAGGCTTCATCTATAGATCACCGTGAGGTCTCCGAGCGATCGTGGATCTGGACGAAAGCGTACCGTATGTCCGGCGTCGATCGTTGTCACGTAGTGGAATCCCTGGACCAATACTCACGTCAGCACCCAGACTCACAACCCGTAAATTCTTACTTCTTCCGCCAGGATCATGAATAATCGGCATATGACCTTGTATGTGCTAGGCGAACGATCAGGCTATTGCCAAGGGTATACCTCAGGAACACATACCGTCGAGCATCATCACCACGAGCATCCCATAGTCTATGGGGAAATAGTAGTTCATAGCTAGTCCGCCCATGATCGGATGTTGTTCCCGCAAGATCGGACATGGAGATGAAGTAGTCATCGAACCGATCACACATATCCCGACGAACAACGTTATCGACCCGAAGCTTGTTGGTACCCTGGAAGGAGACAAATATATGATCTAAAGAGCAATCAGATACTTGAACGCGGACACTCGTGTATGCTCACCAGGGACATACTGTGCGGCATTGGAGTTGGTGCGTTGACGGGATAGGGTTTGAGTACGCTGCCTTGCGCCTGAGCCCGTACGCCGTCGGACTAGCGGAACAGCTGGTGCGGAAGCCATCTTCGGTTTCTTCATTGCAGATTTGAGCGTCTTTTTCGTATCTTGCTCCAATATGTACTGGGGTCTACCGAGACGCGGAGGTTGCATCAACGGTAACTGTACGTCCGTTGCTTGTAAGGGAGTAACATATTGCGCCGCCGTTACTGGGTAAGCTCCAGCTGGAAATGGTACGCCATTCTGAGGCTGGGGGGTGTCGCCATTCTGGAGAAACTGGGCGTTCACATATGGCGTCGCAGATTGGGCATAGTACTGGTATGGCACGTAGCCACCCGGATACTGAAATGTGGATGGACCGGCATAGTTCTCCATAAGGTTAAGTTTCGTGAAGAGATACTAGCGAGGGTGTCAAGGCAGGACGAAAGCTCTCAGATCATCCTGGGCTGAGGCGAGGAAGGTCCGTTCGGTCTGCATAACGCACCTTGACACTCGCCTTCACCGCATACCACCATGGCCTCCACATTCGTCAACTGGTTGCGTTCACCCAAAGCTCGGGAATATTTCTTCAGTGAGCACCTCATGATGTTATTTAGGTGTCCTGTCTGAAGTTCGGACTTAGGCACGCATTTCTGGGGGCCGGTCAGTAATAGCCATTGCCTCGGTGGAGAGGTGTTGTAATTCTTCGTTCAAAGGTGGCGAACTGGGGGCTACCTCTGGCTGCCCTTGCGGACTTGCGCAAGGACGAGGAGGTCATCTCTGGCACCATGACCACTGCCCTGACCGCCTACTCGTATGTGACAATTATGTCGCCTATGTACCCATGCTGATCCGCTCTTACCAAGCATGGTGTTCATGCGGTTTGGTGAGTCATGACGCCCTCTACCGCACCTCATACTGAACAAATTGCGTTGTTACCCTAGCTTGGAGGGTCCAGCCGCGAAACTATCTACTTTTTGCTTGCCACGCGACAAACGCGACTGCGCAATTGATACAAGATGCGCGCTTCGTCAATTACTGGTACAATGGAGGACGGGAAGCAAAGTTAACTGGTTCGACTGTGGAGGCGGTCAAGGCCGGTGCACAAGAGGCGGTAGATCTCACGAAACAGGAGGCGTCGAAGGTTGCGAGCTCGAAGTAGAACGGCCGCTGGAGTATCCAGTTATATCTGGTTTGCTGTCATACACGCACGGACAATAATTGTTGAAACAGTCTTTTCGCACGAGGCTGAGCGTTGGGCATACAGTGTTCGCCGGGAGCCGGTACTATCATCGAACCAGTGTTCCTATCGAAAACAGTATTTTGCGTGGGCTTCAAAAGTGTGCCAAGTAATCTCGGATTTTGTAGGTGGACATGATATGTCCTCACATGGGGCATAATGACATGTACTCTACTGATTTTTATGTGAGGGAGCAAGGCTGCTACGAATATTTTCCTGCACGAAGAGGATGGAAGACCCGGAGATCCTATCGCTGTCACAGCTCGGTAACGTCGCAATTGGCGGGAGAATAGGGGCTATTTGTGACACTTTGTGACGAAGCCTCTGTTCATGTTGCACATTATCTGCGTCCACCACAGCACATAGGTCACTGAAAATTAGATGAAAGGGGTCCCTTTTATGCCTATTAGTGCCCTATTGTAGCCTTGTCAGCCAGAAATGCCTCCTCGTAAGGATGCTCTGCCAAGTCAACACCCGTGAGAAAATGGGATCTTCGGGCTCTTTCCTCCTTGACGTTGCTCCACCTGTATACTTCCCTCTAATAGCGACACAGGGGTATGTATGGTACAAATAGCTACTAAAGGAGCATTTTCTGGTGATTTAAGGTGGGGTGTGGACGCGTTGAGAATCAAAATGGTCAGAATAGGACGCGGGGTACCGATAGGAACACTGGTTCGATGATAGTATAGAAATACCCATAAAATTACAATCACCAAAACCCATCATCAGGATCACCACTCCGTTTCTTCTTACCGGAGTTTCCTTGTGCAAGAGCTTGCCGCTCGTACATCTCAGCGATCTGAGAAGAGCATGCGTCAAGGGGCAACATCGCACTCGGCGCTTGCATCTTACCTGCTCCGGCGCAGTTGCATCCTCGGCGTCCTTGTCGTCTCTCACACGAATGAACCTAGGAAATCGTAAGGACACGCCGCGGTCCTCCACCTGCACTTTGGTCAGATCAGATTGTTCAAGATGGAATGCAGGACACATACCAAACCTTGAGCGGCGGTGTATATAGGACTCAAGCTGAGGTCCGCAGCCAGCACTTCCCACACCACCTTGGGCTCCAGCCAGACATCCGGTTTGGCGCCTCCGATCTTTATGTCCCCTCGCGGTTTGCTTTGCTCCAGCGGTTTCAAGGTATCATAATGTTGCTGTAGAGCATCCTCAGAGAATCCTGTACCGATCTTGCATATCGTCTGGTATTCTTCGGAGTCCGCGTCGTAGCATGCAAGGAGAAAAGCACCATAAACATTGGTTCGTTTGCCTTTGCCATAGTATGCGCCCACAACAACAAGATCAAAGGAATCGCCAACACCGGCAAGATAATCTTTCTTGAGCTGCAAACACATGTCGCCACTGAGAAGTCAGAATAGCATTTTTACATGGCCTCTTACCTTTAGCCAATTAACACTGCGTCTGCTGGGCTCATAGAAACTGGCTTCCGTTTCAAGCATCTTGACCATGAGGCCTTCACAGCCATCTTTGACCGATTCTTCCAGAAAGGATTGGATATCCTCCGTGGACTGACTATCCGACGATTTCGCGAATTGAAATTCGCCGTCAACTGGATGAAAATGTTCTCGCAGTAAACCGCGCCGCTCGGACAAAGACTTTCGAAGTAGCGGCTGGTGGAAGATGAGTTACAAGACATCGACAAGAGGTTTCCGCACTAACTTCGCCATTCAAATAGAGAAGATCGAATCCAAACAGGCAAACCCGTACTTGGATGTCTTCAACCTTGACGTCCTTCCGTTTCCGGCGACTCAGTTCCTGGAACGGCATGAGCTTCTTGGTCGTCTTGTCGATAGCCACGGCCTCTGCATCCAGAACAAATGATTTTGTCGTTTCCTTGATACACTTCAACAGTGTCAGTAGATTGCGCTGCATGTTTGAGCAGGAGTACAGCGTACGCGGGGAAGCTGTTCTACCAAATCTGGATACTTCTTGCTCATGTCCTCCGAGTTTCTGCTGTACACGCGAACCGAGCCGTCTTCCAGGCGATGTACCTGCGCACGCTCGCCATCGTATTTGTATTCACAAGTGAAGCGCTTATTCTCAAAGCGATCTAGGACTTCTCCGATAGCCTTGGTTGGCTTGGCGAGCATGGGCTTCAATGGTACACCTGGGGTGAGCTTGCAATGTTCTTTCAAACCATCAATACCGTGCTCAAGAAGAGCAGGTATGACCGCATCATACGTGGGTAATTCACTGGGCTCTTCAGTCAGAGGCGATCACGGGACAATTCACTGAGGCCTGACCTGTACACGGATTTGATGATGTTCGCGCCTTCCTCCAAACGAGCAGTTAACTTCTCTTCGCTCCATTTCTTGCTCCCTATGGCATCGTTAGAACTCGCAGCGGTCACAACGAGCGCTACCTACCGCGCTCCTTCTCTGCAAGCACGACAGCGTGAGCCAGAGCAACCAGTACCGTCCGCTCCGCATTGCCAATGCGTAATTTTCCTTCCAAGCTTCGTATGATATATTTTGCTTCGGATCCTTGACAAGCTGCGAGCAACTTCGTGATGACAGACACTTTTTTCTGCTGGCTCTGTGAAAACATGAGAAACACGTAAGATGCTAGCAAAAGGTGTAACAAACCGAGTGACCAGTGCTGAGGGCGATTTCACGCAGATTTGAGAAAACGTAAGGAACGGTAAGTGCTTTAGGTTTGAACAGAGTTTTCTGGCTGTTCTTGGAGTGCTGAGCAACCAGCCCTAGGTCACCTTCCTTCTTCAGGTCCGCCTTAACGACCGCAAGGCTGCGACCGGTCGACTCGCTGATTGCTTTGACAAGCAAACTTTCACCGATTCCGAGTTCGACGCCGACGTAATCAGGGCTCAACTAATTAAAAGAGGGAATATAAGGAAGCTTGGCCAGGGAAAAGCAATAATCATGCATACTCGGTTTATGCAAAGGTAGACCGTTTGCAGGAGACTTTTGGTATCTCCTTGCGCGCTGCGCCGGATAACCAGGAGAAGAAAGGAAGTGAGAATTGATGTCTTCTCCAGCCGTTTCGTGGTTGCTTCAATGAGAGCAAAAGCCTTGGCCAGAGCGGCATATGGTACACTTCGATATGATGAGTTTTCAGCACGATTAAGAGGTTTAGCAACATACGCATCCCCTGTCTTCCACCCGCCTTTGATATCTACTTCCTCGATGCGGGATAAGGCAGCGAGGGCGCTGAGACTAGTTGTCAACGGTTCGCTATAAGTAATGGCACAGATGCACACCTCTCTTCAGCTACGTTCTCATCCTCATCCACGGCATCTTCACCCTCGTCCTCTACCTCGGCTTCAGCAGCCTCGTCTGCACTGGACTCAGCTTCGGTATCCTCCGGTACCACAGAGCCACCATCGATGTCTTCTGCACCCTGCACGGTCCTAGATGGAGATTTGGTTTTGTCACTGGATTTGCGTGTCGCTGTTTGCTCGGCGGATAATCTTCGTGCAGTTGGTTTGTGTCGCCCGGAGGAAGATGTTGCAGGTATGCTCTCTGACTCCTCGTCAGACTCCAAAATCCGACGCTTCTTGCGTTTCGTAGGTCCCTCTGAGGAATATGAGACGCAAGACGCGTCACATGGAAACATATGCTCACCTTCAGGGGCGGGGCGGGCACCTGCAGTCGAGCTGCTTGAGCTTGCCTCTAATGGCATGGTATTTAGGATAGGCGCGTTCGATTCCAATCATAACATGCCTCTCTTTTCCGGATGGTCGACCTCCATATTATCATCCGAGCCCTTGACTGCCTTTTCCTTCGCGCCTGTCCTCCCCTGACTTGTCCACAACTCCGCCAAACTGGCTTGTTGCGGAGGTGCTGGTTTGACTCCCCTTGGCATGTCAAAGAATTTCCCTATACCAAGGTCAGCATATACCGTAGCCCGCAGAGCTCGCGTACCTAGAGTTTGCTGGCGACCCATACGAGAACATGCAACACCGAAGACGCGGGAGAGCATAACATGGTCAGCCACAGACGCGTGACGCGTCCAACTCGCGTCCATGACTACAGTCTGCTGCGTCCCATTGTCAACTTCAGACCTATGTCAACTTCAGACTAACTATACAGTGTAACACAAAACATATATGTACAAAGTATTGACGGGCAACTATCTATGTATCCAGTCAAGTAGTCCACTTACCCGAGACAATGCCGCGTATGCAGCACGAAACCAAGCCGCCAGCAATCGCGCGTACGCGTCTGATCACGAAACGATTATGACATTTAGCATCAGAGATTCAGAACCAGAAAGCTCGGGCGGCTCATAGTGGGCTGCTTGACGCACATGTAGTAGAAATCAGGTGCCATCGTTGCGACTAGTTAGGGGATTTTGCTGTGACTAAAGTACGCGAAGACATGCGCAGCGGAGTACATACACGTCGTGGTTGGTTCGGCACGCGGTGGACGCTTGAAGGTAGAAAGTCACAATCAACATGGATGTCTGATATCATCCTAAGGGACGGGAGCACGGCGTAACGCTGGGTTTACGAGACTTGCAACGGCAGAATCGGGCTAACAGCATTAAACAGCTCCGTAGTAGGAACACATTTGATGGGTCGTTCTCAAGGGATCATGTGTAAGCGTAGGAGACTGTGCTGTATCGCGAAACTGGTGGCAGTAATATATGCTACGTATGGTGCCCCCTTCATCCGAGGAAGTGCATGGGACTATTGTCGTTGACAGTAAAGCCGCAAGCGACGGTTGGTGAAAACCTCGACTTCAATACCGTATCCGGTTGTCGGTCTATGCTGGTTGGGCAGAACACTAGTAGAGCGTAAAGTAATCCGAAGCGGCCAAAGAAATTGGGCGGCTGCTAATAATCGTTCGCTCCAAGACAGATGGTTCGAAGGAGACAAGGTGAATGAATGCGTGAGAAACTACATAGTTTACCGGATTTGGACATCCCACCTGGCTCTCGTTCAGAATCTCTCCAAGGCCGCCCGACATCTTGCCAGCCCTCGCTTGTTCGAATTAATCCCGTTGCCATGGCTGAGCAAGTGCGTTATACGGCAGGGCCGCTACGATTCAGGATCTCTGAACTGAGCCGGCTTGTGCTGTAGATCGAGAAGGCCTACCAGAAGCAACACCTCTTCCAAAACGCCAAGGTCAAGGGTACGTATTACTGTACTGTTTATTGCGTATACTGGCTTGCTGATAATATGCAACGGCGTTCTCATCATCGATTACAATCTGACCTATAACAACGACAACTCAGGCGGCAAGAAGGTTTCCACGAAGGAGAAGCGATGGTATAAGGATGTGGGATTGGGCTTCAAGATACCTTCAGAGGCCATTACTGGCACCTACATCGGTACGTCTCCTGTATCCCCACCAGGGCTAGCGTGTTTATGCTGTTTGTCGCATGCTCGGATGGCTCGTATAGACAAGAAGTGCCCTTTCACTGGTAACGTCTCGATTCGCGGACGCATCTTGACCGGCCGTGTCGTGTCGACTAAGATGACCCGCACCATCATCATCCGCCGAGACTACCTCCATTACATCCCCAAGTACAGTGAGTTTTCACATGCTCCTCACATTGAAATACACGCTGACACGCGTACTCTTAGACCGTTACGAGAAGCGGCACAAAAACCTGTCTGTCCACTGCTCTCCCGCCTTTCGTGTAGAGCTGGGCGACATCGTGACCGTCGGTACGTGTTTGGCTTAGAGTGGTCCACCCGAGCTTCCATTCATTGCCCGTATGCGCTGCAGGCCAATGCCGACCCCTGTCGAAAACGGTCCGTTTCAACGTCCTTAGGGTGTCGAAGAACAAGGCCGCTGCGAAGGCTTTCGGCAAGTTCTGATTGGCCTGCTGGGTGATGGGATGCGCGCATTTTTTTCGCCAGCGAGGCGATGTTTACTATGGCACTTCTTTGTATGCATATGCGACAATGACACTTGCGATTATGCTACTGTCGTGCTGGGCTTGCAAGCCAAGCGAATACGTGTTCATGCTGTGTACGATAACCTTGCGGCCCAGACACGGATGGGCGGCTGATACGACGGAGTCGATCACCGTGATCGTTGGCTCCCCCGGCTCTTCCCACGCTTTGCTCCCTACACACGGGCACCGTCGAGGTCATCGTCCCATCCCTCGAAGGGTCCGCGCGCTGCTCTTCACAGCCGTCACCGCCTTTCGTTCTTGCCGTCTACCTTGTTGAAGCGCTCCCTTAAGCGCCTTCCTCCCCGCACAAGCCCCCGCTCGCAGTCGGGCGACAGCATTCGACCCGGACGACGTCCGCCCTCAGTTCACCCTGGCTCCCGCACTCTTCTCATTCCTGGGCAGGTCCAAGACCAGATCCAGCTCGCCCCACCCTAGCTCTCCTCAGGCGCAAGCCCATGCCCTGCCGATGGGCCAGCAGCCGTCGACCGCCAACAAAAAGAGCAAGAAGCACGGCAAGGACAAGGACAAGGATGCCTCTCCAGACGCGGGACAAGATACTAACAAGCCCGAGGCGAACGGCAAGTCACCACATAGCAGCCTGTCCAAAGGAACAGCCGCACCGCCGGACGCAGCAAAGGAGTCGTCCGCCTCCAACAGCAATGGGCACCCCACCATCAGTGTCTCCGACTCGGATGGCATGACCGCCACGTCCAGCGGGAGCAGTATGCGACCGCCCGGGTCCCCGCGACCAGATCAGTTGTCCATACAATCACCCGTCGACAGTTCACCCGTACTCGGGAACAAACCATCACCCGCCCCCCTCGACATCCCCGCAGCACAAACCATCCTCTCGAACGGCGCTGCTTCCACGCCCTTATCCGCCCCATTCTCCACTCCTGGCTCCGTCTCGAGTAGCATGCCAGGGCCGAATACGCTGAATAGTGTCAACAGCCTCGGCAAGCTCGATGTGGACGACATGATCCAACGTCTGTTGGACGTCGGGTACACGGGCAAGATCAGCAAGTCGCTATGCCTGAAGAACGTGGAAATCACCGCCATATGCACGGCTGCACGAGAGGTTTTTCTGAGCCAGCCAACGCTTATAGAACTCTCGCCGCCCGTCAAGATCGTCGGGGACGTTCACGGACAGTACTCAGACCTCATCCGCCTGTTCGAAATGTGCGGGTTCCCTCCGTCTGCCAATTATTTGTTCCTCGGAGACTACGTCGACCGAGGCAAGCAAAGTTTGGAGACAATATTACTTCTCCTGTGTTACAAAATCAAGTACCCGGAGAACTTCTTCCTGTTGAGGGGAAATCACGAATGTGCCAATGTTACCCGAGGCAAGCATCATTTCTGGCGTATCTCCTCTTAATGTTGATATTTGTCCAGTCTACGGTTTCTACGACGAATGCAAGCGACGGTGTAATATCAAGACTTGGAAATGCTTCATCGACGTTTTCAACTGCCTCCCTATTGCTGCTATCGTGGCGTCCAAGATATTCTGCGTACACGGCGGCCTCTCTCCCTCGTTACATTCCATGGAGGATATCCGCCGGATACAGCGACCTACCGATGTACCGGATTACGGTTTGCTGAACGACTTACTATGGTCAGATCCGTCAGACACGGCAGTGGATTGGGAAGACAACGAACGAGGTGTCAGCTATTGCTTCGGGAAAGCCATTATCAACGACTTCTTGATGCGATACGACATGGACCTGATATGTCGAGCACACATGGTCGTTGAAGACGGCTATGAATTCTGGAACGACCGAACACTAGTGACGGTGTTCAGTGCGCCAAACTATTGTGGCGGTGAGTTCACGTCAGTGCGCTACCAAAGTCACTTTGCTCAATGATGTTCTAGAGTTTGACAACTACGGCGCTTGCATGAGGTTGGCCATCATTTGTATTTATCGTGGGCGGTCGCTAATCAGGGCGCAGCGTCTCCGAGGATCTTCTCTGCGCCTTCGAGCTGCTCAAGCCTTTGGATGGAGCAGCATTACGCAAAGAGATGACCAAGGCTAAACGGAAAAGGTGAATACATCGAATATCAGCAGCAATGTGCCATTCTGACCATGTTCAGCATTATGGCGTCGCCTGCTTCGGCTTGAGGGACGCGGTCACCCATGCGAGGGAACGTGCCTCAGTCGTGTCCTCCCAGTTCTGCTGTGCGGTGCGGTCGCCTGAACTTGCCGTCGTCCCACTTACATTGGCGCTTGCTATGAAATGCTACCCTTGCAGGTCGCTGGTCTCCACGAAACGCATTCGTGCTATATTCCCGTGCCCGCGCAAGGTGGTTAGTCGCAGCTCGTCCTGCGATCAGGGCCAGATTCCTCTCGCGGCGAATAGCTTCTTTCGCCATCGCCGTGCCACTCCGTCTCGTTGTGTCTCTTGCTTCCCTCTGTCCTTCGCCTTTTGTCTTTGCTCTTTCTGTGGCACAGGACAGTGTCTGTGTAGTAGCATCGATCTCTCTCCATCAACCTTGTACATTGATATCCCTCGCACCTCAGCTTCCTTTTAATTTGGGTGGTTCGTCCCGTTGATTACGTGTGATGCATACGCTCGTTTTAGTTGCCCTGTGCAGTACGCGGAAATAACGAGCTTCGTTGCCAAAGACGCGGGGGTATGCAGCGTGCGATGACCTCAGCGAACCAGCCTGTTGCCTAAGGCCCAAGAAACTCATGACAGGGGATATATATCCGATGTACACACGGATCTAAGTTGACTTTAGCATGTCTACGGCGAGGACACCAAACGCAACGACAATAGCAGCAGCTCCAGATATGCTCCAGAGCGTCACAGTCTATCCATGAAGTCAGTTTATATGAAACCAGGATTGTTCAGAAAGAAGCCCCACCTGCCACGCATCCCCGAATACCATGTCCGACAGGAAAACAAGCACGATAACCAAGAGGTATCCCACGGATACTACTATGGGTCCCCAAACGCCTAACAAAATCTTTGAAACTTTCCTTAGTGAGAGAGCTGCATGAGATATCCGAGCAGACGCACCATGAAGCCCGCATTAAACACCATACCGCTCACCGCGATACCAGCGATCGAGAAGACGGTGAGCATATTTGCTGGCAGAGCAAACTCTTCGATGCCCGTCCAATGCAAAAACGGGAGCGGGATCCAAAGCACCAGGAACGTGCATAAGCCAATGGCACAGGTAAGCAGGTTGGCATACAGGCCGAACGGCAATGGATCGGTGGCGTCCTCGATCGGTCTAGCCGGTTGCTCATCGCCGTCCGTATCTGCGTCTGGCAATGCGGAGTAATGCACGGCTGGTGGTATGACTTCATCCGGGTCAGAAGGGAGGGTAGCGTGTTTCTGGGTGGTCTTTGAGTTCATCGAAGGAACTGCGGCGCGTACTGCTGCTAACCTTGTATAATGGTTGGTAAAGGCCATATCCGACGCTCGCGCACAGGGTGAGCAGATCGCCAACCAGAGGTGCGGACGGCTTGTATTTCAGCGAGAATTGGGCTTCGCTACCAGCTGCCTCTTCACCTGGTGTCTCGATGACTGAGCCACCATATACCACAGCGAGCACACCCAGGGTAGCCAGTACGACGGCGGCGAGTTTCCGGCTCTCCCATTTCAGTTTAAATATCTTCACGCTGAACACGTATGCAAAGAAAGCGTTCGCATTCCATATGCTGTGCGTTCATGGTCAGAGCATTTCCGGCTGTACGCAACAAAACTCACGCAGTGACATCGCTCAATCTATATGGATCAGATGAATTTATGGACGGGGTGCGGCAAAATGAAATCTCACGGTGCCATAGATACGGCGGCGAACCACAGTATGCCCGGTGTCGTAACCGCCATCGTAAGCACAAAGACAAAAATGCCAAATCTGGCGACAGGGACAGTAGGCGGTCGACGGGTAGGAGCCTTACTGGGCAGCATATGTCGACTGAGCGCACTAGCCAGATTCTGTGTGATATCTTGTATGGTGTATCCTTGATTTGATCCCAGCAAAAATGCTACATGCAATGGGAGTATTAAAGCGAACGCAGAGTGGACTATGTAGCTGCCGTTTTCTCCCAAGTTAATGAATGATATCACACCGTTGATGATACTCACAAGAGGAAGAAAGGATGCCGGTAGGTCAGGGTGGTCTGAACATACTATTCCGCAACCCTGATCATTTTACTGTAAGCAGGTGATGTGTACATCGTGACTGACCTGGCTCAATTGCGATTCGAGCACGAAACCGACGAGGGTCGCGACGAAGAGAATGATTGCTGCCTTGCCGCCCACGAGCGGAGTGCTGACGGGTGCCCCGGCCATTCCTTCCCCGGTAAATTCAGAAATGCGGTCCAGATTCAGTGAAAAAAGAGTTGATTGAAGTACAGTATATGTTGCAGGATTGATCTAAGCGTGGGGGCAGAAGGTCCAGACTCAAAGAAGAACGTGGTTGTGGTCAAGCACCGCGCTGCGTCTTCTCCCGCGACCTTTTCTAGGCACTCCAGCGCTTCCACCTCATCCGTCCCGCAGACATGCTGCGTCCTTTGTTGGCATCCAGTCGACCGCTCATCGCAAGATTTCGTCAAGCCGCGTTGCCTCTGACTCATCCCCACCCACATCATGCCCATGCCCCATCTGCCACACCACCTCTCGCGCGCGGCATGAAAGTGCGCTCCTCGGTCAAGCCCATGTGTGAAGGGTGCTCCGTCGTTATACGGAAAGGCCGGGTATACGTGATCTGCAGTCGGAATCCTAAACACAAGCAGGTGCGCCCGTTCCCGGGGGAGGGTTCCAATCTTCTTATGCCTTCGTAGCGTCAGGGATAGTATGAAGGGCCCAGGGAGAACGGGCGTTGTTTCCGTTGGCAACGCTCGTGCATACGAAGGCATAACTATATACACCCATAATGTGAAGACATGCGCTACTACCCTTACTCAGTTGCTCGGATCCACATTTGAAACTCGTATGCCATTCCGTTCTCTTCTTGGGGGCCCTCCGGCACCTCCCAGTTCACCCATGTCCTCAAGTCCTCATGTGTCGCTCTCCTCCACGCCTTCCCCTCCGCTTCGCCCTGGAAGTCAGGCATGAACACGTCGCACTCTTCGAACTCCGGCGAGATGACCCGCGTTAGAAGAACGCGGTCGACGTATACCGGAGATGTCGGCGGCAGGGCCAGGGCTTCCCTGTAAATTGAGGCCCCTCCAATCACGAAGACGCGGTGTAGGGAGCTGGGTGTTGCCAACTTGTTGATCACAGCCTGCAGGCTCGGCTGAAGGCTGATCGGTGCGGTCACAGCGGCTCCAGGTGGCATCCTGATTCCTGCATCAGACAATACGTTCCTAGCTCCCAGATCATCGGACACACAGCTGATACTCCTTCTTGCTGCTGATGATGATGTTCAGCCGTTGCTTGAGCGGCTTGAATTTAGCGGGGATACTCTCCCAGGTGTTCCTCCCCATCACGACCGCATTCAGTTCGCCCTCTGGCGCCTCTGACGTGACCCGAGCGAAGTACTGCATCTCCTTTGGTAACCTCCACGGCAATGTGCCATTTTTTCCGATGCCGTTGTTGACGGTAGCGGCTACGATGAGAGTGAGGCGGGTTTGCATGCCGTTGACGCGACGAGGAGGCAACGTGGCGGTGTCGCACCCTAGTCTCGAAACCAGCCGCCTCTGCCCGCGCACACGCTTTCCCGCCTCTTTCCCGCCTCCCTCGAGTCCAGCATCTCACAGCGCCCCTGGGATCGCGCAGAGAAACTGGGTCTCGAGTCTACGCCCGCCCTCTCTAAGCTCTCTACGCGGCGATCATAGATATCCTGTATGTATTTCTCGTTGGAGGCCCAAAACTAACGTAATATTACATGGCGGGTAATGTAAAGTCCACAAATGCGATCCAGTCAGGGAATGTCGAATGCGATCAGGCAACGTGTGAGGTGTGTCGTTTCGACATGTTCAAAAGGACACCGGGATGGAAGAAATTGAGGCAGAACATGGCTGCTGTGATCATGCCGCCGTCAAGCACGTTGAAGTAAACTTGCGTTTGTATGATGCGACCCGTCCATCCATCTGCTAATTCAATAGTTCGATACACCGACCTGCACGGCGAGCGCGATCAGAAATGCATCGGAGGACTAGCAGGCAGCCGATGCTCACCGGATGAAAATCAGTGTTGTGCTCAAAATTAAGCCGATGATCATCAGTTGAAGCTTCCGGTCCAGAACGGGCTGAGTGTCCGATTGACCCTTTAACTCGGTTTCGCTCGATTCGTGTTGCACCTTCCGAACCGGTCTGTGTGCCAAGAAGCGCATGAAAAATTCTCCAGCGCAAGCCACATAGACAGATATTGCCACTATGAGCACGTCAGCAACACATCGCGGGCATGCAGGGACAAACGTACCCATCTGAAAAACAATACCGCCCAACATGATATGGCCGCCCTTAAGGTGCTAAAGTTAGCATGAGGCATCGACTTACGCGCACACAAAACAGACCTTGGCAGGGTTCATGTTCTGCTCGGCGGCTCGAGAAGCAGATGCGCCGCCGACCGCTTGGACGACCAAGGCAACGAAATCCTGTAGAGGTGGATGAACGAAGGGTTGACGAAAGGGCGAGGGCGATAATAGACTGACGAAGCACAAGAAGACGACGGTATCTGAAAGCATCGCAAGAATGAGCACCGCGCAGATTGGTGACTATGCGGCCTTCGACTCACACGTCTTGGGTCCCAAACGGCTGTATTCACTGCCCAATCGTTGTATGATACGTCCCAGGATGATAAAGTTTGCGGCAACGAGGGGCGTGGGTGCAATAATCGTGGTCGTGATTCTAGAAGGTCGAGGTTCAGGAGGCAATGTACGAATCCGAATTGCATCATGAAACTCACTGCATGAGATAGGGGTCAAGCAGTAGAGGATTTTTCGATGACCACAAACGACCAGACCAGCCTGACAACCGGATGAGCACGGGGAGGGCGCATGCAATCATGAACCTCACCAATAATCTCAGTGAAACCAGCGAGTACCGCGGTCGGGAATAACCACCACATCCTGAAGTAAATCGCCTGACCGAAATGGATGACTACATATACAGTGTCATTAGCTGGCCTTGATCGTCCGTAAGACGATACGTACGAGTCGACAAGCCAAACAAAGCTATGAACAGAGCGCATATCCATAACGTCGGTACATAGCCATATGGCGAATGGTGTCTTGGCGGGGTCTGAGCGAGAATAGTCGCATTCGTTGCGGCGAAAGCTACGGGCGTGGTTGAAAGTCAAGAAGCCGAGTCTAATACGAGAAGTCGGCGTTTAGGGTGGCACTCACAAGAAGCTTCCATTGGCGTCGCCCAAGTGCAACGAGCACCTACTGAGCTCTGCGTCGCTTAAGGGGACCAAGAGTGCCTGCAACGACGGATCAACAAGCTGCTGATTTTATACACTCCCCAAAGGGGCCAGGTGGTAGCGTATCCCAGCATGCGTGCACACTGCAAGCATTATTTCATTGATCGGGAACCGATGGCCGTGTGAAAATCTGCCTAAAACGCCGGCAACGTTGCCGGTCTTGCGGACCTTGCACGATTGGCGGAAAAACGGGGACCATTGGTGAACTACTGGATAACTCACTGATAGGCACTTGATGATCAACTCGTTAGCTTCCGTCATAGGCTGGGCTGGAGTGTTCCGAGCCGCCCGGTTCAAGACCCGGAGCTGCTACATGAGAATTCTGCCACTGTGCGCAGCTTCGTGGGGTCGAGGTGATGACTAGTCTCAATGGGTTTATGTGCACCGGCCATGAGGCAGTTAAGCAACAAGTGCATTCCGATACGTAAAATTACAGCCCATGCAATCGAGAGCCCGCAGTATGCAAAGAGAGAAACAAGGAAGATCGACGCTCACTGGTAGTTATTCCAGACTGAACTCACAGATACCCATCCAACGCGGCAGCGGCAGGATTGGCCCTCGCATCAATGGGCATGGTCATCGGTATCGTGTCAATCAGCCTCGTTCCGACGCTCGTCCGGATCGTGCTCTCCCAGTTCCGGAACCACTCGCCTTCCCTGACGCCCACCAGCTTCCGGGTGCCGCCCTCCTCGCGCACGAGCGCACTGGTCTTAGCGTCCTGTCCGAAACGGCCGACGTCTTCCTCGTCCGCCTGTTGCCACTGTTTCATCGCGTATGCACCGCCGCAGACTTCCCAACGCCCGCCTCCGCGAGAGTGGAAGCGCTTGTAGAGCCAGATGAAGGGCAGGATGAGGGTGATGAAGAATAGGACCTTGAGCCATTTGTTGGACAGAGCGCGACTGTATGGGGCGATGAGACGTCTGCGGTCGATATCTCTCAGGGAAGGAAGCGGTCCACTAACCTGAGTCGGTTGTCTGACCGTACGCAGATCTTCGAATGCGACATATCGAAGGAGACCATTATTATGCCCTTGTATCCTGTCGACAGTATGGCGGCCCGTGTGGCGGCCTCAAGGGCGCCCACGTTCCAGCCATAGACCACCTGTCAATACCATGACTTCAGCACCGTGAATTAACATTGAGGTAGACCGCCCCGGACCTTTTCGTAAACGAACTCCTTGAGGTATTTGTCCGAACCGCAATAATCATCTGCCCATTCCCTCAAAGTCTTGGATGACTTGAGCACGCCGACATGATGTGTCTCGTCCGTAACCGCCAGACCGCCTGCATCCCCAAGCCCGACCCAAGGCGGGAGGCCTTTCGCTGCTCGTTCTTTCCTCCAGGCCTGGGCCGCTTTCCGTTCGCGCCGCGCCGCCTTCGTCCGGCCGCCGAACAGGCTGTCCACTTGCTGAAACATGCGACCGCGGTACGCAGGCTCGTTGTCAGCGATAGACCAATGCACGGGGCCGCTGACGATGTGTTGGCCGACGTCGATGGAGAAGTTAAAGTCCACCACGGTCTCGTTGTAGTGCTCTGTGCGCGTTGTGCTGCGACCGTTCGAGTCATGACCGTGGATGTAGCGCGTGCGCGATTCGGTATGTTCGCCCTTGCAGTGGACCACGTATGTAGGAGGTGCAGCGGCCTGAGAGATGAGGAAGCGATACAAGGCCTCGCCTATATGACTCGTTCGGCACGAGTACTGAGCGATGTTGTTCCACGCTTACCGTCAGTGTTCAAATGGGGATCGTGCGAGACGATGACTCCGCCGGAATGGATAGAACATTCTGCCTCATAGGGGGTAAAGTCCGGTGGTGCATCCTCGCCACCTGGGAGCAAACTGAAAGCCTCAGAGTCGTTCGTCCCACCAAGCTCAACTAGAGTGTGCCCGACGCTCTCCTCGAAACTAGGAGGAGGAGGAAAGGCGTTCGAAGCGGATGGGCCGGCCATATGCTCGCGCGAGAGGTCGTCGTCGTCCTTGGTGAGGAGCATGACCGTTAGTGTCTGGCGGTATATGAGCCAGATCTATAGGTGGGTTCGGTCTCTGGTCTCTCGGTATTGCCAGCGAAGATGACTGCGAACAGTGCGAGTCGGCGCTGCGGACCTGCGGCGCGGTCCAGGGAAGGATAGCGGTACGGCGACATGATCGCCGTTGAGCACCGCCGCAGGACGGAATATTCCCAGGCCTAAACATACACTCAGGATCAGCTCAGGATGTATCCAAACCAAGCCATCACGATGTTCTGGTGCTGGTCCATTTGCGTGGGTCATTCATAGAGTACAGTATCACGGATAGTGTTATCTCGTTGCCAAGTAGACTCGGCGCTGTGAATTGTTACCGCAGTCCGCATGTCTCTATAAAGAGGGTTTCGCATCGAGAACGGGGTGTATCCCCGGGTGCAGTGCGGGGATCGATGGATATAGCCACAGCGAGATCAGTTTTGCGGACCCAATGGCTCGTACATGGGCGCATTGCGATCAGAGTGAGGCCGTCTGGACTCTGAGGGTGCGAGAAAAAGAACGAAGCGTTGATGGACCCGTATTGAAGCGGGCCTGCAGCTTCGCGCGTCACGACACTAACTTAGACCAAGCTAACTCCCCCCATCCCTGTGCTCGCCTGCCCAGCTGCTGCAGCGGCAGCCTGAGACGACCATGCCCGCCTCCCTGGGTCCCTTCGACGCCCCCAAGGCCCGCTCCTCGCCGCCCCCGGGCCCGCCCCGCGACTACGACAGCGCGTCCCGCTCCGACTCGTCCGCCACCGCCGCCCGCCCGTCCTCGTCCTTCATCGCCAAGCGCCAGTCTCCGCCCCACTCCGACTCGTCGGGCTCCCCGCGCTCGAGCGGCTCGCATACCCACGCCCCGCCGTCCCGCTCGGACTCGCCGTTCCCGCAGGCGTACCCCTCCGCCGTCAACCTCAGCGCGCCCCCGCCGCCATGGTCCTCCGACAGCGAACCCGGCGAACCGTTGCTCGGCTGGGCGCAGCGCAGCCTCCGCCATAGAGGCGATCGCCCGCGCTGGTGGGCGACGGACGATGCGTCGCGGCGACGCCGACGAAGAGACGGATGGTATCTTCAAATCCGCAGGCTCTACAGGAACGTTCGTCGAACGCTCCGACATCCATGTCTCCCCTCCCAGCCCCTCACCATCGTGAGCGCATCCATCCATAGTCTGATCTAACGCTGTCTTGCTAAATCGGAACGATAGTTTTTGACGGCGCTGCTTTTCATCGCATTCGTCGTCTCCGTCACGCTCCTCTTGATGCACATCTTGAACCCGGATAAGGAACCGCTGCCATGGCGCGCCTACTGCTCTGTACCGTCCCCCTACTCTTCCCCGCATTACCCACATATTCCTTCCGCTCCCTCTGCTCTACCGCACACCGCGTCCCTATATGCCGTGCCGTTTCCCCCACCCAACTTGGAGACGTTCGCGCCCGTCGGTCTCTTCGTCGGCATTTTCTCCATGGACTCGTATTTTGAACGTCGCATGCTCATTCGGACGACATGGGCCAATCACCCACGCAGTCGGGAGGGTGCAGGAGAGGGCGACGGAGGTCGCGGGACATCTCGTACGATCGTGCGCTTTATTTTGGGTCAGCCGCGGAAAGGAGATTGGGAGCGCAGGATAAAGCTTGAGATGGAGAGTGAGTGCTTCCAGTGGTTTTCTGCATGTCGTGTGCCCTCAACGCCGCTTTGGCAGAGTACAACGATATCATCATCCTCCCCATCCAAGAGAACATGAACTCGGGGAAAACCCACTCGTACTTCAGCTGGGCAGCCGAGAATGCATGGGTCCCGCCCGTATCGCCCGGCAATGACCTTACAACTCCTCCGCCCTTTTCCTACTCGGACTTTCGGGGACCCGCCCCCCCTCGGGCAGAGCACGATCCTTCGCCGACGTCCAACGGCTCGTGGGTCCGTCCTGACTTTGTCGTCAAATGCGATGACGACTCCTTCGTGATGCTTGCCGAACTGGAAGCTCGCTTGCGCATCGAGCTCCACACCACCGGAAGCAACCTCACGAACAAGCCGACGTTGCTCATGCCGTACGGGGACATTGGGTCCTCTCTGCAATCACCCCTCGCGACGCCAACTCACGTCCCCGCTGACGACAGTTCAGCGACGTCTCCGCCGTATCCTATCGACGCGGAGCGCGCCGTGATCCCGCCCACGGCATTGACATCCTACGTGCGCGCACCACCGCCGGACACGCCGCCACCGCCGGCGCACCCCCCGTCGTCTCTCGACGATCCACTCATCTACTGGGGATACCTTGTCAAGAATCGTTTCATGGGCGGCGAGCTGTACGCCCTCTCCTGGGCGCTCGTCGACTGGGTCGCGACCGATCCTGGTGTGAAAGGCCACCTGCGCGGGGCCGAGGATAAACAGACGGCCAAGTGGATGAACGCGCATCCGCGCGCGCATGAGATTCGCTGGAAGAGCGAAAGGTGTTGGATGTACGATCACCCCAGATCGGGGACCGTGTAAGGGCTCCTCTCTCGTTCATTCCGGTCGCAAAGTAATGACGAGCGTATCATCGCAGGTATTCGCATGGCTTCCTTTTCCCTTCGGAGGTGACCCGTGTACGGCATTCCATTATGTCGTACCTCGGTAAGAGTGCGCAGGACATCCTTGGGTCGCCATGGGTGCCTGCCATCGCCGTCAATGCGCCTACGCCCCCGCAGTGGGCACATTCGAGCGTGTCGACGTTCGGCGTGCGATACAACGAACCGGTGTGGAATTTGACCACGGCGCAGAGTGTGGAAGCGATGGTGGAAGGTAGCTCCATGAGCATGCTGCAAAACGGTGTGTTGACCTAGATTCTATGGACCGCGGAGCATGATTTGCTCAACGCGCGCTTTTCGGTCTGTAGGAAGCCCGATGACCCCAGAGTACGCGTTCGCTCGCCGTGAAGGCAGGCGAAAGCGATACGAAGGCGCCCGTGTGGGCGGTACGGTCGTGGTACATTTTATCAAGAAGCACATGTGGTTCCTCGAGACCGCACTCGCGCTGCTTGAGGGCGATGAGGTTACGGAGCTGGAGCATACCGAGGACCTCATTGGCCTGGGCAGGACACGGCCGAACAACATGGCGAGCGCCGCTTCGGACGAGGCGACGCCAACCTCTATTTCTACTACAACGTCCCAGAGCGAAGGCGACGCAACGCTCACGGACAGCGAAAACGAGTCAACTTCCACGGACATGATCGACCAAAACCAGGGCGAGAACGTCGCCCGGCATACCTCGCCCTGGGCGAACAGGAGGAAGTACAAGCAATCATAGAGACATATCTATTTTCATGGTCTTTAATACGCACCCATAACACCTCACTTTCTTATTGGCACATGTAGCATACTTTCCTTTGTCCTTGCCTACGCACTTGTCTGGCTTCGCATCGCGTCCTCGTCTAAGGACTTGGTCCGTGTTTGTATTGCAAGGCTCAGCGTACACTTTTTCTCGTCTGTCTTTATTGCTCGCATCTGCCGTCTTAGTCCATCCTTTGGGTAGCATATTCTGAACATTGCATACTGGAACAATTCATCACTCTGAACGCATCTATGAACGTCTTGCCGTTAGTTGCCTCTCGCCTGTGGTGCATCACAGACGCGAGCGCATCGAAGGGTAGCAAGCACGAGCAAACAATTGCGTTGATCTCTCACGGCCCTGGAACTATATAAGCCTCTCCTCAGGATCCGAACAACTCATACTTACCTTGAAGGCGTGCTCCCCTTCATGTCCTGGGAGTGCGGGCTGTCGGGCCTTCCCAGAGCACGGCGACCTTGTCCATACAGGAAGGAACGGCGGCTTGTATGTGCTTCGGCGCATGCACTTTCTCAATATTTCCCTGTCCTGCTTCGGCCCTCGGGCTGGGCAGGCCATTTTTTTTTCGTCCGTTCTCCCTCCTAACCCTAACCCTAGTGTTGTCTAAAAAAGGTGTAGTAGTCTGAGCAAAGTAATTCCTTCACACCCTTGCAAGTCAATGTGAGCGTGAGATGATGCTATCTGTAATGGTAGCGGTAGATAGATAAGATCTAATCTAAATGTGTTACCGATAAGATAAGAGTAAGGTTCTTGATCAGTCAGCGAGGCCTTCAGTTTGAGGGAGACGATAGTTAATTCAGTGAGTATTCAACTAATCTAAGGATGCTTCATACAACGAAGCACACAATAGAGTCAATTGATTACTATCTAAGTTATACACGGGAGCTCCGAGAGCTCGATCAGCGCGAAAGCGCAGTTTATATCCTACAGTGTTCAATCACTCCTTGATGCAGTCACGTGAGAGGGGTCCATAGCGCCTGCAATACCGCAGTTCATGGCAAAGTAAGCCTCTCATATGAAAGCTGCGAGCTGTAGCATCCTGAGGAATATTTTCTGGAGCAAAACGAACCGGAGGGCAGCGTCAGTGAGGCATTTTGTAAACGAGGTCGCCAGGTCGCCTCTATCACTCCTTGATGCACCGCTTACTGATCCCTCCGGTTACCCGGTGTGACTGTTCGAGTCACAGAATGTATTGGCGCGCGGTCAGTTGGCCGACGCGCGTCGGGCTCAGATGGGGTTCAAGTCTGAAAATGCAAGCTATGGACCCGGCATCGACGATTTGGAACTTGGTGTCATATCAAAAAATGTAGCCAGGATGGTGTTTCATAAGGAAGAGTCGAAAAAATGTGACTGCCAGCGATGTTGAGAGCAGTTCTGGGCCCAACTCCTTAGCGCAATGTGCCAGAATGTTCATTCTCAGGCACTCGATGATTTTTCAAAAATCGACCATTTGCCCCACGGACTAGAAAACTTGATACATTCTTGCAACAGTATGAAGGTACACTATGAATTAATTATAAGAGGGTTCTGAGCCAGTGAAAGGCGGGAGAGCCGATTGCATCAAGGAGTGATAGTGCATCAAGGAGTGATTCAACACTGTAATGGTCAGTCATCAAGTAAGTCAGTACAAGTAGATGATACGCCGATCTACGATAGACTACGCTAATCGAGGGCGTTCTACCCTATTCTACTTGTCTCTACTCACGCTCGTGACACTATCAGTAAGATGCTGTTGCGATCCTTGTTTTTTTCATGTACATTCTACAGCGGCGCTCTCTCTAATCGTTCCTAGTGCAATCCTTCCTCATAAATCTTTGCCCAGCTCGGCCTTTCCCGGATGGCATCCCAGAATGCAGCGAGTTTGTTGACTTTTACCGGTGGGCGGCTGTACATCGCTTGTCAATTCCGGTCCAACGAGCATAGCGGGGAAACGATACCTGTCCGACGGAGTAGAGTCAAGAGTTGGCGTGTTCTGTGGCGGCAGGACGGCGAAATCCTTCGGAAGCCCGAGAGACCCATCTGGATGGCCGTCAGACAGTGCCGGTGAAAACAGGTTTCGCAGATAACGCTCACCAGGTGCCACCTGAGACTCGAGCTTCGCGATGGCCAAAGGACCTTGGTCTCCAACCGAAGAACCTACGAGCTGTAGGACGCGGGAGAGCCACGCGGCAAGGTGCAAGTCAGCTAGAGAAAGCTGATCACCTGGTGGCAATAAAAGATGCGTTCAGACCGACGGCCCACCCCCCCGGATCCGCTACGACCTACCGAGGACATACGGCCCAATGATCTCCTTGTTGAGCGCTACAAGCGGCGCCTTGACGCCATCCCACACTTTTTTCGCTTGCTCAAAGTACTCCTTCCTCCGTTGCTTGGCCGCATCGTCGAGCTCTGCTTCGGACTTGGTGCCGTACCGGAACACCTCCCAGAACGCGACGCTCGCGAGCCGCTTCTCGCGCCAGAGCGCCTTGACCTTCTCCGTGACGTGCAGGCCGCCGTCCTCCTCCGGGCGCTCGGACTCGGCGAGGAAGCCGTCGAGCGCGGCGATGCGACCCTCGAGGAAGGGCAGCACGGCCGGTGTTGCGGCCGCGAGCTGGTCCGGGTTGCGCGCGGCGAGGTAGAAGAGGCTGTTCGGATCGAGCGCGTCCGAGTGCAGGAGCGCGATCACAGAGTTGGAGGCGGCGAGGAAGGCGGGCGTGGCGGGCGAGAGCGACGGCGCGGGCGCGGTCGAGACGGTATGCGTGCGTGACCTCGCGCTGCGCGATTTGTCGAGGAACTCGGCGATGGCCTGTGAATTGAGCATCAGCGTCTGGCGATCTGCGTACGGACGGCCAGACGCACAATGGAATCGGTGAGCGCTTTATAACGGCTCTCGATATCAGACGACAGGGTCTTGTCCAGAGGAACGACGAGCGTGGGCACGGTCGCTGCGCACAAGGTAAGTGTGGAGTGTATGTCAAGTCACTGCCGCGTACCCTTGGGGTTCAGCCGGAGGAAGGACGGCGCGAAGTTCTCGCCTTTGGCTGCAGAGTCGCGGGTCAAACTAGGATCTAGGATCGATCCCGGGAGCACGAACACAGATCGACGACTTTGAGATCGACTTCTTCGGGTCCATACCCTTTTTCTTCCCTGTCGATTCGCGGTTTAGCAGGCTATCGGTGGAATCGGACGCAAATGACTTACAGGGCGAGAAGGGCTGATAACGCGTTTGTGAGCCCCGACGCGCGTAGATCAAAGTAGTGGTCGCGTACCTACTGAGGCCCAGATAGATCCAGGATAGTAGTAAAGCGAGGCTTTGGGGATCGGAGGCGTACTCATCGCGTACCAAGGTGAAGATGCGGAGATGCGGGGCTGGGGCTCGCATTCGTACTATCGCATGACGTAATAACCCATCTGGGTGCGTCTGGTCACGGGTTTGGTATTTTGCAGCTCGGGGCTTGCACGCAATACGCGGTTTGGACGACCTGATCTCGTTGGCATCGTATTCGGGGCGACCGAAGGGGAAAGATCACCACCTTGATACCACCGACGCCTACAGACGTAACAGCACCCCACACGTGATCGCGGTCAGAGCCCCTATTATCGTTCTCGAAGCTTCCGTGCGCGATATACCTCCTCGCGCCGCCCAACAACCCTACGCTCCGTTTCCTCTCTCCTCTTCCACCATGGCCACGCTCCGACACGAATTCTACGAGTCCGACGAGCGATTGACGCTCTCCATCTTCGACAAGGGCGCCGACCCCGACAAAGTCCAGGTCGCGTTCGAACCCCGCAAAGTGCGCCACACAGCGGCTCCCCCGCTGTATCCTGTCCGTGAGATCGTGCATATACCGACCGCGTTTGGATCGTGTGTGTGCGCGCGCGCCCCAAATAGGTCACGTACACGCATGGCGACAAGTCGCTCGTGCTCGAGCCGCTGAAAGGCCAGATCGACCCCGCGAAGAGCGATTACACCGTCGGCAAGGTCAAGGTCGAGGTCCGCCTCGCGAAGATGGCCTTCGGTCGCTGGGGCGGCATCACAGGCGACGCACCTGATCGTACGTCTCTTTGCAGTCCTCCCCCCCGTTCCACCTCGGCGCCGGGGTTATTCTGATGGTAATCGGTTTCTTTCACGCACGGTGCGCAGCCCTCGCCAACTCTTCGGCGCCGACGCCCACGGCCGCGGTCGCCGCCGCGCGGCAGCAGCGCAAGAATTGGGACGCGCTCACGACGCAGATCCTCGAGTCGGAGAAGGAAAAATCGTCGACGGAGGACCCGAACGTGGGCGGGGACGCGTCCGTGAACAACTTCTTCCAGCAGCTGTACGGCAACGCGGACGAGGACACGAAGCGGGCCATGCTCAAGTCGTACACCGAGTCGGGCGGGACCACGCTCAGCACCAACTGGTCCGAGGTCGGCAAGGGCAAGGTCGAGGTCAAGCCGCCGGAGGGCAGCGAGTGGAAGAAGTGGGGCGTGTAGCTGACCCCACTTTGTCTGTCGTCCCGTTTTAGTTCCTTGTTTTTGCTGTCGTCATCTGCTGTCCAACGAATGCTCGACTAACCATCCATCTCCGAGCAAATCAATACACATTTTTTTTGCAAGCCTGGTCTACGGATTTAGGTGATAGTAATGTACCCGAACGCAACGGGAGCGCGGGGGAGATGCCGGTGATAATAAAACACGAAAGGAAAGATGATTATGATATAGAGAGCAGAAAGGAGTGAGAGTGTCTAGGGATCAGCGTCGGCCTGTGCTACTGCTATGTACACACCGTCCGCGTATATGGGGGTCATGAAGGAGCGTCCGAGATGGATTGATCGGTAGCCGAGTCCGTCGATAGGATTGTGGGAATGAGAGTATATGTGACAATGCAGAGGGGGCCACAGCGCACGACGGTCCGTCGTGCGTGGCGAGGGTCGTGAATGTGATTGTGTCCGAGGCCCGACAGATGAGATAGCATACACAGCATAGCACGATGCGCCAGCTCGATAGCGAGGGGGAGAGGAGAGAAAAAAAACCTGAGCATGCGTTGTCAACCCACGGGCCGAAGAAGCCAAGCGTCGCTCGTATCCTCACCCGGGTCTAATCGTCCTTCGATTTGGTCGACGTCCTGGAGAGATAGCTCGCCGCGCCGTCCGGCATATTCCTCACCTCCAATCTCCGCGAATAATCCTCCTCGTCCCGCGGCTCGTCGTCCACGTCGCCCAACCGCGCGTCCTGCCCGCCGCTCCCGCTCCCGTCCCCGCTCTCGTCCGAATACACGCTGCTCGCCCGCCTCTTGTCCCCGGAAGGGCCGACGACGGCCACCGGCGGCGGCCCACCGAGCAACGCGCTCGCCGGCGCTCCGCCACCGGGATCGGCCAGCCCGCGGTCGACGACGCGCTGCGGATTTCGCGGCGGCGGGCTCGGCGCCGCGCTCCCTTGACTGTTCGCGCGCGCGTGGCCCGCACCGAGCAACGGCTCGATGCTCCCCGCGCTGGGCGTCGGCGCGTGCCCGCTTCCGGTAGACGTCGAACCCGTCGGCCGGTGTCCCTGCCGTCCGTCGTTCTCCGAACCGTCGAGCGCGAGCCCGATCAGCGCGGGCGGCATCGCCCCCGGGGGCGGCGGAGGCGTGGCCATGAGCGCCTGGCGCTCCGCGGGCGTGCCGGCCGGCGTCGCGAACGGGTCCGCATACCGGTCCGCGTAGCCGCCCTCGACGCCGGGGGTCGTCGGGCCCGTGCTGGGGAGGTGCTGGGTGAGGGTCGAATAGCTGACGTTGCCGTACCGCGCGTTCGTGCCGAGGCCGAGGTTGGGGATCGTGGGCCGCGAGGAGGACGAAGGGTAGTTGAGGACGGAGGACGAGCGTCGCTGGCGCATGTCGCCGGACCCGTCTGCGTCCGCGTCGTCGTCACCGTCGTCATCGTCGTGCAGCGGACTGCGTCCGAACCCGGCCGCGGCGAGCTCGGCCTGCACGGCGGTGTCGTGTTCGAGCCGCCGTGTGCGACGGCGACGGCGGATACAGAAGAAGAGAAAGAGTGCGGCGGCGACGAGGGCGACGCCGATGCCGGAGAAGAGACCGGCGACGGCGCCGTGGTTGGCGAAGAAGGTGTTCGAGGAAGAGGGCGAGTCGGTGGACAGGTGCGGGTTCGCGATGGCGGTGGTGGAGATCATCGTCGTGACGTCGCCGTTCGGTTCCGTGCTGTTGAGATTCGTCGTCAGATCTGGAATCGCGACCGGAAGCAGAACGGAGGCGTACCTGACCACGGTCATGAAGCTGGTGATCTCCGCCGGGGTGGAGGTGATCGTCGCGCCTGCCGCATTGGTGGTGATGATCACGACCGTGGACTGGAACGTCGATCTGAGAAGCGCGTCGTGAGTGAGACCGGCGCGGAAGCAGTTTCACGTGAAACAGGACGCACCCCGCAGGAATGATCGTCACCGCCTGGGTTTCGGTAGCGATCGCCGTGACCTATGGAAGGACGGTCAGGGGCCAATAAAAAGGGTGGCTCATGACCGGGTGCCGCTCACAAACTCGGTCGACGCCTCGGTGCCCAACACCGTGCTGCCCTGCGCGTCCGTGGAGGTGATGACGGTGGTGACAACGTTCGCGTGGGTGCTGGTGATCGTGACCGGTTGGGAAGTGACCCTCAACGTGCTCGTCTGGCCGTGTTCGCTCGACACGACCTGGGTCGTCGTCCCTCCGCTCACGATTTCGGTGGTCGTCCCGCCTTGATCGCTGGTCACCTGCGTGGTCGTCGTCGGACCATCGGTGGTCACTTCCGTAGTGGTGGTGGGCCCTTCGGTCGTGATCTGGCGGGTGGTGGTCGTGCCGCCGTTGGAAGTCGTGCCGCCTTGGTTGGTGGTCGTAGTGGGCTGCGAGGTGGTTTGCTGACTGGTCGTCGTCGTCCCGCGGTCGGTGGTGACCTGGGTGGTCGTGGTGGTCTGTTGCGTATTTTGGGTGGTGACCTGGGAGGTGGTGGCGGCGGAGGAGGACCCGGTGGTGGGATCATTGGAAGACATGACCGTGGTCGGGGACTGGGAAGAGGCGGAGGTGGTGGGATCTGAGGAGGATGTGGTCGGGCCGGAAGATGCGGAGGTGGAATCTGCGGGGGATTGGGCGGTCGAAGTGGCGAGGCTGGTCGTGCTGCGTGAAGGGTATGAGCGCGATGAATGGGACGAAACTAGGTGGACGACGCTCACGAGGCTGCGGAAACAGTCGAGGCCGTGGTGGTGTCGTTCGGAGCGGTGGTCGTGACGGAGGCGGAATCCAGGGTGGCAGAGGTGGTGGCAGGAGCAGCAGAGGTCGTAGCAGGGGCAGCAGAGGTCGTAGCAGGAGCGGTCGAGGCGGCCGTCGTGGCAGAGGTCGTAGCAGGGACAGATGTGTCGAGGGTGGTGATGATCGCGCCGCCGGACGAGGACATGGATTCCGTCGCCGTGCCGGGGTTTCCAGAGGCCGAGATCGCAGAGGCGGCGGCGGTGGAAGAGGCGGAGGCAGCGTCCGACAGGGTCGCGGTGGCGGTCGTGGCGGCGGCGGTGTTCGTGAGTTGCGTTTGAGATTGCGTTTGCGAGGCAACAGAGGAAGAGGAGGAGGGAGGACTCGTCAGAACTTGTCCTTGGAAAGGCAAACGGATGAACAAGCTGCCAGACGAGCGTCCGAGAAGATGCAAAGGAGGAGAAGGCGGCGTGGCCGGAGCGGGTACCACTGGCAGCAGCTGTGGGCCGCTCGTCGGTGGCGGCGGGGGTGCGCTCGTCGATGGTGGGTGCGCTCGTGGATGTCGCGATGGCTATCGCAGCACAAAGACTGGCGAGCCGGCGCGACGACGAGAAGGGAAATACGAACACCCGGTGGGCGGCGCACGAGGGGCAGCAGAACAAAACAAGGGATGCAGACTCGGAGACTCACCGGTGTCTGTGGAGGAGGCTGGCTGCTGCTGCTGCCTCGGTCGGGGCGCGCGCTGGGTCATGTCATGTCCCCGGGACTGTGCTGGAGAGAGCGAGCAAGGCAAAAAGGCGGCACAGCGACCACCGCGTGGGATCGGCAACGTCATACTTGGTTCGGCACCACTCGGCACCCACGCCCACGGCTCGCTGCTCGCTATCACCCACGCTCTCGACGCTCTATTCGCAGCCCGCGCATACACGCCCACCCCCATCTTATCTCGCCATATAGACACCAGCCATGCTCGCCGCCCACGTCGTTGCCCGACCCCGCGCTCGACGATGGCCAAGCGCCGCCCGCGCGTAGCGACCCCGACCCAGTACGGCGAGACGCTTTCCGAATCCGGCTTCTGGGTCGAGTACCCCGACGGCCTCGTCGACCTCACTCGCACCCGCCCGCTCTCTCTTAGCCTCGCCTCCGATGCCCACCTCCTCGCTTGCGATGACGCCGCCAGCCCACCCCCGCTCGATGCCGACACCCAGATCGAACTCCCCGTCGACGGCGAGCGCACCATCCGCCTGACCGGCGCCAACACCGCGCTCGTCGTGGTCGACATGCAAAACTTTTTCCTCCACAAGGACCTGCGCGACCATCCGACGGGGATCGCATGCGTTGACCCGCTGCTCGCCGTTGTCCCGGCTTTACGCAAGCACGGCGTCCGCATCATCTGGCTGTGGGTCCTTCCTGTCCTCGTGCATTGCGCCCGACTTATCATGCCAACACCAGCAACTGGGGCCTCACCCCGCAGGAGCTGCATACCCTACCGCCCTCTCTCGCCCGCCAATTTTCGCGCTCTTCTCGCGGTGGCTTCGGCTCCCCTCTCCCCGACCCTTTCGGTCCCCTCCTCATGCGCGGCTCATATAACGCCCAGCTTTACGGACCTCTCCAAGACCTCTACCTTGCCGGTCACACCGCCGGGACTGACGTCTGGATACACAAGAACCGCATCAGCGGCATCTGGGGCTACCAGTCTGCGCTCGACCTCTACCTCAAGGAGAACGGCATCCGGAGCCTGCTCTTCGCTGGCGTCAACGCCGATCAGGTTTGTCCCGTGTTCCTGTGTGGGAGCAAACAGTTGATCCCCCAGCGACAGTGCGTGATGGGCACCTTCTCCGACGCCTACTTCCGTGGCTACGACGTCGTCATGCTCCAGGACGCGACCGCCACCACTTCTCCAGCAGGCGGCCTCGAAAACGTCCTCTACAATGCGGGTGTACGTCCCTTCACGCATTTCGCTGCCACGCTCGAGTCTCATCGGCCATGCAGAGCTATGGCTTTGTTACAGATACCAAGCGCGTCGTAGAAGCTCTCTAACGCAGTGTACACTACAATGTATCGATGAATATGGAGCAGCGACGAATCGGAAGAGCGATCATCAACCAAGCGCGTTTATGTCTCATACATAAAATGCGGACCCCGGGCCCCCGACCCGAGCCTCTCCCTAATG